TGTCTTCTGAAAATGACATCTGGTTTGCTATAAACCCATGAAGGCAGAGAGCACTCTTATGAAAGGCCTCCTCCATGTGAGACGAGCGTTTCCAGCATATAAGGCTGCATTTATACAAGTGGAAAGAGCATTTTCTACTTGATGACTGTAATTTTCAAAAGAACTCAGCTGGGATGAAAAGGTGGGAGGTTTAATGGCCCCGTGAATAAAAATGGAGCAGCACCTGAGCTCAGCTGATCGGGACACATTTCATCAGTCTGCATACATGCTGCGCACATACAGTAGCACCTGAATTCCTCGAACAGAACTATGAAATCTAAAATCTCCTGTAGACTCCTGAAAATGATTTTTTAGTGCATTGTACTGTATGTGGGATGAGCTCAGTCTGATGGTGCTGGTGTTGTAAAAATGTAGTCGTGGTTTTAGGGACCATGACATCCCGCTGAAAGTATCACTGAGCATAATGTTTTGTGGTCCTATCTTGGTTTACATTTTAATGGTTACATAGTAGGGCTGTGCGATATGGCCTTTAATTAATATCACAATATATTGAGAAGTTCACCTCGATATGATAAATGGACGATAACTACTCCACAAGCTGCTCACCCCCTCCCACATAAACTTCGTCTACTTCAGCCGCTACAACTTTTGAATCATCCCCCATCTCCTCACCTGTTTTTTCCTCTTTGACTGAATGGGGTGGAGTCACATCTCTGATGTAGGACAGTCTTAAAGGGACATGAGACCATAGCTTACTCACACACATCCAAAACCAACTTTTATGTTTTCATTTTTTTGACACCGAATATATTGACATGGGCAAAATGACATTGATTATTGTCGTAAATTTTCGGTTTATCACCCAGCCCTATCACATACACATACAAGTCTTTCATGTAAATGCCACTGCATGCAATCTTACTGACTCCACTGACCTCAGTTGCTGGCTCTTGACCTTATTTTGTTTTCTGATGGATAAAAACCTGATTAATACTGATCATACATTATTATCCTTGTTCCTCTGCCTGCTATCCTCCTCTCTGGGATTTTTTTTCTGCTAACATAGAAAGGGAAAGCCACACCATTAGTCATATATCACCAGTCATTGGTTACCTTGATTTCACTTTGCTGCATAGCCTCAAAGCTCTCTTTCCTGTCTGAATGAATATTTTAAAACTGTAATTCTGCCATTTATTCTGAGGATTTCTCATCAGTGTTTTTGGTCTTCAAATCTCTTATTGTGTTCCCCTGCTTGCAGAGTTGTGCCTGCAGTGATTTCCTGTACCAGGATGCAACATGCAGGAGAAGCTGCAGCCTCAGCCACATGCTGTTGTATTTCTTGGGCCCTATACTCTGCGTCTAAAACCTCTCAAAGACCAAGACAAGGCTGAAAATAGGCAATCAATCAATTTGGGACTGCAACTGTTGGCATGTGGGAGCTGTAGGAGGACATACCAATGCTGAACAATAGGTGAAATATACACTGCAAATTCAGAAATCTGACTGAGTTATCTCAATACTGGTCAAACATTTTAAGAAACTTATTTAGACAACTTTTGCTTGCTGCACTGGCAGACTTTTTCACTCATTACTATCGATTCAGCCTTCATTTTTGGCCTTTCATATCTTGGAGAAAAGATTTATTTATGTCTGGTCTTGTCAGGTCAGCGCTGCTCGTAGTTTACTGACGTGTTTTGACTAATAATGAGACAAACACGATAGATTTAAGATTATTGAGTGTGCAGTTTACAAGATATGATGTTGAAAATATCCAAGAATATAATCTGAAGTAAATTATTTTGTTTCATAATAGGGATTCAGTGTTAATGCTATAAAAGCAGATTGTGGGTTTAAAGCCAAAAAGTATGTGTGGAAAATGTCTGATGGATCCCTGCAGAAACACACTCACTGACTGGCTGCTCCAGGGACCATCAGCCTTGAAACACCAAATATTAGGCTTTTACTTAACAGCTGGATTTCTCCTCCTGTGAACACTGACTGATGCATATCCCCTGCTGCAAAGTCAAGTTTAAAATGTATTTCTGACTCAGAATTTAATTAGAATAATGAGGCCTTTGGTCTGGAGTTACTGTTGTGATGTGCTAATGATTCTGACTTTGATCTAAAATAACTCCAGGAAGTTGAAACGTATCCTGGACCCACGCGTGCAATTCAAACAGTCCTGACGTCCTGAGGTTCGTGGCTCGCAGCTTGGTATGGAGCATGGGTACACAGAGAGATGAGAGCGAATATGACAAACACAGGCGATAAGCAGATCTCCTTATCTTGCTGTTTTCTTCGAGGCTTGATTCAATTTGTCCCACAGCTTCCCTCTTTTGTTGCCTGTTATCCTGCCATTACTCATGCTGAAACACCTGACAACAGTCATCGCATTTCCATGTTACTAAACACAGGAGTGGGAATTTTACAGATTTGTCAGTAACTGATTTATGTTTATCCCCATTCAATCTTCTAAAATTCTTCCTTTTCTAATCTCACAATGAAATGCCCAAACATTCTTGTTTTTTTTTCCTTTGTTTAGTATGGAAATCCACAGCCAGAATACCACATTAGTAGTCAGATACTGTGGCTAAAAAAATCAACAATTTTGACATTCATCATCTGTAGCTCAGCTCCAAAAATACCCCTTGAGTGTAAATGAAGCAATATCCCGACATTAAGAGAGATATAAAGTTGGAGTGTAGCAACAGCGAGATGTATTTAATCCAAATGGATTCTCATTTGCGATTTCTTATCATTTAATTAAAAATACAGATCATTTGCATCCCCAGGGAGATATAAAACCCTCCCACTTTAAGCTGGCCTGAATGTATAAATGCTTTATGAGAGCAGAGTGAGACTGCAGCTGCATGTGTTGCAACAGCTTGAGCGACTAGTTAGGAGCTGAATGACAGAATTTGCTGCACATGTTAGGGTGGCTTTCCTCCCACAGCAGAGAGAAAGAGAGAGTGAGAGTTGTGCTGTGGGGGCTCTCTTGCTCACTCTGAACTGTGTGTGTATGTGTGTAAATGTGGGTGTGAGTCAGTGATTGTTGGAGGTTGATATCTGTGACGGACTGCTGACTGGTCCTGACAGAGTTTCCTGTTTGCGCTCCAATCAAAGCTGGAACGAACAATAACAGAGTAATTATCACCGTCTGGAGTGTTTCTTTGTTTTTGAGTTTTATTATTAGCTGAGTATGAGAGAGCTGTAGCATGAGGGGTTTATGCATACATACTGGGGATTTATAAAAAACTCAATGGGGTAGGAACAGGGTTGGTTTCATCATTATTTCTGATTTATGTTCAGTTTCATCTGATAGTTTTACCGCAGTTTCCCAAACATTCATAGGAATAACTTATCTGAAACTGTCAGCTTGTTGAATACAAACATCCCCATCTGACGAAGAGTAATCAAACTCTGATGCAAGACAGCATTGAAGCTTTCGGTTTATATTTATTAAAATGCAGATAATATTGCTACAGGTGATTTAAGAAGAATTTATTTACTGCTGTCATTATCGCTATAGTCCCCCACAAATCTGCCAATATCACAAAGCTCCAAGACAAACGCAATATTTTCTCTTTTTCAAATAGTGAAAAATTTGAAGTTGACCAGGAAAAAATCAAAACTGCTTTAAGGCAAGTTTCATAATATCTCTTTGAAACTTTCCTTCATAAAACTACCACTTATTTGTAGGATTGGGTCTTTTAATGAAAATATGGACAGTTTAGACAGATGTCCAAGTTTGATATGATTATCAAAAAGAGTCAGCAGCCTCTGGTGTTTTAAAATGAAGCGAATGAAAATGCAATGAAAACCACAGCATCTATTCATTTTCAGTCCATGTTCTTGGATTTGAAACACACTGTAACAGGTTCACGTTTTTAAAGACTGCATGGGTGACTTATTCCAAGGCTGAGGAAGGGGCAGGACTAGATCAGCTTCATTCTGTTCCTTCTCAAACTGGTTGTTTTTGACAAACATATGTTGTGTAAATTTATCTTTGACATGTACAGTTGTTTGGTGCACATATGCATTATTTTGTTCGATGTTTCTGTTTCTAGTTTTTTTTTTTGTTCGTAAAGTTTGAGATAAATAAAGAAGAAAGAAAAGAAAGAATATATGAATTAACAATGACCACCAAAATATTCCCTAAATCTCCAAACAGAACTATTTTTTAAGGTTTATAATGTGAATCAGACTTCAGACTTATCTATTTATCCCCCTGAACTGGGAGCAATTTCTCCTCTGAGGACATATTTATACCATATCAGAGATTATTATTGCACTACCTCTGGCTCGTAAACCCCTTTGGACTATAATCCAACCTCTGACCCTGAATGTTGGAACATTTTTTTTTTTCATATCTGTTCCAGTGAAATTGATAATCCAGCACTGGTTTCACACCGGCTGCTCTCACATGCAGAGGTGCACCAATCACGTCTCACCCATTCATTCGGTGTCTCTGGCAAACTGGACCCTCCTATTGGTGTGCAGCTGCTGGACCCTTTCATTATTTACACTTGAAATGATAATGACTTCATGTGTGCACAGCTGCACTATTTGCATCCACGCGGCACGCAGGCAGTCGAATTTGTGTGACAAAACGGGTCCTCATGCAGTATTTACATGCAAACTAGAATAGGATGCGAGGGTTTTCTGCTCGTATGAGGACAAGGAGAGGAAACAGAGAGAAAGCTTTGAGAGTTCAAGTTTTGAGGAGTTACAAAGTAAAAGGCAAGGGAAGTTCACGGTCAGGGTTTTCTTTGAGCGTTTCAGTCGCGTGTGTCTTCCTCAGGGGTAAAACAGTGTGACAGATTTTGTTGAGCTGGCAGGCTCTGTGCCATGGCGGGCTGCGGTTCCTGGGTAGGGCATCTCTCTTTGAGGCTGACTCCTTTGATTCCCCACTGAGCAAAGTTTAAATAGTAGGAGGGGGATGAGTGCTGGTGTTTCATTTTTCTGTCATGCGGATATTAGCGATAATTGGGAAAGTCAACTGAGAGAAACCCAAGTAAAAGATTTTATTTCATCTGAACAGAGTCAACAGATACAACTCTACCAAGCAAGCACGTACACTTACAGCCATGTCAGTGATAGAACTGCTCTACGAGGCTATCATCAGAGTACAAAACTGGTGACCAAGCAAGCCTAGATGTTACAATGACACTGAATACTAATGCTGCACTTCTGTTCTTGGATGGAGATCAATTCACGCAGCACTGAGTCAGAAATGACAAAAACATTAACATGCACGTCTATGAGTTGGAGATGGTGGCATTTGGTGGTTTCTTTGGATGGGTGTGCGTCCACTCAGTCAACACTCTAGCTAATTGAGCTGCAGCATTCTCCAATTACAAACACTCCACCTTTACTAATGAGGTAAAAAACATAGACGAGAATATTGGTCGTAAAACACACTGTTGACATTTCGCTCGCTTTGACTAACGTTAGACTCTCTGCAAGGAACTCTCGGTTGCTTTTTTCATGATCACATGAAAATTTACACGAAACAAATTGATTCTTTGTGACTTCAGCTTGAGTTGGATCTGCAAATTTGACTGGCTTACATGCTGATACCCTTGTGTCATAACAATTCTAACACTGGTTGATCAGTTGAGTTGAAAAAGCATGAGTGCCATCCATCTTTTCAGTCATTTTTCACACACGTCTCATGATACTAAATCAAGAGTCTTTTGGTTGCAGCATCAAAACTTGATGTCGACTGCAATTCTGATGAGCGTTTTGACAATTTTTGGCATTTCAGCAACCAAACAATTCATTAATCTTGAAAATATTTCAATTTTGCAGAGTGATCTGACTCTAAATTTCCAAGTTCTCTCAACCTTCACTTCAAACAAGTCAAATCCACAATGTAGAATCAATGTCCACAATGTAGAATCAATGCAGGGTCATTTCTGTCAGTATTCTTGTAAGAATGGAGCAATTTTTGCAGCAACTGGCTCAGACAAACCATTCAACACAGTAAATGCAACACTTTTTAAAGACATCCCCTTTGCTATTATGAAATTTCTCTGCACATGAACATGTTTACTGATGGTTATTCCCGGCAGAAGACGTATTCAGTGTAACTTGTCCATATTTTGTCCTCGTTTGGATCGTTGCTGGTGTAGGCGCAGGTGCCTGTGGAGCTACAGGCCACCATGTGAAATCCCGCCTCTGTCAGCTTGTCAAACGCCTGCTCTAGGAAATTATACTTGAGGTAATATCGGGACGTGTATCTCTCTGGAGGCCTGTCCGGGTCTCTGCTCTCATTCAGCGTTTCTCCAAACACTTCTTTGGCCAGGGACGTCTTCCCGCACACTGTGATGCGCGCCACTCTCCTGAACTTGGCGTCAGTTTGGATGTCTCTGCCGATCGTGTACGAACCGCGGTATCCTATCGTGATGTAGCCTGACTTTCTGGAGTCCAGAGAAGGGGAGCGCATGGCCCCGCTGGAGCTGACCGTCATCGTGCGTAAAGTCTCCATGGTGCCGGAGGAGCCGCACTGCTGCGCGCTCTCTTCAGTGTCGCTCTGGCTGATCTCCTCGCTGATCGAATTGTCCTTGCTCACTCGAGGGCTCAGGCGTTTGGCGAGGTCCCGCAGCTGGAAGAAGTCAGCCTCCCTCTGCAGACGACTTTTCTCCGGGAAATAGTCCGGGAGCACCAGGTTCAAGTCCCGGAGGTAATCGAGGATGTAGCGGAACAAAAAGCCGTCTCTATCCAAGAAGTAGCGCCCTTTGCTGTCTCTCGCCAACTCCTTGGGGGACTTCTTGCTGAACATGGTCCACAGGAGAGAGTCTGGGACCGCGATGAGAGTTTTGTGCCTCGTGACATAAACCTGTCCGCCGACATTCAGCTCGATAATCTCTGTGAAAGGAGAGCCCGAGTCTCCGCAGGTGGACCCTCCGAGCTCGGTGTCGGCCAGTGCCATCTTCTCTGCGCCGCTGCACTGATGTGGGATCAGTGGGAACACTGAGCCAGGCTGTGGCAGCGGCTTGTTTATGAAGCCTGGCCTCACCACGTGCGTGGGTGCGCGTGCACGATGGGGGGGATTGACTGCTAAATTATAATTTAACTATAACATGACTGTGCTGCCAAAAATATTGGCAAGCGGTCCCCTGTGTGTGTGTGTGTGTGTGTGTGTGTGTGTGTGTGTGTGTGTGTGTGTGTGAGGGAGAGAGAGAGAGAGAGAGAGAGAGACCCTATTAAAGCAAGAACTCATATTTGATGATGTGTCATTTGTTTTCCCTGCCCTGTTTGGCATGAAATGCAGCCCTCTCTCTGATGTTTGTTTAATTCATAAAATAAATGATGTTTCAAAAGTCCCACAGGAACTCTCTAAACCAAGAACCACACTGATGAACTGACTTACAACAGCCTTGAAGTCAAGAAAGTGCCGGAAAATATGGAAAGAGTGACACCCATTGCAACTGGAATGGAAATGCAGCCATGGCAAGCACGTACACACACACACACACACAATCACACTCCCACACACACACTCATATAGAGCCTTAACTCTCAAACAGCCCTTTGAAGAAGTGAGGACTGTCAGAAATGCTCCCTCTCTTGGTTTAAATTTCAAATTGGGACATAGTCAGATGTAGAACAGCAGAAACACTCTGACAGTGACAGATTTTTTTTTATTTTCACTAAAACAAAATGACGTTTACTTCCTAAGGACTTTCTAAAAATAAGTCTGAGCCATTACTGCCTAATCTCTGTAAACAGAAGACATAAGAGTGCATTTGTTATGGCAAATACATTACAAGTTCACTTTAAGTTTAATCATATCTCACCAAAACTCTAATCTTAATCCAGAATTGTGATGGTAAAGCCTGTCGGAGCTGCTTTCAGTCAACAAATCAACCTTACTGACAATATCAGTGACTAGTCTATACATTTATTTGAAATATATCTTAGAAAGGTTGTATTCAGTGATGTTTATGTAATAGACTGAAATTCATATCAACCCCTTTTTTCTGATAGAGATGCACTGATCCATTGTTTTCTGATCCAATCTGATACCGATACCGATACCTGGGCTAAACATATCGGTCGATATCCGATACCAATCCAATACTATTGTTGAATGAATAATCTTTATACCTTGCCCTGTGAGTGAAGGCATCAGGCTTGACATTAGCCTTGTTGAAAAAAGGTAACAAATTTACACAGATATGAATTTACTTAATATTATTTATTAACAAATAACAAATTGCACATTAGCACACAGCAAAAAGAAGTCTTCTTTGTAAACCTTTAGTGCAAAATGATAGACAGATGTAGTGTGACAGAGTGAACAGAATCGCTGTGTATGATATTAATTCAAAGAAAAAAAGACTGGATCGGCATCATTCATTGGATATCTGATCCAGTTAATTTGTCAATATCGGAGCCAATATCCGATCCAATATCAGATCGGTTATTTTATGATATATAAAAGCAAATAAGAATGTGAGTGACAAGATTAATCCTTTTCATATTGTAATTTTCCATGTCTCAAGCTAGATTAGGCAGGCAACTTGGGCTGCAGTAATTTCATGATTTTCATGCACCATTCTCACCAAAGTTGTTTGTCTATTCCAGCTGCAAGACTTCCCTTCACCACTGTCTACTGTCGCTGCTTCCTCGCACCAGTTACTTGTTATCATCATACTTTCAGCTTCACCACCTCGGCAGCAATCACCCGCAAGTGCCAGCTAGGGGCTTAAAGATGAAATCTAGTAAGTTCTCAGATGTCTGCTTGGGATATCAATCTGAGACAAGTGATAAGGTCAGAGTCTATACACCAAATACAAATGATGTTCTGTTTCTGGGATAAGATAAATGCGACGATATTTATCCGACTGAAATGATCAAATGTTGAAACAAATCTATAGAATCAACAGTTTCTGAAGTTTACAAAGTTAAAACGCTCTTAAATGTATCTGTAATTTAACAAATTAGAATTTCAAATAATAATGATGAAAATAAAAATTATGTAATGGAAAGATGTCAAATAAAAACCACTCAGAGGGCTGTTCCTCTTTGCAGATTTAATTAGGTCTGGATGTATTTTTGCCAGTTTGAGTGTGGTCTTAACAAACTCTAAGTAACCTCACAGCTGAGGTCAAAGTGATCACTTTGTCAGTGTGATTTTCTTTGCCTTTTGTCACATGATTATCTGTGAGTGTTGTGACTCTGTGAAGAAAAAAACTTCCCCCTAAGGAGAGGCAAAATTCCAAAGTTTGTTGTCTCAAAATGTAAGTGAAAGAAAAAGTTTATTCGAGCCACAAAGTCTTGTAACCCTCTTTTAAAATCTTTAAACTGCTGAGTTTTCAAAATAACTGACCCCAAGATCCTGCAGCACAAAACCAGAAAAGAACCTGGATTTTCCAGTGTCACTTAAAACCGTGGTCAAAGAAGCACAGATGACACCCAGTCAAAGTGAAAGTTCCACTTCTCATCACGAGTTTTTTTTTTCAAGTCACTTTGGAAATTTGGTATCACAGCCTGAGGGTTAAGTCAGAACATATAAGAGCCGAGAGCAGGGAGAGGTTTTATCACTTGGAGACATTAGTGAGCCTGCAGCAATGCTACGCAAGGTAATTGTTTTTTTTTTATATGAACATATAATCCTGATTTACATTTTTTAAAGATTTTACTAGATAAGAAACCATTTGAAGGTACTGTGGGACAATATTTTTGGATTTCTATATGATCACTTGCAGTATATTTTAACTTCTTTCTATGTCTGTAAAGGTTTGCACTGATTTGCTGTGTTTCACCTGTGCAGGGTATTACAGAAAGCTTCGGAGCTGCCGTCCACTCTCTCAGCCCCTCACAGCTGACAGATGTGGTGGTCAACAGGAGCAAAAGAATGATGCTGGACACTCTGGGGGTCGGGTTGTTGGGGACCAGGACAGCTGTATTTAACAAGGCTCTCAAGTACAGCCAGGTACGATTGCCTGTTCCATATGCACTATTTCATAACACCTGTAAAAATAAAAAACATAAGTATCTGAACGTGCAAAAAGAACTAATGTAGGAGTAATGTGCAATTTGTCATGGTAGAGTTGAGTTTTATGTTTTATGTTTTTTTACAAATATACCATTATAACAAATCAATTTGATAAAATTATTAAAGTTCCTGTGAGGAGTTTTTGGACTTTTATGAAATAGACTGAAACTCGTATTGCTGCATTTATATGATATACGATAGCGAACAAGCCCATCAGTGACAAGAGTGATGACTTTATATTATAGTTTTTGATGCTTAAAAATAAAAGGAGTAGGGCAGATGATATTTCACATGAAATATTTGCAACAATAATAATAAACTTGGAAGTAGGATGAGCTTTTTTGTCAGGTTCTGTCCACATGGGGGTGCCAAAATCAACACAAACAGAAAAGCTTCAAAGTCATAAAGTAATTAAAGCTCGACAATGATGAGTTTTTACCTGGTTAGAAAATATTCTAAACTTATACCTGGTGTCTCTGTATGAGCTGAAAAGGCAAGCTCATCGTGAAGTCAACCAGGTAGGTAGATATCATTTAATGGTACACTGACACTTTTGTTCACTAAAGCTTTTGTTCACACATTCCACTGCAAAGATTCACAGGGAGTCACGCAAATCACATTCCTTACAGGAGCTTTAGAGATGGCACCATGATGTTGCATCACTGAAGTCCTAAAGGTTTTTGTTCCTAATGAGATGACACATTCTCTGTAGTCCTATGAAGTTAAGGTGGAAGTTCCTGTCGGCCTGTCACAACATCAAATCCTGGATGTTTGTTTATGATATTGTGCAAAGCTGGAAGTGAACTGAGGAAGTTCAATCCTGACTCAAACCTCTTGCCTGTTTTTTGTAACTAGGGTCATTCCTATACAGTGACTCTCTCCTTTCAAGAACATATAGAAATATATGTGTCTGTGTGTCAGTTTGTAAACATCATCAAATCTTTCTTTGACAGCTAAGAAAAGATTTACCCACATCCTTATAAGCTGGTGTAATCCTTTCTTTTCTGTTGTTATCTGTATGTAATTTCATTTGTTAATTATTTTGAATCCCACTGAGATCCCTGAAGTACACCCTCATTCAATTATACACTTCCACTCTAATTTTTCTGATTGCAGTCTTTCATGTCATATGAGAGGAGCAGCGTGTGGGGCAAATCGGAGCTCTCTCTCCCTCCTCATTACGCTGCATTTGTTAATGGCATCGCGGTAAGCTCAATCAAAATAAATTAATCCTAATTTGTGGAGCATTAACTTGATATGTGTCTGGATATTTGAACCACTGATTATTCTTCCCATCATGTTTTATTGGTAACAGGTCCACTCCATGGACTTTGATGACACTTGGCACCCTGCGACTCATCCATCAGGCGCCGTGTTACCAGCGCTGCTCGCCCTCACGGAGACGCTGCCATGCCGGCCCTCTGGTCTGGATTTGCTGCTGGCCTTCAATGTGGGCATCGAGGTGCAGGGCAGGCTCATGAGGTTCTCCACCGAGGCTTACAACATCCCAGAAAGGTACTAATACAGGTCCCAGACGAAGGTTTCTATCTAATTGTGCAACACTGACCTCTGGTGGCCATACTTATGATTGGTGTAGAGGTTACTTTTGTGGTAGGCCAGTCCTGGTAATAAAAAATATATATATTGAACAATCTCTCCAAGGCAAATTGAAAATCCAATCACCTCACTCTTAATGTCTCCCTTTTGTAGAAAATATTTCTAATTGGTTGAAAGATTCCTCCTCATAGTCTTGCTTTGTGTTTATGCGTTTCTCCTTGAAACAGCCGAATTAAGCAAAACTCATCTTCATACCTCTCCTACTCCAATGTATTTCTTGTGAAATAGATTTTCTTTTGTTCTTCAGCTCCATGAAAACAGCTTCTTTCTTCATGCTCCTCTTTGTTCTGTGAATAAATCCCTGTGTTTCATCTCTCCTCACTCAGATTCCACCCTCCCAGTGTTGTGGGTGTTATGGGCAGTGCTGCAGCCTCAGCTAAGCTCCTGGCTCTCTCCCCTGCTCAGTGCGCTCACGCTCTGGCCATCGCAGCCTCCTCCGCTGGAGCTCCTCTGGCCAACGCTGCCACACAAACCAAACCTCTGCACATTGGAAACGCTGCTCGGAGGGGCTTGGAGGCAGCTCAGCTTGCCCAGCTGGGACTGGAAGGTAACCCAGAAATCCTGGATAAGAACTGTGGGTTTGGGGTTTATTACAAGGACTACAGTCCTTCAGCAATGCCAGACTCTGGATCTGGGGACTTTAAATGGATGCTTGAAGATCAGAACGTGGCCATCAAGCGTATACCGGCTCACCTTGGAATGCACTGGGTTGTAGATGCTACATTAGCAGCTCGTGCAAAGTTTGAAGAAGCAGGTGAGAACTTTGACTTGAGCAGAATCAGAGGGGTCACACTACGAGTGCCTCCATCCAAATACATCAACTGCCCCTTCCCAACCACAGAGCATCAAGCCAGGCACTCATTCCAGTTCAACTGCAGCTCTGCTCTGCTGGATAACAAAGTCACAGTGTCTTCATTCAGCGAAGCTCAGATTAACAGACCAGCACTCAGAGGGCTCCTCTCCAAAGTAAAGGTAGAAACTCCTGAGGATAACACACCCAACTTTGACAAGATGTACTGTGAGGTTGAGATAGAAACAGATCAGGGGCAGACACACGCAGCCAGGTGTGATACTTTCTATGGCCACTGGAGGAAGCCACTGAGCCAGGAGGATCTGGTGGAGAAGTTCTGCGTGAATGCGTCTTCAGTTTTGTGCACAGAGGGCGTGGAGGGAGTGATAGATATGATAGGAAACATGGAGAGAGTGAGAGACAGCTCACTCCTGAGTTCATATCTGAGAATGAGCAGCAGTCAGCACCAGCAGATTTACAGAAGGAGGAGACTGTGATCGACAAAACTATTGTGGTGTAATGTTTTCATATCTGTGGAATTCATTAGAAATCTGATGTAAATATTTTAAAACTGATTTTTAATGGAAAAGAATGTAAAATAAAGAGAAATTGCAAAGTAATGATTTTATTTTTGATACTTTTGTACAAGTTGCTGCTGATTTTCTTACATTTTAACACTGCTTTCTTGATTAACTGTATGACAACTTCAGTTGGACTGAGAAAAAATTGATTTTGTTGGCAAAGTGAATCGAACCATGTAGCGCACAACACTTCTACACAGATGTACTGTATTTTAAAGAGAATCTGTAAGTGCTTTTAATCAGAGAGTTAATGAATCATTCTATAAATATATCAGCATAACAGGCAGCTGCTATTAATCTCTAAAAAAAATAACAGCCCAACTTTTTTTTCAAAAACTTTTAAACATTGCTACATTCAAGCCATTTTCAGCACATCCTTCACCATTGATCCAATCCCATCAAAGATCTCGTGAATTGGAGCGTTGCACATGAAGGCGGAGGTGGTGACCAGCTTGTTCTTCTGGTCCACGTGGCTCTCACCGACGCTCTTACTCACATGTTTGCAGCCCAGCTGGTTGATGGCTTCTGCACAGCCAGTGGTGTCAGGGTACCTAAAAGAAAAGGAGGACACAAAGTAGTGAGCTGCTGCTGCTGCTGCTGCTTCAAAAAAGCTGTATTTAAATAGTGTTTTAAAATCAAGCAAAAACAACGCAGCAAGACCAAAGTTATCTTTTTTCCCCACATTTCACCTTCTGCTTGGTTTCCAAAACACTGTGTCCAAAATACCCACAATGCATCCCAATCAACAGTTGGAGCATGTAAAGTTTTGCAGCTCATGTAGCCTAAATATTGCATTTATCTGAATATAAGACAACCCTGATAATAAAATGTTCCAGCCCCCCTTTCAGGACACACTGTAGGATTAGCCTTTTTTTTTTAGTAGTTACACTTTTGAATAAAGTATTTTGAGCTACTTAGATTTTTTTTTTTATCATTATTTTATAAAATTCAGTTTCTTAGGATAAAATTTTCACTGAAAGCTTAATTGAGTATCTCTGTGTGAATTTTGTAGGAACTATGCTGCTGCCCTCTTGGCCAGGTCTCCCTTGTTAAAGAGATTTGTAATCTCAATGGGACAAACCTGGTTAAAAAAAAGGTAAATAAAAAAATAAAAATTTGGTGTGGACAAAGCAGTCTTCGCTTATTTTGTCTTCTACATGCTTATGTTTTGTCCTGTGACAAAAAAATCTCATCCTGCTGCCGTCTGACAGTCAACAGTGTCATCATTTATGAATATTGTAAAGATTTGGCTGTTTCTTTAAATAAACTGCTGACGCTTTCCTCTTTGCAGTGGTTTGAGACATGAAAAATTGCAATATAAGAAAGATTCATCTGGTCAGTTATGTTCTTGTTTGCTTTGCCATATCGTAAAAAAGCATCAATAGCAGTCAACGGCTTCACACCCGTTTCATTTCATTACCAAACCCTGTCAAACCCTGAATGAAAGAGGATCCCCATCCTAAACTCAGTCAAAGGACATAAGCGTATAAATTCTCTTCTAGTGTCATGAATAAATCCTAAAGCTTTGTTCACAGTGTGTAGCTCTCCACAAGTCTCTTCTTTAAGCACCTGTGAGGAAATTTCTGATTGTGTAGATTTCATTCACCCCATGTAGAGGATTTCTCTTTATGCTGATCTTGCCCTATATGGATAAAGAAGTGTTTTCCAATGACAACAACAAAACTCATCCTTTTTTCTGGAGGTCTTGTTTGCCCCTTTTAGTCACAGAAGCATCAGTATTAACTTCAGTCTGGTCCATTTCCAGCTAAACCTCCTCACTGGGGCTTTAAAGACAGATGCTGCATCATCAGGACAGTTAAACTCACTTGTCATCCTTCTCGATACCGACAGTGACCTCACAGCCGGGGAACACCTTGGCAGCAAGAACAGGTGAGATGCAGCAGAGGCCGATGGGTTTCCCCTCACTGTGGAACGCCTGCAGGGTGGCCTTCACCTCCTCATTCACAGAGCAGTCCTTCCCCTGCACAGCCCAAGTACAGAGGTTCTTAGCTGCCCCAAAACCACCTGTAAAACATCAAAAATACACTATTGGGTCATCAATTACATGAAAAGATGAAGCTTTTACTCAGGAATAACATTTGCCACTCACAGCAACAAATTTCAGTCCCATTGGTTGTTTATTAGGGTGGACTGTTCTTACACTAAATGTAACAATGATCTGAAGGAATTAAAAAAACGGGTAACAACAGGATGTTTTCATGTCGGTGTGCCCAAACCTGGAAATATAATAGCATCGTGGTCTTGGACACTCAGTTTAGAGAGGTCCTGTATGTTTCCACGGGCCAGTCTTGCACTTTCCACCAACACGTTTCTCTTCTCCTCAGCTGGTGCACCTTTCAGGTGATTGATGACGTGCATCTGATCAATGTCGGGAGCAAACATGTTAACCTGCAGAGAATGAAACAAAGATGACATCCTTTACTTCACAATATTAAAAGGATGGCAGAAAATGATCAGTTTTCTTAATTTAAAATGTAAATTTTGTACATCTCTAATCTATTGTTACACAAATCTTATATAGTCCAGGTCTGGCTGCTGAGATTTCACTTTGTGTGTTTTGAACCCAGAATAAATGGAGGTTTTATTTTCTTATTTTTGTATTTGTAAGTTGATATAACTAGAGAAAAAGGGAAATTCTGGCGTATAATTAATTTAGGGTCAAACACATCTGAACTCTGAGTTAGACACCCCCTCAAGAGATGAATGTTGCCGACAGCTTGTTTCTCTAGTTATACCGATTCAGAGAGTAGGTGAGTTGGGTTTAGTCTCTTAGCTGAAAAAATCAAGCAAGGTTAACAAGATGTTTGGTGGCTAGTGTTGTGGCTGGGACCCTATATGTACTGTTGATGAAGTTAGGTGCTGTTCTGAGCATTATTTGTGGCTATAGAGTGGTGTTTTGGTTGAGCGCGTGGCACTCTGTATTGCTATCGTGTGGTCGTTACTTAAGTTGACATAACTAGAGAAGCAAGTGGTTGGCAATTTATCTCTCAACGGGGTGTCTAACTTGGTGTTATGGTGTGTTTGACCCTAACTTAATTTGATGCCGGAATATCCCTTTGAGGTGTCTGATAAAATTACTTAAATATTGTGCAGCCTGTTTTTGCAACAATTTGAACATTTTAATATTCCCAATATTAATGTGGTAACATCCACATTACAATGTTACTTCCTATGAGGGGGCCTTTTTCAGGTCCCAGGCCCTGAATTAGTAGAGTTCGCCTCTGGCCTGCAGCAAGTGTCCAACTTTCCATTCACTCAACGTAAACAACAACAAAAAAGAGCAAACATAAGCAGGATCGTCTTCAACAGCAGGTCAATTTAGAGGTTTTCATGATAAATTTACAGTGTGACATTCACACAGATTTCCTGTCCCTCTCCTATCAACCAAAGCAGCAGATCAGAGCTTCACAAACTTACAGTCGCTCCTCCTCTGCTCAGGTGCACCAAAACAGCGGAGGCCTCGTGGATCTCGCTGCCGTCATAAACTCCACAGCCCGCCAACACCACGGCCACTCGCTTACCCATCTGTGTCGTGTAATAACTTTGATGAACTGCTTGAACTGTCCTCAATGTCAGCAAGTTCCGGCCACAGTGCTGCAGGAGAGTGAGCATGGCGGACTGTCAGCGAAGAGGACGCCCCCCTTTTTTCCACTGTCTTCTTTACTGCTCTAAAAGAGGTTTGAATTAAAGCTTCTCGGTGCTTTGACGCCCTCTAGTGTACAAACGGAGGACTATGGCTTGACAGTGATGGGCACGGCAGTTCTTTTAGATGTACTGAATCACTCGAATCAGTTCACTAAAAAGATTCGTTCATCGAATCACCGAATCGTGTAGCGTTTGGCGGGAGAAGCCAGCGACTCCGACCTCCTGAACTGATACAGAGGTGAACGGTTCAGGATTCAGTTTCTGGGACAAGGAGATGAGAGTGTTTGGCTGTGTTGCTTTGGCAAACAGGTTTGTAAAAATGAACTTGTTTATAAGTCATGATGTTTTAAGTGTTTTGGTAGTTTTGTCTGATAAAAAGATTCCAGAGAGTGTAGTTCGATGTGTGATTCGTTCACCAAATGATTCAGGTGTCGGTGCATGTGGTCCCTCGTTTGGTCGACTGTCAATGCTGTTTCTTACTTCAGCTTAACTGAAGTGAGAAACGAATCATTCGAGGAAGTGATTCGGTTCAGTACGTTCACTTAAAAGATGCCGTTCTTTTGAACGAATCGTTCGCGAACGACCCAACACCATGGCTTGATTTTTTTTTTCAAGTTTCAAAATTGGAAGAAAAATAAATTTAAATGTAGATAAACGTAAATTGACTAACATGAATTCAGAGTATTTACAGGCGAATTTAAAGGAAACTTTGTTACCTTTACACAGGGCATGTGTAGATCTGAATATAAGTTTACTGTTTGTAGAGAAATAAATAGAAAACACATGTAAATGGATAAAATGTAAAACAAATGTACAGACACAAATGTAGAGGTTTAATGGCCTGAAATTAAAATATATTCTAGAAAAAAAAGATAAATTACCAGTTAACATTTGTTATTGACTTCATATTTTTATGATTTTTTCCCCCTAGTAATATGTCTCATTTGATAATTAATGCCTTTTGATTTATTTAATTTTGTTCCATTTTTAATTCGCCCCCAGTGGCCCACATGATTGAAATTGGTATAGCTGCATTTTTTAAAAATTTTTTACTCATCTTTTTCATTGTAACCTCTGCATTTGTGTCGTTCTCCAAATAATCTTTTACCCTTTCTCATTCATTTCCTTTACCTAAGGGATCCTTTTTATTCCTGCTCTCTAAACTTGGTCCTCCATATATTCTTGTACTTTATGAACAGCGCGGGTCTTCTTGTCATGTGACTTGCTGTAAACAAAACCATGTGACCTCGATAAGGAAGTGAGTACTCAGCAGCAGGAGGAGGAGGATCATGGGAGGACTATCTCCATCATAACTTCTGCTTTTTCTATCTTTTCTTGGACTTTTCATCATGACTCAGTGGGAGGTGGTCGTGGGTTTGATCGTGCTCTTGTTCCTCCAGGTGTTGGCTCAGTTCAGGAGTCACGGACGGACGCAGTGGCCGGTTCCCTACAGGTACGAAGAAGAGGACACCTAAGTTTTCTGTCTTCAGTTTAAAGTGGAGTCATGTGACGGATAGAAAATAAACTTTTAGAGGTTTTCTTAAATGTGGGCCAGTTAGTCTAAATATGCATGTTAAACCTTAGCTGATTTTTATGTATAATGTTGATTTTAAGGAAGAAAAAAGAAAACACTGAGCTACTTTTTATAGTAGTGGACTTTTTGACTGACCTGTACCCTGTAAACCAAGTTACTGCGGGTACATTCACATGACTTTGTACACTTTGGACTACACTGTAACTCTCCTTGTAAAATCATTAAGTTTAATTTCGACTGAATTAGATTTTTTTTTAAAGTTTGAAATGGGATTATTTTTGAAAAGTACAATGATTTAATGTTGCTCATTCAACTAGACACTACTTGTACTTGGAGATTTCAAATTTACTGCATTTTATGCTCCTGGGCAAATATTTGTACTTAAATACATCTACTGCATTTACTTTGTGACTTTCTTAAAAGCAGGAAACATAATAAAGTCAAATCAAGACAAAGGAATTCAGATACCTGAATTGGTGCATAAAAATCTCAGAGATTTCCATCTCATCTCAAATCAATGTCAATAAAAATATTTAATTAGTACTTACAGTAGAGATGCAAACTTACTAATTGCCAAAGTTGAGGTTCAAAACTAAAGGTGATAGATCTTTCTCCATCAGAGCTCCTCGACTTTGGAGCGACCTGCCAGAGGACATAAGGCGTGCAGAAAAAGAGACAGTCACTTTTTTTAAGTCATATTTAAAAACTCACTTTTACAGGCTTGCTTTTATGTGATGCCATCTTTTATCTTGTATCTTGTATCTTTTATTTGTCATCTCTCATCTCTTTTACCTCTATCTCATTTCAGCCTCACTTTAACTGTCTACTTTCACACTTGTATGTTGTTTTTATTTATTTTAAAAGACTCTAAGGTCTGAGAGGCTCTAATATGGCCAGATAAACTGTTGCACAGTCTAGGGGCAACCGCTGAAAAAGCCCCATCACCTCTAAAATTGAGTCTGGTTTTGGGGACGCTCAACGGTAACTGGTCAGAGGACCTTAAGGCTCTGGCTGGGGAGTGGTGATGCAGGAGCTCTGACAGGTAAAGAGAGGCAACACCATTGAAGGCTTTAAAAACCATTAAAAGAATTTTAAAATCAATACGAAAGTAGACTGGAAGCCTGTGAAGGGTCACTAAAATTGGAGTTATGTGGTCGCTAATGAACTCATGAAATAACTCAGCCAAGAATTGATCAAATGGTCTGCAGGGACTCATTATTGCCTTTTTCAGCATATGTTCTGACCATGTATTCTGTGCACCTCTGATGTCATATTTTATGTTGCAGGTTTCTTGTCTGGATTCCTTATAACATGAAAATGGCCTTCAATTCTGTTTTTACTGAGCTTTTTGTTTTTATCTGTCTTTTTCCATGTGCCCTATGACTACATGTCAAAGCACTTTGTAAACTTCTGGTTTTTAAAAGTGCTATACAAATGAAGTTATTATTATTATTAGTACTAATTAACTTGTATATGAACCTTTGGAGTTTTTGTTTGTGCTGTAAAAAAGGAAAAATAATAATACTTTAATGTAAAAGTTAAGTCAAAGTTTATTTATGAAGCACCTTAGGATAAGATACTGTTTTCTTGTTACTTAGGTGATAAAACTGGTTATATCTGACAAAAAGGTGACTAAATAAAGCAGATCTGTGAAAACAGAAGCGTAACTTTCTAGACAGTAAAGGAATAAAAGCTACAGTGCCTATGATTTGTGTGTGCTCATTTATTAAATGTAAGGGAGAAAAGGTGGGTCTTTTAGGATGATTTAAAAGACTCTAAGGTCTGAGAGGCTCTAATATGGCCAGATAAACTGTTCCAGCTGGGGAACTGCACTTTCCCTCACATCAGACCTGAGGTTTACGCTCCGTTCTGGTGCAACCAAGGGGCCGCCTGCTTCTTTGACGGTATCGATGACCTACACTGGTCACAGAATGGAACACCATTGAAGGCTTTAAAAACCATTAAAAGAATTTTAAAATCAATAAGAAATTAGACTGGAAGCCTGTGAAGGGTCACTAAAATTGGAGTTATGTGGTCACTAATGAACTCATGAAACAACTCAGCCAAGAATTGATCAAATGGTCTGCAGGGACTCATTATTGCCTTTTTCAGCATATGTTTTGACCTTGTATTCTGTGCACCTCTGATGTCATCTCTAGGCGGTTCGATCATCGGCCTGATGTGGACTCTTACTGTGAAGCTCTCTATCCTTTTTGTCCCACTGGAGACAGAGACGGACGGATTACATGCAGCCAGATGTACTCTCACTGAAAAAGGCTGAAAGCATAGGCTGAGAAATAAACTCAAACTTGCTGAAAATTGCTGTTTTGTTTTGTTCTTTTACATAATTTTGTTTCACCTTGAGTAGCAACAGTCAGGTTTTAGAGATTCTATTTTTTGCACAAAACTTAGGATAAGATACTGTTTTCTTGTTACTTAGGTGATAAAACTGGTTATATCTGACAAAGGACAATGAAACAGGGATCTATTATGAGACATGGTCCGTTCATTCAGACCCCGGCCTGAACGCCACGGTGTGGTTTGAGTCGTACGACTGCTCACAGTTTGTCCACCGCACATACAAAAAACTGACTGAGTTGGGAGCAAAGCTGTCCAGCAGGTCGCAGACTAACTACACAAAGATCTAACTGTTCCAGCTGGGGAACTGCACTTTCCCTCACATCAGACCTGAGGTTTACGCTCCGTTCTGGTGCAACCAAGGGGCCGCCTGCTTCTTTGACGGTATCGACGACCTCCACTGGTCACAGAATGGCACCTTGGAGAAGATAGGAGAAATCACAGGTGAGATTTCAAATGTGAGATGTTATTTTTTTGTGGAAAAAAATATAAATTCAGTGTGAGTATTTTTACTCCATCTTCCTTCTAGAAAAGTGATTTAAAGCCAGATCCAAAAGCTTTGACTTACCGTGACGTGCATGACTTAGAGCCTTTTCAGACCTCATAAATACGGCAGATGAAAATCAGCATTTTTATTTCTGTAGATAAGCTCAATGCAACATTCAAGACCAATTTCATCTCATTTTCCTCAAAGTTTAGACTTTTGAGTCAGACACCAATACTTGGACTTGAGCTGATATCGGTGTTTAACTAATAAGCTAAATTCTGCCTGAAAATTGCTGTTTTGTTTTGTTCTTTTACATAATTTTGTTTCACCTTGAGTAGCAACAGTCAGGTTTGAAGGAGATTTTTAATATTAGGTTAAAAAAAAAAGTATTAGTATTCTCTCTCTCTCTCTCTCTTTAGGGGACCAGTTTAATGACCTGGCCCAGTGGATCCAGAAGGACAATGAAACAGGGATCTATTATGAGACATGGTCCGTTCATTCAGACCCCGGCCTGAACGCCACGGTGTGGTTTGAGTCGTACGACTGCTCACAGTTTGTCCACCGCACATACAAAAAACTGACTGAGTTGGGAGCAAAGCTGTCCAGCAGGTCCCAGACTAACTACACAAAGATCTACCTGTACAGCGGAGAGCCCACCTACCTGGGCAACGACAGCGCCATATTCGGCCAGCCTGCCCTGAAGAATCTGGCCGAGGACATTCGCGGTTTTTACCACACATTCAGACCACACCAGTCGTTTACAGACTTTGCTATCAGCTTGTTGGAGGCGTATAAGAAGACTGAACGAAAGAGCATGTGCCTGTTTAAAGAAACTCATTTAGATTAAATCATTGCTGGATGACCACCGATGGGTTTTAAGATTGTGTTTTCATCAAGAATTAATTATTTTTGATTATTTACTTTTGAGTCAGACACCAATACTTGGACTTGAGCTGATATCGGTGTTTAACTAATAAGCTAAATTCTGCACTCGATGAAAGAGCCTTTTGATCACTATTTTGGATTTAACAATTTGAAACACCAGCTCTAAATCATTGCAGTAACCACTTACAACTTTTTGTTTTTTTAACTAGCTGTTTTGGTAAAATGAGCCTGAAATACTGAGTCCAAATAACCAATACATGAACTAGTCATGATTGGTGCATCTCTAATAAGTGTGTTTTGTTTTTCTTTTATTGTTATCTCTGTGCCAAAGACATCAATTCTAAACTTCCAGAGTAGCCAGAGCTGAGGACTGAAGGACCTCCAACCAGGACCACCTGATTTGTGCGTTTTTTTTTACAGTCTGTTGAGTAGCCTGGTAAAATAGATACTGAATGAAAGAGCATGTGCCTGTTTAAAGAAACTCATTTAGATTAAATCATTGCTGGATGACCACCGATGGGTTTTAAGATTGTGTTTTACATAATTTGTTCTTTTGCCCCCCTCATAGATTGTTTACTTGCTCTCAGCCAGCCCACTGAGACATTTGTATTACAAATGAAAAAACCCAAACACCTCTGTTTCCAAAATCCAGCACTGCTCCTGGAGAGTCTTCATTTTTATAAGAAATCTGTGAGCAGAAGTTAGAATCAGACTAATCTCAAATAGAAGTATCTGATTGGTGCATCTCTAATAAGTGTGTTTTGTTTTTCTTTTATTGTTATCTCTGTGCCAAAGACATCAATTCTAAAAATAAAAAATGCAAACAGTTGAAAATGTTTGAAGTTTTTTGAAGGTGTAGTGTGTAGAAATGGGAACATTTAATATCTTGCAGATTCTAGATCAAAACGCTTTTTTGCTCAATCAACCCCCCTGCTGGTGAAGATCCTCAACCTCCATGTCAGATATTAGACTCCATTTATCAAGCTCATTTGAGTATTTTTATATTCAGGTAGTTTTACAGTAATTTAAACATTGTAATGAATATTGTACACTCCTACCAAGTTGGTTTTACTTCATGATGCTAAATAAAACACCCTGTACCTTTTAATATACAATTTAAAGGATTAGTCCGAAAAATTCAGTTTACTCTTGACCTTAAACAAATGCTGCATGGTGCTGACATCTTTCAGTCTGCTCATATTTCCCTGCTCATTTCAGGGTTTTTTTGTAATTAATTTTTATTGTTTCAAATTAAAATAAAGATGCAATATTGATCATGTTGATATTGACCATTTTTTCCCGGCTGACATTCTCAGACATGATGTTTTTACAAACTTGTTTTCACTGTTTTTCCACAATTTTACTGTCTAGTTTTTTGGGGGTGTTTTCAGAATTTTTGTAGATTAAAAGAAAAGACAAACACGAGTAGTACATTCACAAGTTTTTATTACCAGTATGAGATCACATGTCCAAACCAATAACTTTAATTTCAGGACAGGTGACCAGCAGTAAAGCAAAGAAGACAGAGCATTTACCATACAGGAGTAAAACTAAAGGACAGCGGTATCAACACCAGTGTAATCCTAATCAAAGTTACTCTCTGAGGTTAAGATAGCTGTAGTTAAGTTTCTTTCAAGAAGAGCCAATAAAGACAGGAAAATGATTAAATCCAGAAGAGTATTATTGAGACACAACCTTCACTTTAGAGCTGCTTCTTCCACAGCACTGCACAAATGATGAAAAAGAATCAGGAGATATGTTATGGTACCACTGAGATGCTAATGTACATGAGCACAGACAATCAGCACAGGTATCTAATTCAGTGAAAACAGACCGATAACATCAACAGGCATTTTTAGTTATGTTCATTTAGACTCGAGGGTTTGCGATCAAGATGACTGTGTCCGTTTAATCTGATGAGACTGCCTGAGTGAAATGTTCAGTGTGATGGAAATTAAAAAGAAGTGAAGGCTGAGAGAAGAAAATAAATCAGGGTGGTTCTCAGATCATGTTGACACGCGGTGTTGTCAAAAAGTTTTTCCATAACACTTCTTAAAGATTCGAATGCTTGCCAATGTGCAACCAAGTGCATGTCATGTAATCAGTTCTTGTGATATGGGGGCATTTAAGAGCCTTGTAAGTAAAAGAAATCTTATCAAAAACAGGTCCGATTTGTAAACTTACAGATTTAAATTAAAATATTCTCTTGAACTTTAATCTCAAATGGACACAACAGCGTAAAATGATTTCTTGTCGTAGAATCACTTCACTTCAGTATGATTGTTCGAGCAAATTCTTGTCAAACTTTTGTTAAACTTGTACATTTAATCTTGAATTCAAATCTCTAAATGTGCTCGATTAAAGTTTTGGCTCAAAAATTCTGAATAGTTAAATGTCCTCTGATGCAGAATTGAATTATGTTATGACGTTAATCAGTCGAATTTATATCTCATGACTGTTTAGAGGAAATGATCCAGGAAAGGGAACATTAACTCTCTTTTGTACAGAATCAAACCAAAGCTATGATTCCCTCACTTGAATGTCAATTTTAGTTTTCCTGTTTGTTTGTTTTTGGGACCGGGGGTTAAAATCATTGTTAAAATCACTCTTAAAAAGACTTTTGGACAACCTGCATGCGTCAAAACCTTGAGTCACAGATGTAGATCAGAAATGAAGGTGTTGCTGGTAGGCTGCTGGTTATATTGATTGCTTTTTTTGTATGACTGAAAACACAAATTTACAAAAGCAGAATTCATATCAATAAATTACGCTGTTGCTATCTTCTCTAGCGACTACAGTATGAAAAAGATCCATCTAGTAAAGGAGAACTCGCACTCTGGTTTTATAAAAGACACGAGCTGTTGGTTAAGGAAACTTCAAACCCCGACAGAGGGCGAAATAAAGAAATAAGTACATTTCTATTCATAATAATCAAACACACAGCGTTTTATATACAGATGCATTTGACTTCCTTATTAAAGGAAAAAAAGTTTGTTTCACTCATCTGACTTGCCAAATCTCTTTCGACTGAAATGGATGGATTTCTGTGTTGGACAGAAGAACTCGCAATAACTGTAGAGACGAGGTTTCGAATGATGAGATGAACACTGCCTCCTCTGCTGTGCGCACAAAAGTGGTGACATGATACAGAGTAAATGTGGACTAATACGAGTGGGAGGGCAGATATTCACAAGAGGTTTTAGAGCTTTAACAGGCAAATAGCAGAAGATAAAAATGAAACCTATTCAGGGAAATATATAATGCAACTGAGACACACAAACAGTTAGTTTTGCTTTTCCCAGAGTGCACTGCAAGCTGCAGGGACTAGATTACAGAATAATTACAACGTAATCTGTATTTAAAGGTCTGGGAACTCACCAATATCTACCTCCAAATTCAGACAAATCTGTGCACTATATCTATATTTACATCAATGATCAAATCTGTTCTATTAGTTATTCATCTTTATCAATTCAATAGACTGTCCCAGGAATCTGATTGAGCGTTTTCCTGGTAAATAATTATCAATAAAATCTGAGTCCAACTTTAGTAAATCATGGCAGAAGGACTTTAGTTTTCCTGACTATCATTTGGTTTTCCATCTAAGGTGCTTTGAAAATCTCTGACTGTACAAAACGGAGAAATCTATTCGTAGAGCCAATATGATTTGTGATGCCGGACACAAAAACAAAAAAAAATGGCGAAAAATAAAAATCCATGACATCAATCAACACTGTACACCTTCACATCACAAAGATAGAGACCTATATACACGTGTCTGTTTCTATCCTCGGCTGACTTCCGACATTTTCAACATTTCTCTCTCCTCAAAGCGTGACAGAGCTCTCGTCAAACACCGCTGCTTCTCTTTCTTTCTTAAATACGTTTTGAAGGTTGGTGTGGGACCCTGCCGCTCCTCTGCACGTTTAAAACCGCCCCCAACCCTCCTTTTATCTTCAGCTGACAAACACAGCCGGTCGCATACACTATGTACAAAAAAAGCCGTGTGGAAACCTCCGATGCTGAATATTGTTAGAGTGCAGAGCTGCTATCTGAATTGAAGGAGGCTGAGTGGTAGTGTAACAACATGCGATTGTGCATCTAATCTTCCCCAATTTCTCCACGACATTACAAAACACTAGAACACGCATACCTACACACACACTCACGCACACACACATTCATTCACTCCTCATATTATAGAATATCATACCCAGGCTACGATGTCCATATTACTCAATTTGCAGTTATAAAACATTGCTTTTTTTTTTTTTTAGTCGTATATTCCCCCTGGACTGCTCGCTCGCTTCGCTGGCTGTTTATTAGCTGAAGAAGCCGGCGTGGCGAGTTCCGTCTCCACATAAAGCAAAGCAGGATTCCACAGTCCGTGTTGAAGCTAACAGGCAGAGATTTTTTTTTGTGGTGTTTACACGACATGTTCACATTGTGTAGCAGTCAGGCGCCACAACTACATCCCTCTCTGTCTCTACGCCCCCTCGCAGGAGTTCAGCACGTTTGAGCTCTCCCAGTTGGCACCGAATATGAACACTACAGCTCAGCGTTTAAAGGCTTTTTGACGCAAAAAGAAAAACAAACACAAACGGTCCACACCACAAATTGAAACTCTCGTGCGCCTCTTTGGCTTCTCTTTACCAGGTGGGCATCATGTCAGGGAACCACACCCGACCCAGGTGCTTCGAGACCTCCCAGTGGATCTCATCCAGGGTGTATTTGTGGTCAGGGATCAGCACCTCCTCCATGATAGACAGCTGGGAAAGCCTCCGGCCGCACATCTTGACGAACTCCACGAACGCGCTGCAGGAGACCTCGCACTCTCCCAGCCCGATGGCCGACAGCTGGGTACAGTGCTTGGCGATGCGGATCAGCTCCTCATCCAGAGGGCGCAGGCCGTTGGCGCACACCACCAGCTCCACCAGACGAGGGCAGTGGAGCCCCACGCGGCCTAAGACCTCCTTACTGACCGAGCGGCCGAAGTAGAGATGAGTGACGGGGATCTCCTCGTTGAAGAAAGGGCCGAACTCGTCCTCGTACAGGAAGAAGTACATGACCAAGTTGAATTTCGGAGAGTGCCGCACCATGGCGTCCCAGCTGCTCTTTTTGATGGTGTGGAAGTGCTGGCCGGGGTTCTCGCTCACCACGTCGATCCTCAAGTGCTCCAGGTGGACGTGTTTCTCCGAGGAGAGGGCCAGCAGCAGTTCATCGCTCAGGAGGTGGTAGTTGAGAGCCAGCTCTCTCAGCCCATGACACTGATCAGCCACACACAGGATCCCTGCGAAAAACAGAGATGGATTTTTAAATACCTCGCCATGAAATTCAGCTGGGTTTCTTTTCTTGAATAAGCAAACTGTTCCTGAGATGTGGCGATTAACAAGGAGAAAAAAAATAACCCTTCTCAGCTATAAAAAGCACTTTTATACGAGCCAGACAAATTGTGGTCAAATCAGCAGTCAATATCAAAGCCAAACTCAAAAAACAGTTCCAGGAAAAAGCATGAGAGATGGAGAAGTGGATAACCACGCAACAGCTCATTTAGAACGTGTCCTGCAAACGTTTAATTACACACTCAGAATAACTTTGTAACTCAAACCAGAAATCAAAAACACTGGAATGAAACTGAAACACGGGCAGGGCTCGAAAATATTCACCCCTGGATATCATCCAACAGCAGCAGCAGCAGCAGTAGTATTAAATAAACAAACCGACGTGACAAGGCGGCTTCTGTGAATGGAGGGACTGAAATGTTGACAGAGGGCTTCTGTACCTGCAGGAGACACGTGAGGGCAGCTGCTCATCTTCAGCAGTTTGAGGGTGTCGCTGTTGTTGGCCACCAACACCTTTAATGAGGGATCGTCCACGGGCGTGTCGTCGATCTTCAGAGAAGAAAGCGATTTGGAGTTGACAAAGACCACAGTCAGGGCTGAGATGAAGTGAGACTGTAGGAAAAAGAAAGACACAATGAATGATAGTATTGTCTGAGACGCTCAGCTGCTCTCAGCACAAACAGACTGGCACCAGTGGTTTCAGTTTTTACGAGTGACTCAGGATCAGTATGACGAAGTTTATCTGTAATCAACATGCTATGAAATGAAATAAGTGCGTGAATAATTCTGAAGGTTTATTTTTGAATTTGTTTTGACCACACAAACTTTTACAAGTTTATGATCTAAACCAGTCCTCAAGGTCCACTGTCCTGCATGTTTTGGATGTTTCCCTGCTCCAACACACCTGATTCAAATGATCAGCTCGTTATTAAGCCATTACAGAGCTTGATAACGAGCTGATCATTTGAATCAGGTGTGTTGGAGCAGGGAAACATCCAAAACATGCAGGACAGTGGGCCTCGAGGACTAGACTTGAGAACCACTGATCTAAACTGAATTGAGATCTATGAGTGTGACAATCAGATATGTGCCAAAAATTTTAATAAAAAGGTTCAAATGGAGAAGTCTCTGCCTCCTGAAATTTTAGTGATAACTGCAAATGTGACAGCATTTACTCGGGGGCTCATAGTCTCATTATGAAGTACAGGATTGATTAGGGCTGGGCGATAAACTGAAAATTTACAGATACCAAAACTTACACAATTACCGACATCATCTTACCCATGTCAATATATTTGGTGTCAAAATAATAGCCCTAGGATTGATGACTGGATTTCAACTTGCTAGCAGTGTACGGTGATAAACCTGCTTCTAGAAAAGTCTGGCTTAGTATCACTACATTTCTTGAACAGATGGAGAAACCTACGAGTCATTTAGATATGAAATATAGTAAAAAAAAACTAAATCAAATACGAGGCTTTTGTCTCTTTTTGCCTACAGCTCTTCTCTTTGATTATCATTCGCACACAAAAGAACAAAACAATGGAGAAATTTAGTTGAGTATTTTGGAAGAGGTCAAGGATCAGAAAGATCCCATGAATCCCTGCAACCAAAGCATGCAAAAGAAGAATGTCGGCATTGAGTTTGTCAATAAAAGGGGAAAGTGACAGATAGTGGCAGACGTGCAAATGTCCTTCAGGATTCTACTGTCTCTAAAGACAACATATAAAAAAACAAGGAGGCTAGACATGTGATTAGGGGTTTTGGGTTTCCGTTTACATCCCCAAGTGTCCCATACACTGAACTCCCCTGACAGTATAATCATATAATCGTCATGAGTTCATATCAAGGATCTGAGAGACAAAACGAAGAGGAGCTAAAATAACATCCTGCGCCCTGAAGCCTTGGAAGTAATTACATCCTTGTCCTTGGCTGTGCACAAGAACAAACACTGCTGCTTTCAGCCTCACACTCAGATAAGACATTTTTTTTAAAGAGAAGACATCCCTTCAACAGATTTAACTTGCTAACTCTACAACACGACTATATAAAAGGCATAAGACGGAGCGCTACCGCAGGTCATTCCTCCCTTCTGCAATAAGACTTTACAACAAACTGTAACAAAACTGGACTCACACCTGTATCTATTTAATAATCAACATTCATGTACAGCTACTTAACCATGACCATCCTGATACCTCATCATCATCTGTTTTTCATCTCCTTATTCATTCATTCATCCAGTACTTAAATTGTCTATATTGTATATAGTCTTATTTTCTTCTCCCTTTTTCCTTTTTTAAATTTTTTCTTAATTGTAACATTTAAGTTCTTAATATCACCATCTTTCTTTTTATAACGGCATTTTTGCACTTTGTCTGTGTTGCTGCTGTGGCAAAAAAAATTCCCCCATGAGGGAACAATAAAGGAATATTCTATTCTAAATACAATTGGCCATTAGACAACAGCTGTGATTCCCCCTCAGATCCATCTCTTTGGTAACGTTAGCTTTACCTTTGGAACCTCCATGAAACTAGGCCTGGCTGTGGAGATGAGCCCCAAGGTCTTCAATGAGCAGTTCACTAGCTGAGACAGAATGTCACATGCTGCCTCTGCAGACTCTGTACTGCTGTCAACCTGCCAATACAAAACAAAGTTTAGTTGAGGAAAGAGGAAAATTAATATGATGGTCCTCAAAGAAGTCAGAGCACTGACTCATTGATGAACAAAAGCATCATGCCATGGTTTCTATCCGTACCTTAAAGCTGACATACTGCAAGTGGTTGGAGTGCCTCTTAATGATCTGCTTGATGAGATCTGGATGTGTGGCTTTCAGGTAAGAGCTGGCGGGCTGGTTCAGCTCAAACTCAAAGCACCTCCACAGCTCGGGCATGTGGAACGCCTGGTTCCAGCCGCGGCACACCTGAGAGGCATAAGCTCGGTCCAGCAGTGGGAGATACTGGAAGATGTGGAGCAGGAGCTCCTGAGGCAGTCTGGCCCAGTCGCCGTCTGCGGACTGACTGGCCTCGACCAAAGCCTCTGACTCCTCGCTCATCTGCTTGCGAACCTTCTTGCGGGCTTCCGGTGGACTCTTACTGGAGGAGCCGTTGCTGCCCTCCTCTCCTCCTTTCACCCTCTTCATCCTGAGAAATAGAGATAGCGAGCTTGTATTGACGCTTCAACGACAAAGCAGACAACATTACCATTTTCTACAGGGTTATGAATCAACTGAACTAAATCCATCAGGTGTCCAAGGACAAATTCCCCTATTCTTGTAGGCATCCTGGGAGTAATAGTGACTTACATACACATTCCTACTTTTCAGAATAGATATCACTTATTCAGCCTGGGGATATGAGTAACTTGACTGATTCAAACCTATCTATGCCTAAAAACACATTCTTTTCTTGAGCCTTGCAAAACCTGACAACTGCACTTAAAATACTTATACTGTGGTAAAATTAGTAACTCACCAATTACAAATTTCAGGCAGAAAAAAAGGTGCCTCTGTTCATCCAGACAAGGTAGCACAGTGATACCATATGTGGCATGAACTAGTGGCTAACTTCAGATAATCCCACTCAGGTACAGACTTCTCAGTCCTTGTTTACTCTGAATGAACGGACATATGAAATCTCTTTTAAGGACCAAGATGAGTCAAGAGGCAAGTACCAACAAATGCCAGCAACCTGAATCGTGATTGCACAGATGATGGCAAGCATACATGACACACCGTGACTAGAAACCCAAACAGGCTCATTCGTCTCATTGAAATGGTATTACTTGATCTGGTAACCAGTAAAATATGTACAGGGCAAAAGAAAAATGTACCACAGCATGGCAAATTCAATTCACAATATGATCGTACAAATACTGTTTAACGAGTGCATGTTGGTTGTATGTTAATGAGTTAGCAGAGTATTTACCATTTTAGAGTAAAACATGATCAAATATGGAGAACTGAACTTTTAAAATTTGTTGATTTGTTAAAAGTTGTTGTCTTTTTCATCGCACAAGAGGCAAACGAAAACAAACCTATACACCCTAGCATGGCACATCATGACTGAAGATGTAAACAAGATTCTTTATCTTCAAAATTCATCGTTTTAACTATAATCATAGTCATAAATTACATAATTAATCAGCAAGATGACCTTTCTATTGTTAGAGTATTAAAATCTGCATTCGGCCAACTAATTTGGCTGATTGATGGCATTTTGAAAGGCCATCTTTACTGACTTTTGTTAACTAAAAAGTCTGTCCTGATGTACTCGTAGGATAATGCAGTTCAATGCCACTTCAGATGTAAACATTAGTCATGAGCTACAAATCACAGCATAACGCAAGAGTGTAATACAAACACAGAAGAATGAATATCTAATTATTTTGATTTGTTTTTGTATTTTCTCAGTTTTAATGATTTAAGTTGGCAAGTTTTTTATATTGAGCCAACGCCAAAGAAGGCTAATAGTTATATTATGTTCATTCAAATTCAGCAGTTTTGTTTTGTTTGTTAATGTGAATGATACATTGTAGAAAAATAAATAAAATCAATATGATATTGGTATTACATATCAGCTACTGGCCTCTTAATATCAGCATCAGCAGTTGAAAAACTAATATCAGATCATCTGTATTAGAAATTCATGGTAGTACAAGACGGTTTGGTGTATTTGTTAAATTAATAATAGGGCATATTTAACGCCACTCTTCTAACAAATCTGAGTATATATTGTATAATCAGGTTTGTTTGGATTAAGTTGTATTCTTCTGTTCACTTATTCAATTAAAAATCTCTACATTTAACAAATCACCTTAAAACTTCGCATTAAAACACCTAAACTTTATCTGCTTGAACAAGTGGCCCTTCCTGCACTTCATTATTACCTGTTATTATGTGTAATCGTTGTTAACATGTGCCCCTCTCTTTCTCTCTCAGATTGGTGTTTACGTGCAGAGGAAATGTTAAACTGTCTCATATGACACTGAAGAAAACAGTCTAGATAAAGTAATATTACTCATTCATGATGATCTCAGCTCTGATGCTGCAGATTTCAGAGGAAATGCTGCTGTTGCGTGATATTACGGTACGCTGCATTAGCCAGAGGCCACGCTTCAGCAGGTACCCGTCAACATATTGATGTTAGACGGAAGCAAAACATTCAAACTCTGTAACTCGCGGAGCTGCGTTTAAGTTCAGGAAAAATGAATGATCTGAATATTTCAACAATCCCTTAAGTTGCCCTAAAACACAGACTGAACTTGCGCAGTACTAACGTGCATTACTGTAGCTTAGTTAGCACGGTTTACGCTAGCTGTAAACACACTAACTATACAACAGCACACTTAATCCTTCACTGGAGCAAACTTAATCTACAGAATGGCTCCAGTCTCATTTCATTGTGACACATTTGTGAGTTTACCTAACTACAACACAACTATCTTACCTTGTTGTTGACACTCAGCTAGCTCTCTGGCTGTTAGCAGGGAAATCCAACTGACTTTGACGCTTCAGCCCGGGCCCGCACTAGAAAAACTCATCCGCATCGGCCGGGTAAAACGCATCTGAACACAAGAACGAAGCCTTGTGGGTGTAAAAAAGAGACGAAGTGAGAGATGTTTTCAATGAAGAAACAGCCAGAGCCTGGCACCTCCGCTTGACTGACCTAATTCCTTCGCGGGAGTTAGAGCCCCCCCTGAAATGGCGAAGTGTTGTTGTGACAGCAGAGGTGCATTGTGGGAGATTGCAATGCGAAATGGCTGGTGTAAAGATCGTCTATGAGGGAGAGATGAGCCAACTGAGAGCTGAAAACGTGAACACAAACACGTACAGAGGTGGCGCCTGGGTTGACTATCCTGAAGGCTGTGTTATTGGGACATTTCCTTCTGCAAACAAACAAATATAGACGCCAAGTCACCAGGTTTCAAATTTGGATTGGCACCTTTCCACTGTTTAACAAATAGTTCACATTTCCCCTTAAATGCCTCTTTTTGGGTTTATGGACTTAAAAATCCTCTCATTTTAGTTCATGTAAATATGAAATGAATGTTCCAAAGTGGAGGCTCAAACCTAAAGATGTAATGAAGGCTTTTATGTGATGCCGTCTTTTCTCTTTTTTCTCTTTTTTCTTTTATCTCTTTTACCTCGATCTTATTTCGACTTGCTATCCTTTTAGCCTTTGTTTTACTTGTAATCTTTTCTTATTTTACCTTTTTAGGTCCTTTATTGATTTAGCTTTTCTGCTCATTTTTATTTAATCATTACTATTACCATCATTATTGTTTTATTATGATTGTATTATTATTATTATTAATATCCTCTTTTATATTTACTATCCTGTTTGCTGCTTTCTGCCCCCCTTTTCTATTACATTTCTTCTTCTTACCTATTTCTTCTTACCTACCTTCTTGTATTGTCAGGGTGTCTTAGGAAAAAAGAAATTGGCCTTCAATTCGGAGGCCTTGTTTTTAACTGAGCTTTTGTTTTGATCTGTTTTCATTTTTATGTGCTGATGTTCTGTGCTTTGCAACTGCTGTCAAAGCACTTTGTAAACTTGTGTTTTTAAAAGTGCTATATAATTATTATTATTATTATTATTATTATTATGAGCCATTTCAGTATGAGGTTTTGATTCTCACTGACTATGAGTTCAGTTTTATTCATAATTGAGTGGCAATTTACAAACATCTAAGTGTCAAGAATTTCCAGTTCACTTTGAGCACCACTTAAAAGTTCTGAACTTCTCCCTGTGCAAAATAAATCATCTGCAAAAAAATAAACTTTTTTTTTTTCTATCTTGGGTGGGTTGGCCTAAATGAAGCACAGACTTTTGAAGAGGTGGCATGAAGCATGCTTTGTATGTGCAAACACTCATTTTATAAGGTTCCCAAAGATCCCCTTCTGTAAAATGTGGAAAATAAAAACTCTACCTATCTACATGTCCTGTTGTCCTACTAATTAATCACCGAAAGTAATAACATAAAACTAGAGTTAACTACTAATAAGCCTGCTGACTGTAATCACATTAAATTAATCTAACATTGTCCATAATTACTCATATCCTAACCCTGTAAACTGAATTAATTTTGTTTCATCATTACATGAGCTGTTGCTGTTGTTTTAATGTTGCTGTTGTCCCCTGTCTCTCTCTCTCTCTCTCACCCTCGTTCTCTACTCTCTCTCCCTTCCTCCCCCTTACCTATTCCCTCTCTCCTTCCCTCTATCTTGTTCTCTTTCTCTCCCCCTGCCCTCTCTCCACTCCCCTCTCTCTCTCTCTCTTTCTTTCTCTCTCTCCCTATCTCTCCGTATTCCTCCCTAACCCAGCAGCGGCCTGGTGGGTGTCTAGCATGAGTCTGGTCCTACCAGGTTTCTGCCTGTTAAAAGGAAGTTTTTCCTTGCCACTGTTACTCATGTTAGATGAGATTGGCCAAATCCCATCTTAAGTTGGGTCCTGATTTATTGATACTAACCTGTCATACACTAGTGTTAGTCAAAATATAAATTTAGAAGCTAGATAAAGTATAACTACAACGGTAAAACTATTTAAAAAATGACTGAAAAGTTAAACTTTCAGTATGAGTGAGACCGTCTGGGTAGCACGTTGGTATGAAGTTTGTAGATGTAAAGGTCATGAGTTTTGCATATGCTACAGTTGACATGGCAAATAAACAAGCACTGCAGCTGTGACCATTTACCATGTCCATGTATCAGACTATGGTTTGAGAAAAGGTTGCAAGAGTGAGGGTGTTCTGGTTTCCTTCCACTCAATTGTGAACTGGGATTTAGAACTACCATCTGTTCTCAAAAGTCGATAAATCCAACTAAGAGAGAACTGTCAGGCAGTGCATTGGTAATATAACGCTGCTAACTAAGACTGACATTTAAGATTTGATCAAGCCTTTGCAGTAGTGGAAGGTGTCATTAAAACAGGTGTTTCGTGTCTCAGTGTCTCCTTACTTTTATTTTGATAGGGTGTGTAATGAACAGTGTTGATGAGGAAATGGATTTGAAATTGAAACTTAACTGTATAAGAATCTAAATATACAAAGCAGAGCATTTCTCAATAAAAATGAGCTTTTATTACAGTTAAAAGCAGAAACTGGTAATTAGTTTCGCACTTTGACATCGAAAATAAACTAAAGCTCCTATAAGGAATTTTTGTTTTGTTTTGATTTTGATGCTCCCTGTGGACAAACTCTGATCCTGTCGATGTGACGGTAGTGTCTTCGGTCAAAATTCCAATCCCATCATCTCTTAACAATAAATGTACCACTCAATGTGAGTTGTGAACGGTTACCATGGAAAAAAAATAAGAAAAGGCTGTTTCTTCAGTGTGCTGGTTTGACACCTACTCTCTCACAGCTGTTTTAGACATTAAAAATAACAAAGCAGAAACTGTCAGCCTTGTTATTAACACTATTGTTTGCCATTGAAGGTCATAAAAGAGGCATAAATTTTAATCTCTTTTTCCAACCATTTTAAAACTCTTGCCTTTAATGAGTCACACATTCTGCTCAGCCAAAGTAGTTCTAGATTTGATATTGATAGACACCAGGTTTTGTCTCCAGTATTAAAAAAAACAAAAGGACCAACTGTTATAGTGAAAAGTTCCACATCAATTTCACCACCCATTCAAAAAACAACACAGCGTATACTTTGCGAAACAGAGAACCTGGTTTATTACCATTCAACTCCATCCACCACAGATATTACAGAGCAGATTCACAAGTATTAAGCTTTTTTATATAACAGCAGCTGTTTTTTCAACACTCTGTTTCCCTGACCCCCCCGCCCCCTGCCTCCTACAAGGGAAAAGCATTACAGGTGCACAAATTTTATTTGGTGTGAAGACTGGCCCCCTTCCAATCATTCAGCTGTAATCAGTCCCACTGTGAGGTCTTTTGTTTGTTTGTTTTTGTGTAACTGTAGATTTTGGTACATTTTATCTTGACAGAGCTGCTAACAGGATTTACATCCACCTTCATTCACTGCAGGCGCCAGGCTCCTCCTTCTCATTTCCAGACAACAGAAGAGATCTGACATTTAGAAGAGGGGGAATCACGACTGTCTACTGTATAAAAATGTACAGTGGCTTTATTGACATACATTCCATAGGTTAAACAGCTGCAAAATAGGAGGCACACCCAGTATTGCACTTCATTAAAAGTTCTGGCTCAAAACATAACCCAGAATATCAAACAAAACTGAAGTGAGAGTAGCAACTTCGGAATACAGCTATTTTTGAATAGTATCATTATATACAAGATTAGATAAATCGTACACTATTTTCCTCCCAAACATAATATTCTTAACAGTCTTATTCATCGACTTATCTTTTTTTTGTCCGTCAACCCACGATGCACTTGACAGTGGAGAATACTGTACAAGATTACGAAAAAAGTTTACATACAACAATATTTTAAATTTATAGTTAGGAAGCTGGAAATACGGCCTGTTCCTTTTTTTTTTTTAAACCCACTGATCCATGTTTGCCTTAGAGCAAATTTATTTCATATTCAAAGTTACACTTCAGTGATCAGGAGGTGTGCAACGTCTATAGAAGCCGAGGGAATACAACGGCCGCATGCAAACACGTCACAAGTTATTTTCTTTTTTCATCTTTTTAAATTTCTATTGTTCTTTTTTTTCCGTTCAGGTCACTCTGCGTCCATAAGGAGCCACAGCTCGTGTTCGCCACAGCCTGGATACTGATGTTGGTAGAAGAGCAGACCTGAGGACTCTTGGCGTGAGAGCAGAAACCCGGTCCAGTGTCCAGGAAACTTGACGAATGCAAGAGCCAAGCTTCACGGCCGAGCTTCAGCTGCAGCCAGAAATCACAGTAGACAAACTGGTTTTCAGTTAAAGTCTTTGTTTCGTTTAGAAGGTGTGGGCGTTTCTGCACACTCCGCAGCCCAGTGCAAACTCCTCCCCTGTTGGCGGGTGAACCACATGCAGAGGGCACTCAGTTCCCTCCAGCTGCTTGCCTTTGGGCCCTGTGGTAGTAAAAAAAAGGATAACATCTCACTAAAGTGGTTTGTTCAGGAAGAGATGCGCACTGTGTGTGTGATTTCACATTTTCCAGAGTGAACGGTCAACATAATCATTAAGTACCTGCAGGACAATGGGGCAGTTCCTCCTTCGGGACGCTGGTCATCCTCTGGAAGTCATCATGGCAGGCGTTACAGAAGTGTGTGGTGCCAAAGCAGAAGAAAACAGCCACAGAACAGCAGTACCGGCATTTATACTCCAGGAAATCTGTGCCATGCTTAGAGCACATCTGGTGGAACAAAAACAAGGGCGAAAGGAGGTGTTGGATTTCTATTTTTGCACAGAGGAGTAGCTTTCACAAAAGGAACAGACAAAAAAAAGTGTGTAATAAGTTTTTTTCTTTCTGGAACAGAAATCAGTACTAGTTCATTCAAAGCAGTCTGAGTCGTATTGACATTAAAGCAGAAGTTAATATAAAAATCTAAGTATGGGTATTCAAAGAGTGACGTCAATCCTTCAATCTTTCATTTCAACCTGCAGCAACAAAGTTCAAACATGTAAAAACTTTCTTTAAAGTTTCCACAGTAAAGCCCAGACCTTTTCAGACATCCTTCACCCACCTGTGCCCTCGAGACATCTGAGCATGCTCCACAGATCAGCTCACTGGGGTCGTAGTCATCTCCCTGTCCTGCCTCAGCATCACAGCGAGCCTCTCCCCCAAAGTAAGCCTAAAAACAAGAGAGGGCATTACCTCTGAGCACCTGAACACCACTCCATTTCACGAACAACCTCAATTTGTTACTGTACCTTCTTGCACTTGTAGCAAACATAGTATGCATATCTGTTCATGGCAAAGCCTGCAGGGTCGTTATGGAAACGTGCGCCTGGAGTAGTGATCGCCTCACTCTTGTGCAGACCTTCATACTCCAGCCTCATCAGAGCCTTTCTCCTCACATCCTCATACAGGTCCTTGATGGGGTCCAGCAGGTCCTTGATCACCGAATGATTGATTTTGTTCTGTAGGAAAATAATAAAAGAAACCGCCTGTCTTTAACACAAGAAGGTAGATCTGCTGAGTTTGACTGTGTGCGTGTCAAACGAACGTCACAGAAATGAGCATGAACAAAGCATCCAGAAAACGTCTCAGCTGGCTGAGCTTCTGCAAACTGATCTCAATCAACTTCGGGGAGTGGTGGAAAAGATTTGAATCTCTTTGTTGTCTCTCGGTCACTTTGGTCAGAGCGGCTCAGGTAACAGCTTACCTTACAAATGGGACACAACATGAACCCAAATGTAATTCTGGGCCCGAGCCAGCGGTTTTCAAGCACCCGACGAGTACACTGAAGGTGGAACACATGAGTGCAGTCCAGCTGAGAACAGAGACAGAGTCACAACATTAAAAGAGGAAACAGATGAGAAGTCTTCCGGCTAATGAAACGCAAACACTTGTATTTATAGTAACCTGGACTGCAGGAGCAGCAGAGAGAGCCTCGGTGAAGCAGATCATGCACATGTCATCTGCATCCTGTTTCAGACAGCCGGTGTTTTTGTCACAGCCGTGCAGACACGGGAGGCAGGTCTCCTCGTTCTTCACTCCTCCACAGGGGTGTCCACAGGGATGAGTTTTACTGCAGGCAAGTTTGGCGTACTCCTACAGCAGGAATCATGAGAGGGATTGACAACAGTTAGTGAGTTCAAAACTTGTACAACACAAACTTAACTATGCCACTTCAGATCGCTCAGTATGTATCTTGTGTAGTTATTAACTTGACTCTGAAGTACGTAACTTTAACTAAGATGCGCTCCACAAACTAGTTCTTTTGGAAGAATCTAGTAAGGAGTGTCAAGTCCACACTAAACCACACACTTAAACTAGTTAAGCTGTGACTTGATGTGAGGTTCATCTTACCTAGTGGACTGCAACGTCCAAACTAACCAAAATATCGTCACAGATATAATGTTTACACTTCCAGGAGCCAATGAGAAAAGCTTTTCTCCTTATAAACTTGACAGACGTAATGACTGATAATGTGTTTAATGGTTATCTTAAGTACCTGACAGTCTGGGTCTGAGCAGACGCTGCCCACTGCAGAGAGCTCAGTTCCATTCCTCGTACCACAGAACCTGCAGGCGTCTGAGCTGCTGGATGCTGGTTTACCTGATAGAATAATGGAGTAGAGTCAGCATGCATGGAAGAGAGTCATGACACTGACTTTGAAGTAAGTGCGATTCAAGACTTTGCTTAAGGTTGTGACAAAGTTCCTTTTAATTAAACATGGAGCGTGATTTGTTACCTGTGTGCTCTCTGAACTCCACCATGGCCTTCATCGTCTTAGAATCTGCCAGAGCCATGAGCCAGAAGAGCTTAGTCCTCCCGCAGCCTTCATGGAGATCAACCTTTATGGCCTCCTCTTCTTCTTTAAACACCTGAAAACAGCCAATAACGCACAATTTCAAGTCTACAAATTTCACCTCATTTGAAGTTTATAAATCACAACATATTATTGGAGGGAAAGTCATGAGAGAAGATGCTACGTCAACCAAGACTAACCTGTCGCTGGTGGGAGCGTGTGCGTCGGTGCAGGTGGAGGAAGCGGTCGCAGTCTGTGCAGAGGTTACCGCACATGTTACACAAGATGATGGCTGCTGTCTCGCCGTCGTCGTGGTTGTCACACATGGGCTGAGGGTGAAAATATTTGTTAGTCGTGTTTATTTACAATTTGTATCAAACTGTGGATATCTCTTCTTTTCAACTGCTCTCACCATCTGCTTTTGCTGTCCATCTTTGCCCATCCAGCGACCAGAGGACAGCCTGTCGACATGGTCCTGATCCAGCACGCACAAGGAGGCGAGGGCCAGCCACAGCTAAAAAAACAGAGACAGATTTAATGCTAACTGATTACCAGCACCTCTAAAGTCATTGTGATTGACGCTGTCTGACATCTTACCCTAGTGGTAGCGATACAGCGGACGGGAGACCGATGCTCCTCCTCCATTTTGGTCAGGGCTATGATCGTCTCAGCAATGGCGTTTTTGGTGACTCTAGACCAAGCATCTGAAAGGTGACCCTGAAAAACAGCCAAAACAAATCTCTTGGGTACTTTTTCAAGTAAAGGCAAATTTGGTTTCATGTCTAATTCAGCTTGTAAAGGTTTCTAAAGAAAGACGGAAACTTACAGCTGCCATGTCTTTCACTAGCTTTATGATGATCTCTGCTATCTGAGGAGGAGTAGAGCCTTTCATCCACCAGTGGCTTTCACCTCTGCGAATGTAGCTAAGAATCAGAGTGAAGTATGTCAACAAATCAAACAACACTTATGTTTAATCTTTGAAAATCTCTTCATATCTACAATATATGGCTCACCTGGAGTTAAAGATCATGGGCAGAGTGACAGTTGTGACTCCTTTTCCTGCAGTCATGCCGGCCGTGCCAGAGATGGTGGTGCCTTTGGCTTTAAGCTGCACGGTGAGGGCTTTGGCGATGCAGCCCAAGAACATGTCCAGGATGCAGAGTTTGTTCCAGTCGCCCTTTTCTGTGGAGTGGATGATGTCGCTGATGTCTGCTGGTGGGAGGGCCTTGACTCCGATGATGCTGGCGAGACGCACTGGCGTGACCTCGGGGAGGACTCGTCTGAGCAAAGATGTGACCTGAAAGGAGGTGAGAAAACCAGAATGAACGACCAAAAACGGACTTCAAAAACGATTCGATATTCTATTCTATCTATTTAATAAAAAACAGTAGATATAATTTTAAAAGTTTGTATGTATTGATTTTAAATATCACTGCATGTGTGAAAAGACGATGAATGAAAAAGCGACCATGGAAAACACTCACATGACAAACTAGGCATCATTTACATGGATATCTTTGTTATTCAGAGATGTCAACAACATATGTCATCATCTACTATAGAGCAGTATCACATAGATGTCAACTATCAAGTTCTTATAGAAGTCAAAGGGAACTCCTCTTCCCACAATAGAGCAAACAGCTTTATTTTGTTGAGAAATGGTTCTTGTGTCTAATCATTGTTTTGTTTGCAGGAGACTTCTGCAGTCAACTCCAAACAGATTCTGTGTTGTGCGTGTGCCTCCTTCGCCCACCTGTCTCTGTACTCTCGGGGAAGCCGTGTGCAGAAGCGAAAACAGGTCTTGCATAAGCGTGAGCTGCTGAGCGAGGTACTGGCGGCCCACGTTGGAGCCGCTCAGAGCCAGAACCATGGAGAGAAGCTCGAAGCAGTAGGCGTCTGAGGAGGCGTCGTCGTCGCTGGGCTGGGAGTTTGCGTTCTCTTTGCTGGAGATGGCGTGCTCCCACTCCTCCCTCACCCGTGTAGCCTCCATGCGGATTGCCTGGACGATGTGAGCACACACCTGGAACCAAAAAACAAGCAAGTTGAAGGGATGGGAGCGTAAGACTTAACCCTGCAAAATGGACTGAGGGGCTTAATGCTTACCTGTTTTTGGAGGTTGGTCAGTTTGCTTCTGCTGAAAATGATTCCCACCATGTGCTCTTTGAGGTCTGCATCAGATGGCGCCTGTCAAAAAAAAGAAACATACAAAGAGGGAAAGATTAGGTTAAAGATCATTTCATATTTGGCTTATTTGTCAGGTTGTCAAATTGCAGACCTTGTCCTCTCCCTCAGGTGATGAAAGCAGATTTTTCTCCTCCTGCTCTGGAGTCGGCTCCGCATCTCCACAGATAAGTTTTCCAAAGACCTAGAAGTTCACAAGAAGTCAGTAAACTAGGACTTAAAATTGGAAAACATACAAGTATCCTACAAAGAGTACTACAAGGTTAAAGGATATGAATAAAAGGAACCTGTGAAGTGATGAGGCGAAACACTCGGAGAGTCTCTGCCTCACAGTTCTTCTGCTGGGCCATGCTGGCTGAGATCTGCCCGAGAATCTTGATGCTCTCCCCCTCTTTCCAGCCGAGGACCTTCACCTGGCGTACCCTCAGAGTGTTTTCTGGACCCTTTAATTCCACTTTGATCACATGATGATCCCCTCCAGGAAGCTCACTGGTCACCCAGCCCATGTGACGTGAATCAAGGTCAACCTTGGATAAAAAAAGGGTATTCTCAGTATTCTGCCACATGTGCGTGTAAACTGCTGAGTCAGATCTGCTAACCTTGCAAAAGCAGCCCTCTAATTTACACTGTCTTCTCGTATATTAAAAAGACTCAAAATGATTCAGAGAAGAAACAGGGAAAATCGACAATATGCAGAGCTCTTAACGAGAGAAGACAACATAGAGACTGAAAATGACTTGGATGTAAGAGAAGAAGATTTGATTAAACTTAATATTGAGCTTACGCAGCAACACTGTCACACTATCAGTTTCAGTACCTTCAAAAAACTGCTGTGCATATGAAAAAGAAGTGCTGAGTTAAATAGTGTTTATCTGGCTCCCTTCTGTGGGTGAGTTTTCAGTCAAAAAGAAAAGAGAGCCACATGCAATCCCAAGCACATCTTTTGAAAATCCATAACCACAGTTGGAGACGTCTATAAAAGTCAGCATCACTCTTTTAAAAGAGACTCCAGTCATCAATGTTCTTCACCCACTTCCCTAATAAACCCAGAAACACGCAGACAGATGTGCATCTGAGCTCTCTCACCCTCTCATTTGCCCTTTCTTTCAGAAGTTATTCTTAAGTTATTCAAAAAGTAATCAGTGTGTTTTGAGAACTTCAATGTACTTAATTTTGTTGTTATTGTTTCATCATTACATTGACAGCACGCCAATTTTAGAAATCGATAATTTAGGCGTCTCCTCTGAAGCCTTGCAGCATGATTTTAATTAGTGACGGTAAAACCCTACACCCCAGGGAAAGGTGGGGAAGGTTCACAAATTGGATTTCACTCAACTCTTCTCAATAAACATATTTGACTTCAACACAGTTCACCCGAAGCTCCTGTGACAAACTTTCTGTTTGTGTCAAGTTTGTCACCATCTGTGGACTAAGCAGTCTTTGCTTATCTTATCCTCTAAATGCTGATGAGACAGACAAAAAAATATCCTGCTGACCTCTGATGCTCATAGTGGATATTGTGAATATCTAAGTGTGAAAATTGTAAAAACAGTGCTGTTTCTTTAGCTACTCCACTGACACCTACCCTCTCACACCAGTTTCAGCATTAGAAATAAACCGACTGATGGTCTCCTTTGCTTTTGTTTACCATGAGAAGTGTCAGTATGAACTTCAGTCTTTTTTATTACATCAAAAACTCCTTTAAAATCAACTTCATCAGTTTTATTGGTTAAACTACCGTACCTGTTTGATTCTGCAGAGGTCCTCGATTGCTTTCCCACACAGGAAAGTCACTGATGTGACTTTATTCTGTGAATTTAACAGAGGACAAATAATGTCAAAGAAATACTAACTTAACATGAATCCAAAATTTTGTACAAAAACACTAAAAATGACGGTAAAGCCCTGAGGCACCCCCCTTACCCCAATGTCCCTTGAGTTGTCCACATGCACAGACACACTGGAGGCGTTGATTCCTTTCACACAGCTGATGGTGATGCTCTTTGTTTTGTTCTTGTCTTCATCTCCAGATTCCCAGAAGGTCTCAGTGGAGCCGTCTGTGAGGCTGCCAATCATAGCGGGACGACTGGACGTCTTGATGTCCACCACGCTGGTCAGATCTTTCAGGCAGGTCACTAAGCAGAGATCCTGTAATCACACACAATTATGTCAGCTACATTTTGATTTGTGTGGATTGAGAAATAATGTCTCTGATGTTTGTTTGAGTTAGTCAGAGGAAGTTTTCTTGCCTGGCTCATTGCTTCGTAGCCTGACTGCACGCTGATGTTGAAGCTCTCCTCACTGTCTCCATCGTCTGACTTGGACAAGATGTTGTTGATGTGGTGGAAAACGTTGCTCTGGTGGAGGAACTGGTGGTCGGACTGTTTGAACTTCAGACTCCAGCACCTGAATACCAAATCAGAGATGATGATTCTCACAGTTAAAGGCAGTGATAATATCAAACAGTATTGCTTGTTGACTTTTGACTCATTGCATCACTAGATAGTGAACAGATTCTCATGACTCAGGGTTCCTATGCAAATATGGAAAGTATGGAAATAAATTTAATCAATTTTCAGGTCTTAAAAAGTATGGAAAATTAAAAAAGTATGGAAAATATTTATGTTTCCAGACTATTACCACAGTTCTGAAATACTAAAATAGAAAAGTAGATATTTCCGAAAATAATTCTAAAAAGTAGGGTATGGAAAAGTACAGAAATTCCAACTGTGTAGGAACCCTGATGACTCATTTTCTATATTCACTTTGAATTGAGTCTCATTTAAATTCATAACTACTCCCATAGTGAGTTTGCATTTCTATAATGTGAAATCGATCCACCTGAAGTTGTTCACAGTGGATTAGTGTTACTGTTCACTCATTCATCAGTTTTACCTGAGCGCCATCTGCTGAAGTGAGCTCCCACTAGGAAGTGACATCATGAGGTCAGAGATGGTCTGAAGGAGGCGGTGGAAGGTGTGGGGCAGAGGATGAGCAGCCTCCCCGGCGATAACGATGTCTGATAGAGGATGTTCACAAACACCGAGGTCCCTCTCCTGTGCGATAAAGAGGGGGAATCAATCTTTCATTATTAGAAGAACTACAGACCGAACAGAAGTGAGGCCTCATGCTTTGTGAAGCTAAACCGCTCAGTACCTGTTCTACAACTTCTTTGTTCCCCTTGTTCTCATCTTCTTCCTCATCCTCAGGTTCGCAGGGTGACGGAGTGAGAGATGCTACAAAATGCCAAAGGATGTCGTGCAGGGATGTGGTCTGGATCACATTGCATAGAAGCCAGTTGAATGCCTGACAGAGACAAAAAAATATCAAGTTACTCTCCTCATTATAAACATTACTAGAGGTCAGGGTTGGCGCATTAGTTGTGCACACATAATTAACCGACTGGCAGACAACACCCAGCCAGATAATCACTGTGCAAATAGTAACAAGACAGATCTGAGATTGAAAGACATATAAATACCTCCATAGCAAACACCCTGCAGGCCGACTTTCTCAGTGCATGTCTCATGGCCACCTCAAGGCCCTCGAGGTCATGGTGCTGGATAACAAAAGCGAGAACAGGCCACTGGAAGTTCCTCTCCCCTTTACTGAGGGAGCCATGAGCTGAGATCAGCCTGGAGAGCTCAGGAGACGGGTGCCGTAACAGAGAAGATCCCACCTCTGTATGGAAAACAAAGCAGGTTAAAGTTGCACACGGGGATCTCACTTTTCTGGTGAAGTATCTCTTCACTATCATGATATGTCATTACCTGCATCACCACTGTGGACCCTGCGTCTGGGAACAGCTTTGACCCTGGCTGGTGAAGGCGAGTGCTGCTTGTCGTACTCTGACGCGACCACCGAGTAAGACCTCTGGAACACTGTCCGCTTGGCAGTGTCGCTGTCCGTGATTGGACTGGTTTCCAGGCTGAAAGACAGCCAGTAAATGCAAAACCAGACTCTTATTGTTTAGCGCTGTAACGCGATGGCATAAAACCTCCAGAGCAGTAGCAAATCCCCAGAAAGATATACATTTAAAGAATCAACAATGGCTTGAATTCATGTTGATGCGAAGGAGCTGCTGAGAGAAACTTTTTAAACAGCAAAGACAATATAGTCAAGAGCCAAGAAAACTAATTTCACGCCACACTTAATTCACTTATTTTTTAACAAAAACAACTTAATCTGCGCTCAAAGGAGAATGGAGCAGCTTGGCTATGTTGTATTTCATCAGTTGAGGGAGCTGCAATAACAAGGAATAACAATTAAAGCTGTGACGGAGGGCGCACAGGACAGAGTGGGAGTTTGAATTGAGGAAGATATCTGTATGTAAAAGCAATGTAACTGCTCTGGTACTGACATGTGTAGAAAAAAGGGCATGCATTTGCAGCCTGATCTTTTATGGACTCAAAAACTTAATCTGAGGTAAATTTTTCCATCTTTGGAAGAATGAAAGTTTTTTTTAATCATAGTACTAAGAATTATTACCTAGGAGGCATTGATTTCATGTTGCTCTCCGGTTCCTCAAACACATTGGGACAGGCATCGGGGGTCACTGAAATGTACGGTGCAGGAACAGATGTTGAGCGCAAATACCTCATCTCATCCTGAAAGAGGTTTTCATCCTGGTAGGCTCCAAAATTCTCAGTGTGTTGCCTGCGGGATGAGAGAAAGATTTAAATGATTCAGAGTGTTGTTTTCTGTAAAAGACACTCTGTTATTATTCACCCAGTTGTTAGATACCTTGCAAGTGTCTGAAGGTAAAGGCAGCCCATTTTGTTGGGGATTTCGTCCGACACGCCCTCTTTGAGACTGGGAAGCAGCTGGGAGTGTAAGGGCCGTGGAGGGTGGTGGCACAGCATGCTGGGCTCTGCAGCACTGCTGAGGGAGAGCAGGAACAGAGCATTCGCTCGAATCACCTGGTGGGCCTCCATTGTGGGCAGAGCTCTTGGAGTCTTGACCTGCAGGGGCTTCTTTCTGGATTGTTTCACCTTGAAAACAAAAAACAAATCCTGATGAAAAAGAACTCTTTCATGTGAGAGGAACATCATGTGAAGCTGTAAACACAAGCAGCATGTTACCTTCTCCCTGGCTGCAGTCTGTTTCTCTCTCAGGTATTTTTCCCGGCAGCGATCACACACCAGGTACCAGGTGCTGCCTCCGATGCCTCCATCTCCACAGTTTCCAGCCCAGCCACCACAGAAGTGTCCGATACTGTTGTAACCCTGGCCTCCAGCATAGCGACCACAACCTGCAACAGGAATACAAAAGACGGTGTTACAGTAACAAAGTTAATTTAAATTGAACACAATCTGTCAGAGTTAAACAAAAAGTTTTTCTCTTCTCACCTGGGTGAGCCTGTCTCATGTGGTAGGTGACAGGATAAGGGTGAGACTCCCCACACAGCTCACAGATTGTGTCTTTCTCTGGTCCGCCCATGGCGAGTTGTGCCATCTCTCCGAACAGATTCCCCCGTGGGCGCACTTCTGCCTTCTCCCTTTTCTTCTTCTCCTTCTTCGCCTTTTTGCTGTCTTTCTCGTGCTCCTTCTTTTTCAGGATCGCGCTGGAGCCCGGGCTGGGGAAGATCATGTTCTGAGTGGCCGCCTTGATTGTGGCCATGGAAATATCCTCCCAGAACGCCACCAGGTGTTGTAAAGTCAGTGGCAGGATTGACTTAGACCTCATGGAGGGATGAGAAGTCATCTCATAGGAAATGGCGTCTCCTTTCCCGTCCTCGCACTTCTCTGGCAGTGGAGGTTCCTTCAGCATGGACAGCACCTTGTTTTTGTTGATGCTTCCCATTTTGGAGATGTCTGGACCGTGTGGGGCGATGTTGAACATGTTAAGCGCGGAGGAGATCTCCAAGGAGTGGCGGTTCTTTAACTTGCTCTCCTTCTCTTCTGCACCCTGTCCTCCCAGCGAGCTGCGGATTGGGGCGTGCTCTTTGGTTAAGTCTGGGTTGAACTTCAGGAAAGAGGAGCAGGCCATTGCATCATGGACGATGCCTTCATGCCACAGGAATGCTGCAAAGACGGCTCGCGCGCATTCGGCCACAGAGGGCGACATGGCCTGTTTGGCTGGCTCTGTGACCCTTGATGTGCTCTCGCCTTTAAACAGAGGCCCGGATTTGTCTTTTTTAGGGCGTGTGTGTCGACTGGAGGTTTTCCTGCTGACCTTAGGGGAGGAGCGGCTCTCTAGTTCCTCTTTGACGGGGGCTTTGCCGATGCTAAAGTGCACCTTGCATGATCCTTCTTCAGCATTACGGACCTCCACGTTCTCGTCATTGCCCTCCTCGTTGGAGAGAAGCGCACTCGAAGTGCACACCTCCACCACCTCACTGTGCAGATTCTCTTGGGTCACATGTGGAGAAGGAACACGGTTCTCAGCGTTATTGGTGATTCCTTTGTTTGGATCTTTGGGAGACAGTTTAGGTTTTGGAGAAGTAGACCTGCCCCTGAGCGGCTCTGTCAGTGGGACCTTCTTTTTTCTTAGTGTGTCTGGATCCAGAGTGTATGAATCTGACTTGGACCTCTCTCTGGGAGGGTCCAGCCGGGCTTTGGAAGAGGGGCTGACTTTAGGCGGCAGGTTCTTGTCATGGAGAGTTGAGGAGGAGTGCTGGGAAGAGGTACTGGAGGGACTGGACCTGCCTGAGGAGGAAACACTCTTTTGTTTGGGAGAGGAGGAGCGTGAGCCAGGGTTTGGAGACTCAGCACGGAGTCCAGAGGTTCTCCCGTCTGCCTTTAGGGCCTGCAGAGTGTTGTGATTGGGCGAGTGAGAGCGGCTGTGGGAGTCCGATCTCAGTTTGCCAGTGTCTGAGCGCAGGATGAGAGCTTCACTGGCAGAGAGTCCACCTTCCCCTATCTTGACTCTCCCCTGCTCAGATGTGCGGCTTCCTCGGCTCTCTTGTTTGGGCGAGCGATTCTCCTGGCGGTGTTTGGACGCTGGAGACATGGGCCGTGCACCTGGCATCAGGTTACCTCGCTCGCCTGAATGTTAATAATTGAAAAATGAGTACACTACGAAAGAGAACTAAACTAAAAGAGTGGTTAACATGTTTCTACAAAACTCTAGGCACAAAAATTCAGACTTGTGTAAAAAAATGTAATGTTAGAAGAACAGAAAGCAAGATAAAATGAAAAGCAGAAAGACAGGAAAGTCTGGAAAAGATGGTAAATCTTGTAACGCAAAAGAAAATAGTGAGTGATATATTCTTGAATGAGCTCATTTAAATCACTCTGGACATTCAGTTTATTTCAGTGTAGAGAATTAACTCGAAAATAGATGAAGAGAACTGGAGGATCATGGAGGAGCTGATGACAAATGGATGCCAGACCAGGCTCAGGATCTCAGCTACTGATGTTGGATCCAGCCTTGAGTGTTCAAAGTGTTTTAAACTTGTAACTAAGTTTGAAAATAAAGTTTGGCAGCTGTTGAAACCCTCTCAACAGGATTCAAGATTCATCCAAGATTAATTTCAAACTTTAATCCAAAAGCCATGTTTTCATTATGCTCCTGCAGTTTTGATATTGAAGAGTCCACAGCTCTATAACGGCAAACATACAAAATCACAAACACGTGTTTGTTGTGCTTGAGTTCCTTCCCACCCTCTGTTCAGTCTGAGGGGATGCATGCATGCTGTGATTACCCACCCTTTTGCCTGAGAGTGACAGATGAGAGAGCAGTGCCATGCCCAGCCACGGACACACTGCTTTTGTGCACACGCTCACGAGAAGCAAGGCTGCGAGAAGATGAACCATCTACAGCGGAAAACAGTGGAGCAGGTAAACAAACCAGGCATGGAATGCAATAGGGCCGCCACAGAGAGAAAGACAGTCAGCACAGAGAGGCAATGGAGGTCGAGTCAAGAAAGTGAAACAGAGAGAGGAAAAAAGGAGAACATGTAGAGTCATGGACCGACAGAGAAATGGCTACAAATGGATAGAAGACCAGTCAAAGGAAAGTGAGAGATTTCAGAGCCAAGGAGGTGCTGTTTGCGCTCTCAATTACAAATCATTACATTCACCCTCTCCCTTCAAGTAGAAGGCAGTACAATCATTTGGCAAACAATATTTAAAGTAGAAAAGCCTCTTATTTCTAAGGACGGCCACCCTTGGCTAAGTTAAAGCCTGACGTGTCACTGGGTAACTCTCTCCTGCAGCAAATCACACGCCTAAAAAGACGGAGTGTTTTAGTGAAACTGGAGTAATACAAATAAAACAACTTCAGTCGTCATCAGACATGGATGATGATGCGTCAATCAGTTAATGGGGTTTATCAAAGTGTTTATTAGGAAAGTTTATGAAGTCAAGTATTGCTCCACCTTTGTCTCTCATTCCCTAAGTGAACAGATAGGACTGCTTCATTTTTCTTTTTTTGAAATCAGGTGATAATAGTGTTATTGTCAGGTGAAAATGTGGTACTTTGACAGCCATAGTCTGGTTAATCTGGCATATGACAACTCGACTGGACTGATACATAACCAGCACAAGCATATGGATGTTTACCTTCAAGAAGGACTGAAGGCGGGTGGTGCTAGCTCTGCTAATGTTAGCCACAGTTAGCAAACTGATTTGACGTTGTTTACCTGCAAACTCTGTGATCACAGGTTTAATAACTGAATAACGTTTCCTGAATGTATTCTTATTTTTAGACGAGTTGGTTAGTTAGAATTTAAATTTCTTGTCATGCAACAAGGATGACAAGAAATTTAAATCTGCAGCAAGGGGGAAAAGTACAAACTGGATGAGTCTAATACCAAAAAAAATTATACACATTTGTTTTGTGGAAAATTATGAGTTGATTCTACAAAATTATGGACAGATTAGCCCTTTTAAGTTGAAAACACTTTCCGAGGCTCTGTAAGAAACGACAGCAACAAACAAAACAACAACAACAACAAAAGATTAGAGAGTAAGTGGGAATACAGAGAACAAGACTGACAGGGAGAGAAGAGAGCTGTACAGGCTGGAGGAGTTTCAAACATACAGATTTATATTTTAATCCTGTTCTAACTTGGTCTCTTTCATGATTGTACTAAATTTAATCCAACCTAACTAAAAAACACCTTTTATTTGTTCCTTTAATAGAGTTGATATTTCTTAGACTGAAACACCAACAACTATTTGGGCTACTGGCACTGGCTGGTTGAGGCAGAAAATGGCACAAGTTGTTAATCAAGGATGAAAAAAATGCAGATCTGAAGATAAAGCAGCAGAGAAGATGATGAGAAAAACAAAGAAATGCTGATTTTAAAAGAGCAAGCAGAAAATAAGCAGCTTAGCTTATCACTTCAGCGCATGGCATAGGTATAACCTTAACAAGATGTTGAGTCTAGGATTAATGTTTGCACCTTGTTTCTGAGACTAAGTGAAGCTGCCAGTTAGTGCGTAAGAAGGCGGTTTCACTTGATTTGCTCTTTAGGAACAAGATTCAAACGATTAAAAGTAGACATCGTGGCTTGTTAGGTATATTTGCAGATATTTTACATAACTGCGTTGTTATGTGTCAAACGTCACTCCTGCACTCCCAAGAAAATACACAAAAAAAAGACTAAATACAAACAGGAATGTAAAACAAAAAGCTGAAAGGAAAACACCTGTGCAAGCAAGCACTGTCAGAAAGCAGGACAGACTTACTCAGAAGCTGTGGTTGTGGCTGAGACAGTTGGGAGGGGGATTGTCCAAACACAAATGGGCTGTGGACAAGGGAGGAGGAGGAGGGAGGTTGGGCGGCTTGCTCAAATACGGAGGAGGAAGAGGGAGCTGCTGAGAGGAAGGGCCCAGACTGAATGGAATTCAGTATGGCACTCAACCGGTCACCTGCAAACATGGAGACAGAGGATGGGGAAAGACTACAGCTGGTGCTATGGTTTAAGGGGGTCAGGGTCATTCAGAGTTTATTGACTAACAGTCATTCGGTCGTGTGCCAGATGGGAGGAGCTACATTAGCCTACACAGTCCAAGAAGTTAGCCAGCAACTTCCTTTCTGTGAAGACAGGTTGGAAGGATAGACAGTAGGCTGAGAAGAATGAGTCAGATGGACTGATAAACTTAAAGTAAAGACGAGTGTAAATCCTTCCAAACAAAAAAAAAGAGAAGCACCCAACTATCGAACTTTAAACGGTGTTTCTAGTGCGAAAACTGACGAATTTCACCAGAGGGGTTGGCAAAGGAACAGCTCCTTACTTCACTTCTGTGTCAATGTTTGATAAAAACAGACGCCTTATTGTTTTGGTGTCCTTTGCAAATACAAATTAGTATCCACAATGTCATCTGTGGCTCGAGGGTGCAGTGCTACTCTACTACACAAACACAAAACAAGACTCCACAGAAACAGAAATTACACTGTGATCTCTTCCTTCAAGACAAAATATTATGTCTCTGCAACTGATGAACTGGGTCATGAGCTGAAGTAGTTAGATGTACTTCTTGGACCATAGGTTCCTCCCATTTAGCAACTCTGCAGTATTTGGGCAAGAATGTAAAGAGGGGGTGGGGGGGCGGAGAAGAGTCTCTGCCTATTACGTATCAATTTTATAAGACGTGTGTCCACATCAGAAATCGGACATGTCCGTTCCTCCTACACTAAGTTGACACTGACACTGCATCAACCATCACTCAAAAGTCTTCCAACTTCCTGTTTTTCCAATCAGACCCAAAAACCAATCACTGTGTGGTTTTTGAGCTGAAAAAAATCAACCACCACGGCTGCATATTGAAGCCTGAGAAACCTGTCATGAGGCTGCTGACCAACTCGTTTAAACGTCTCAAGCGTCTCAAGCACAGGCTCAGCTGAAAGTGGCGCTGAAAGTTGCTGCCTCAAGCACGACTGTTCCACTGAATAGGTGGTTTAAAAAAGTGTAGATTAAAAACAAGCGAGGCACATTTGGTTTGTGAAAGAAAATGCAACATGAGGCTTTGGAGGAGGTGATGCCAAAAAGAAGGCGTGATATAAAAGGTATGAATTCATCTCCATGTCAGAGGTAAGAGCAGATAGCCACACACACGGGTTCTGAGACCATGTGGAGATAGGTATTTAGCCAAGTATGAAAATGGGATTTGCTTCTATCCTTTAGTCACAGCCAGAGAGCTTTAGTTGCTGGAGAGCGAGGCATGACTTTTTCTGAGCAAGTTCGTGTCCAAACCAGACAACCTCCTTTTTTCAAGTGTTGAAGCAGAAGTAAGTTTTTTGAAGGACATTTGACACAGTGTCAGCAGGACATTCAAGCTGAAAGATACACAGACAAATTTGGGGCCAGCCAATCTCTGATAGTGTGGCAGAAGTGATTTTCAGAATTAAACCATATCTTGAAGAAAAATAATGATTATGTGTATGATTGAATGTTCTGTAAGAGATTAAATTAAGCCAACGAAGGGTAAAGAGCGAAATAACAGACATCTGTTCATGGTCATGGGTGTTTTACTAGCCCACTATACTCATTTAAATTCAATCCACAGTATTCATAATGACTGAAAGCACATTGACTGGCCCATGCACACACACAAAGGCAAATGCCTGACATTGCAAGTAGATGTTAGGCATGAAATAACAGTAGAAACCATAAAAAGCATGCATAAATAAAAGAGTGACTGATGGCTTGATTGACTGACCCATCCTGGATCACAAACACCTTGTGGGTGGACTCTGATTGATTTGTTGTGAAGGGATTTTCAATTTGTCATGGTTTTACTATGAGAGAAAAAAACTTGCTATTGTACCTGCATAAGAAGAAGAAAAAATACAGTGATATAGACCCAAAGAAGGTGATTCAGTTCTATTTCTAAAATGAGATAATTCTATTTATGAAATGAAATAATGTGTCAAGCTACTTGTTAGATAAGTCTCAAAGCAAGGGCAGGAGTCGGTTAAGATGAATCTAAAAATAAAGCAGGGAATCATAAAGACAAGGGTGCAAAGTGAAGTTGGAAGTGTGGTATAAATATACAGACATATACCAGTAGTTGTAAAACATGTAATATCACTCAAAATCTTTGATTAGATCCTAAAGAGTGAAGACTTTGAGTAACAGCAAAAAACAAAGCAGATGTTGAAGGGAAGTGATAGAGAGAGGATATTTCTTTTCAATGTTCTCATTAAGGATCTCTCAAACCTAATTTGGACCTTACCTTTGTTGTTTGAGATGCCATAGTCAAAGCCTTGTGCTCCATTTGAAGTTGCTGCTCGGTTGAAGGCCTGCACAGAGAAGGGGCTGGGGGGCGGGGTCTGAGCCCCATGCTCAAGCAGTGCTTGTTCTAGAGTAAAATAAATGATGTTATCATACAATTGATTGAGTTTCTAAGTTCAAAGATATTTCCCTGTTGAGCTTGTCCTACCATCATCGTGACGCAAGTACTGATTCCCGCCGCGGTCTCTGGCCAAAGACCAGGCCTCGCCTTCATCGCTTTCACAGAACTCCACCACACTGTTCTTATCCAGCTGCACCCAGGTCCCCTCTGAGTTCACCACCTGATACACAAACAACGCTCTTTATCTGCACTCACACCACACTCGCACACCCTGCCAACCGTTATCTATTAAAAAACAGTCAAAGTTATCAGAATTATCATTACCGCACAGACACAATCACGAGGCAATATCTTTCACATTAGATCACAAACATGCAAACAGTGATTTTATCTGATTAATGCAGTCAAAATCCACAGCAGCAGATTACATATATTTGATTTTGTGTATCAGTGGGCACTGCAGGACAGAACTGATGTAGCTCATACAAGAATCAGGACTTACTCTAATACAGGGGTGGCTTATTTAAAGGTAAAAGCATGAGGTTGTTTGTTCTCAATTCCCTGAAATATCATTTTGGGAAAACAAGACATAGACGGAAGTATTAGTATGTGCAGGCTGACCCCCTCTCAGATCCAGGCAGGGCATCCCAGTACAGGCTCAGAGAGAAAACTATTGAACAGCATGACACACCACACCAGCCACTGACAGATCATATCCAAAGTGGGGAGGCTTCACTCAACACCAGGCCAGAGATGATTTAGAAAGTACCAAGTTATTGACAGAATTGTTACAAATGCAAGAAAGATACAGTCAAGGCACAGAGAGGCTCCAGCATTTGGCGATCAGACTTCCACTGAGAAGTCTCAAGGCAGCTGATCATGACACCTTCAAAAATGCAATGGATGTATCAAACTGGAATTAGTAAGTCAGGAAGCACGTGAAAATGTTGCAGCTATAGGAGCCGGTAAAAGCTCAATGAGAGGAAAAATACAGAACACACACCCACACCCAAAAGCACCTGATGTATTTCCATTAGGCAGTGATTACATTCTTTACATTCAAAATCAGAGCAGTTTTTAACAAAGAGGGAGCTCTTGATCTGACCCCAGGACCTTCCAATATTAGCTCTGGTACATTAGGTGATCTTAACAGACTGACTTAGACAAAAAACATTTCATTATTTGGGGTGAGTGCGTACCTCGCCTATGGCCTTGACCTTGTTGCCAAGTACTAACATTCCAATGGGGATACCCCTAAGGTTTGGGCAGCTTCTGATGTTGTGACCAGAGGGGCCGGTCTTCACTACCTTATAAAGCCCCGGGCCGCCGCCCTGCCCTGCCCTGCTCTGCACCCGAATGGGGGCCTCGTGGGAAGGGCAGCTGCTCACCTCCTTTATGTTCTCCTCCGATTGGCCCCTGACCTCCTGCAAGAGGTGAGAGTATGGATTAGAGCCAAAGTACAGGAACAAAACAGGCTGTAAAAAATGTCAAAGATCAGGACAAGTTACTGTCTTTCCGGTCCTGTAGTAATGTGTCGAGAAATCATTACTGGCAGTGAAGCACAAAGTCGTTGTTGAGGAGCATATCAAATTGAGCCAACTAAAAATTCAGATCTAAAAATTATGTATTTTACAAGAAGGACAAATATTCAGTCTTTTTTTAATGATGTATCTCAGTTAGTTTCTTATATGAAGCAGTTATGAAACAAGAGGAACTGCACATTTGACCACTAAGGCCTCGAACAACAACAAGCACTTGCAGTCTTTTAGAGAGATTGATGGATGAGATGAGAAGATTGATACCACTCCAATGTTTTTCCACAAAATATTATAATGGTTTTGTTTAATCTTAACTGTATGTGGCCACAAACAGTCTGTATAGCTTACATTACTTAACATTAGCAAAGCTGGCAGGATTAGGGAATTAGTCAACTTGACATTTAAAAGTCACCATCCTCACTAGTCAGCATCAGAATTACTCATTTCTTGGACAGTTATTTGTATTTTTATCAATACAGAACCCAAATGCCTGTCGTGAGTTGTGTCCAAGCTGGAACAGCCACCCACAACTAGCTGTAAACAAGCACAGGTGGCATCTTGTAGTACGACACAGGTTGGCTGTATTTTGATCCAGAAAGTAGAGATGAAGTTGTACATTGGCTGAGTCTGTTAACCAGCAGAAGCATAGGCATTTATTTACCCCAGTGATGGCTGGTAGTGCTAGCTCTGCTGACATTAGCCACAGGGGTCAAATCAATTTACATAGTTTACCCACAGACGCTGTGATTCTGTGTCCAGACATTCTTCTTTAACAAATACCACAGGAACATGTAGCCGCTTTCGTAAAGTCCTTATGCACGATATGAGAAAAATACGCACTGAGGGAAAACACTGTATGATTAAATAATAAAAAGATTAAATAGGGCATGTGAACTTAAAAATCACAGCTGCTGTCTACATGTGTTTGCAGTATGTCCCTCCTGAATCCAGAATGAATTAAAAAAAGTTTATTTTCAAACACTTAATTGGCACCGACCAATCTGAGAGCCAACATAAGCCTCATCTGACTGCCTCTAAATGATGTGAAAGCATGGCCTCCATCCACTTGGTATAACCATGCATCCTGAATGAGAGAGCACTCATGGTTTACATGAAAGAATTGTTATTATTTCTTGTGATAGCTAAGTCTTTTCACACATTTTAACTGTGCATACTGTTGTAATAATAAGTGCACAGTCCTAATATTTAACTGGGAAGATATGGGATTGGTATCAATCTTCTTCTCATCCCACTCTCTGCAAACAGTACACAAGTACATTCCCCAAATTGGTCTTTAAGACTGATAACCCAAAATACGGCTACTATACAGCACATTTTGTGGATAACTCAATTCCTACCATCCTTAACAGAGGAATGTGATATTCCAAACTTAATTTCACACATCTTGTGTACATGCACTTTAAGAAACCTTTAGAACAACAATTCAGGAGCCAAATACAAAGCACAAATAAACTCAATATTCCCGTTAGCACTGTAGTGAAGCGGTTTAATGACTCCTATTGAGAAGGATGTTCACTTATTTCCATACAGTCTAGCAGAAGGCATGCTATGAAACACAAGGATACAGGACTATATATTACAAGCCTGTCAAACACCTCATGCAACAGGCTGAACATTAGTACCTTCAACCCCATGCAACATACAAGCTTGAACTGTAATTACTTGAAATGTTCCACTGAGAGAGTCTATGGGAGAGTGGTTGCTGACATACTGTAAATCACTGCAACAGACAACCATGCAACTGTGGTTCAACCTTTTACTGTAACACTGTGGGGAGACTACGACGTCACAGAGGGTTCAAGAGGACAAATTAAGCAACAGACAGATGATTCGCTATGGGGCAGTCAAGCTATGTATCCCTCCTTTATACAACTCACCTGTGGCGGGAATATAGTTAAGGGGGTCCATGACAAAAAGCCGTTATCCCTGACTCCTTGGCTAGCGTTAAAGACATTCTGAGCAACAGATCGTGAGACAGTCAGGAAACAGTAGACGACTCCAGAGAGGAGAAAAACAGGATGGGGGAAGACGCTTGTGTATTTTTTTGGAAGAAGAATAAATGTTTTTGGGCTTGGTTCCTCTGTCAATTCCAGCATCGGACGTGATTTGAGAAGGTGAAGAAGAGAGGACAGACTCTGACTGGTGTTAGGTAGGCCAGATAGTGAAACAGTGAAGCACTGATAGGACAGGAGGCCATGAGGAATACAGACAAAGCCCGTTTGCAGGGGGGCGGAAAAAGAATTGACAGTTCACTCCAAACACCACAGGATTATTGTTTCCAAATCCACGACCAAATAAAATACAGAGAGTCGAAACTTCCAAAAAAATTCCCCACTTGGATGATGTAGTGTGTCATGCTGTTCAGACAGAGACCTTACATGGAAGCCACCTAGCAATTATAACATCCCAATGCAAGGTGGAATTGTGGAGCAGTAGAGGTACAATTTCCTATTGAAACCTTTCGTGGACCAGTGATTGCTTCATGACAGAAAACCACCCAAACAACATCTCATCTTTAGATATTTCACCTTTTCACCAAATCACGCTCCTTGTTTGTTTGTGTTTCACTCTGGTGGTTTTTGTGGCATGGAGCAAAATATGAGGGGAAACCCTGTAATCACATGCTTTAGTGCGCAAGTGTTTCTTAAATTGTGAGTGAGGGGGCAATGAGGAAAAGACTGAAGAGTGTAGAGTAACCAACTTCACCACAGGATGAAATTGTTCCTTTACTACCTTATATTCTTGTCTGTCAATTCCTGCATTGGGGTTTACTTGAATGCGCTAAACATAAACTACCTACTGCATGTGACCATTTGCAAGTGTTGTGTCCAACTAAACACACAATGAACATGTTATGGTTATTTTTTTTTTGCCTTCAAATGTGAACAAACGCATGCAGGCTCCCAGCTGCTGTTCCTGTGCACAGAGTGTTAGTGAAAGTCTCATACTCAGTGCTGCTTAAGTTGTTGTTTCATGCAAGAGAACACCCCGACACTGTTCTTCTGATTCAGTTCTCAGTTTTCCATGCTTTAAGTACATTGGAGGATTAGGCGCCAAACATTAGAGACCTTGAAGTACACTTATTTAACAAATATGACCTCTGTTTTTTTCCCCAAATGAACAGCACAGGAGCCTCTGTCATAATTCAACTGACACAGACCGCTCCCTCAGCAGGCCTTCTTCTACTTACGTCGGCTGGGACCAGTAGGCTCCTGCCCAAGTGCTGGTTAAAAGAGAGGCACCAGGCTTCAGTGTACCCATTCATGCTGGGAACATACTTCTTTACTGTTTCATCATTGAGCCTGAGCCACACACCATCATCATTGTGGATCTATGGGAAAACAAGCAATAGGGCAGAGCAGAGCCATGCCGTCCTGTTACTATGGGAACAGGATGGGCAGCACCCTCGTACACACACACACATTCAGCACATCTGAGACTACAGGAAAGTCTAAAAGTTTAAGGAGTGAACAAAATGTTCATGGGGACTTCTACTTGGTTTGGGTAAGACCACTGACTGCATAAAAAGATGGACAACATTAGAGTGAAAACACTTGATGACCTGCTGAAGTTATAAGCTCCACCCTCTCCATGTAAACAGATGGGACATGGGCCAAACTTCACCAAACTTAAAACTTTCTATGTATTCATGTCAAAGTTAGTATCATGTTGATCTATGACAAAGCATTTAATTTCCTGATGGGATTACCATAAAACTTTTAGTCTAAGATGCATTTTTAAGAACTATTCTAACATCAAAAATGTGAGCTGCATCTAATTGCTTTGCAAAACTTTTCCCAAGAGGCAGTGCTTGAAGAAGCAAGCAACGGTTTGGCTGTCAAAAATGTACTGGATGACGAAGATGGCTCTTGCATCTTTTTTTCTTTTCTTAGGTAGAAAAAAAAATTGAGGATTCCTCAAATTATGAGACAAATGACAAGAGGAGGGACTCGAGTCTTGGTGAATTGATTGCAGGCAGTGGCCATCCCATGGCGAATGCTGGCGTAAGCTTGTGCACTCTACTGAACTCAACCACTGAACTAGTAGCAAGTAGGACAGCAAAGAGATTGAACTAGAAAAAGCATCACAGTTGCACAGACACTGCTCATTGTGAACTGTGTTTAAAGCATTAAAAGTCTTACAGGATGACAGCTTAAACCTTTTCTTCTTTTGGACATTCAGGGAAACACCACATGTTATTAATCAGTGCAGCTGATACATTGGATTTTACGGTACTTTTTAGGAGTTATTGATGACATGAGAGATCTGTTTGCTAATGTTGCTCTTGTGGTGCTGGTTTATTTAACTGTGAGGATCCTCTTTAAAATGCAAGACGGTTTTTTTGGTTGACTGGACAAATGGGATACTAATACCAGATGATCATTTTTGCTCAGATCTTGGCTTCTAATGATGTCAGAAGAATGACTGGTCCATCTTTGTACACAGTCAATGAGTAAGATGATAATAACTGTCACGGTGCTGTTATCAAAGTGTGGATGTTGTGCAGGACTGGCAGGTAGTGTAAATATGTGTTGCCTAACAGTTCAACCAAGTAGTAAATATGTGCAACACCTTGGACTTTCTATTGTTTGGACTGGAGACATTCCAGCTTTCGTGTAGCCCCAGAGTGCTTTGCAAGAGTATGAAGCAAAATTAAAAGCAACAAATTGATAAGCTTTGAAGAAAAAAGTTACCAGAATTAAGGGAGATAAAAACACATAAATCATGGAAGCCATTAAAAAAAGAAGAGTACTTAAGGCTACTTATCCAAACAAGAAACTTGATTACAATTCTGATTTAAAGAAGAATAGAAGAGAAAACAGAATGAAGTGGAAAGTGCTACAACTACCAAACATATATAAGTTTTATTCTGCCTGGTCTGAAGTCAATTACCTCGTCAATGAAAGTGATGGTGCCATTGACATGCACTATGCCTATCTGTTCACTCTGCAGGGAGGGGTGACTACGCACACGCAGGCCTGCGCTGTCCTTGGACACAAATTTGCGGACCTGAGAGAAGCAGAAGGGAGATGAAGACCGTGAGCGGCAGGAGCAAAGAATAGTCAGAAGGAACAAAAGGGAAGAGAGGTGCAGCAGGAGGAAAAAGAGGAAGCAGGATCAGTGGCAGTTGGAGATAGCAAGCTTTTCTTCACACAAAGCCCGCTCCGAGTACACACAAGGAAACAGCGAAAGAAGAGGAAACTGTAGGGGCTCTATTTTCAGCAGGACCAGATGTAGTGAAGCTCATATGGTGCTTAGAAAATAGAAAATACAAGGAGGATACTTTTGCTTGTTTCCCCATTATGGATTATAAAACATGGATACCATAAGTTTCACAAAATGATGATGACTGCAACATGTCCACTGTTAATTTGGGACTTTTTTCAGTAGACAGTATGTAAACATACACACTACAACCTGAGTACAGAGAAGAAGAAAAAAGCTAAAATTCACATTTAGAGATTTTTTTTTTTAACTCAATGGGAAAAAAAGATGCCCAAGTATCACCATCCTGTTTTAACCTACCAAAATACAGATATCACTCTTCCTTTTTTTACAATCTCTGATTTTATCGAACTGCTTTGGGATATTCATCTTTACCTCAAATAATTGCTCTATAATTTTGCTATTACTTTGTTTGTCTGGGCAGCAAACTAAAAAGCAGCACAGAGGTGCAAAACAAGCTGTTGATTCTCAGTGAGAGTGGCGATAGCAGCACATGTTCTGCGTAACAAGAAGGCTCTTGTTTTATTAAATATTTTGCTTACGAAGCTAAGAAGGTCAGAATTTAGTTGATAGTGAACAAGACAAGTTGTTTCAGTTAAAACGTGTTTTGAGGGTGAACGCGAGCATGCCTTATTCATGTGTTCGAACGCATCTTCATGCCCCTGCTGGTTAGTCAAAAGAAAACACTCACCTTGCTGGGCTGAGGTTCAGCCTTTGGTTTAACCATCTGTGTGCCTGGTGGGATCATGCCTTTGGGAGGGTCTTTGACTTCAACCTCCAAACCAGCATCTGAAAGAGAATCCAATTCATGGCTCAACTGTGTGAAACATCACATATCATCACAGCTCGTAGTCCATTCTGAAGGAGCATCAAGTTATGTTTTCAATGTCGGTGATGGTCATTTGTGTATGCTTCTATTCCCTGTGGATGAATCTTCAAGGGGACAAACAGGCTTTTCTAAAATATTCTCAAATTGACAAACCTATTTCAATGCCATCAATGGTGACGTGGATTGTATAGAGGCCTACAGCTCCTGGAGTCCAGTTGGCGCTGTAGGTTCCGTCAGTGTTGGCACGAATCAGCATGTTCTCACTGGGTCTGTGTGAGGCAGAAAATCAGTCAGCGGACTGTATCTGACTTGAAGCGTTTTTTCTCTTCTTTTGCACTTGCTCACTTACCTCTTTGGGGTGGGGGACGCAAAGCGCAGCTCTTCAAAGGAGTAGTTTTCATATGCCTAAGACAGATGAAAGAGTCAGTGTGCAGGTATGTTTGCACTTAAAGTATGAAGGTGTTAAAGTATGAAGTTTAATAAGATCATTTAATTAAACCACAAAGAAATAACTTCATGCTCCACAGAGCTGATATTTATCTCCTTACCTGTGAACAGAGATCATTATGTTGTTTACTTCGCATGAATTTGCCATGTTGTTTTACCTGTTGTATTTTGTGTGCTTTTATTATTCCGAATACATCGAGGACGTGAAGATTCTCGTAACTGGCTGTACTGACATGTCTACATCAGCAAACCTAAAATGCAAAGACCTGTATCTCCTCTGGAGGGCACAAGTGGCCTTGTTTACATCAGATCTAACAATGACCGAACAGCTCCCCCCTGTGGAGCATCTGCATCTTCCCTTATGTAAAATGGTGAGTGAGATATGAGATTGTCACATGGGACCCACCTTCATCATAGTGATTGCAATGTATCGAGCCTCTTTCACAATCATGGGCTCATAGGTGGCCTCCAGCTTGGGCATCGGCAGACCTCCGAAGGTCAGGTCAGGACCAGAAGATGAAGGAGAGGAGCTTCCAGGTAAACGCTGCAGTTTCTTCACATTCTCAGGCTGCATTGACTTCTTCTGAGAGACAGGTACAGCTTTCACCTCCACCTGGACATTTAAACACAAGATCAGAAACATGAGTCAGAGGTGTGTGATACAATGAGTATGATGAAATATCTGTTTAGTGGACGCAAAAGGAAACAACACTGTCATCCTGACCTTCATGTTGGGAACATGCACCACATCTCCGTATTGGTCTTTGGTCTGAACAACGACAGTAGCCGGCCAGCCACAGCGGATGTCATCTTTATTTAGGATCAGAGATGTCTTCTGGGGGTCTGCGTAGGAGTCAGGCTGCAGCCACCTGGATGGAAGAAAATAAAAAACAAGAGAGGAAAAAATCATGACAACCTTTCAAGAGGCAAATCACAAACAAAAATAAAATATGTCTCAGTTGCCTCCACCAACATTTACCTGGCCAGACGTCCTCCGCTTGAATTCTGCACGCAGGTGATGAAATCCTCAAGGAAAGAGTGCTCATTGGTTTGGAGGTGCAGAGGCAGATTTCCTTCCAGGGCCTCAAGGATAGTGGGGGAGTGAGACAGGGCCAGACCTTTCCCCAGGATTCCTGAGTGGGCCTTACACACCTGAGTGTGATGTCAAAAGAAATGAGAATCAAGGTAGGAAAAAGTGATCGAAAAATAAGAATACCTTATTACTACCCACAAAACTTGTTTTTCAAAGATATCTCTGAATTTAAAAGATGGCTCACCTGAAGAGAGGCTTCCTCAAGAATCTCTAGATCCTCCTCTAATTCATTCCCTAAAAAAGGATAAGAATAACATTTTAATCACCCAACCAGGATGTCATCTTTGTTTCTACTAACTTGACTCAAATCAAACAAAATCTGACATGTCCTTACCTATAGGGAGGGCCAGATCTTTCTTCATCAGGGCTGCAGCACACACGCTGCCCAGGTATGCCAACTCCTTCTCAAGCAGGATGGTTCCCTGAAATGTCCATAAAGGGTTTTCTAAGTCAGATAAAACTTATTTTTTATGCCTGGACAACTGCACATATTAATGTTGTAAAGAAAAAAAAAACAGAAGGAGCTGCAGGAGTGTTTGTACCTCATCATGTCCAGGGTTAAATTCATACCCTACAGCCACACACTTAAAGCCATAAAAGCAAGCCTTTTCATCTTTCACATAGTCTGAGGCTGTCTCCAGGGAAAACAGAACTTCATTTCCTAAAGAGAGAGAGAGAGGACATAAAAACAGAAGATTACAAGAGAGTAAAGGTGGGCACGGTTTTGTAGGTAATCACTGGTAAGCTAATAGCCGCCTCCTGCTGCAGGGGATCCAATAAAGCATCATTAACAAGATTAAAGCACATATGGGCACAATAAAGATCAATGAACTACCACTGAGTCCCCAAATAATACTTAAACATTCAATTATGCTTCATCAAACTACATATTTCAAGGAAAATATTACAACAGTACGTGTTTGTCTGCCTTCATTGCTTAGCATGGATTCTTGCTTCTTCTGTGTCACCACAGCAAATGCAGTTTAGTCGACTATTTTCCTCCTTTGAAGATATGTAACGTCTCAAGACTGTGAACTAAAGAGCGCTCCTCATAGTAAGAAGAAAGGCTTGTGCTTAGAAGGCTAAATTGAGGGTAATGTGTTGCTTGGAAACTATACACCATTTCTCACCAAGAGCTGTAATGAAGGTGACAAACATTTAATCCTCATTAAGCAGCTAAAAGCTGTGGGACAAGCAGTAAAGAAGAACGCTTTGAATAAATCCAGCGTTCACTGACAAGTCTGACAAGCATCTGGAACGGCAGAAGCAGCATTACGAATAAATAAAGAGCTGATAAATTCAAGTGTCAAGGAAGTTAAACATCCTGCGACTACAGCTTTACTTTTTCTAACAAGAGATTTGGTTTAAAATCATTTGGTGAAGAACAATTAGTTCCTTTTTATGATTTTGACACACTCTTAAATGCTCTTACCAGGCAGTACCAGGACAGTGGTTGGCCAGCCTGTGGAGCCTGAGAACTTCTTGAGCTCAGTCCAGGTGTTGATCGTGTCGTGGATCAAAGGTTTGCCTCCTAAACTGGACAGGTGGAGGGTCCGGCTGGGGATGAGGAGGCGTAGGACGTCTTCTGGCTGTGCGGTGCCACACTGTGGATCAAACTCAATGGAAGTCCAGCGAACGCAGTCCGGGAACGATACCTGAGACGAGATGAGAAGTAGGATTGGTTCATCACAGTTTTTCACATGTATTTGCAGAGTAGAGGACATGTCAAAAGAGACCTTACCCTGTATTGTGTGACGCAAGCTTGTTTGTAGGGGTGGTCACTTTCGATAACCGAGTAGTGGTTTGAGGTGGTACAAGCAGACAGGCCTTGCTCAGGCTGGTTGCCAGTTGTGCTGTCTGTTGACTGGTTGGGGTTAAAAGTGGGAGGGGCGTATTTCTGGTTGAGGGCTGAGACAGCGGGCAGCAGCTCCTGAACGAGTCCAAAGACCTCAACAGCAGCCTGGAATTAAAAGAGAGAGAGAAGCCTCTGAGTCAAAAAGATGCAGTCTCAGGGATTTTGAGAAAACCTTGCAGTCTTGGATCACCTCCTACCTTGGGCACAGACGCAGCTACAGGGCCGATGTAAGCCAGTATGAGAGGCAGGAGCATAGAGAACAGACTAGAGGAACTCAACAGCTCAGGGATATCATCCACTAGAGATACAAAGAACAGAGATGAGATCCAAATTAAAAATAGGAAGGTCTTTGACGTGTAACAATGCTTGTCAAAGTCTGTGGTTCTTACCATCGACAGCAAAAGCTCTGTGGAGCAGGTCCTTTGCAGCTCTGACCACAGCACTGACCACAGATAGAGCTCTGCTACAGTTCTTGTCCTCCTCATTTGCTTTGCTTAGCAGCTGAGACTGTAGATCCCCATCATACTCACTCCTTTAGCCAGAAGACAAACTCCAGTCAAATACTGACCAAATATTTTGAGAGATGAGTTATCGCAGATGCTTGTTCTGTGTTTACCTGTAGTAGAGAATCTGTGGGATCTGTCCTCTGGTCTGGTTTGTCCCGTTGCTACTCAAACTGCAGGTGCTGAATGTGAATGAAACCCCATCAGAGCACTGCACTGTGGTCATACCGCCGTCTCCGTTAGCTGTCCTGCTGCCGTAGTTTCGCAATCTAACAGCATACTTCACCCCCTCCTGGAACAACATGAGTGAATTTATGAGATTATATGCATGGCAAACTACAACTAGCATACACTTAAAAATCATCCACATTATGTTACATCTAAAGTTTGAATTTCAGCTGTAAATTATATGCATGTATTATTTCCTAGAGGGGAAATGTACCTTAAGTGGCACAGCTTTGTCCAAGCGGATCTCTGCAATGTCACTCGGAGAATCATCAGTGCTGTATGTGCCCTTCACAAGCTCTAAAGATGTCCACCTGTGAGAATGTGCCGAGTCCCCTGGGTGCTCTGTCTGTGCCTGGAGAACCAAAAAGAGATAAAAGAGTGTATAAAGATAAAAGATGACATGATTGCAGCAGGTGACAAAATATTGACTGAAACTATCGATCACGACTTACATCATCAGCCAGCACTTCGAGTTCATACTCATGGATGCCCCCTCCTCCATACACACAGACGCCCACAAGCACAACGCCTGGTTTGTCCACCGTCATACAGATGGCATCCGGCGAGCCGTTTCCTGTATTCCAACTGCGGCCCTGGCTCGTTTTGGTGAATCGGTTTGGAGATGCTTTCACAGAGTGGAGTGAGTTCAGTCCATCGACCTAATAAAACAGAGAAACAATGAAACATGTAGCCAAAACAGACTGATAAAACTGCATTATTAATTTAGATAATCATAGACAAATCACAGCCTTGAATCCTCCAAAAGAATCATGTAAAAAACAAAACATCTGATCCTTTATTTCTGATGTGCTTAGTAATACAATCTATTTCTATTTTTATCCGCTTATTGACTACAGAGAGCCAGACACAACTGAAGAGCGACATATCCAGGAGCTCTAGGGAATTTAGAGTTGTCTCCCTGACAACAGACAGTTGGGTGAAAGTCAGCACAGAAACAGGGCTGCCGTCTAGTACCAGTTACCATGGCAATGAGACCTTATGTGTCCTGACTGCAGTACATAGGTATGCATTTGAGCAGAGGGAGAGCGATAATAGGTAAAGGAGGAGAGTGAGAGCAACATCAAACCACCAATTAAAGGCTCGGAACCACCCTTCATGCAATCAAGATGATTAGATTCCATCCTCTCTGTTTCGGCTCATTGGCAACATTATAAACATTGGTAACAACACTATGCTGCTAGCACATGCTTACATTATCAGACAATCTCCCTCTCTTTGAGTATTAAAAACAGTTCACATTTTTTTATCAATGATAATAGCTTCTTTAAAATCAAACTGATTTATTGTCTTTGTTTGTTTTGTGGGGTTTCTATTTCACTTTTTCATTTTAGTTCATCTTTTTTTTCCCTTTGGTTCTCTTAATACAGCTTATATTGTTCTACCCCACACCCCTGCACCATCATGTTTATTTAAGCACTTGAGTTCTGTTTGTATTGCTCTAAGTGTAGTTACCTCAGAGCCCAGAGCAGAAGCGGTGAGCTCAGAGACGATGGAGGCCAACAGACCGCAGGTATTGGAGACCAGGTGCGGGGAGAAAAGCTCCACCTCCTTCCTCAAACTCTTCCTCACCGGCAGCACCACAATCACCAGCATCTTCTCCAGCACCTCCCGGAAACTGGTCATGCCCATCAAGTTTTCTTCAGTCTGACAGAATCAAAAACAAGGAAATATTACCACACTGTTCTGATTTTGTAAGTTAAATGAGGACGAGGAAATGATGCAGTGATATGTATTCACTCACATGGCTTAATTTCTCCATGTGGGCCACCAGCAGAGGGAAGCGGTGAGCAAGCGCAGAGTCATTCTCAGTGCTGACTTGTTTGACCAGAGAGCGCAGCAGCACTTCACCATCATATGCAATGGGCAAGATGGATGTCAGCTTCACAGAGGTGTTGCAGAGGGCTGACATCACGGCGGCCAGCAGACGGCTACTGGAGGTGCGGAAGTTGGCCTCAGCGATGTCCTATAAGGCAGCAGAGACAAGGGAGAATCTCTGATTTTGTCATTTTCAGGAAATATTTTGTAATGTTCAGTTAACAATCTAAGACAATGCTGTCAGTGAGTTGTGATTATGCAACTTTTGTGTGTTGTTCCAGGTGAGGGTATCACTGTGGTGTCTAAAATATAAACTTGAGACTGCTAAAGTATGAGATTGCTGAATTTTTAAGAAACTAAAGATCCCAATCGCTTTCAGAACCTGATATGTTTTCATACTCAAGCCCCCCTGTCATTTATCAATCAAGAAAATAGTCTTTTTTTATGATAAATACAACCATTACTGTTTAAAACACCTTGTAAAAAACACTTGTCAAGTTCTACTGCCACGTACCTGGTCCAGGCAGTTGAGCAGGTCGCAGAGACAGGCCCACTGCAGAGCCGGGGTTGGGTAGAAAGAGTGGAAGCAGGCCGTGAAGGTGTTGTGGCACTCCTGCAGCACAGCTTCCAGCAGTGTTAAAGGCTGAGACAAGTAGCCCTGGGGGTCATTGTCCAGCTTGGTCAGGCAGTTGTCCATGCCTTCTGACAGGATCTTCTTCAGCAGGCTGCGTGTCTTTCCCACGCACTCTGCCAGCTTGCTCGACTCCTCCACCACAGCTTTGGTGCTTGCTGCAAATTTAGAGAACAGATAGTGCAAAACATCAACGTGAGATCTTATGTGAAGCTACAATCTAATAAAATCAAAATCATTTGAAATGTCCTTCTTGAAATGACAACTTCCTGATGTTTATATCTGTATATCATGAAATTATAAGACAATCTAGTTTGAATTGGATTGTAATATTTTCTGCAAAGAGTGTTTGAAATCAGAATCAATGCAAGGATGAATGTTTTTCATTCAAATAACATTCATAATTAAATCAGAAATCTTAATCTTTTTGGCAACAAATAACACAAATCAACAAGAATTAAATGTCTCTTCATTCTCAAAGCTCTTACCAGCGATGGGGAAGATCTCACAGATGTAAACCCTGAGCAGGCGGAGGCAGCAGGTGCCGACAAAGCGTAGTCTCTCCAGGTCCAGCAGAGTGGCGGTATACTGGAAACCCTTCAGCCCTCGCAGCTCCTCCACACCTAAAACCAAGGTGGTCCAGCTCCAGTGAAGGATACTCAGCAGGGACTCGAAACACTCCTACAAGGAGGCAGAGGAGGACAGTCACACACAGAGCTGTGAAGTATCACCTGTTAAGACAATTACGCAGGCGGAAACAGAGAAGTGGCCCAAATATGGAGAGTGAGCTCACCACGGAGACTGTACGAGCAAATGAGCGCTTCAGGATGTGGACTGGTTCACTGGTCTGCTGTTTCCCTTTGGATGCGTTGCCATCATTTGAAGGAAGCCTAGTATTAAGACATAAGAAAATATAAATCCTTCAAACGAAAAGTGGCATGATAAGAACCAACACAAAGAGTTCTGCTTACCTGTATAGCAACTGAGGTATCTGACCTGCGTTGACATCTGTACCGTTGTTTGACTTCTTGGAGCTTTTGAACTGAAAGACCACACTAAAGCAAAAACAATGAAAGACAAATTAAAAACGATAAAACCTAAATTATAATTAAACTGTTTAGAGAACTAGACTGCCAATTATATATTTAAGTGTTTAACTATTATGTTTCAAGTTCAACCGCTTTTACCCATCATCAGTAGTAATGGTAGCCTGTCCGTGGGAGCCACAGTCGCTGCTGGGACCCGACACTCGAGCCCACGCAACATACCACCAACCCAGCTGCAGCAGCACCGGCTCATCAAACATCATCGCGTATTTCTCCCTGAACAAAAAAAAGATCTGAATTAACCACCGGTAGACATGGAGTGTTGTTTTTTTCAAGGTAAGCAATAAAGAATTGGGAGATAGAAAAATTCAGCGAGCTCTACCTGGCAGCACAGTCATACGCTAGAACATCAGTCTCAGCCAGCAGATCGCCGTCAGTCTCATGGTCGCCCCCGTCAGGCCCAAGCTCAAAAAGCTGCACCAAAACAAGCCATAAAAAACATACTGTGAACACACAGCATTTCCAGCCAGATTATTACAGCCCATTTATCTATTATTAAGACATTTGCTATAGCCAAGGTCACACAACTTCATGTTTTAGCCTTTTATTTTCACAAGCTATGCAGTTTCAATTTCAACAGCTAACTAAGTGTATTGCCGTTTCAATTTGTTTTTCATTCATTGCTTTTCTGTCATTTCAATGTAGCACCCCCCAGCAGCAGATTATGGATTAGAGACTGATTTAAATCAAATGAATGTTAAACTGTCAGCCAACATAAAAAACAGGAACGCTGTATAAATATGTCACATCCAGCTTACCTTGATCTTTGCAGTGTACTCCCCTCGCCCCCCAAACAGACCCAGCCCACCCAGCAGGATGTCTGCATCAGCGCAGAAGCGGATGGCCTCCACAGAGTGGGCTGAGTAGCCCCAACCGCCACCATGACCTAGAGAATAAAACACGGGATCGATTGGTCTCTACAAGTTGATTTGAACATCGGTTGATGAATATAAAATGATTCTATTATTTTCAGCAGCACTGACTTAAAAGCTGGAAAATTAGCACAGAGCTTTAAACCAAAGCTTATCAGTGGGTCCTCCAGTGCATTGCATCATACATCATTTACCATGTATGCAGTAGAAAGAGGCCACCTACTCTCAAAGCGGTTCACCACACTGTAGTCCTCCTTGGAGTAGACCTTCATCACTGCTTGGGTTTCTTCCTCTGCACTGGCTACGCCCATCTTCAGCTCTTGCATGGCTGCCAGTGTATCCAGGCAACCTAAGTGAACAGCCCAGTTTAAGTCCTCTTAGTACAGAACATATATACAGAACCTGCATGAAACCATATGATTCATGTAAAAGCAAAAGGCTACCCTAAGAAATGAGAATGGAATAGATTGGTTTGATGTATATTTATTTTGATAAAATACTACAATTTAATATATCATCATAGATAATAGAAAACAAACAGAAACTAATGAAGATATACAAGCTTTATGTAATATAATTATAGTAAGAGCGATAACTGACTTCTGATGTCATGAGAAGACCAATGGGTTCAAATTGACAACAATAGAGCCTGATCTTAGGAATAGTGTTTAGACACAGAAGCCACACTGACCATCATTATTGGAGTAGAAACATTTGCAGACATTCATTAAAGATTTATGTGACCAAAGAAACATTGACGCATTACCGAGGATATGCAGGGCTCCGTGAGAGCGAGTAGTGGTGGCATGGGATCCCGAGGGCAACGCAAGCTCCGGGCTGAGGATGCTACAGCGGGCCTGGAGATCTGTGACGGAGGGCATCCTGGCGTCAGCTATCACCGCGTTGTAGCACAACATTTCTCTTGAGGCTGGGAGGAACCTGAAAAGCACAAAGAAAGATGAGAGTCAAAACCAGGGGAAGGGTTTCAGATTGAGAACAGCTAAATCTCCTTTGGGTGAAGTTTATGTAACTCTCGCAAAAGGCTTTTAATGAATTCAAAATGAAACCAAAAGGTCTGCGCTAAATTTGTCTGCACAGTCCTTTGACTGACCTCCATATGACATCATACACCGGGTCCAGACACAAGCCAAATCCCTGCAGGTCCTCTTGCTCAGAGTCATTGAAGGTCCTGCAGCTCCCGTCCATTTTGTTGATAAGCAGGCATTTAAATGGAGGCGGCTCAGACACAGAGGAGGGCACCAGGCCAATAATGTGTTTGCTGGCAAAGATCTCTGAAGTAGCGAGGACATGGGAGTTGATAAGAGCCTCATCGATCCGCAGGAATGTCTGGTCCCCGCTGGCTCCAATCCAGGTAGCCTTCCGTCCATATTTGGCACCGATGTTGGGCATGGGAGATGGCTTGGCATTCCAGTACGGCATGTCGAGGATGGGCCGGCCCAGCTGCCCTTTCTATAAAACACACAGACACAGATTCAACAGGCATTCAAAATACTCTCATAATTACTATATTGATTTTATACTCGGTATCATTCTTACCGAGAAGCTGCCGAATGTGAAGACCTGCCCATCCATGAGGAGAACAGCTGTGTGGTTACTGCCTGCTGTCACCTGAATACTGGGACCTGGAAGGGCCTGCACCAAGGTAGGAGAACCCCTAAGAGAAATACAGAGACAGATTAGGCTGTTTGTCAAGCTGTTCAATTAACGCTGAATGACAAAGTAATAATCTGAGCTCACATTTCTTAATCCTTAACTACACAATTGATTAACTGAGCATATGCCAGCTTGTTACACCTTTTGTTGAAGAACATCAAACATTGTTGGTTTGTAGCATACAGAAATGTCATTTTTTTATGTAGACATTTACAATTTCTCTTTCAATTTATCAGTCCATTTTATTGCTCTAGGAATGCCTGATAATTAACCACATAATATTGATAATGGCAGATAAACCTTTAAGTTTTCATCACAGGCATTATCTGACATTATTATTGGCTGGTATGTGCTGCCAATCATGTGATGCTGCCTTATGCATATGCAATGAGAGCTGCGCATGCCAACAACAAGCTTCAACATGTCGGCGTATGGGAGTATTTCGAAGTATCATAAGCAGACACAAGACATATGACTGAATGTCTACATTTGAAAAAGACTATATTCATCATTTCCAATAGAATAAACTTGTTTGTCTTGTTTTATGTCTATTTTCTAGAGCAGATTATATATTTCTTTAACCTTTATTTAACCAGGAAAAAAAACACATTGAGGTCAAATTCTCTTTGACAAGTGTGTCCTGGCCAAGACAGGCAGCAGCACAGTTACCACGGCATTTACAGAAAAATTAACAGCCATTCATAATGTGGAAACGTCAGGTAAATATCACAGTTAAAACCTTAGTCGATCACAATCCAGTAGATTATCGTACAGGAGAGACGTGGTGTTGTTTACCATGACAAAAAAAAAGGGGAAAATTTGGTATCTGCCAAAAATAACTTTGTCAATACCTGCATGTTAGACATCAGCAAAAATCCAATATCGTGCACCCCCATTTCAATATTTATACTGTTATGATAAATAGCTTTTCTTGCTTAGAAATATCTCATTTAATTCAGTTTATGTCACAAAAAGAAGCAGAAGCAGCAGTACCTTGAGTTGACATCTCCATGTCCCAGCTGCCCATGCTGACCATAGCCAAATGTGTAGACATCTCCGTTCTCCATCAGCACCACTGTGGAGAAACGGTACCATTGTGATCTCCTCTCTTTTATCTTACATAAGACGTATCCAGTCCAAGTTTGTCAGAGGTGATGCTCTCAAAATAATGTGGTGTAAGTATTCACAGGTGAATCGATAAGGGAGATCAACTCACCTGAGTGGTGAAAACCGCAGCTGACCTGCACAGCTCGCATCTCGCAGTCAAATCTCACTGCCCCTGGAGGGTAGGTGGTGATTTTGCTGGCATCCTTCTCGCCGCGCTCACTGCTGCCATCTATAAGTCAAACACTCAAGTCAGCACATTCGAGTTGAGAACATTGGGATAGTGAGGTTTGGGCGGCAATGTCAAACCGCAGAGGTGGAGATCTCTGCTCAGACCTGGAAAATGGAGCTGGAGAGAAAACAGGGTTTTTCGAAATAAAGAGGGGAGAGCATGCCGAAGGGGAGACAAGGGAAAGACACCTCTGTAACAGAAGGCTTTTGGCAACCAGTCCCAGGATGGATGGAAATCTTTGTTTTCGTTACACAACAATTAGAATTTGGATGAGGAGGAGGAGATCTGGTTCACCCTGAGCCTTGTAAAGAGGTCACAGCTGTGGTTTGTGAGCAGAAAAAAACTGGAGAAAGGCCCATGCATTACAGTTAATATTGTGATCGTCAATACCTTTTGGGCCAGGAATCAAGGTATTGTGGTTAACCTCCATAAGTGTGGCCAGCCAAATGATACAACAGTTTTAGGTTTGAATTGAAGTGTAAATGCAAATTTAGGATACCAGTTCATGGCCCAAACTTTGATAAGGAAGGGTTGAGGGTTTAACTTGTGGACACAACTCTCAATGTCAGCAAAAAAAAAACAAAAAAAAAAAACAACAACAAACACACAGAAATTAAGGAGAAATTTCTGGAAAGTCACAAACAAAAAAATATCCATCCAGTCCTCTTCATAAGAGCAAAACCATGAAGAGAGGCGTCCATCTGAAGTACTCTGAATAAAGCTTTCAGACTTGACCAATCAACATAAGAAAAGACAGTCCTCCTTTTTTCAATTAGGACAAACAGTGTCTATTTCACAGGGTTTTAAAAATAGTAAAAGTAAAATGGATGCTCAACAGTACAAGAGTACCCAAAACCAGTCATTGTTTTCCTTTGTTGCGAGCCACCTATTGTAACTAAAAAAATAACAGTAGCAGCAGCATGGGCAGATGTGGGTCATCCAGTCAGGGCTCTTAAGTGTGAGTATTTCACTTGTGGGGCCCCTAAAAATAGGCACATAGTGACTGTAAAATAATTTATGAGCACAGTGTTCCAGAAAGAGGTGCAGCCTGGCTTATATTTTTACCCATGCTGCAAAGTGTTCAGACACAAGTTCAATGTTTCACATGCGCCTGTGTGCCGATCAAAGAAGCTTCCTGTGATTGCCCAGCCCGTGTCAAAGGTTAACACAAATGACAAAAGTGTCTTTGTGATGGTTTGACACTCTTGGGCATTTAAAATAAAATAAAAACAACAGAGGAGTAGAGAGGGAAAAGTGGCAAATGGGATTCACAACTGGCAAGGTTTGACAAAGTTAAACTAGCTAATGTTGATTTTAATATAATGACAAGGAAGGTGAAAACAAAAATAGTGAAAAAAGTGTCGCTTCAGCATCCACTAAAGCCAAAGCCCGTAAAGTGTAATTATATAGGTGATAACTGTTATCATGACCCCACCAACCTGGTTGACATACAAAGAATAACAGCTGGGGTTTCTGACGACACAAAGCATAAACAAGTTCCTGAGAGGGGGAGTCCTGACAGGCTTTGTTTCTTCTGTAATGGAATAGTATTTGTTATGCATATAGTCCAAAATAAGGGCGGCATTCAAAAGGTGTCTATGTATGTTCTCAGTGGATGCGGTTACAAAGATGTGTTGTCACAACCACAATTTGTTTTTCTGAGGGAAAGTCTCTGCGGGGCTGAGATTCGGAGGACAAAACAAAAGTAGGTTTGCTCTGTTTTTTTTTTTTTTGTTGTTGCTGCTGAAACATAATCATTAACATATGAGCCGCTCACTGGTGATATATTAGGATTCAGAAAAGATGTTCACTGCAGCAAACATGTAGACTTGCTTAACAAATAAATGCAGGAAACTCTTAAATCCATGACTGCATGTCTGTTATATAATTTCTAATCAAATTCCATGATGAGTCACATGTAAAATATGTTTTTTAAATAATCCTCTTTGCATCTGTCAAATCTAATGATTTTTATTTATTAGCTTGTCTTTCATGAAGCTTGCTCTCCCTTGTGCTGTTCATCTGTTTGTTATGCAGCAGTTGTACGAACAAAGTGACAAATCAGCTGCTAAGGGAGTGGTGGTAAATCCGGTTAGACAAGGACAATTGATTTCTATTAAGGTCTATAGAACAGCCGAGTGCAAAGCAGGCGTAATATCTGAGGTTTAGAAACGTTGAACTTGAAAATGAATCAGCATAACAGATCAAGTCTCTGTTTTACCTCAGTCCCTGCTTTATATTAATGCAATTAACAAACCATCATTTTAATGAGATCTAGAAGGGAACCAGCCTGCTAAGATCCGTCTTTGACCCGGTCACGAGGATTCACAGTCATTTCTCTTCTGTGAGTCACAACGATTGCTTCCTGCCAGCAGCCTACACCGTTTGTTACCATGAGACCAGGTGAAAACATTAGAGTCCTGCCGTCAGAGAGTGAGAGAAGAGGTGGGCGGGACAGCCAGACTGGGAGATGAGGCAAAGGGGGTGTCTCTGCACCCGTTGAGTTAGTGAAAACCGTAGTACCTTTGTGCTTGTCCCGCTTATGCCTTAGTGCCTGAAGGGGTCTTATTCTGGCTAGGGCCTGCTCACGCTGGTTCATAAAAATGGGACCAGGAAAAACAAGGGGGCCTAGGGGAGAAAGAAACTTTCACATGCATGCACAATGCTCACAAATGGGAAAGAACACATGATAATACTACACCACAACAATACACTTACACACTGAAATATTATACAAGACACAAGCAAGGGGGAAGTCACCAAGGCACAACACCCAAGCTCACACAGGGTCTGACAGCCTGACTGTAGTTTCACCTTATTTATTAACCTCCACACCCACCTATTTTTGATTTTTTTTTGTCATATATTTTTTAACTTCATAAAGCCAAAAATCAAAAACAAAACACACAGCGCTTCCCTAAACAAAGCCCCATCCTTCTTCTCCCTGACCCATACCTCTGCCCTCCTCCAGTCTGTGCCGGCGGTTGATCCTCTGCCGTTTCTCCTCCTGACGGATCTGAATGTGCTCCTCGATGTTCACTCCTGGAGGGGGAGGGACAGGCACAGCTGAAAACACAAAAGGCCCCAAGTACAGGCAGCCCAGACAGGATGCAGGAGGCAGGAGGCAGGAGGCAGGATGAGGTGGGAAGGGAGGACAGAGCAGAGCAGAACAAAACAAGACACACATCAATGAATGATGGAAAGACGTGATGGAGAAGCAATGACTGCATGATACAAAGAAAAAAAAAAACAGAGGACGAGCAGCGACAAATGTGCAACATCCAAAGGAACGCAGCAGACTGTGTGAACTGAGTGGCACAAGCAGCAGAAAGATGCACAGCTTGCACATAACATCAAAACCCTCATTTTTCTGATCAGTTATGGAGGATCCACGAATTCAAACTGCTGGAATATTACATTAAGTGAGAAGTGCATGAGGTGTTAACATGCATATGATTCATCTAACTTTAAGTGAAATGAAGGATGATCAAGGTAAGATATAAATTTTCATTGAATGACAGAGCAAAACAGCGGTGGTATGAGATCAGGTGACAGGTGGCATACCTAGCAGCAGGTCCAGTGGAATCATCTCCTTCACAGCATCAAAGATGCCTCTCTGTCTGGCCTCCTGACCATCCAGCTCCCTGGCACAGGCCTTGCAACAACCACACGCTGAACAGCCAGACTCTCCAGACCCACAGCCACAGATACTGTTAGACGGATAAAATGGAGAGAATAGTATCACAACGAAAGCACCTTTACTATACACTGCCTGTTTTTGAGGGGTCAATGTTGTAAACACAAGAACTTTACAGATAATGTCATGACCACCTGTACCCCTTCCCCTTTCTTAGAACTTCTTACCCTCCTGGCACTCTGTCTGGCCGCCCACTGCTGACACAGCTGGCACCATAACCCGTGCAGTCTCCACACACTGTGCAGACCATACACTGGTCCAGCTTCCACTTGTGCATGCCTGGCTGACACATCATGCTCTTCTCTTCTTTCTCCTCCAGCTCATCCTCCAGGTCTTCATCCATGGCTGTGGCCATGCTCTCCACACCGAATGCTTCAACAAAAGAAAGCACAAAGACAGAGGGAGGACATCAGATTTAGCACAATAAAAAAGGCACCGTGTGAAAAATGTCAGTGTGTTTCTGTTTATTCTCACCTTTCCCCGCCTGGCTCATGGCACCAGTGTCTCTGCCACATTGCCCTTTGTTGTTCACCCCAAATGTCCACACTTCACCGCTCTTGGTCAAAACACATGTATGGGCCTTACCCATAGCAACCTGAGTTACAAAGTGACCTTTGAGGTCTGTCACCTGGCCTGTAGCAAAGAAAGTACAGAATGTGATAAAAGAAAAAAATACACAACATATGGAAACTTTAAAATAAAACTCTCTGAAGTTGTCCACTCACAGGTGCTGTCACTGTAAATAGCATCTTTGCCAAACATGTAGAGCTCCCCATCCTTGGTGACGATGCTGCTGCTGCCGTTGTTGCATGCCGTGTACACCGCCGTCTTGGTCTCTAATTTGATCATCTTCTTGGGCTTGTACGGCTTGGGCTGTCTCCGGCTTTTAGCTGGAAAAGAAGGACAAAAAAAAACAACAATATTTCAGAGCATCAGCTAAGACGGCTTTGATAACATGTTAGCTCAAAGCTGGATAAAATTCATTCTTGAGTTGTCACAGATTGTTTGAAATTGCCGTACTAGACTCTCCATCCTCTCCTTTGCTTGCAGAGCCGGTGAAGAACACACTCCCATCCTCAGCTACGAGAAGTGCATGAGAACCATCATGGCCGACTGAGAACTGAGCAATCTTGGGAGACTTTGTGACTGGCAATTCCACCCACTTCCCTGCTGATGGTCCACCTTGCTTTATCCCCAGGCTCTGGTACTTTCCTGTGTAGTAGATCTGTGAAGGTGAGGTGACAGAAAAATACACATTACGAACTGTTTTGCTGGGGAGCATTCGAGGCCCTACGGCAGTGTTTTATGACATCAAATGATAACCAATGGGTTCAAAGATGCATAGCTCTTAAACCATTCCCCTCAAGGTTTCTTTGAAAACTGCTGGGATAGTTTTTATTTATTATTGACTGAAGATTATCAATTTAGTAGGATACAAAAATGATTAAATGCATAACTAATTTTAGTAAACCACATTTCACACTGTAGAGTTTTTCAGCTGATTATAAATTGGACTGACATTAACATGTGTGTCTTTTTAAGAGCTACAAATGCAAACAGGACCATCAGTATTAGGACTGATTATTTCCATATTGTACATTTAATATGGCTGGGAAAATATTTCAAAGGAGTTATTCACAATTTGAGAACATTTGAATAAGTCAAAAAGCATGGGTAGCTTGTGACTACACAAGGCCTCTACTGAGGGTGAGAGGCTTTGCGAGTCAAATAATCAGAGATTCAAATGCAAATTACACAAACAGAAAAGCAGTGCATTCAGACGGATAAATTATTTGCAGACCTCTGACTCACTTCTCTAATACCAAACGTGTGGCATTTAGTCCGGCCTGAGTGGCCAGTAAAGTTTGTGCAAAGATAAAGGTCAGCTGCTCCTATTTTTACCCATACAGTCTGTCACTGTTAAGGTAATCTGTAGATAATGGGAGCTGTGAGATTAGGCTTCGACACAGACACAGAAATGTGCAAGAGGACTGCTATCTGCAAAAAAACGCTGCACCACACCTACATGACAGACACACAAAACCACACCCTCCACACACACCCCATCAAGCTACATAGTTGGCATTCTCCTCTTACTAAACAGGCTGGATAAAAATGTGAAAAATCCTCCTGCCTCCTCACAGTGACTGGATTTACTTTGCCCAATCAGCATGACTGTGTAGTCTACCTCTGGATCAAGAAGTTAATACCAAAAGCCTCTGAACAAACATTTACCTTCATTATAAACTAACTCTTGATTTGTTTTGGTGTTTCTACATCAAGCGTCACTCGCGGGAGAGCCTGGTTGGGTCTCCTGAAAGTTGACATTATACTGACGGCCAGAGCCGCTGCTTAATCGGCTGGAAATTCTTTAATCGCATCCAGTTGGTTAAGCAGAGACGTCACTTTAAAAGCTCATCTATTCATCAACATTACATTGAAAATGCCAGGTTGTAAAGGTTTACAAAGTGAATGAAGACACACACCTGAGGCTCAAAGCTGGATTTTTGGATTTTTGACGTGACATTTTAACTTCAGACCTACCAATGTCCTTACCTCATATTTATTTCAAAATCAGAAAGTTGTTTTCCAAGTGATATTTTTTGAGACTGTTAAACTATTTGCTCACACAGAGTGGTAGCTCTTGGTTTTTTTTCTTTTTGGGGAGTCCTTTTTTTATCCAAGTCAAGTTGTTGTTTCTGCCGCAAATTGATCCTGTTAGTTTTGGTTTGTTCTTCCAAATGTGTTTATTTTATAGTGTTTATATGTCCCTATCATTAACTTTTTAAAACTGTTGCTGGAATCAAATTTAGAATAAGAACATCTTTTTATTTTAAAAGGTTTTTTTTCAGTTTCAAAGTTCGATCTATTGTCTCCGCATCACTTTGACATTTGACAGCCTGATCCTACATAAATGTCACCGTAGCTTACAACATACAGATGCAATTAACTGGGAAGATGTCTGTTTTGTAAAGTGATGGCTTCATTTGGCCAAAATTTAAAACAATTTATTGAAGTATTTTTCCTTTCGAGTGCAGAGTCTGTCGTGGGCAAGTTCAACTCAGCTGTTCCATTTTACTGCTCATTTCAACAGAACAAGCAGAGATGTAAATGGAAAAACTGCACTCTTACCTTTCCGGAGGCAGTTTTCATCAGAGCAAACTCCCTGCCTGCTCCAAGTAACGCAGCCTCTTCATCAAAGCCTGTGCCTGAGAGAACAAAATATTATTTTGAGACAATTATATAATGAGATAAGGTTTTCTTTTTGTTCATTTATGTCCTGACAGATTGTAGAGAAACATAATAAAACAGCTTGTGTACATTTACATTAGAATATTACTAACTAAAAGCCTTTACAGAGATATGTATGTTTTAATTGACTCACTGATGATGTGTAGATCCTTCTCGAGGTCAAAGAGAGAGATGCCGCAAGCATGCAGACATTTCCTTGCCAGCTTCAGCTGCAGTTCCTGCTGCAGGGCCGGGTCTGAGCTCATCGTGTAGATCCGCACCACAAACCCATCCTGAAGGAGTCAAGGCCAACAGAGGAACAAAATTTGTTAAGTTTCATGAGTCAATATTTTTACAGTAGTAGTCCTTTAATAACAGAAGAACACTGGAGGAGATTTCATATTCCTGCTTCCCCTGACTGTAAGGGACAGTGAAATGGATCAAGCTCAAAATTGCGATGGTTCATGTTGAGGGAGACTTTAAACTTTGTAAAATTCAAACATTAAACTGTGTGTTTTGGTTCACTGGGGATAGGGTAGGTCATTATATACTCCCCACACAATCACAACTAATGTGCTGGATGAAGTAAGGATTAACCCAGGATTATACCTTATAGATGAAGCTGCCGCCTACTGGCGTCAATCTACAGAGAGTGTGGCGGTGGCTTTCTTTTAATCAGCGCATCAATTTATGTAACATGAGCGGCAACTTTAAACCCTGGCCATGTCAGTATGAAAACCACATCCATTTTTCTCAGCAACACCATTGAGGGTGTGACATCCATGCACAACTCACACACAATGACTCAAAGCTGAGCACAAAAAGGATGACACAACAGTCAGAAATGTAGGTTAGTCAGACTGCAGGGGATGTGGCTGAAAGTGGGAGTATACAGTAGAGGAACAGAGAGGAGAGTGGGCCAGAACAGGGAAATAATTAGGAGACAGCAGGGGTATAAAAAAGGATAAAAGGTAGTGTGGGGATACTCTGGTTTCTGCTGTGTGGTCATGATGAGACTCATCTGTGATGCTTTGAGTCCTGGGGACAAGCACGTGTGCAAATCTAGTCATTGAAACATAAGCTTCTATTTCTTCTTCCTCTAACCATCCCCCTGACCTGATCTACCCTGACCACCTCCTTTGTCTACTTCGAAGCACCTGAATCCCTTTATTGTGCCACATATGTTTTTTCCCAAACCATGAACTGGTCTTTGTGTGTTTCCTTTTCTGCCTGCTTAACAAAGTGTATGCAGCTGAGGACCCCCCTTTGCAGTACCCGCCCCTTGATTAGTCTTGAAGCTGCTGTCTGCGAGGAAGGCTAGCCGCAATGGCAGATATATGGATTTCACATCCCCCGCCCTCCCCCACTCACATTACAGAGTGCTTATGCAGATAACTGCTTGAGAGATTAAGCTCTCTGGAGAATACCCACATCTGGTGCCACTGCCACCGCCACACCCACCCATACATACACACACTTGCACACATAGACACATGCACGGATATAGACTCAGACAGAGCAACAACCCCTTCTGTGTCACAGCTGGTGATCAGCTGAGGGCCTGTCACAGCGAAGCTGGGGCCTCTTATGGCAATGATAGATGATTCATCAAGCCTTTCAAGGGGCTGACAAGTACCCTCATCTTAAATTAGAAGAGTTCTGTTTTCATGAGGGAAAGAAAACATATTGATACAGAGCATAAGATTAAAAACATGACTAAAGAGGAGCAGAAAAACACTTCAGCAGATGAACTGTGAGCAAAGGAAATCAAATGATTATACTCTTATTAGCAGACAGCTGCATAGACACATGTAGTGTGTCTCACTGTGTTGGCAGATTCTGAGTTCATTCAGCTATCTTGAGTTAGTTTAAGTTCCCTTTAAATTTGTGTAAAAGATCATGCTAAATCTCAGTCAAGATGGTGCAAAACACTTACACCCCCCATAAAATGACATATCAACTTCTCCTCGTGAGTTGTACGGAAGAAATGTGGTTCCTGACACAGATATTGACCCTATTTTTATAAAACATTGCGCCATAATCTTGGAGCTTAGAGATTTTTCAAACCTGACTCTGAGATATATGTACCTCCCTCAATTGGCACTGATCCACTTCACTTTTTCAATTTTGAACTTTTCTCTTCTCTGAAAGGAGCCAGAGACAGATGGTATATGCTGTTACCAGGATGATGAGCTGTAGCAGAAACATTAAACTCACATCTTTACAGGCTGCGATCTGGTTGATGTACTCTCCATCAGTGAAGATGATGTTCTGTCCGTCAGCATGCTGACCTGCATGCAGAAGTAAAGTGATGGTGAGTTTAGTTTTGCCAGAATATGAGACTCACCATGAAGGAGTCATCATTTTTTCAATAGTCTCAAACAATTTTGTGTTTTCATTTTGAATTATTGGATCTGCATCACAAACTTTGGCATAGAGTGCTTGGTATTGGGCTAGAACTGGCACTAACAAAAGGCCTAATTCTTCACAAGAATACTTCACTAAATGTTTAGATATAGTGGGTATGAACAATGAATATAACATTATTACATTATGATAATACATACAAATAATGATAATGTCATAATAGAACTATGTATAATGAAAATAATAATTGCATATGATAGAAGAATGTGCTCCTTTTTTCCTGTGGCTAACAGTTTGATCATTTTTACCTGGCATGGTGACAGTCCCCTCATGCTCCAGAGTCTCAGGGTTGATCTTGATGGCTGACATTGAGTGGTTACTTGCATCCTGATACAACAAATACCCCTGCAGACAAACCACAAACACTACTTATAATCTACAATCAATACGCCTTACACTTAGAATCAGTGTGAAATGATGAAGAATACAGTGCATTTGAGTGAACTAATCAATATGCTGTAATTCAACTTGCCAGGATGTGCTCATCGTAAGAAGTATCTTTGCTGAAGGCTGTGTGACTTACCTGAGCAAAGCCCAGCCATGACCTCTTCTCTTTTCTATTCCTGATACGAGACGTGGAGTTGTACACATGGCCCTGTAAAACACACGAGGTAACATTTACAAACACAGATCATTGAATTTGACCTAAATACACTCAGAAAAGTATTTGATTATAAAATCTCCATAGCAAAACTCATTATTTTGAGCGTAAATATGGTTGTCTACTAGCATAACATTCTGCTGCTAACATAATACTACCTGCAAGCTTTATTTCTTGAAGTGATGAAAATTAAATAATGAAGCCTTTAAGATTAAATCGGGTTTTGTGTATCAGGTCAGGGTGAAGATTAAGTCTCTGTTTGAAGCTTTGGCACTCTATGACTCTGTGTGAGTGCAAAGACCAACATAGTCAGAATCAAATCCACTGAAACAGAGTGATTGCCAGTCTTGTGGCTAATGGTTTGCTTTGCATTTTAGGTAGTATATTGCCAACAGTATTAGATATCAGTTAAGAAACTCCACACAATAGACAATTTCAAACAATCAAGGTTAACCCCATTTTTTCACAGCCCACAAGAAAGCACATCATAAACTGTGTATATGAGAAATTCTAAACCACCAAACTTGGATATATGTGTTCATCATGTTAAATAACCACATGTAGTTGTGAGTTTCACACACCCTGACGGTGCCGCTGTATCCAGAGCCCACTTTGTAGAGTCCATCCTTGCACAGCAGGTACAGGAAGGAACCATCTGTCTGCAGGAGACAGCGCTCATCATCATCGATGGACACCTCTTTCAGGACCCACTTGTTCATCAGGGCTGCGCGTTTGATGCCATTCCCGAACCAATCCTGGATTTGAATCTTTCCCACCAGGACAGCCTGTACACTCCTCTGGAGCGCATTCAGTATGGTTGGCACCTAGTGAGTTTGAAGGAGACAACAAGGATGCGGGGTGAAAGACAGCAGGACTGCAAACCTCTTATGCAACATATTTTGGCGAGCTTTGTGAAGCAGACAATGTTCGAGGTGGGAGATGAGCTATGGCTTCATTGCTGCTTGTCGAGTCAGATTCTCCTACTTGTGACTGACCCCGTGGTTACTATAACTCCATATTTGTCCTTTTCGTACTCTGCTGGAATGCCTTTTCACACGTTGGGGTTTCCCCCATAAAAGTTGTAAGTCCCTTAAGGAATTTTCACATAATTTCCGTAGCAGGGTACATCACACACCGCTGATCTCACCATTCACACACATACAAACAGACACACAGACTCATACGGCTCTTAAGCCCACACTTAAGCCCACACATCCCGCCAGCCTGCCTGCTATTGTGATGACTCACAGTTCAGTCAATGCTTACAACATGAGGAACCAGGAAAAAGAGAAACACAGTCCTATCTCTAAAAGGAGGACAAATGTATGAGGCTGAAAAGTCCCACTCGAATGTAGGGATTCTTTCTTGCAGGTAAAGGGGAATGTTTTTTTTATTTCTTATAGTTGACAAGCAGAAGCAACACAAAAGAATCATTATAAGAGATAAGACGGAGAGAGGAAAGAGAGAGGACAAGCTCGAGATAGAAGCAACCAGAAGGCCGGCTAATTAAAGTAAGAATGCAGACGGGTAACATAATCAAACAGGAGAATCAGAGAGGCTTGACATTTTCCAAAATTCAATTTGTTCTGTCCAGACACTGCTTGGAGTCTCTCTGCTGAAGGCAGTGCATGTAGCATCCAAAGGTCAATTTATCTTTCAAAAAATTAACTTCAGTGACCATTTTTTTTCTGTCAAAGAAGAAAACAGGAATGGATAACAAAACTGGATTATTGTACAAATTTCTTTGTTATTGATATGTACGGAAAACTTCAGAAAAAAATGGATTCAAGCGTGTGAAAAAGATGCAATTCTGTCTTGCACTTTATTAAACTCAACCCTCGTGATCACCGGGAATTCATCTTCAAAGATAAAAGCATTTGTTCACATCTGATTATCCGTAGTCTCTCTTGCCAAGAAAGCGAAGCATAACAAGATAACCCAAGTGCCAAAAACAATTAGGAATGAGTAACCTGCGTTTTTTCGATTGCCAGGAATGCAAACTAAAAAAAGGAACACTGACAACTGTGCAGGTAAACTGCCAAATGGTGTGTAATTGTCTATAATTGGTTAATTACCTGTATCGTCTGGCAAGCATGGCTGCCATTGTTGGTCAAGATGGCAGATACAGCCTGCAGGATTTTACCAGTGTCTCCCCAGGCCACCACTAGACTGAAGAGGCAGGCGCAGGACAGGGCGGTGATGGCCTGTCCTGTTGGATCATTTGGCCCTGTGCTCCGAACCGTGGTCTCCAACAACAACTGGAAAAGGGACTCTGAGGGAGGGGCACGAGCAGATGACAGGTCAGACGTGTGAAAACAGGGAGGCAACAGTGTTGTGTAATAGAAACAAGCAACAACACATTGATAAGTACTGGGGCCTCAAAATGATCATTAGGAACAGTATATAAAACCCATCTTAAAATTTAAACATTAATTTATACACGTCATCAACATACTCCTGAATAATTCCTTTTTATCATTTAGACAGAATTTTCTTTGAAGTTAACAGTAGCATCTTTGTTTGGACTGCACAAAAACAGCGTTGTGACATTGGACTGAGATAATTAAATCCCTCTTTTCTGACATAAATAACACAGTTTTCCACTTTGAGTTTTCTACATTACGTTTTAAGAGCTGCAAATCATTACTTTGCCAACACTGTAGCTATGCATTGAAATATATAAAATCATAACATGCCCAGTATCCACATTACAAAAATCTTCCATTGTGTAGATGCATTTGCAGCCTTACCTAGCACATCAGGAGGTTCAGTCTGGAAGCCCTCAGGCTGTTGTCCCTGCAGCATGTCCAACAAGGCCTGCAGGCTGCGCAGGCACAGGGAGGGGTGAGAGAATCGGGTCTCTTTTATCAGCTCAAATACCCCGCAGAGGCCAATGCCAATGATCTGCACACACAGAGAAAGAAGCACATTTCAATGAGCTACTGAATATCATGCTGTCATAAGCACAGCTAGAATACAGCCTCGCTGACTGTAGGGCCACTTTAATATAGTATTTGAAGAGGAAACGGGCTGACATTGAGCATGAGAGTGATAAACAGAAGGCTGTAGTGGACGTTTTGTCTGCATAACATGGCCTCACCGTCCTGTAGTTAAAACAACCTACATTTAGCCCACTGTGTATACAGTCAATACCGCTGACTTCAACATCCACCATTAACATTTGTATAATGACAGACCCACTTGAGTGCATGAGGAAGGGAGGCAGGCAGAAGAGTTTGGCCTAGAAAAGGAGATGTGTTTTCTTTTGCAGTGCGGCTTGTTAGTGAATCGAATAAAGCCCCTAAAGACCTTCCTACCTCAGTGAAGAACTTGGTTCGTTACAGTGAAATGGAAGCTATGCTTGAGTGTAATATCAGACTTCTGCCCATAAGAAACTATTGAAAAGCTTAAATTCAAACAAAACTGGACTAAAATATTTGATGAACAGTAAATGTAACTGGTCTGAAGAAGAGAATATTGACATTTTTATCAAAAGAAAGCTAAAAATTAAATTGATTCATCTCTGTGTTCTTTCTGCTGTAGACTTTTACCCATAAACTGGTCAATATCTTGCACAATCCTGCACAGACTGTTCATATTTGTCTCACTGTATTCACTGCAACGCACCACAAAAAGTGATTCCCAAATATTTGGAAAACTATATGGCAGATTTCCAGGGCACAACCTATACACATTTATCATTTAAGTAATTACCTTAACCAATATGCTTCTGAATCGGCACATCAGAAAATATTCATATAAATCTCAGGCAAACATCATCCTTCAAAGATCGGACACTGTAATCGTGTTTGTGCTGTTGTTGTGAGCATTTTAAAAGGGCAACCCAGTCTGCGTGAGAGAAAGTAGGGCATAATTCATGTATTCTTAAGGCATCTCCAGACTGAGCCTAATCCTTAACCACAATGTACAATTTATGTTCAGCTCATTTTCGGTGCCTCTGCTGCTTCACTTCCCTTTATTATGGTGCTGTATGGTTGCAGCTTTTTTAGAAAGACAGCAAAAACTCTTATCTTTATCCCTTAATTCAGCTACTTATGTCATAGACACCAAAATAATCCTTTCAAACATTTCCTCTTAAATGCTCTGCTGTCTTATGTGATAGTTAAGGGAACAGTTTATTACATTTCTGATTACATATCAAAGGTTTTCACTCATGTCCAGGTGGAAGTGAAGATTGATTTTAAATAAAAACTGATGAGGAGTGGGAAAGATAAGACGGTGAAAAAGAGCAAGTTGGGGGATTTAGAGCAGAGGCTGTAATCCGTGATGGGAGTTTCAAACCTCTGGTAAAGTGACACCAATTATCACAACAATAAAAAGGATGAGTCCCACAGAAAAGCCGGGGAGATAAAGGATTGTAGTATCCTTAAGATAAAGGGCACAGGCCAGTTCTTGCTTTGATACCATGCTCTGCTGCTGTCATATACGCAGCAGATAACTACCCCCTGCTCTTACCTTTGGCAGCTTAACCGCCGGCTCTCGGTACTCTTCCTCCTCCTCGCTGTCTGAATCGCCACTTTGCACCGAGCTCCTGGAGGCGAGTGCCAGGGAGGCCTCTCTCTGCTGCCAGTCCAGCACACAGTGCCGCACGTTGCAGTAGACATTGAATGCAGACGGGTTGCTGTGCAGCTTGATGTCCGGCACACAGAGGGCTCCATCGAGACTCTCAGCCTGTTGAAGGAAAGAAAGTACAGACATGAAGTCATTTATAAACAATCTTTAAGTATGTTCAAAACCTGTCGTTTGGTCTTTGCGGTCAGGACAACATGTTTGAGACACTAAAGGTCCTTTTTGACCAAAAGCATCTGGAACATTTAGTTCCACAAACTTCTCTTTATGGAACTACATGGTTCCTGTGGCCCATTGTTGTCTATTTCAATCACGTAGGCAGCAAGTAAGCTGTATTTGATTATTAAATAATGTCAGGTTACTCAAAACATTTGCTACTGTACTATTGCCCTTCGGGGCTACTACCTGTTTAACTTTCTCTCTGCCTAACTGGTGTCTGTGCATAAATTGTGTACCAGCTCATAATGTAAACAAGATTGTTTCTTGATGAGATTAATCCCTTTAACTGTTAAATTGCCAGCAAGTGTCCCTGAGGTGGAAAAAGGGGGGAAAACAGAGTCAAAATTCATGTCTAAATACATAATTATACGGATCAGACAATATTACCGTCCAAGTATCATCCAAGCTCTCTGTGCTCTCCTGTGTCTGCGCCTGTTCTGCCAGTATTTCACATGTACATTGACAACCTGTATTTCCATTGTAAATGAAATTGTAAGGCGCTGCCTCCCCAAGTCCCTGGGAAGTACTACCCTCTTGGGTAGTGCAACGGTAAGAGTCTGGGGATGAAATACCAGAGACTGTATAATACATGGATGAAGTCTCAGTCATGTCACCCATTGGTTCACAAAGAGGTATTTTAAAGCCCAAACATGGCAGATGTCATATTGAAAATGTTAACCCCATCATACTTTGATAACCTCAAGAAGAGTTCTAACAAAGAGGTAGAGTTGGGGTTATATGACCTTGCTGCTGCTACAACAGCTACAACACCCCCACCTGTCAGTCAAATCAACCATGGCCCCAATTAAATTCCCTAAATCAGACGAGTTAGAAAAATTCCCAAGTGAGATGCAAGATACAGAAACCAAAACTGTTAATTGTACCAGGCTGTAAACATGTTTACCTCTGCTGTCAAAGTGAGCATTTTGAAATGGGTTCGAATGGTGTTTCTTTTGGTGTCAGCCCATATCGTGATATATATGGCTGTTCTACCACATGCCACATTGACTCATTTATGCCACACTCAAACAATGACAGCAGACAGTTCAATTCAAAGTGACCCATCCTTTAATTATGCTCACGTGCGTTTATATGCAACTGGCTATGATACCACCACAGGATCAAGGACACTTTGGTGTGTGACTGTAAGAGGTGAACTTTCTCCACCGACTTTTAAACCGATAGAGAAAGGACACCGCTGCCCTAAAGATGTGTAACTACAATATGTTGTTAAGTGTAAGAACACTGTTGACAGTTTGTCTTGACACCATCTGTTCTGTCACAGTCCTCCTCATATCGAAGTCAGTGAGAAACTAGTGACATGAAATCACTCCCTAGCAGGCTCACTTCTGTACACACTGGGCTTGGCAAGTGTTCACCAGCTCAACACAGCTATCACTGTTACAAAATGGCTTACCCAACAATTTTACATAACCAAAGCAGAAAGAGTTGAGTTGCATTCAAATTAGAGTCAGAAAATCAAAAAAAAAAAAAATGGCCAAAGTATGGTCGCTTTTTCCAGTAGACATTAGGTACCGTTGTATTCTTCTGCCTCACATCGGTAGATGTTGTAGGATCGAGTCTGCACTAATTGATACAAATGAACTAGACAAGCCAAGGAGAAAATCATTGAAACAAAGCTCAAGCATTTAGCACCGAATAATCCTTATGATTGGACAACCTAGACTCCACACAGGAACTTGATAGGCTAACTAATTGATAAGCGTTCTCCATCCCACCAAGCAAAGCAGTTTTAACTACAGTCCTGAGGCAACCTCTGGAGAATGCTATTGACTGATTGTACCTCTCTTGCGGTGTTGTGCTTTTGGCTTCCCAATCACAGGAGGGTGATGTCATCTATTTGGGGAGAGAGGTCATTCATCCTCAGCTCAAACCAGCAGGGAGTGTGAGATATTAGCTGCTCTCTCATCTAACAGCACTGTCTACTGCTTTCCTGGCTCACTGCTTGAGAAGCACTTGTGACAAAGTGCCTATACAGCATTCACAAAGGAACGCATTGAAAAAGGGCACTTTGTTCAACTTGAAATGTTGAGATGCTAGAACAACCCTAACCTATAAAGCAAGGTAGAGTAAATTGATTTCTTGAGATGACAATGAAACAAAGTGGAATAGAGACAGGAATCCAGCTCTTCTCTGAGACAGAAGACTCTGCATTTTTGTGTCACACTTGATTTGTCTTACGATAATGCTTGTAATATTTTGGTTATCTCTTTCTAACAGCATTTCAAACCAATCATTATTTTTACTCAACCACGTGTACATTCAATCAGACATGGTGTTACATCATAATATGAAGTCTCAGTTTAATATCATACAATAATAGTAGCACTACAACAAAAGGAAGCCTTTCCAGCTGAGTCAGAAACATTGTACTCGTGTTGTACTCCCTTACCCTCAGTTATTTTCTGTATGACAACAACTTCATAGAACAAAGTTATAAACATCCCTGAAAAATGAGCTATTCAGACCAAAACAGGTTTGTTGTACCAGGTTGTAAATATGTTTCAGTCACTCTTTTCTTTTTTTTCTTTTTTTTTAATGGATGAGCACGTGGCTTTTGGTGCTTTTGCAGCGAACCACAGTTTTGACACTTCTGCCTCGGCTGAATTTTTCAGAACCCTGAGGTTGCCACTTTGTGTTACAGCTGCAATTTCATTCAGAAAGTATCTATCCTTTTATCCTTACAATTAGGGATGTGTATGTTAAGTCAACTAAACCAGTGGTTCTCAAGTCCAGTCCTCGAGGCCCACTGTCCTGCATGTTTTGGATGTTTCATTGCTCCAACACACCTGATTCAAATGATCAGCTCGTTATCAAGCTCTGTAATGGCTTAATAACGAGCTGATCATTTGAATCAGGTGTGTTGGAGCAATGAAACATCCAAAACATGCAGGACAGTGGGCCTCGAGGACTAGACTTGAGAACCACTAAACTAAAGGATTAAATGTTGCTTGACTCTAAGGTCAGCACCAAGTTCATTTGTTGGTCAGACAAATTAGTCAACTGGTCAACAGATAATGCTGTAAAGCTATAATTCTCTATTAGGGTGGTGTAAATAAGTACAGATGCCGTGTTAAAAATAAAGCTCAATTTGACTATTTTTGACTGAAAAGCCTTGATCTTTAAGCAAGTCCCTCTGCCTTCACTGATTTCCTCTTCATGTCAGGACTGAAATCTCTAGACAGAGGATGAAAAGCTTCTGCACTTGAGCTGCTTCAGGGTCACTACCATACAGGCTGCTTGATAAGGTGTAGAACTGTCAATAAAAACAGGTGTATGAGCACTTATGTATCAAGCATTTATTGGCATTTAAAAAAATGTCGAGTGGAATTTTTTTACAACTAGCAGGTAGGCAGTGGGAGAATAATGGCCTTTTAAATGTATTGAAATTGTGGTGGCTGTTATTTTTCGAGCCTGTTGATGGCAAATGTCTGTTTGTGTATAAATCAAGACCCCAAGAAAAGCACTTAGCTGTGACGTAAATCTGACGCAGCTGCCGGAGAATGTTGCATTTAATGACTTTGAACAGCGCTGACACTTTTTTATGTAAACCCAACAAGTCATCAGCAACGTGATCATTACACCTTCAAGGTCTGTCTTGACGCACACAAGTTGAGGCAGACACATATATGCAAAACCAAAAGGACCTGCTCATGGTTTGTGGTTTCTTCTCCCTTTGTAACAGCACAGACCCATCACCCAAACATGCGGCTCATCTGATGGTTTCTTTTTTGTGTCTGTCTGCACTTAACTGATGGTTTAATGGCCATCTAAAAGCTTTGGCTTGTATAGGAGTCCTGACCGCACTTTGACAGCTGCACTTTCCAAATGGCTCGCTTTATGGAAAAATGAGAAAAAGAATAAATGTGTTTTCCGAAGCAGATGATCAAGCGGAGTCATCACGATATCAGGAAAATATACATGGACTTTATGATACTGTCTTTTTAACAGCAGATATGATTAGAGTGTACAAAATGTAAAAAAAAAAAAAAAAAAGACCTACAGGGGTTACAAATAGAAATCATCTAAGACCTCCCTGAAGGGTCTTTCACACCGGGAGCGTTTTTTTCGTGAAATTATTTCGGACGTCAATCATTTTTTTCGAACCCGTATCCTGTCAATACAAGCGTTCATATCAGCGGCATTTTCCCGTCCTGCGCTATTGCGGCATGTATTTATTTGTGTCACAGTTGATTTTTCTAAAGTTTCGCATACTGTGTGTCCACTTCTGACTGATTGCGTGTCATTGCAACGTCAGATTCGCCGGTATACCCAACAAGGCCGACTGGCTGATTGTTTACGTGTCAGAGAACAGAGTGCTTTTTGATAAAAGACACAAATATTACAGAGATATCGACCTGAAGGACAACTTGCAGAGAGTCATAATGTTGGATTCCTCATATGACGATAGTTTTTATGCTTTAACAGTTTGCTAAACGTCTTTGTTTTAACTTTCGTCTGTGCTAAGTAACTTTAGCTCGTAAGCTAACCTGTTCAGATACAGCATACCATATGTATTTTCACTGTCTCAAACTCAACCGCGTTGCTGTTACAGCACTGTTAGGTCTCAGTTGTTACCTTAATTATAGTTTAATGTGCTTATCTGGTACTGGCCCCGACTCAGTACATCAGTACCATCATGACAGACAGCCATCTCAACACTAGTGTCTAATCAGAACTGAAAAACACTCAGTCTGCTGTTGTGTCAATCTTCTCGTTTCCACCTGAGACACGTCTTTTTCCCCCTGGAAAGTCGCCAAATCGCATTGCGCTTGATATGTATAGTCAGGCACGTCAAAATTCGCCTCCCAATATTTCGTGATTTCGCGTCGTATATTGGCATCATTCCCGGTGTGTAAGGACCTTGATACTGGATCAAATATCTTTTTGATTTTTTATTTTAATAACTACAGTCTGTCATTTTTGTTTGGAAAGGGAGCACAAATATAACTCAAGAGATGTGTCAAACTTTTCAGTAATCAGAACCAAATTATTTTTTATCCATAAAATACATTCAGAAACAACCCCAAAATTGGAGTATGTTTTATGGAATGAACCACTGAGGTTCTTTTTTTTTTTTTTTTTGCACCATCCAACATAAGGCTCGGCAAGAAATCAAATACCTTTTTTGAATTTCACGGTCCAACTATCTGGCAAAATGGTGAAGCTACTGGCGCCCAGTTTTCCAGACTGCCTGCCTGTCTGTCTGTTTTGGCAAAATGTGAAAATATTTTAAATTTAAAGGCAATGCCATCAAAGTTAGGCGTTTTTGAAATTCTCCAGTGGCCTCACCCAATTTCCCCATCCCACTTTCCGCCACCAAAATGAGATCTGGTTTGTAGACTACCATCTGTCTGCATTGCTGGAAATGCAGAGTTGGTTTCAGCCAGGCTTTGACATGTTTGCTTCAGCTCAAGCAAAGATGAGGGAGTAATGGTGCAAAATAAATATGGTCTACTGACCAAAATAATCATGATTTTGACTTTTGCTGCATGTTTGTGCCTGAGGAGACAGATTTTTGTCAGAGTTCTAAGCTAATCCTTTTAGCTTTCAGGAAGGTTTTTAACATTATTATCTTAGATGTTAAAAAGGATGACATGCTGTAAATGTCATTATGTTATTTTATGGCGCATATCCTATCATAGAGTTACTGTGGTAACTTGCTTAGGGTGTGCCATTGTTTCATTCATCTTTACTGAAAAACTACTTGTCTTATCTTATGGAGCTTGGTAATGGGAGGAGGGGTCATGGAGCAGCATATAAGTCATTGATTATTTAGAGACTGTGGGCCAAATACAAGTCATGAAAAAGCAATTTTAGAGTGGAGGAAAATTTAACACTGGAAAGGAATAATAATCAAGAAAAAGTCGTTATAGTGGATGAAAATTTACACACACTCTAGAACAAGCTGAAAATAATGGTGCATTTAACTCAGGAACCAATGGAAATACCTTTGCTGTGAGGTGTTATCCCTTGTAAAGACCTTTTCATAGCAAACTTTAAATGGATATATGCAATATACAGCATTTTCACATTTTTTTCAGCTTTTCACTTAAGCATTTCCATAAGTAAAATATCTCCAGCCAAGAAGATGGGCTCCAGCCGAGTGCGAGCATATTTCTCAGATTTGAAAATACATCTAAATCATAAAAAACTGGACGACTCGCTTCGGCAGATCTCTGAGCTCTGCAAGCCACCTTCCTAATCAAATTATAGTTCTTAAAAAAGACCCATCACACATCTGCTGGTTCACAAGAAGACATCGCATCAACCTCTTCATTAGAGTGATAGGTGTTTATGCTCTGTCTCTTGTTCTGACTCCACTTTCACGTTTGTAAGCACAGGCAGACAAAGAGGGAGAAGAGGCATTTTCAAAACAACACTGTAGTCTGACTGTGTCAGTGTGAGAGGCGTGACAGTGCAAGAGTGAGCACAAATACACACAAATACAGCATGACTGCTCGTGCAGCTACCCACGGGTTTCTACCAGCCAGCCTTTGCCTTTGCCGACTGCCGACCACTTCATTTTCAGACTCTATCTTGTGCTGATCCAGGAATTCAACTCACAGAGCAAGTGAACCTGAAGGGATCCGAACTGACTCATCCACTCGACAGAGAATTTTCTGTCTTGCATAGTTTTTAGATGAAGGATGCAAAAACCACTACAGCCTCTGTTCTCTCTATCACGTTAGCCTCTCTTGACTTTGCTTGCCAATAGGCCTGAACAAAACGACAGAAATATGACTGTGGCAATGTCATGGAGCAAAATAATAGACACGAGATGAGAATGAAAACTAGCTGTAACTCACAATTTCTGTATTAATCTGATGTATTTTTGTTCCAACACCCATGATTGCAACAGTTATCTTTACATACCCAAAAAGCATCTTTTTTCCATCATTGAATCAATCTGAGGGTAGTAGATAGCAATATAGAGCTCCATCTGAGAGAGAAATATGCATCACTACTACGCCCAGACCTCGATCCAGCAGATAAAATGAACATAATCCTGAGTGAGAAAGAATTGCTTGTTTACATACAACACTTTCCACACATATTGGGACAATTAGACTTTCGCAATGTGTTTGTACAGCAACAATAACAGAAATTGCAATTTACGGCACAGCCTTAGTTGCTTAGGAAAATATGTGTGATAATATTAAATCCAGACAATGACTAACAATACTACAGACTTGCCACAAAGCAGTAGACTCTCTCACTTTGAGAAAAAAACAGCAAGAAAATGAGTCATGGTTATCTGAGTGGATTATATCTGATGTCTACACCTGTTGTGATGTTCATGCGAGGTCCACAGGAGGAGCAAAATCACAACCACATCCATCTACTGGTACAGACAAGGTTCCCTCTTTGGATGAAGGAGATGGAGGCAGGCAACTGTTGCCGTGGAGATGGTGAACACATTAGGTCGCTCGGCAACAGGCCATCATGCACACGCCAGAGCCACTCCCATGTGGCTTTGTTTTTGCCTCACCACCTCTCATGCACGGACCAGGCTTCGTGGCACCTGGCCAGCTCCGCTTAAAATCGTGTCGCTGCCAACCACCTTCAAGATGGCAGATAATCTAGACCTTTCTTCAACCTAATCCTCAATCTGTTGCATTGATTCAGATAAGAGTCAAATAACTGGAAAGGATTTATTAATGCACACAGGGGGTGTGACCTTTCAATACCTCACTATTTGATTCCATTATGATTTTTAAGGGCAGAATTTGCTCCACAACAGACACCAGATTCAAATACCTCCTAATTCACAGTAAGTCCTGTATTTCTCACACTCTGGTATTTTATTTAGGATAGGAGTTTTATTTAAAAAATTGAAAACATAGATAATATTAGTAAACGAAAGCCAGCTGCCTCTATTTTTCGGCAATTTGCCATTTTCAACCCAAATAAAGTCCTAAATCTCCTGTTGAGCGTGATTTTCAAAACTGACACATCTAATGCTCAAAGGAACTTTGTCTCGGTCTAAGGACTTACTGCCCATCAGCAGTTCAATCTAAGTTCTTTAACAGAAAAAGAAGCATATCTGCATATTCTGGAGTTTGACAGTTCACTGTGCTGCCAATGTATTCTAGGGCTGCAACTAACGATCATTTTGATAATCGATTAATCTGCCGACTATTTTAATAACTAATCGATTAATCGGATAAACAGGCTAAATTCATCAATGCAGCTGTTAATAGCAATAGCATAGGGCTTTAGTTTATCATATGAGTTTATCTGCCACGAGGTGTTGAGGTCTCTGCATGTGTAGGTTACTGACTTACTGTAATCATCGGGTCTTTCTCGTCCTTATAAAAACCTGCTCTATTTCGGCGAGTGTCTGTCTACTTCTGTAGTCAAACCGCAAGATAACAAAATCTACCCGGATACAGCAATGCTGCTTTTTGATTGGCTGTTCAGTAGATATACTTTATTTGATTGGCTTGCGCGTGGCACGCAGCTTCTGAACTCTCGGAGAAACTCAGTTGATTTCCACCTGTTCCATAGTTAAAGAAGTGCAACTTGGTGGACATCACCATGTTCATTTAAATGCGTGAGAAATACAATGTGTGGTGTGTGAGCGTGTGAACGAGTGGGAATGCGTGTGTCACACGCTGAATGCGTGAGACTTGAGAGCCCTGTGCTCACGCATCATCGATGTACACCTGTGCCATGCAAAACGGGCTTTGCAAATGTTGCACTGAACACCTTCCTTTTCAGTCTTGGTAAAGTTTTCCCACACCACTGATGTTTTAGGTCGGGATTTGGGTTGGGTTATGTCCATGTTTTTCTCAGCCGCTGCCTCGGCCATGGCTGTTTCTCTTCTGTGCGTCCTGCTGATGTTTACACGCCGGTGTCCATGGACATATATAAAGACCCGACGAATCGATTACAGAATTAGTTGGCAACGAATTTTTTCGTCACGACGAATCGACTTAATCGATTCGTTGTTGCAGCCTTAATGTATTCCCAGCAGTAGATACATAAGGCTTTGACAGATGCTCATTTAAACTTTAATTCATGCTGTTCCCAGGGATGTACGTATGGAGAAACACATGTAGACATTTATTACTGCCGTCTTGGCAATGTTAGGCATAAGTTTGTCACACTAATTCAACACAGCAACATTTACATTGTGAGGTGTTGTGTAAACTGTAACCATAAAGAGATCTTGACAACTAGGTTTCAAGATCTTAGTTGTCAAGATCTCTTAGTTATCATATCATATTTGCTGGAGAAACAACCATTCTACAAGGATTTTATAATCCGTAAATGTCAGTTACTTGTATTCAAATACACAGTCAGCAATAGTTGCATTACACAAGACTGTGATATTGAGTTACACTTGATCTCTTACCTTTGTTCTTGACTTCACTTTTGACTTGACCTTCTGTCGCCTCTTCAATTTCTTCTTACTCAAAGCCTTCTTTCCCCTGAAAGCAGAGAGTGATCACTCAGCAATGGAAAACATGAATCTACAGATGGTTTAAGTCAATCATATACATGTCATGAACGATATTGTGTGTCATTGTAGTATATATTTCCTAAAAAGGATTAAGTGACATGAGGGAAAGGTAAAGCTCCCTGTCAACAACACTTTCTCCTCTAGGTCTCATGATGTCGTACAAAACACGCCATTAATCCTTTAATTAGTTTAGTATAGCTGTTAGCATTGTGAAATTAATTCCAGTGGAATTTAATGGTAATCTGGATTTCAATTTTTCACTTGCAGAGTAAGGCCTCATCTTATGCAGCTGGCAAAGTACATGTCTTTTGAAGTGCAGTACATCCTACTTAACTGCCAGGGGTGTAGCAGTTGTCACCAGATTCAGTGTTACTCATTCTGACAAAGCAGCAAAAACAGGCCGTAGTCTGGTTTTGCAGACTTTCCCCTTGCTGCTGTTGAAATCTCCTTGAAATCTGTTTTATTGGCTTTTCAAGATAGATTTTACTTTCAAATCAGGCTGTCAATGACTAGACAGTCCTGGGGACTAAAATAGATCTACTACTAAAAACAGAAACAGGACATGAATAAGAAAACTTTGCAGTCAGTGAAGATAAAAAAATGAATCTATTTGTAATGTACTGTTTGTTTGAAGTAAACAAGCTGAGATAACTCCTCTTTTTCAAATGCTTCACCTTTCCTTTGTATACTATGTGGTTGTTACTGTAGGTGAGCTGTTTGTGCTGGGATTTGAACAGATTGGAGTATTCAGTTTTTTATTTTACCAGGTGGCCTCTGGAAATTGACATCTAGAAGCTTGTCAACAAACAAGAGACGCCACAAATTCTGAAAGAGTGAACAGTAAGGGGCTGGGTTGATCCCTTTGACGTGGCCATGGCACTTTTCTTGATGTTAGTGTTTTTTCTATAGTATTTCATTTTACAGTAGTACCAGTATTATATTATTATTATTACCTGTTAAGCGCTTTGTGGCATCTGTGAAAAGCAGGCTAAGATTATAAATGATTGCCTTTTCTCTCAAACTTGCACAAATCAGGCATTCAGGAGGTATGACAACACTAGTATAACACCAGCGAAAACATTACAAACACCTGGACAACAGGATAAAAACAGCTCTCCCAGCAAATCAGTTTTTACTAGCTTTTACACTTCTTATTTTTGTTGACGTGTTCAATACAGGTAATAATGGTTTGTTAAAATAATTTCAAAGGTTGGAGTGGGCATTGGTTGGGTACTGCAGCACAATATTTTGAAAGGTATTCCTATTGTTTTGCTCCCATAAATTATTGATTATGCAGAAAACATATTGAGATCACCTTTAATTACAATACACTCCAGTACACCACCATCACTTACTACATCTTTAATAATAAATACAAATATGATGTTAGGACTGGTCAGAGTCAGGTATCAAAATATATCAGAGAATGCAGCAACACATAGAGGAAATCAGAAATCAAGTTGTTTTAACAAATTTGCAACTACATCTTCTGTACAAAGCCTAGTATGTTAGATCAGATGATAGATTAACCTGACATGACATATTTGAAGAGACTGAAGTTGAAACTGAATTTCTTTCCTTTCTCACAGGAGGCATGAAAACACTGGACATTTGAGGACATTCATAGCAACACTTCACAATAAGCAGGCTTAAAGGAGAAACTGTATATGGGGGGGCGCTGAGAAAAACAACTAAAGGTCTGGGGGGGGGGGGATGCTGCAATGATCAAGCCACTCAGTCCACAACCTGACAGACTGACTACAATGACGTCAGCGTATTACCCGCTTATGCCAGAAAAGCAAATGAGTTCATCCACCTACAAACACACTCACACACACCCTCACTTATTAACACGTGTAATATTTAAGCAGCTTTTCTTAAGAGTTGCAATGCATTGTGTTGATTAAAACGCGTTATTACTGGCCGTGAATGTTTGTAAAAACACAATAAAGTCACGAGTAAACGTTCAGATAACCTGGGAAGGGCTGATGCTCCTCAACGTCAGTTAACGTTAGCTAGCGAAACGAAACAGTGACGCCGTTGGGCCTAAATACACACACAGCTCGCTTCATTAAATTACATTAAATGACAAAGTAACACAAAAAACGATGACAACACATGCAGTTGCTGTTTATAAATGTGTGACATTATCTCATGTATTACAGGAGCAGTACGTTTGTTTACGTTGAGCTGCTGCTAATATCAATTTGACTAACCGGACTGCTGTCATGACATTTAGCAAGCTAGCTTGTTTGTGAAATTAACCGAAGGGTTTTATTTTTAATTTCTACGTCCTGCAGTTGGGGTATTTATTGGAGTTGAAATTGTGCCAATATTTCACAAAAAACCCAATGTCTACAGCCACCATAGGGCAAACCTCTCCCGTAAGGGTGAAGTAGCAGCTTAGCTTAGCAGGCTGTGGTAAGCTAGGGAAGTCAGAGCCAATATGCTATATAACAGACTGACCCCCGCAAGAGAATGCACCAAAATCCTGGAGTCCCTTGCATGTTTAATGATTTAAAGATAGTGAATTATAATAAAACGTCTTTCTAGCGTTGGTTAGCGTAATCTAAAATAACACAGGTGTAGGTTATGTTAACTGACGTCCCGCTATGTAAGGGTTAAAGTTAGCACACGGTCGTTAGCTCAGTTAGCCACACAAATGACAGACCAGCTCCTATGATATCAGATGTGGATTTTCACGTTAGCTTTCACTCACCTTCCTTGATTTATCCCCTGCTCTTTATCATTGATAGCTGTGGTATAAATCCGCCTGTATCTTTCGGCCAGAGCTCGCCCTGAGAGTAAAAGCTGGTACCGAGTCCGACAGTCCGACTGGGCTCCAGGTGTCGGACAAGAACCCATTCCCGACCCGATGGTAGAGAGATCGGCTCCGGCTCCAGATATGACCCTGACACCCAGCCCCATCGACGGCGATGAGTTGGGGAGAATCCCTCCACCGGCAGCCGCTGCCGCAGCAGCACACATCATCGTTTTGGAGAACAATGCATATATCACACAAAAGATATAACAGCTAGATAATATCTAGCCATCAGGTGCAATCCATTTGTCATTAAATCCACCAAATGTCACATCATTCGATCATTCCAAGTTGCAGAAATACCACAATTAGCATCCACGGTCACCGGTTGTGAGAAGCGCAAATTGTAGCCTGTATCTGGTGGTGCAACTACTGTCTTCCGATCCGGGGCCACGGCGTCAACACGGTGCTCGTTTCCCGAAAATGTATTTTCTCAAGCCATAGCAAAGAGCCTCGAGAAACAGCAAAACCGGCAGCATTAATTTCCAAAATCAGCCTTGTCGTGTTTCGTTTTTATTCGTTCCTGGAATATTTCTTGACCCCAGAGAGGCAGCACCCTCAGTTGGGCTGCCATCTTAGCTCCATCATCCCTCCCCTCCCTAGCGGAGTCTTGCGTCGCTAGCATGCCGGGATATTTTCATACCACTAAAACAGGGCGATGCTATCATTGACTTATTTCAGTTATTATCTTTCCTGTATGCATTATTTTTATGTATTGTTTATTTGAAAACAAGTATAGACAAATGAAAAATGCACAATGGATGTCAGATGGAGCCATGAGGCTACTCTGCAGACTGTGCTCAGTTGGAATTTGGACATTTAATTTGCAGATGTCAGTCCAGGGCCCCTCCCAGTTTGATCGGAAACTGGCAAACTGACATAGCCTACCTTTAAAGCAATTGAAACCCTACAGCTCTAATTTGCCAATAAACAATTTGCTTCAGTGTGTTTACACTATGATTTTCTCCTTTACTATCATTCCCCTTGCTTCTATCATTTCCAGTCCTCTCACTATAGATTTAAAAAGAGCAGCAGGCATTCTGTTCAGTGTTACTATTGTCCCCTTTTCCCCCGAAAGACCACAGTGTAACTGTGAAATCTTGTGTGATCTCAAAGAGGTCAGAAATTTGCACAAGGATAGCAGACATCCATTGGTAACTGGTAACCCAGTCTTCTTCACTGTGCAGGCCCTGTTCAAGGCCTACATTACTCTACCTTCCAGCAGCAAATGATGCAATTTTTTGAGAAATTTCTGAATATATTAGATAGATAGATAGATAGATAGATAGATAGATAGATAGATAGATAGATAGATAGATAGATAGATAGATAGATAGAGGGAAATTCAAAATTCACTCTTGATTGGACAACAGATACACCTTCATCTATTATTACTTGGAAATCAAATTGAATCGGATTACTTAAATTCTTTCATGATGCAAAATGCAGGTTTTATTTCTTGATATCTCGTGACAGCGCCCACAGGAGGGTGTAGGGGATGCAGAAGTCACTAAGAAGCACAGTGGTTATATTTATTTGTCAATCAGGATGCAGTATGGGCCAAAAAAAAACACTGCAAGGCAAAAAGAACGTGTGCAAGAAATACCTTTTTATTTGAGAAATTTTTATTAAATACCCCTTAGTATTTCTGACAAAACGCAAATGTCTTTAGCATGAAATTTTGTTAAATTAATGTCATACTTATAGAAGGATGCTGTCAGTGCATATTGATTTATATACACATTTGCTGAGGGAGAGAGAGAAAATAGAGTAAGAGATGTACACAGGGCTGAGTGTTGCTTTATTGGCTGCGAGGCATTGCAATGATCCAATGAAAAGAGAGGGGTAGGTTCCCAGTCTCTTCTCATAGCAACCCAGGAAGCTCAGAGATTATCATGCGCAGTATTAGTGTGCCAGCATGTATAAGGGATGACAAGTGACTCCTTACGGAGGAATTTGTTCATATTTTCAAAAGGAATTGTCCCTTAAGGATTTTGCTTTTCAGTAATGAGGCATAAAGCTTTAAAGAGCATTTTAAAACGCTGTAGACAGCAGGTTTGCAGATGACCTAACAAGGTTAAAGAGAGAGCGTCATTCAGTGTTGGATTGTGTGACCTAAGGATGTGTCCAGAGGCTGCTGGTTAACTCTTTGGATGTCTCATCTCTGCCCTTGGAGCGAGGAGGAAGGGAGGGCGTATATAGGCCAAGATGAAGCCAAGGGTCAGGCATTGGTGTCACAAACATAAATTGAACAGAGCTGGAGAGCTGTTAAAATTCACACATTCACAAACTGAACTTGGGGAAAACAGTTTCAACAGGATCAAAACAGAACCTCTTAATACACTTCAGTTTACGTGTATCAGTCATAATTCAGAGCTGAATCAGTTTGCATTCCTGCGCAGGTATGAAAAACACCATTTTCAGTCCCTTTTCTTGATTTGAATATTCAGTCACAGAACAGGTTACACTCATTTTTTGCTGCTGCAACTGAGCAGAACATGATCAGGACGTGCATTGCCTTGGGCGACTTGTTAGCCTAAAATTATTTATTTTAACGGAGTTGTACAACCAGAATTGTCACTGAAGCAGTTGCGCCACCCAGTGTTAGTCATTCACATAATAATGTAACCATCACAACAAGAGAAGACTACAGAGGGTTGCATTTTACCTGAGGACATAACACAACAGCTTTTCACTACTTTTAATCTATAAGATTCCATAGTGCTCATACTGTTTGTAATTTTAGTCATCTGAATTATCTGAGAACTTATCCAAAGGATTTGAGCCCATTGATTTCTACTGCGTGTCTTTGCTGGAGTTAGACTAAGTTGCACTGCTTGATTCAGCAATAGCTTTCTATTAAAAAAATTGTCCTGACCTGTTGGCACCTAGCCCACTAGTTTATCACAGCAGTGTAGTCTGCATTCCTTTCCTGCTGTCATCATGATAGGAGGGGTTCACTTCAGTATCACATCGTCACACCTCTCTGTGCTATGCACCTTTCATACCTTTGAACGTCCAAAACATGACACACCCAATAATGAGGCTCATGGCCACACCATGCAACATTTCTGGTTTTATGCATGCATCAGATGATAACTCTTTATTTTTATGAATCAAAGGGCCTTTTATTTGTCATGAAAGAATTCCTAATGAAACTACAAGCGTTTTGGTTTTGGTCAGTTTGTAAAAGTGTCCAGATTAAAGCTGATGACTGCTGAGGTGTCAGTGGCCACTGTGTAATATTGATACTGTTAACAGGCTGTTGAAATTAAATGTGACCGTTCCCATTCTAACATTTTCATTATCTCATAAAGAGAAAATCATTAACCCGAGGCTGGAATTCAAGTTCACAGTCACATTATTAGCATGCTTGAAGCAAAGTCCACTCAAAGCTTGGTATTGTATTCAAAAGCCAATGGGATGCTGTTGTTTTTTTTATCTGCATGATACAGGGTAATACATTTTAAAGTGCCTTGTTTCTCAATTACATTTACAAGTGTCTTTAAGCTCCTGAGATGGAACTTTCGTTTGTGGCTGTTTTGGCTACAATTTATCTCTTTGCTGATCTTATCCACACATGAATCTTTGACATGGTAAATTCTTAGACAGGATTGTTTGGCAACATGCTTCTTACCTCCTCATTTTGAACCCACCCCATGACAGAAGTGACAGAAATTACTGTATGAAAAAATAATCAGTCTTCTCACAGATGGTCTTGTTTGCTTTTGTAGGTCATAAAGAGGTGATAGTATTCATCTCAGTCTGTTGCATAACCAGCTGAAACCACCTCACAGGAGGTTTGAATATAAAGGGTCTTTATAAAGTACAAGAAACACTCAGTACAATGATTGAGATAGTAAATACTGTTCTCTAAATCTTAACCCCAAACATTTCAACTATATTCAGTTACTAAGTTCAAGGCCATTGAAGGTTAAAGTAGTTCAAAGCCCCACACCCACGCTGCAGCGCTGCCTCACTATGTCTGGGCTGAATGTCAGGTCCTTCTGCTCTCTCCACCCAGTTCCTTTTTTTTTCCTGTCAAGCTTGAAGCAGGGTAATTAATAGTACGGCATGAACGGTGATGACGGATAGAGACAATTCTAGCGCAGGAGGAAGTGAGAAAGAGAGAGAGTATTCTTTGATTCTTGTCTGAAGCCACACCCTAGGGTGGCCTTGGAATCTCCTCCCTTAAGGTTAAAAGGCAGGTGTGATTGGGTGTGATTGTGGAGTAACAGACAGGTGCAAGTCAGTGACAGTTCACTTTGACTGTCCAGCAATTCACAGAGCCCCTTGTGCAGGTATGTGTCCGCTTTCTTTTAATTCATCTGTTTACACATGTGGAATTATGTCCCGATATTGTTCACGTTTTTAAGCATTAATTGATACTTAAGTTTTAGGCGACTGAATCCTCTGGGATACTGGGTTGTCTTAGACGAGATGGTTTGAGAAATTTTTTGAGTGAATATGTACAAAAGTATACTTACAGTCAGGGTAATTTTACAATGTATATTTAAAGAGTCACTGTAAGGAACAAAAATGTTATGAGTTCTTTGTATTAATGTACATGGGGTCATCATACATGCTCAAACATAGGGCTTTAATATTGAAGCTGACGGTAATATACAAGGATATATAATGCCAAATATTGAGGATGTTAATATAACTTACTTTTGCCATGATTAAAGTAATACAACTATATTAAATAGAAGTAAGGATATGAACAGTTTCAGATATACCTTTTTTAGAACAATTTTCATTATGACCGTGATGTTATAAATCCAAACCTGACAGACAGCTCAAGACAAGCTCTGATTTTAACACCCTAATTCTTGACATGTGTTTGTAACAACAATCCAGAGCTCGTATCAACAACCCAGAGCTATTTCACACAAATCAAAAGTAACCTAATGTGTAATGTAGTTTAGGAATTAAAGGCATTAAGCACTCTCAATGGAAAGTTTATTGTAACTGGGTATTGTGTAATGTGTATACAGTCCTAACTCCCTTTACAGCTGTGGTTGTCTACCTTAAGGCTGCTGATAAGGAAGTCTCAGCGCTGTTGAGTGCATACGGTTGAAAGGGCACAGGCTTTATCATCAATAGCTAATGGCATGTCACAGTAAGCCCCTCTGTTTTGCTGACAATGGTGTGTTTTGAGAGGGTGTGTTGTGGAGGGTAGGTGTGACTTGTCAGTACAGATCAAGACAAACCAGTTTAGGGCATTAATCTGTCTACTGTACGGCATAATTTTAGTGGAATACCTCAGGGTGAGGGACAAACCCAACATGACAAATTCACTTACAAAACAACCTAATGAAAAGCTTAAACTGAGTGTGTGTACTGCAGATAAAAGGTAAAGATATTTAACATTGTAAGATGAATTTGCATGTGTGATGATCCAAGGGTAAACTTTAACACCGAATACACAGTGTATGCATATGAAAGCTCTTGACTTGCAGTGCCCCCTAGTGGTTAATCATATGTAGTTTTATAAAATAATCATATCTCTCATTTGAACTTACAGGTGAAGCTGCAAAATGAGCAGGTCAAGTAAGTATTGAGAAAATTCACTTCTTAACATACAACAAATCACTCTGAATCAGTATTTCTTTTTATCCATTCCTCTTCTAGCTTTTGTTCTTTTTCTGTGTGTATTTTACTGCACATGTTATTTGAAGATATCACCAGTAAATTTCCTCAAAATTCAAATATTTCTCAGGAGTGTTATGGTGGCGTATTAAAGGGTATGTGAAGGAAGCAATTAAAGGTTGAGGGGGCTGAATGCAAACATTTTAATGTGCATTTTTATACCATTTTAAAAGTGTTAAATCATTTCTTCAGCATCCATTCAGCTGTTTTCTTTTTCTGTAGTTATTTATCTAACTATGTAATTTAGCAAATAATAATCAGATTCTAAGGTAATAGGTTTGAGTATTTTTTGCTATCTATAAAGATGTGCAACACCTTTGAATATGCAAGTATTTTTGTCTTGTGTTTGCCTCAGGGTCAAGTCTTCTTAAAGATGGGAGCTGGATCAGAAAACTCGATGATGAGGATGAGTCTGTTGAGTGAGTCAGGTTAACTCATTGACTAGCTGAGATTTTTCATTAAAAAATAACTGACATTTTGTCTAGAGCAAGTTATTGACATGTGTTTCAAATAGATGATTCATCCCTTTTCAAAAGCGTAACTCAGTGTGCTTCACTTTTTTTCTCCTTCAGCCGGGACCCAAACTTTGGAAGATCCGTTTTGAGCCATCTCACTACTGGGGATGGTCTTTCAAGGTGACTCAAACATATCAACTGCAACTCGTAATAGTATGAATAATGTGGGGTTTTTTTCACTTAATGTGATGTATTGTTTTTGCTATTAGTCCCCAGACTGAAGAGGTCACATCCACCAAAAGTATAACAACATCAACATCTGTGCAGGCTTTGTCCAAGAGGTATTATTTTCACAAACTTTATTGTATCTATACCAGTAAAATAATAGGAAGTGAGAAATTTAGTTCCAGATTTAGCAAATCTAACAAAACCCTTTTTGTTGTTGCAGATTCACTGGAAGTCAGGATGACCTGTCAAGCAGGTTGGTACAGCTACACGATTAAAAGAATTTTCCAGATCTTTACAAGGCTCTTTCACACAATAATACATCCTCCTACACCAAAAGATATATTTTTGTAATTGATAGTAATTAATTAATCAATAACTTGAGTAACTGTCATAATTTTAGTGGGACACAGAGTCAGATTTCAGGACTCTAATTTATTACAAATCATAAAAATCAACAGACAATGGACACAAATTCTGTGTATGTTTGTATTTATCATGTCACTGCAGCTTCTATACATCCAATACTTTCACAGATTAACCTGATTTAAGGTTAATGAAAAAACACTTATCACAAACCAACACACACAAAAAAAAATACTGTGACTATTATTATATTAAGTTGTTTTATTCATCTCCTCCTTCAGCACCACAACCACAACCACAACAGTTACCAAGGATGGAAAGACCACTGAGACCACTGTCACCACCTCTGGGGATCTTCGGTAAAGACTATAACAACATTAAACTTTTCCCATCTTTAGTTTATGTCAGTTTCAATGACAGCAGGGTTGTCTTGCAGATCTCCCATAATCAAGAGCCCCACCAAGACTGACCCATTCAGTGAGCGGGTGCTCAAGGCCTCAAACAAAGGGTAAAAATATCACAGATAACATAACATATTTCAAAATATAACATAAAAAAGATATCATTATAACAATTAATTATGGTACAAGTAAGTCGGTCCTTTAACAAATAAGTAAGTCAGTGTATACAAAAGTAACAAAACAAGTTACAACAATCAGGTTGATACTAAAAATATTCCATGACATGTCTGACTGCTTAAAGCTCCTGTGAGTAACTTTGAGTTTGAGTCAAATTTGGCGCCGCCTGTGGACAAAGCAGTCATCTTGTCCTCTATATGTTAAGTAGTGTCTTCTGGAAGAAACAAAAGCCTTTCTGCAGTCTTTTTACAGTCAAACATTAAAAATTACAGTAGAGAAATTTACAGTCTTGTCACTAATCGTCTTGTTTGCTTTTGTATATCAAACAAATTATCAATACAAATTTCAGTCTATTTTCTATTAATGTGAAAAAGTACTCACAGGAGTTTTGAAATACACATGAGTTTTATTGAACATTCATTGTAGAGTCCAAAAAAAATCTAAAAAAGCAAAAATTGGAAAATATTCTTGTGGAGTGATTATACTTCATTTAAGTACTTTTTGAAATGTACTTACAAATCTACTTTAAATTATACAGGCTACAGGCACCTTACTCACCTACCAAAACAACCAAAGTGACAGAGACAACTGTCATCTCCAGTAAAGAGTAAGACACTGCTGACTGATGTAGAAATATACGCTAATTTTGGATTTATACACTACTTACTATTCGACTCATTTTTCTGTGCAGTGCGGAGGACAAACTGTATGACACACTCATCCCCAAGACTTTTGGAGATGGTCTCTCACCCATAGACAGGTGATTTTTAAAATATGAAAACAATTTTTATCACAACACAATCATGATACTAGGGAGTCAGTTATATTCGTTGTATTAAAGTCTATTCTCTTCTCCAAAGCAAAACAACTATCTCCTCGACTGAGACTGTGCTGGTGAAAAGCAGCCCTGACGTTGTGTGAGTTTCATCTCATTATGGGCTTTATATAGTGGAGGCTTTATACTATCTTTTTTGCAAAGTATTTTCACAGAAACACACATATAGGAATCGTTTGTGGATTTGATCATTCTGCACAGTTTGTGTGTATATGATTAGATCAAGCAGTGATCTCTAGTGGCCATAGTGAAAAGGGAAGTCATCTTATACAGTGGTAGTGGATTGATAAGGTAGGTGGTGACAAAGGACCAAGTTGTTATAAGAATAAGAACTTTACTCATCTCCAAATGGAAATTCAATATGTTTATTTTTTATGTGCTACAAATCCAAAGTAACACCACTTAACATAACTTTTGGAAATCAAAAATCTGATAAGATATGATCCTATTGCATCATATATTATCAACTTAAATCGTATGTATCATATCATGTTTCATTGTATCATATCTTGAGTGCATTTTCCAGTCACTGAGCACATTTGCTCCAACTGGAACTGTATTATAATCCAACCATGACTGTGTCTGAAACCACATATTCACACATCACTCAACACATCCTGAAACAGTTTGTACAAGAAACCGCCTCTTACACCTAACAGTTGGGTTACTGTTAACATTATACTTAGTCCATATTATATGACTTTATCAGTCATATGTTTCAGGTTCAAGCTGCATCAGCTGCACTAGCATACCCATCAGGCATGCTAGTGAATATGAAGGGCTGTGGATCAACCAGGATTCATTTGGTTAAAATTTATGAGACAGAAACAAATTGGATTTATCAATGATGAATACATAAATCTGACATTATTTATTCAAAACACATTGGGTTTATTGGTATTACTACATAAATCTAATTCTCAATTGTCTAATTTGCATTTGACTGACAAATATACAGCACATGAATTTTATTGGCCTTTTTATGTTGAATCAAAGTAATTCAAGTGGATGAAAATATTATCTGCTATAAGGCCTAAATCTTTCTGTGAGTGTGCTGGTACCTTAATGTTTGGCATTATATCTCCTGGTATACGATATAGAGATGGAGTTATTTTTAATTTATGTCCAACCTGTATTTTTATTGATCTTTTTGCTTCTAAATGAACTTTTGTGACCTTCCTTCCCTTGCTTTTTTTTCACCAGTGTGGAAGACACTCTCATCCCTGCTTCTGTCATGGCCTCTTACTCACCAATGGACGGGTAATCTTTCCATTCATCCTAGAAAATGAATTTCATTGATCATGGACAAGGCAATCAATAATGAATATTGTCTTTTTGGTTTAACAGCAAATCCTCCTACTCCAGCACTGAGACTGTGACAGTGAGAAGCGGCACTAATGGGTGAGTTACTGTGGAAAAAAAACAACAACACAATAACATTAAACACCAGACAGAAAGATACGAATATTCTGTTCTGTTTTTTTTTTCAGAGATTACAGAACTACAACCACAACAAGATCCTCCTCTTCAACGTATGATCTACTAATGATCAGAGAACAAACACACCAAATAAACACTCACAGAAAAGTATCACTGAGAATAATCATGATGTTGTCTTAACAGTGCTGAAGATGATCTGTATGACAAACTGCTGCCCAGAGCCATAACATCAAGCCTGAACTCTCCGATCAGGTGAGATTTCTCTATAAATACATTTAAACAAAACAAACAATCATTCTTTCTAACTGTCAGTTAAACGTTATGTTGCCATTGCAGCAGTAGCAGCAGCAGCAGCACCATCACAAAGCGGGAGATCATCTCTGTAGACAGCGGCAGAGGGTGAGTGCTGGAAATTTATGAGTCAAAATATGAATTATATCTTTGTTTAGTCAGTCTGATCTCCCCTGACTTTGACTTTTGACATTTAGATTGGAAAGTCCAACTTTGTCATCACCATCCTCCACCCGCAGAACCACCAGGTAAACAAAATGACTAACACACAATGCATTTCAATGGAAATTAACCAGAAGAAGCTAAGGGCATGGAGAGTTCAAATCGACAGAAACAGAAAGTTCCTCACAGGAACTTTAACATGCTGATGTTAAAACTGAAGTAGCACCTACATGTACAAACTGCATAAAGAAAGGCAGTATTTACTTGCTACAAAATCCACTTAATTGTTATTCATCTTTGTCAAACAGCTACAGTTCCTACAGTGATGACATCCCCTCTCTTCGCACCACCTCCTACACCGTCAGTACCAAGTCCAGGTAATCTTCTTTCATCTCTGCTTCTGCATAAACAAACAGATCTAAGTATTGCTGCAATCTTTCTTTTTTATTCAAATAATGACTTATGTCATTCCAAACAGCGACCCCTATGATGTTGACAGTAGAAGCTCAACCTACACCATCGGTACCAAGTCCAGGTAATCTTCTTTCATCTCTGCTTCTGCATAAACAAACAGATCTAAGTATTGCTGCAATCTTTCTTTTTTATTCAAATAATGATATATGTCTATCCAAACAGCGACCCCTATGATGTTGACAGTAGAAGCTCAACCTACTCCTACTCCAGACCAGACTCCAGGTAAGAAACAAGGAAAATAAGGACTGTAAGCTACTCTCTTGTTTTCTTTAAGTTCACAGAAAGTTCAATGTTTTTCCAAACTCAATGTATGATATGTGGTTAATTTTGTCTCTAAATAGTTACGAGTACACCAGTATCACCGGACCGTCTTCCTACAGCTCCACAACCTACAGGAGCAGCAGGTATTCAATGATGTTTGATGTGGTTTGCTTTCAAATAAGACTTTGTTAATTATACAGGCTGATAACTATGTTACTCTCACAGCAGCAGGTCGGATGACGGTCTGTCAGATTCTCTCTACTCCAAATCCTCCACAAAGAGTCTGTACTCATCTTCAGACAGGTAGGAGAAGTGTGAAAACATTTTGTCTTTACCTTGGGAATAGTAGTCTAACAGAAAAGACTATGCAAGTATAGAAGGAAACTAGTTATTAATGGCGTTTCCATAAACCAACAAACTCAAGGAGGGCCTTGAAATCAAGTCTTTGGGAACCATAAATGTCATGGATATAAACATTCATATAGATATGTTCCACTCTACTATTAATGGCATTTTGTTCTAGTTGAAGATGTTTAACTAAAATGGTTAACCAAGAGGTGGGGTTAAAGAAAAGTACAGAAATTGCCAGGTACATGAGTGGTGGACTGATGTACCAATTAAAGGACATAGCCAGTCCTTCAACTAGAGCATGGCCACAGATCTTGTCAGCATCAGCATGGATTTTTTTCATGTTTCACAAGCAAAATAAAATATCTTGGACCGAAAATTTTGATAATGTTTTTAATTTGTTGCACTTCATACAGGGCTGTGCTTGAGAAGGACCTGTGCACCTACTGCCATAAGCCATTCGATGGTGATGCCAAGATGGTCCTGGAGGAAATGAAGATCAATTGCCATGCTACCTGCTTTAAAGTAAGCTGATCGGTTTTTGTTGATACAAACAAGCAGTGACTGAAGAGTACTTCCCTGGATACCATGCTAAAGCCGAAACAGTGATACCACATACTATATGATAACTTATACAATGTGGTGTGACAGAAAAGCACATTTTAATTCAGTGTGACCCAAATGAAACCTATGCAACATGCAGCGGACTGCTCAACGTATATTTCCTTTTCACATTAGTGTTTGTGTGTGTCTTTACAGTGTGAGGTGTGTAAAAGCACTCTGGCTCATCTGAAAGCTGGGGACAGCATGTGGGTCTACAAGCACATGGTGCACTGTGAAAACTGCTTTGAGACAACCAGAGGTAAAAGTTTTGTTTGCTTAAAAAAAACAAAGAATAATACCTTTACAGTGATGGAAACACTTTGTGATAACACCTAATTTTATTTTTCCCCACAGAGAGATGGAAGCGCTGAGTTTTTCCCAGGCCTTCTCTTGGGTTACAAGACAAGCAGCCACAAGAACACAAGGTTTAATAACAAGCAGTCAAATAATAATCGACAATTTGGGTTACATGGGATCTACTGGACTTATATTTTAACCAGCTTGCAAAGCTCTGTCTGGCTCATTCGACAGATATATTTTGAATGTACTTTTTGATATCATTGCAAGTAGTTTTATCTGTGCTCTTCACACTACTGTCTCTGTTTCTATCCCCTTCATAAGTTTGACATAGCACGTCTTGTTTATCTTTGTCTGGACCATTAGGGGGACTTTTGTGTGTTACCTAATATGACATATTACAGGATTTAGGGCCGGGGGGTTTTTCTTTGTGCAATAAAGAGAATTGAACATCCTGACCCAAAATGTGGTAAAGATGTGTCATATAAAAGGTGTGTGCTTTCTTTCAAATCAGATAATTATTGCCATTTTCATCTTTCATGTGTGTTTAAGAACAGTGATTAATTATATTTCTCTTTGTTGTAAAAAAAAATAAAGCCTGCAGTAGTCAAGTGGAATAAAGTGGAATAAAGGCAAAGTAAAATGTGTTACAAAAAGGGTCTTTTCACACAAAACGGTCTGTCTTTTACAGTATTTTTTTAAATTCAAAGTTTATTATTTTTCCAATGTTGTAAAAGGCAAACGAACATCAAACAGAGCAGATATAATGGAGGTCAAAAATAGTATTAATAATAAAATAAATCAATAAACAAAAGAAAATAAAAATAAGACAGGCAGGTAAGTTGGCAAGGCACGGAAGTTAACATATCTGTCCACCATTTTCACAGTTTAATCCCCAACAACTGTGTTTTCCACATACTCAGTGTGGGCACTTGGGGTTCCCTCAAACAGTTTAAGAACAACGTTTCTCAAAGTACAATTGGAAGGAATTTAGGGATTTCAACATCTACGGTCCATAATATCATCAAAAGTTTCAAGAATCTGGAGAAATCACTGCACATAAGCGGCACAGCCGGAAACCAACATTGAATGCCTGTGACTTTTGATCCCTCAGGCGGCACTGTATCAAAAACCGACATCAATGTATAAAGGATATCACCACATGGGCTCAGGAACACTTCAGAAAACCAATGTCAGTAAATACAGTTTGTCACTACATCTGAAAGTGCAAGTTAAAACTCTACTATGCAAAGAGAAAGCCATTTATTAACAACATCCAGAAACCCCGCTGGCCTCTCTGGGCCTGAGCTCATCTAAGATGGACTGACGCAAAGTGGAAAAGTGTTCTGTGGTCTGATGAGTCCACATTTCAACTTGTTTTTGGACATAGTGGACGTCGTGCCCTCTGGGCCAAAGAGGAAAAGAGCCGGCATCTATGATGGTATGGGGGTGCATTAGTGCCCAAGGCACGGGTAACTTACACATCTGTGAAGGCAACATTAATGCTGAAAGGTACACACAGGTTTTGGAGCAACATATGCTGCCATCCAAGCAACGTCTTTTTCATTGACGCCCCTGCTTATTTCATCAAGACAATGCCAAGCCACATTCTGCACGTGTTACAACAGAGTGCTGGTACTCGACTGGCCTGCCTGCAGTCCAGACCCGTCTCCCATTGAAAATGTGTGGCGCATTATGAAGCATAAAATACGACAACGGAGACCCCGGACTGTTGAACAACTGAAGCTGTACATCAAGCAAGAATAGGAAAGAATTCCACCTTAAAAACATCAACAATTAGCCTCCCCAGTTCCCAAACGTTTATTGAGTGTTGTTAAAAGGAAAGGTGATGTAACACAGTGGTAAACATGCCCCTGTCCCAACTACTTTGGCACGTATTGCAGCCATGAAATTCTAAGTTAATTGTTATTTTAAAAAAAAAATGATGATGATAAAGTTTATGAGTTTGAACATTGAATATCTTGTCTTTGTAGTTTATTCAATTGAATATAGGTTGAAAATGATTTGCAAATCATTGTATTCTGTTTTTATTCACAATTTCCCACACCAATGGAATTGGGTTTTGTAGTTCACAAGTGAAAGAACATGTCAGTAACTAGTGAACTAGTAAGGGGAGCTTCTAAATAATCTATCAAACCTCAGATAGGCTGCATACTTTTTATGGGCTCTGATGTGTGTTTAATGTGCCCATAATGAATACTTCCTCAGCAGTGGTGTGATGGGAGTTGAACTTCAAGCTGCTGACCAATCAGAGACCGGCTGTGCAATCATCCCAGAAGCAGCAGCAGCATCAGTGTGTAGCTGAGTGTGTGTGAGTGAGCGCGTGTGTAGTAGCTTTATACGGGGGAATCTGGACACCCTCTCTGAATTGAATAGGACCCTCTGCAGGCAGGCCGTGCTTTTTTGCCCCTCTCAATGTGCGTTTTACCAAATGGAAGCAGAGGTGTTGAGCCCCCAGATGATGGCAGACGTCAATGGCAACAATAAAATCACCAACGCAGAGCTGGAGGTGCTGAAGCTTCAGGAATTGGTCCGAAAATTGGAGAAGCAAAACGAACAATTGCGGACCAGAGCTAACGCTGTAAACAATTGCTCAGTCGGCCCTCATCTCCAGACCTCGTTGTCGTGTTTGCACGTCGGTACGTCGTGTGCGAGTGACAATTTCTCCAGTAAATATGACATTTCTAGTCCGACCCAGTCGCATCCCTGTGCCCCCGCTGGATCTCGGGGTTCACCGGAGGAGCTGTTCGCCTATTTTCAGCCCAGCTCGTCGTCTCCTGACTCGGCTGGGGAGGACAGCGGCGCCGATGGGGAGACGACTGTTTTGGATGAGGTTGATATTTTGGACCTGAACATCGTGCTCCCTGTTGGAGAGCCTGATAGCTGGTAAATACTATGTATCAATCTCTTTACATATGTTACATTTTGACAATTGACAGTATAGTAATACATCTGACGCTTGTTTTTGTGAACCCTGAAAGATGCCTTACAGGCCACTGGATTGGCAATTAGCCACAGTTTTGTGACATTATGTGAAATTCTACCCTGCCATGTATCCCACTATTGATCTCATTATTGATTCCTCCTCTGGTGGAGTAGACTTGCAGACACCTTGCAAACAGTGAGTCTTTCTGGGAGGAGAGAGAAAAAGAACAAAAACAGATTTGACACAAGCTTTTGTGCATCCCACAATGCACTGTGCTTGCAGCCTAAGTATTTATTCAGAGTAAGACAGCAGTGGGATGAAATTAGAAACAATGACCCCCTTCAGCCTGTGATCAAACAGCCTGGCTTAGCTTGTAGTGTTTAGCCCCCGGGCTGAACTACTTTGAAGCTGTGTATCTGCTGACTTAGGTAGCACACTCACTGACATGCTGACTACTGAACCATCTCCAGCTTTATGTATCTGAAGTGATGATGTGGAAAATGTAGCACACAGTCAAGTACAGAGTCAGTATCCTTTCTCCATTTAACTCGACTAATTGACCTCAAGTCAGTGTAATATCATGGCCTAGTTGCAGCGGAAGAGCTCACTTCTGATGGTTCATTGCTTTGACTTGAGCTTAAAAAGTGATACCATTTTTTTTTTCTAGTGTCATTCATTACTGGACTTATGCACTCTTTTGGAGCATACCTAGACGTATTTCTGTTTTTCTTCATGAACTTTTACTAAATGTGAAATTCAGTATCAGGCAGCCTAATTTAAACTCTCTATTAACTCCATTATTTAGCCTGTAGGCTTTTAATTATGCCCTCATTTGACCTGCTGTTTAAAATGTACAAAAAAAATCTAATTTGGCTTCTTCATATTCTTGTATTATATGATACAATTTTAATATGCCACAGTCTGAATTTTCTATTGGTTAATTTTCTCCCTGCAGCACGTTTTTTACACACATATCATGCATCACTCATGGTTTTGTTGTCAGGAAAATGGTGATTTTGAATTTCTGCTTTGCATTTGCAGTTTTATTTCATAAGCTCCCCTCACAATACGCACATTAAAAATGCAATTATCTGTCTGAGGTACTCATCTGAGAGATATGGCAACTATGAAATTCATCCCTACAGATCTATTGAGATACATAGAAAAGCAAAACTGTGCAAACAATGTAAATGAATACAGTACAACCTGAACAGGCAAGCATTTCCTTTGACTGCACATTGACAGTAGGAACCTCAAGTAAAGCATTCAGTACTGGTATTATTTGTTAGCCAATCATGAATTTAGGTAATAAAAAAACAGTTGTCCTTCATTTTTTAAATAAAGCATATGAGAATGCTATGATGATAGGGGCCATGGGCCAAACATTTTCAGGTAGAAATAACACAATTTATTACCCATTAGGTACCAAAAGCTAGGCTAAACAGCTAACATTAGCCTATAAACAAGTTTGATGTGTACCAAGAACTTTGCAAAGCTGTTGTTTTAAAATTTGGCCTGATTTGTCTGACTTTTGACTTATAGGCAGCTGATGCAGTCTTTCTGTTTGCTAGGAATTAATGCTTCCCTGTTTTAAAATGCTGTAATATCAAGTCATACTAAAATGCTAGTTGTAGCTGTTTTGTAATAGTAGCAAGTGGGGTATCAAATGTAAAGGCGAGGGTAATATTACTTTTAGCTTGTCAGTGTTACCAATTTACCAATTAAAAGAGTTTATATCTTCTTATTATAAAGTGCTGTAATATGAAATAGCAGGAGCTTGGTATTTGAATGATAACTGTAGTTGTTAATTCAAAGCAGCCAGTGGGTCATTGAGAAAGTAGAAACATTTCATCCATTTTTCCCAGTGTTTGATAAATTTGGCTTTTTATGCTCTCAAATAAAAGTTATTCTTCACATCACAAAGATGATACATGAGACCAGTCCATTAATCTTTACAAGATCTTTTCTTTTTCAGCCATTCTTAGTTCAGGACTTTTTACTCTTTACGCACCACCAATAATATTCATATAAGATATTTTTGTCATTCTCTCTCTTCACTCAATTCCTCTAGATCTACTTGATAAAATAACTTTAAATTGAAAGGATTTTTAAAATTAAAAAGGCAATTTCTAATGTATTATAAGATTTTATCTATTCTTTCATACATACCTCAGTTTAAAACAGAAGTATATCTACCTCAGCTATTATATAATGACCTATTTATATATTTTTCTGTCACTCAGTATTCCTCCGCACTCCTCACCAGTGCACTGCTACTTAAAACAGTCTTGTATGTCTAAGTTAAATGTCTAAGCTTGTACACATTTGTGTAATATTTAATGTTTAATGTTTGTACATAGAGAGCAAAGTCTACTGGAGTCAATTTCCTTGTATGTGTACACATTCTAGGCCAGTAAAGCTGATTCTGATTGGATTGGATCACAATTCTAAAAAGTACTCCTATGTGGCCTGAAGCATGTGTTTTTTTATTATTATTATTTACTGTCTTTTAGCTGTTTATCAATAGGAAAATTGTGAAATGGTGGCTAAAGCTTCTCAGTTAATAAGATTTGCTAAACTGGAAGTTAACAGAACAATTTAAGAACAGCTTTGGATCTTCCTATGCTGACTGACTGACTGCCAAGTAAAAATGACTGAATTGGCTCATCTGTAATGGTATCAGTATTAAACTGTGTGATATGTTATCTGCTCCAGGTTGTACGTTAGCCACAGAGCCAAACTGCAGGGTGAGAGTGTCCTCAGCCCTCTTCAGTGGTGCAGGCAGGTCCTGGATCACCCCGGGCCTGAGGCGGAGCTGGCCAAGATGACCCTCTGTCATAGACTGGACCAAGGTACTGTGTGTTTTCCACTCTCAGATTAACAGCTGTCATCCGTTCCCACATCTGGACATCTGCTGACATGTGATCATAAGCCGTGACACACTTTGCCCACAAAATGTCTCCACGTGCGGCAGGATTTTATCAACAGCGTCTGAGCCGTGGGAGTGTTTCTCTGCACCCAGCTCAGTTCTTACCACCATTTGACTATTTAACTCACTCTTGTTAAATTTATGGGTTTTTAAGTACCTCAAGTTTCCCACAGAGTGTTTTTCTATCCGTGGTTGCAGAATTGGAGAGGCTCCCATTTACACCTACCAGTGTCTCCAGAGAAAAGTGAAGATCAGTTTAAGGGATTTGTTACTGGCTGTTATTAGAGCACAACTCCATTTGGAGGAAGTCATGCTGTGCTGTTGAACGGTATTACACCATGTTAAGTAGAAGGCAGTGTAGAGGGGATTATAAAGCTGTGGTAATAAAATCACCATTCAACTAAAACACCAACAAGTGGTTTAACACACATGTATTGTAGTTTTAACAGAATGTGAACAACATCAATCCTGTTTTCATATTCTTATACATTTTCATGCTAACAGATATGAATACTGATGCCACTCTCATGTCTGTACTTTTTCCAATCTTGAACCAGACGTTGGTAAAACAAGCATATCACAAAGATTATAAAAACATGAGTCAAAGAATGAGCACTTAGTTTCACCTTAGATTTCCTAGTCTTACATAATCAATGAGTTTTCAGGATGTAGTCATGGTAATATGCTTGGAACTGAGTCTGTGGTTCTCACAAGCATTGCAGTTTTTCACAGTTTGTGCTTTGAGATGAAAAATAAATCCAGCCAAGGATAAACTTGATACATGAATTTTCCAGTCTTTAAAAAAAGTGTTTGCCAACTAGTGGCTGACAGCGACTGTGATTTTGTCGCAGTAGTCTGGGGTAATGCTGTGGATCTCCCAAAAAGTAAGACTTTTCATATTGTGCAAACAAGATTTTAACTTGTGCTCATAATAGCTGTGGGTTTCCAGTTTGGGAGAAATCTCTGCTCTTCGCAGATGATGTGGTTCTGTCCTGCTGGGACCCCGCAGCGGGCATTGAGGCGGTTTGCAGCCAAGTGCAAAGCTGTTGGGATGACAATCAGCACCTCTAAATCTAAGACCATGGTTTTCTGCCGGAAAAGGGTGGATTGCTCTGGGTGGGTGGGAAGCTAGTTTTCGCCCAAAGTGAAAGAGTTCAGGCACTTTGTGGTAAAATGGGTCATGAGATTGGCGGGCAGATTGGTGCAGTGTCAGCTGTAATGTGGGTGTTGTCCTGGACTGTTTCAGTGAAGGGGGAGCTGAGCCAAAAGACTAAACTTTGGAAATACCCATTAATCTAGGTTACAACCCTCACCAATGGTCAGGAGCTGGCAGTAGTGACCAAAAGAATGGGATTGTGGATACAATTGACTGAGTTTCCTCCAGAGGGTGGCTGGGATCAACTTTAAGGGTTAAAAGCTCAGACATCCAGAGGGAGCTCAGTGTACAGATGCTTTAAAAGGAGCCAGCTGAGGTGTTTCTGGTATATGATGGGGATGCCTCTGAGGGGCCTCCCCATGGAGGTGTCCTTGGGTTCGGCCACTGAGGTGGAGAACCCAAGGTAGGCCCAGAGCTGGAGGGATTGCATGTTCCATCTGGCCTGGGAGGGCCCTAGCATCCCACATGAAGAGCTCTGAAGCATGGCTGAGGAGAAGGAGGTCTTGTTGACGTGCTGAGACTGCTGACCAGATCCTGAATGAACAGAAGAAAAAATAACATCTGTGCACAGTGTAGCTGTCTTGTGGGATGAATAGACATGAATAGATATCGCTTGGATGTACAAGGTAAAATTTTCAGTTTTTGGAACTTGGTGGGCCTGTTACGATACTAACTTCCAGGTAAAAAATATATATTTTTAAAGACCAATCTTTATCCTGTGTGAAGCAATGTGTAGTCGTCTTTACCTTTCAGTTTTTACACTCTAGTTTTAAAGGATGTGGCTGGTTAAATTTGTCACTATCTGGTTTAGCCAGCTTAGCTATTTTCTGGGTTTTCGTATCCTGATGCCAAGCTCAGCAAACTAGCTGCCAGCTCTCATCTTCTTATCAAAGGATAGACATGAGAGAGGCATTGTTATTTCCATCTAATACTCTGCAGGCTTGAAAACTAGTTTGTTTTTAAAAAATGTAAAGCACATACTAGACAATAAGCTTGGTCCCCATCTCATTATTGCCATCATTAAAAAAATGAATCTATTACAGCAGTCTTTCAATTTCTCACAAAGCAAACGTTTCACTGAGGCGAAGACTGTCCTCTCAATCCATAATCATCTGAAACCTGATATATTCTGTATTGATTACAGAGCAGAGCTGACACAGCATGCACAGCTCTCGGTAACGGCTACATTAGAGTACATCTACATGCTCATCACTGTTCTCATAGGGAACAAACAGGAACATTTACTTCACTTGATGATATATGAGCATGTTGAGAGTTTCTGAAACAAGCATGCCATGTTAGGATTCATAACTGTGATACAAGTGTGGACCCTGTTTCAGTATCGGCGCTATTCAGTTTCTACAACCATGCAAGGACAGGGGTATGGTTGCCATAGAAACTCTGCTTATATCAAGTAGGTTTTTGAGCCAGATTTGACCAGTACTCGCTGCCCAAACTGCCTTCAGAAAAGGCTCCAACACTGCTGCACACACGGATAGAAGCTGTATGTGTCCTCACTTCAAAATATAAAGATTTTTCTGGGATCAATTATCCTCACATTATAGATCTCTTGTCCCTAAACTTTGTGTATTTATTGGTGCTTGTTTGGTTGTTCATTAGTGTGTTTGTGTACGGTCTTCGGTCCTTCTCTTGCTCTAAAGCTGTATTCAGAGAAGGTTGGCTCTCCTCCTCTGGGTCATGAATACATCCTTGTCTTTGGGTTTCAGTAGCTGTTGTTTGTGTAACTTGCTGTGAATGCTAGTTTTATCCAGTAGTAGTTGAGCCTAATTGTGTCAGGAATGCCAAAAGCTCCACTCTGTCAGACTCAGGTGTGCTTCTCTGACTGTCAATAAGGCGACAGAAGTCAGTGTTTACAAACTAAACACACATCATCATCATCTTACATAATCTCATGCAAACTCTACTCACTCATCCTCAGCAGTAGTTTCATATACAGCAGCTGAGAAAAAAACATTTCTAAAAAGGCAACATGTCTATTTTAAGCTTGGATAGGGATGCTTTCTCTCACTGAAGGTGGGATCACACTTATGAAAAACCTCAATTTTTAAAATGTTATATAAACTTCAACTCTGCAGCCCTGCAGCAAAGATGATTCTGGTTTTGACTCACAGACAAAGCTTTACCTAGAGGAGGTCGAATGTTGAAATTTCCACCACCACTATAAACAAGAGATTGCTTGAGGTGCTACATAATATAAGTATCATGGTTCAGTTGTGTTTACAGATGAACTGAATAATACATTTGTGTAACATTCCTCCTCTGAAGTTGTGTGCATCTCATGAACAGCGCTTTCCTCTAACAGTGCAGTTGTTTTACAAGGACTATTTCAATATTCCTTTTATGTTATATTTCTATTACTTTGAAGCACTACCATACAGGTAGCTCACTTGACTCAATCAGCTCAATTTGTTGTTGTCTTCTGTGTGCGAGTGCGTCTCACTGATGTCGGATGTTCTCTGCAGGCACTTGTAAAGTGTTCCTGAACTTGTATCACTGTGTCTAAGTGAATGAAATGGCCTTGTATTACCACTCTGCTCATGTTTTGAGAGCATATTTATTGTCACTGCTCTCACTGTGTCTGCTGTGTCTGCACGAGTGGAGTGATGATTTGTTTCTGGCCAGCAGCTCAGAGGAGGAGAGGACTAGTACGTCGTTATGTACGTTTAAATCAAAGCTGCCCATTTGATTTCTTCGTCCTTTTCCGAGCGCAGCAAAATGCAGTGATTCATCTTGTTCATAGCATCCTTCTCATAATCATATAAGTTTAAAGCAGAGGTAACTTAATGCTTTTAAAACAGTAAAAGCCAGTTACAGCTTGGTATTGTACTCATTGATTTTTTCCATTGTTCTGCTGATACCACACAGTCCAAATGGTGGAGGGGGGGGGTTAGCGCCGACAGGTGGCACAGTGGCTTGGTGGTTATGGCTGCCGCCTCGTTGCTGATTTTGGGAATAGGATGAAGCCTACATATTCAATCCCTGCTTATCCTGAGATCCCCAGCAAAAAAATCAGTAGTTAAGCCCAATAAGCTCCAGTGGTAAGCCAGACCTCTTCTCACTGTATCAGCCTCCTCTGCTGAGGCCGTGACCCAATCATATAAAACATCAACTCGTAGCTTTTGGAAGCAGATTAGCATTAGAATCAACTATGTTTAGTGTGTTTGTGTTTGGATATGTGTATGTGTCACTGTGTTACTAATAGAGCAATCATACTAACGTATCTTTTCCTGCTATCTTGTGTCCAGCTAAGCGGAGGCGAGGGGTCTCCTCAGTCCGTCCTTACAGCTGCATAGAGGGGCTTTCCGCCCTCAGCTGCCCCGTCCTGCCTTACTCTAAATCTGCTGCACTAACCGAGTCCCCAGGTAACACTAACATGCACCTCTTATAACTCCGACTAACCATAACACACTCAATCTGTCTTCTGATAGGCTTAAAGGATTATAGATTATTGGTGTCTAAAATTGAACAGGTCAGAAATGATAGATGTCAGACTTTCAGTGTTTGTCCGGTGCAGCTACTCGCCAAATCCAAACATGCCATAATGATTCGTAATCTCTCTGTCACATCGCTTCAGATGCTGCCTGTCACATATCAGTTTGAACCATTTTTACTGAACTGACCATTGGAAGAGGAAATAATGAGACCACAAAAGCATCTGTTTTAGTGCAATAAATCATATTATTATGTATATTCTGTACATTGTAAATATGACTCATGTACATATCTTTTTCTTAACTTAACTCTAAGTTTTTTTATCCTTTAATTTCTCTTTTTGAGTTTGTACTATGCTGCTGTAAATTTGGAATTTCCACCTATGGAAGTATTAAAGGAACATCTTATCTTATCCTGTCTTATCTTATCTTATCTTATCTTATCTTATCTTATCTTATAAATATAGATCTAATAAATAAAACAGCTGAGTGACAGAAAGATGGTCGTTATTGAACAGTACAACTATTTTGTTTCGAGATGAGATATTTATTTAAAGGTCAAAATGATTATTTAGTGGTTATTAATAGTATTGAAATATTACTTTGTCTTGTTATGGCTAATAATTCTTAAACCATTAACAGTGTGGTTGAATTAACACTAATCATCAACACGCATTAAGTATGAATCCTACTGCATTATTTGTTCAAATTAACCACCAGTGAGCTTTGGTTCTGGCCAAACATTGAACTTAAGATAAAACAAGCTTCACTGCCAATTTAAAACCAACTCTTTCTTTTAACCTCACGACCATTTCTCCATTTCATTAGCTGAGTAATAAAACACACGACCAAAAGCATCTGTTCCTCCTGTAACCCAGATACTGGGTCAACCTGTTACTTGCAGTTTACCATCAGATTACAGCAAAATCTCAAGAAGAGATTATCAGGTTGCTCCGTGAGACAGATGGATAGAGGAAGCTTAGACCCCCTGAAAGAAAACATTTAGTGTGTTCCTCCATGTTTTACATTAACATGAATTCAATTGACTGCAAGTTGACCTCACATTAGCATGCCAGCCTGGTTATTTTGACTGAGTATTCTCTCTTTCTCTCTAAGCCCCGTTGCCGTCCTCCAGTCCGTCCTATATCCAGCCGTCTCTCCCTATCAGGACCAGCTGCAGCCTTGGAGACAGAGCGCCTACCTTCCTATCAAACTCAACTCTCCACAGTAAGACCCTCCTGACAGATTGTCTCCTTCTCTTTGTCATCCTGTCTGCTGTTTTAACACGAGTCACCGTGTGTCAGTAATCATTAAATACACCTTACAGTAGTCGCATAAACACCCTCTCTCTGCCTGGATCACATTTGTGTCGTTCATGACGCTTCTGTCCTCTGCTGTAGACGGTATATATCTAAAGAGGAGAGATGACGTACTTCTTTGTGTTTTTGTAGATGTTGGTCGCAGGCACGCAGCAATCAGCCCTCAGTCTTCCCTGGACAGTGAGGTGGGTGTGTCAGAGCTGGAGGACGACTCCATCTCTATGAGCTACAAACTGCAGGACATGACAGATGTGGAGGTCATGGCACGACTTCAGGAGGAGAGTGAGTGACTTTTGTTTTTTTGAATTGATAAAAAAAGAGGATGTGTTTTCAATTGTTTTAAGATATTAGAATTGTGTTTCTGCTTCTTGTCATGCTTTGTAGACCATCAACTGAAAATTTATTCAAAATAAAAACAAGTACGAAGTGAAATGTAACGCTGAGACCAACTGGGTTATCAAAGGAGACATAGGTGAAACACATGGGGGAGCAATCAAACAAGGAAGAAACTTGAAATGGCAAGAAGTAAAACTAAACCTGACATGCTGAAGTAAGAACTTATGAAATAAAGCTAGAAAGAATCAGGGCATAGGACTGAAGAGACAGTGCACACAAGGAATAGAAGAATAGAAAGACAATGACATGAGAAAGTAACACAAGATTTAACACTGAAGTAATAGGAAAGCTAAAACAGGAACTACCCTTCTTAAAGGGTAGAAGACAGGGTATGAACGACAAAACAACACAATAAATGCTGAACACACAAAAAGGAAAAAACAGAACTGAACTGTGACGATCATAACTCTTGTTTCTGTCACGTTTAATTTGAGGTTACATTTTTTTAACCCAGCTGTGTATTTTTAAGACCTTGATTATACAAGTGTGAAGTTTTATTCAATCTGTGATATTCAGCTCTCTGGAAACCCTAAAATGTATCATTTCTGATGTATGACTAGAGCTGAGTTATTCTGATAGATGTTTGACCTTTGAGCTATTGAACCTGAGCAGGCCATGGTATCTTGATGAGCTGCTAAATTATGCAGCAGATTTCAGAAAAAAAAGTGCATTCCTGTATAAGTCTGGACTCCAGATTCATTGACTGAATAATAGATGAGTGGCGCCCCCAGAAGGAAATGTATCGCGCATATATGTGAAGCTGAGGTTGGTGTTTCACAAAGATAAAAGCATTGATCCATCGCCCCACAGGTCTCAGACAGGACTACGCCTCTACCTCAGCTACGGTCAGCCGTCGCAGCTCCAGCTTCTCCTTACACTCCCTCAGGCGAAGTGAGATGGATCTGGAGGAGGAGGATGAAGAGGACGAGGTGTACGACCAGCTCCCTCCTCCCCAGCCTCGACTCTTCCGCACAGGGTCTATGCAGCGGGGCAGCCTGCCCCACTCCCACACCTTCTCCAGTATCAGAGACTGCAGACGCAGCTCCATCACCCCTCAGTTTTCTCTCAGCGGACTCTCACAGTACTCTGGACCCTCTAGCCTGACCACAGAAACACACACAGCATACAGGAACAGCACAGGTGAGTCCTCAAGTCCACCTCATAATTTAACATCTACGAACATCAAACGTGACTACACGGGCTCAGATTCAGAGAGCGAGATTAATATGAATGTCCTAATTCAGGCGGAACAGATTTACCCACATTCAAGATGCCCCCAAAATTTTCTGACTAGACAATCTTTGTGTGTGCCAGGAAGGGTTTAGTGTTGGTTACAGGATTTAGAGGAACATCCGTAGTTTGGGGGTCAGTGTCCCTTCCCACTCAGTGACATGACTACTTCATGTTTTTGTCATAAAAACAGAATCTGCTTTCACATTGGTCAGATTTCAGGCTGAGTGAGAGGAAAAGTGTTGGCTTATTTTCTTTTCATGCAGTAAGTTACATGAGTAGATCTGTACAAAATATGTGATAAAAATGTTCTTTGCAAAGCTGAATATATGAGCCTAGCAGCTCTAAAGCTCACATTATATCTTGTTTGTTTTATACTTACAAAAAGAATCATGTAAAATGAACAAATTTTAAGGATTATTTATTTACGGCGATTATTCCTTCGGTTTGTGAAACTCCAAATAGAAGCGACATTAATCTGGTTTCTTGAAATGCTCACATAGACAAGCTACGGAGAAGCATGCCTAACCTGATCCGAGCTCCCAGCATGCCCAGTGTTCCCAGTATTCCATGCCTGGCTTCCCCTGTCAACCCCCCCTCACACGGCCCCTCCTCCTTACCAACGATCCCCTCCCTCCGGAGCAGCCAGAGCTTTGACTCGTCCAATGGGCTCGCACGGCTCCAGTCCTCCAGTAAGACTTTTCCTCCAGTCTATGAATAAATCAGAATAACACGGCTCTCTTTCTTATTCATGAGTGAATGTAGAGCACTGTTTTTCTGATATCACAGTCATCTCTACTCTGTCGTATTCAATTGACCTTTTTTCTTCTGTATTTCAGTTCCTTCCCCAGGTCAGCTCAATCAGAGGGTCCAGAGCGTGGGCAACTTCCCCACTACTCCCAGACACCCTCTCAAAGCCACGGCTTACGTCAGCCCCACCGTGCAGCAGGGACCCACCTCCACCTCCCTGTCGTCCTCCGTCAGTCTACACTCCATCCCCAGCAGCGCCGCTCTGCCTCAGCCCCTCAAACCCAGCAACAGCACCAGTCTGGTACCACAGCCCCTCAAAGCCAGCACCAACCAGCCGGCCGTCCCTCGCAGTTCCCTTCCTCGCCCGGCCTCTTTTGTGGGAACAAGTGGAGTCCCTCGTCCAAGTAAAATCGGCCAACCAACACGCAGGTAAGAGCAGAAATACTAAGTGAGTTTATTGTACGTGGTGTTACGCCCCATCCGAAGGAGTGATTTATTGTTACAAAATAACAAAATTATGAACTAAACACAAAGAATCCACAACACAAATGTGGGGCAGCAGGGCAGCCATTCCCTCACCAATTGCCTCTGCAGACTGCAGGCAGCTCTGGGTCTTTAAAGTCTCAGCACCAGGTGAGTCTGATTGGCACTCAGTGATTTCACCTGGGCAGCTATTGGGAGACAAAAGGGGAGGGGCACACACACAAAACACACAGCTGTAGCACTTGGGCTTTTTAATAAAGTGCACACAAAATACTCAGTAGGGCTTTCTGACAAACCGTAACTTATGGAAGTAGTGTTCTCCTTTCATGAACCACACAATGACAGTTTAAAAAAGAAACGTGGTGAAACATTTTGAGGAGTCTCAAACAAAATTCGTTTTAGAAAACACGTTTTACAGTCAGTATTACTCAGTAAAACAATAATCAACAACCCACCATCTCAAAAGATTAGAATATTCAGAAACACCAGAAATGTCAACCTTCTAGAAAATTATGTTCATTTGTACTCAGGACTTGGTCACGGCTTCTTTTTCATGAATTACTGCATCAAAGAAATCAGTCTGCCGGGGTGTTATGAAGCCCAGGTTGCTTTAAGAGCTCCTTCAGCATATCTCTGTTATTGGTTCTAGTGTTTCTCATCTTTCGCAGAGATTCTTCACTTTGTATGTAAAGAATCTAGAATATATGTAAGTTTTACTTTTTTAATGAAATTGTGTGGGAAAATTAACTTTTTGGGGGGAAATTCTAAATTTTTGAGCTGCAATAAAAATAGAAACAACCATAATCAGATTTTGAAGCTTGTTTCATCTTTAAGCCACTTTTCAAGCAACAATGAAAAACATGTATTTGTTCAAGAATTTTATAAAGAAGTTACCACTCTTCTTTCGCTCATATTAAGGCAAAATTATGTACTTTAGTGTTCTTACAAAGAAAAAAAAACATGTAATCATGTCTCCTCTTCTAGGGTATCCAGATATCAGTATTATTAATTGTTTAAGAGTGTTTTTAGAAGAAATGCTAATGAAAAAAAAAGCTGCAGTTTATCTTGTTTAATAGATAAAGGCAAAATGTAATTAGTCCTGTTTTAAATCCCTCTGCTACCTGGTTCAGAACGAAGTATGAAACTGGGTCTTACACAGGCATTTCTTTTGTTTCTTATCAGAGAGGTGATATAGTTTAAGGTATTTAATTAAAGACAAGCTTTAAATATCTGCTTGGTCATGAAACTTATTAATATAAATGTTATTTATTATGTAATTATTGAGCTTTTTTATTGCCGTGTGTCCCCCTCCTACAGTTTGCTGACTCCTCCAAAGAGCCTGGCTGCTCTGAGCGCCCTGAGGGACGGCAGCTGGAAAGATGGCTGCTACTGAATCCAAATGAGCAACAAGGTTAAAGAGGTGAACAGGGTAAGGCTTCATGGGACCGACTTCTTTGAATATTTGCCGTCAGTCTCGGGCTGAGACCCAAGGGAGAAGGACTGTTAACATTTGTAAAAGACACTTGACTGAAGGGCAGAATAGAGACTGAGGACAGTATGGGTCCAGCAGGCTGGATCTGAACCTTAACACCTGCTGAAACACAGAGTGACACACTTGGAAACAACCTGGCAATATTCTGATAATCAGCTGTTTAATGTGAACTGGATCTTCTTTAATATGTTGTTTTTTGATTTGTCATTGTGGATAGTTAAGGCTTTCATTCAACTGAATGAAAATTTCTCTCCAGCTGAACGACAAGAAGAGGAAACTCACGCTTTTGTACATGCTTTTAATGATTTACTAAGACTAATTCTGCGACTTTTCTTTTTGTCAGATTGTGGTGTTGGGTATGAAGGTATATCTGGAAGTTTTTTACATCCTGTGCCTGTTTGAAAGTTGTATAATTCATGTCACTATTGTGTATCTATTGGCTGGACCTCACAGCACTTTGATCAAACTTAACACAAACACTTTAAAAGGAATAATCTTTAGTTTCTTCAGAACAAGACGACATTGGTTAAGTGTGCACACATTATCTTTTGACTACCTTCTTTTCATTATTTACATACAAGCTGATATTTCTAATGTTCTTTGATAAACATAACCGCTGCAATGAAATTGCACATGATGCTTTTTATTGACGACAGAACTTAAAGAGGAGGTGAATTTTTAGAGTGAATAAAAGCCTTTCAAAAAGATTTCTGGGAGTGTTGGGACTTTATTATGTACTTGGGTTTTTACACACAAAAACGTCAGTGTAAATGATTTGTCATTTTGGAGTCTGGAAGTTAAAATTATGTCATGTGCGAAGAGCTAATTTTGACTCAAGACAAACCTTGGATCAAATTTCTCTAACCTTCTGAACTGTATAAACCAATATAATGACTTGAAGGTGTTTTTTGTCCCACAGCAAATCTTCAGGATATCTTTTTAATTCAATTCTTAAAACCCCATGCTCTTATTCTCATATATTTCCCGTTAACTATTTAGGCCTCTTAACAGTAAAGGGGCCTAAGTGCAAACTCCACTTCTAATGAAGTTGGGATGTTGTGTTAAGTGTGAAAAAAAGAAATCAATACAATGATTTGCAAATCCTTTTTGACCCATATTCAATTGAATACACTACAAGTGTATCAGTTTGAACATTAAATATCTTATCTTTATCGAGTAATACATTAAATACACGTTGAACAGGATTTGCAAATCATTTTATTCTGTTTTTATTCACACTTTTCACAACGTCCCAACTTCATTAGATTTGGAGTGATTTGAGTCTTCTAACAAAAACTCTTTTCTCAGTGACTGTGCTTTGAATTTTAAGAATTAAAATCCAGATTAACTTGTGAATTAATCATCTAACTCACTTTAAAAACACCAGCCATATTGCTTTTTCCACAGACTTCATTGGGAAGATTTCTCTCTTATTTAGCACACTTGTTTACATGGTAGTTTGTCTTGGTGGTTTAACTTGACAACTATTAACCACAGAGGAGACCCTAGAGTTGGATTCACTAATGTTTAACAGATTACTCTGTTGATGAAGAGTCTCCCCAGCAACACTTGAAGCAGGCTTGTTTCTGGCTTACTGTACCCCTGGGTAAGTTCATAACATCTTTGGGAAGTATAATCTTTGTTTATAATATTATTATTTATGCAGAGAAATTTTTAACAGGATGTGTTTTGAATTTGGCTTATGAAAACAGGCAGAGCTGATCCTCGAGAATCTGAGATAATGCCAAACAAAGCTCAAGAGGTAAATGTTTTCATTTTCTTTGTTAAATCTAAGAATTAAACAAAGATACTTGCTGCAAGCTGTTACTGAGGCTTGGATAATTAAATGTACATAGGCATGAAGGTTGGTTTTTTTGCACATCTTATTCTTTCTTGTTTTAGGATGCTGTAATCAACCTAAAGACTCTACATGACCTTTCAAGGCAGCTTGGTTTTGAGTGGACAATTTTGGCGTACGAGCTTGGCTTCAGCAGAACTGAGATTGCACGTTTCCACACGAAATCATCAGAGAGGATTGTCCAGGCTAGGACCATGTTAGAAAACTGGTAAACTTTGTATATGCATGTGTTTATTTGTTTCTATGCTTTCTCAGTATTGATGTATAAAATTTTCATATTATTTAATGATTACGTACGGACCATCAAGGTTTGTCTGTCCTTCAGTTTCTCCATTAGCTTACATTCTGAGTGGAGTATATCAAATAACTGCATTATTGACACTCTAGAAAATGTGCTCAGGATTTATTTTGTAACAAGTTGAGCATATTGTGTTTTTCTCTTGAATGTTTTGGGGTTTAAAACATCATGGTCCACAAATATTGAGATGGCCTTGTATTCCCCTTCTCGGTATGCTTCTCAAATTTCAATCTCAACTTACAGGTATGAGAAGTCATGGGATAAACCCAATAAGACTAAAGTCCTGCAGAACGCTCTGGAGCAAGTAGGCAGACGGGACCTGGCTGAGAGGTTGCGCTGCCTCCACTGGGGCCACCAGAAGCTGAGCCAAAGGGTCGAACTGCCCTCTGCCTTCCCTTTCATTATCACAGTCCATAAAACCATTCACAACAAAGATGCACTGCGCAGGATCAACAGCCTCAACCGTAGATACACCTAAAACTGGGTACAGTTATAGAAGCTATGACCCTGGCACACAGTTTTTAAACAAGTGATAGTTTATTCTCTACTCTGTAATTAATCCAAAATAATCTTTTTAAAACTTTCCTTGATGAAAAAATGTGAAACATGGGCCATGTATTGTATACCTCATGTTTATGATTAAAGCTTTGCAATAAAGATTTTAAAAACAATATGTTTTTTTTAACAATCTTGAATTCCTTTTATTCAAAATGACAATTTTACCAAAACTTCTTGCCAAAAAAAGTTCTTATACAAATAATCAGCCTAATTTACAATGAAATTATTGTAGATTAATTTGTAAATGTTGGTTGACATAGCAGTCTTCGCTTATCTTGTCCTCTGCAGCCTGAGTAGTCACCTTTGACAAAAATCTCATCCTGATGACAGCGCAAGGAGACATTTATTGTGACTATTTTATGAATAAATGTAAAAAGGGCTGTTTCTTCAGCTGACACCTACCCCTTCACGCTGGTGTCAGGCATTAAAAATCAGGACATAAAAAAAGATTAATTTTGTTGTTGGTGGTCTTGTTTGGATTTAGTTATCAGGAAAAAGGTATCAATATGAATTTCTGTCTATTTTATAAAAGTAAAAGTAAAAAAAACAAAACTCACTGGAGCCTTAACCACAGCCATAGGTTGATATAAAATAAGCAGGGCAGAATGTGGTAACAGAAACTTTTTTATACCCTCAGATATCTTATTTCAATGTTTGTTTGTTTTGTTTTTTTGTTTTTTTTTATTTAATCAAACTTTAAAATGCATGTTGAGAATGTAAGGGGAACCGACACACAACACTTCCATGTAAGAATTGTTATGAGGTTTTCCTTCTGAGACAGTTTTTGGATTTTGTCAGTTTTTTTTTCTTTAACAAAATTACAATTCCAAACATAGCAGAAACAGTTCAATACAATAATTTCAATATTAAAATAACATATCAGTGAGAAATATAAAGGAGATAGTGAAGAACAACAAGCAAACAAAGCAAACAGAAACATAAAAGTAACTTAAAATTAAAAAAAAATATTTATGCTATGTAAAACTTTACAAGGATTTTCTTTCTTTTTTAAAACATTTTAGCTGTTCATATCAGTGGGAAAACTCTTTAAGTTATCATATAACTTTTGTTCCTTCAAACCAAATACAAATACATGTTAAATTCGTTCATGAAAACAATAAATCTGGGGGATGGTCTCATAACTTTATTCTCATGGATTAAATAGCATTTTGTCAATGGTTCCTGGGTTCCGCAGACCCCCGTCAATTTGACTCAATTTGACCCAGTTATACTAACCAATCACAATGAAGGATTTGCTAGCAAGGTTGTACGAACACCAACTAAGCCTGTGCGGAAGAGTAGCCAAAAGACCTTCAAATTAAGATAAAGTACTTTTAAAATATTTTAAAAACTGACTTTACAGTTAAGAACCCTTTATTGATAAAACCTAATATCAATACAATTTGAGAATTCATTTCAGGAAAACATAAACTGACGAAAACCTATTCTGTGCAACCGTTTCCAATTTAAGTGCGCTTTATTTTGGTAGTTTTATTCCGGAAAACATGGTTCTGACCCCGACCCATTGACACTGTTATTTTACGAGAGCCCTGGGTGGTGTGTATGCTGACAATTTACGTGACCACAAGCCTAAACATTCAACCAAAATGGACACAACAGTAAGAAAGGTATCTGAGGGTCAATTTGAGGACGATGTCTAATCTAAACGCATCTTTATCATCATCTGGGGACCGTCCGCAGCTGTTTTTTACACCCACAGGCGACTCTTCAGCTGGTATGTGTTTTGCACAGCCTACATTTGCTTTTCTTTGATAAACGGATGTGTCATTTCCATCCCTCTGACTTGCAATGATAATTGCATGACAGGTGGGGATTTCTGAGGCCTACGTTAACGTGGAGTAGCAAAAATTCCTCCCTGCAGTTGCCACAATGGCCTCGGTACTGAGTTGTTTCAGTGGCCCCGAGTTGTTGGAGGACGTGAATCACGCTCAGGGTTTAATGAAGGAACTCAAGTTGATGTACGACTGTCGGCTGCTGGGAGACATCACCATTGGAGTGGAGTATGAAGAGGAGCAAAGCGGAGACTCACTCGGAGGTGACATCGACCAACTTTTCTTATGCAGCCGCAATGTCCTTGCAGCTGCTAGCCCCTACTTCAAAAGCATGTTCACCGGGGGGTTAAACGAGAGCATGCAGGAGAGAGTGGTCATCCGGGGGGTGGACGCTGAGTCCATGTCCGTCATCATCGATTACTGCTACACAGGCAGGGTCACCATCACGGAAAGCAATGTGCAGAAACTGTACGCTGCTGCTAACATGCTCCAGCTCGAGTACATTAGGAAAGCTTGCTCTAGTTTCATGACCAGGAGACTTGACCTGTCCAACTGTGTGGGGGTCCTTAAGTTTGCAGACACCTATGACAACCCCGAGTTGAAGGATAATGCACAAAACTTCATTGCCAGGAACTTCAGTCAAGTGTGTAATGGAGGAGACCTTTGTGAGCTGGATTTGGTGCAGTTAAAGGAGCTTTTGTCTTTAAACATTTTGGATGTGGACTGTGAGAGGAAAGTGTGCTCGGCTGCGTTGCAGTGGATCGAGGTGAATGCACCGCAGAAAAGGGAGGATGCATTACAGGCTCTGAAGTGTGTGCGCTGGAACTTGTTCACTGAGAAGGACAAGTGTTACCTGGAGAGCCTCATGGCGAGGCCTTTAATTGAGAAATACCTTGCCTCATTCTTTGATAGGTCTGCAGAGGACAGCTGTGGAGTGTCTGCGAGTCTTGACCTCCCAAAACACAGGATAGGTGTGAGCGCCAAAGAAATGATCATTTTCTTCGGCCTACCAAATGACAACATAATGTGCTGTGATCCATACTCAGAGGATTTGTATTTCATGGCTCCTCCTTTAGAGGATCTCAGCAGCCAGGATTACAAACGTTCCACCATGGAGTCTCTAATTGCTTGTGCCACACCTGAAAACAACCTGTACCTCGCCTCCCACCTCTCTAAACACTTCTGGCTGTACAATCCTGTGCTCAACAGCTGGCAGGAGCTGGCAGAGAGGCCTCTGGGGAGGATACACTCCGGGATGGGCTATCTTAACGGGCATGTGTACCTCCTAGGTGGAAGAAATCCAGTGACAGATGCGAGGCTGAAGGAGGTTGAGTGTTACAGCGTGCAAAGGAACCAGTGGACATTTGTGGCTCCTCTGCCTCATTCTTTGGGTAAAATGCAGGTAGTGGCTCTAAATGACCACCTGTATGTGGTGAACAAAAGAAGAATGCTTTGCTACGACCCCAAAAGGAACCGCTGGCGTCACTGTGGCTCGCTGAGAAGAGACAAGCTTCACAAAGCCTGCGTCTTTCAGGACCAGATTGTGTGTGTGTGCGACATACCAGTGGTGAAAGCCTACAGCCCTGCCAAAGGGGAATGGAAGAGGATGGGCGACATTCCCATTGACAGCCGCGCTCTGAATTACCAGGTGATCCAGCATAACAGCAAGCTCCTCCTCCTCACTCAGACTCTCCTGCAACACAACAAAAACAGAGTCCTCATCCACGAGTATGACCAAGCTAGAGACACGTGGAAGAATGTTATGGCGGTGTATGTGTCCACTCTTGGGCCTGTGTGTGTTTCAACTCGTGTATACCCAGCATGCCTCGGTTCTGCTCACAGCTTCTCCACAGAGGAGGACGATGACAGCGGATCTAGTGCAGACTGGGACTTTGACGGGTTGACAGACCCGGACTCTGACTCTGGCAGCTCAAGCTCCTTCTCAGATGAGAACTGGTAGTGAAATGTGTCAAAGAAAAGTTAAACCTATTTATGATTTATCTGTTTTTTTTTCAGGGTTGAGACTTTCAGGACAGGTCACAGATTCGCTCTGTGAATCTTCAAGGTTTTTCCACCAGTGTGGCTCGTTGTTAATTACAAAAGAAGAGAAGAAATGGATCCTCCTTTTTCCACACAGTGAACTAAAAACCAACAGGGCCTCTTTCTTCTATCTTTGCCTTTTCCTAATAGCATGAAGGACATTCAAATGTCCTCTGCAGTCTTGTTTACACTATAACTCAAGACAAACACACAATAGAACAAAAACTGGTCAGTGTTGTTTCCGCCATACTCAAGGGAGTAATTGTAGGATACTCCAAAGATGTAGTTTTATACATCTGTAAAAGTAGGGGAAGTTTTGGAGAGAGGGATTAAAAGACTAGATCCTACAATACCCACCATGCAATGCTTTGCAAACTGAGCCTTGAAATGGAGATCAGGGGCCTATTCTACGAAGCAGGATTACTGCTTAGCGATGTAACTTCGAGGGTAATTTCGGGGTTTCCTGTTCTACGACGCGGGTTCACTTCTTAGCGTGACGAGTCTCCATGGCAACGTACGCTGAACGGCTAACCTGCTCCGGGGCAGGTTAGGTTCCAGATTGAACTCACTGAGTATAAAAACCCCGCCCACTGACCAATGAGCTCTCTCGAAAAACGACTTGTTCGTTCTTGGAGGATCCTGTAGACCTCGGTGCTCGCATTGTCCAAGGAGCACTCCGGAGCGCGAGAGTTTTCAGGGACCGCACGGACCCACTTCCTTTTCCGGATGACCACCTTTATGATAGGCTCATATGGCCGACATATCACACAACAAATGTAAACACGATAGGAATGAACAAATGAATGAATTCATCTTGGAAATGAATTAGACGTGTCTGGTGCGTGTTAAAAGCGCATGTTGAACAGTGCTATTTCAGGGTGATAATGGCATCAAAGATTTTTTGCACACTTTACTTACGCATTGAGACTGTCTGCAATTTTCTGCCAGCATTCCTTCCATGCTTTTGCAGCGGCGACGGTGTTGCTTTTGAGGTTTATGATAGCTTTGATTTCTTCATACTTTCTCATGATTGTCTCCTGCTCTTCGTTTTTAAAGTATGCGGTCCTTCGCTCTCTGGCCTGCTCTGACGCTCCAGACTGGTCCATGTTCGCGATTGGTCAGATGCGGCGGGCTCCGCCTTACATGCGTGCACACGCTCATAGCAAAGCTGGATCCACTTACGAGGTGGATAACCAGCGTCGTAAGACCGTTTAGCGAGAGCGCTGGCTACTGCGCTAAGTCGAACTTGCTTCGTAGAAGTGGCCCCAGGGTTGTGTTTCATTGTACTAACTTGATCACGCTTTTCAAATAAAGGTGTTGACATTTATATTACTTGGTTTGACAGCAATGTCACAAATAGCTTAAACTTTTGAAGACTGAAAGCTGCTGAATCAATAATTGTCATGAAGGAGCCTTTGCTACTCTAGTTTTCTCTATGTCCTCCTTCAGATCTCTCTTTCACAACCTGAAAAGTGAAAGGACAGAGACATGCTAGCATATTGAAAGCACCCTAGTGTTGAGATGTTTGCTGTATCGTTTGACTTCAAAGTTGTTAAAACTTTAAAAACACATGTAACCAGTAAGATCATGAATTCCTGAAGCTGAGCCATCCTTAATATTAATACTCTCATCTAAACTTTTCTTATGATGAGTAAAAATATGTGCTGCTGAAAATACTTTCATGCTACCAAGACTATCTTGAATCTTCAAGGTAAAAACGATCCATAAAGATTTAAACATGTATGACAGGGTGAATCGGAGGAAACAGGTGACGCCATCAGATAAAACAGTTTACATTCATGTCTGATTTGCTGTTGAGGTAGTAGCCAGCATGACAGAAAAAAATTGTGTTTATTTGTCAGAGTTTCTAAAAGGGGGTCCTGATGAAATTTTGGCAGGAACTGCAATAATGCAACTGAATCACTCCTTTTAGAGGTGATTCCTGTTCGACTAACACCTCCCCTCTAGTCCTGCTGGTTTGTCATGTTTGTGAACCCCAAACCCATGCTAAGATACCCAAATAATGCAACTAAGAGTGATAATTTAGTTTAATCTGAATATTTAAATGATTTATTAGAAATGCACATACTTCCTTGAATCCAAAGTGATTTCTTTAGATTGCTCCAAAGACACCAAATGTCAAAGGCTTAAAAAGCATAAATTAACATTTAAGATGCCAAAAATGGCAACTGTTGACTTTATTTTTTTTTTAAATTGGAACACAATCCACGTACTGTTTTTAACAACTATGTATCACCTATGAAAATGCTTGGTGATAAAGTGTTTTTCGGATCGGAAATTGTCTTTTCTCCGAAAGCTTTCTTGAGAAATGTCTTCAGACTTGACAGTGCTCCTTTAGAGCTGCAGAAGGCACACAGTTAAAAAAACTGTATTAGCACCTCCCTTTACAGATACATGGACTTAGGAAGACACTGTAATGCTTGTGTTATTAAAAAATGGACTGAATGAGCTTATGATTGTTTTCAAAAATCATGTGGGGAGTGTCCCTGGATTATGACTTGAAACAGCTGGTCTCTCACAGGGCTTTAAATGTGTAAATGCTGTCCCTTTATTTAAGTCAGTGTTGCACATCTTGACTTCACAAGTTGGGGTGTTGTGAAAAGAATATATAAATATATATATAGAGAGAGAAAGAGAAAGGGTGACGCCAATGCACTGAATGCTCACTCAGGTTTAAGCCTCAAAAAGGCCTGAATGCCATAAATGAAGTGATGTAGTGAAGTTAGATGTTTTGATGACGAGGGATACATTTTATGAAGTTTATCTGAAACATTAGATGTTAACTTTTTATGTCCTGGTGAACTGCTTTAGATTGAGGACATTTTGCCAGCATGTTACGAAATTGCACCCATCTCATTCACTCATCTACCAGTTTATTACCTGTGTTTAAATAGATGGAAATGTTTAATAATCTAAATTTTATAAACAATTAATTAGGCTCACTTCTCGCTTTGTGATACAATACCCTGAAACACAGAATCTTAAGATATCTGTAGGTCAATCAGTGAAAACAAACATTTAGCATTATAACTCTCATGAAGGTAATATTTTTTTGGAACCAATAAACTGGTAAATGAGTGTGTATTTTATTGTTGTCTTGCTGTATGATGGATAATTGACATGTTAAATTATTTTGCTGTGTGTATGGGATAGGGTTGGGGTTGAATGGTCTGAATTATGAAGCTGTTTTGGTGTAAGTGTCAAATAAACTACGCTGTTTGATGCAGAGAAGCACTTGTGTATTTTTGACCCATTTTTTCTGTAGCTTTATTTAATATATAACTACTCATGGTGTAGAAAAGGAGAGTAATGAGAAAGGTACGTGTATTAATGTTCGTGTTTTCTGGTTTATATCAAGCATTCTTTGAAGAGTTTCTATCCAGATATCATTTGAAATCAATACTGATTTTAGTAAAATCTTTCTCTGTAAGATATTGATACATTTTTTTTCTTTTGACAGAATCTGTTAGTCCCCATCCAAAAAATAAATAAATTTAAATTAAAAATACATAGCATTTGAATTATATACATATAATTCATCAATATTGGCTTCTACGTCCCCCTGAAAAAATCTCTTACATGATTATCTATAATCTACACATGGTATATCTTGTAGCACAGAGAAAAGACAAAAATTGCAGTTTCATAACAAACATTCCTTTTTTATAAACCAGAGACTGGCATCTTTTATTATGAGTAGCTGAAATCCCAAATTCATTCAAATTAATAGAACTTTATTTTTATGGCACTTTTCAGACAAGAAATGCAGTTCAAAGTGCGTCACAGAGGCTAAAAACAACAGTTAACAACAATAAAACCCGACCCTCCCACTTACACACCCATGGATCCACACACACACACACAGACACACTCACTCACTCACTCACTCACTCACTCACTCACTCACTCACTCACACAAGCACACACAGTGTGAGAATTTGTGACATATTGTCTAAGAGACATGGCCTGACACCGAGACATTATGTCAGTAAAAAGCTACCTTTGGAAAACACTGGAGATAAAAGATAAAAAAATACAAAATGGTAAGAGGAAAGAGTAAACCTGATGGACTAAAACAAGAAAAAAATATTAAATGAACAGATAAGAGCTCTGTCTTTACCATATAAAAGGGGTAAAAGAAGTTAAAACTTCTATGGTAGGAGTTGAGAAAAAGACTAAGAACAGAGATTATTAATAAAATGAAATAAAATGAACAATAATGACTGATTAAAATGAACATTTGCAATAAGAGAAATATAAAAAGGCAGTTAGTAAAAGACATTATCAAGAAATCCGGTGTAAATACGGCCACGTCGAAGTAAACCAATATTAAAGATTATTTTTATCAGAAATAATTGAGTATTGAATCGAAAATAGAAAGAAAATTTTCGATTTCCCAAACATCTTTAGGGAAAATGGTGAGTAGAAATTTGGTTGTATTTTGGTCATGTTACTGTGACGTGTGTACCCTCTTTGGAAACTCTCGCGATGTTTCGGGACCGTTACATCCAGACCGCGAGAAGATGAGCGATGGCAATAGAAAACAAACCTGGGGACGAATTTGACACCGTTTTCAGTCAAAGCGACGCCTTAGAGCTGTCTTCACACCATGGATATGACACAACCCAGACTCGGTTATTTAAGATAATAGTCATTGGAGACTCAAATGTTGGAAAGACGTGTTTGACTTATAGATTTTGCGGTGGGACCTTCCTGAAAAACCCAGAGGCAACGATCGGGGTCGATTTCAGAGAGAGGACGCTGGATCTCGATGGGGAGAACATCAAGGTGACTAAGGACCTAAAATATTTACCTATGTGGATGTTTTACAAAATAAGATCGCAGTTCATTAACATAGTCGTTTTCTATGAGTGTTTGGCATCACTGGAAATAGAGGAGGACTGACCTGGGCTTTGCCTTCATATATTATTGTGGATTGAGATGACACTACAAATTAAAGGCCTGTCTATATTAAATGTGCAGTAGATGAACTTGATGACTAACCATCCTCTATCGAGCTAGAGAATAAGTAGACTGTGGATAAAACCCTACTAGAAGACCTGCTGAGCCAAGTCAACAACCCAGCAGACTAGCAGAGTATGTCATATTCATATTTATAGCCCCAAAACTGCCTTTTTTGCACGTTGTTCCACTATTTCTCACATTAAAGACCTGTAAATCATCAAGCTTAAGCCTCTTTTGTAATTTGTTTGCTTTGGCAGATGGATTTTTTTTTTCTTTTAGGATTCTTCAGCCACTGTTAAGGGTGATTATTTGAATCAAGATTTATTATAATTAATTATAAAATTAAAGAATTCATCTGGCCTGGTGGTGCATACATATATATATAACATGTAGGTAGAGGGATCTTAATATGAAAAACAAAGGCAGGATAAATTCAAATGATTTGGAAAAAAAAAAGATGTACAGTTTTTTGAGTAAACAGCTAGAAAGGCGTGCAGAAATGTTTACAGTCTATTCATATATTCATGTACTGATACAGACATTATTATGATTAAAAACCCCACATCCAGTTAAACATACCACATCTGCTGCAGAAACAGGTCTCAAGAAATGTCACATTTTCTCCTGTTTGAACCTTGTTAGCTAGAAACTCAAGTGTCTCCCTGTTTCAAGAAATTAGATTTGATGGTGCAGACAGGATGAGGCGGTAAGAAAGTATCAACATTAAGACCACCACTATGTCTGTTAGGATTTGATTGACGATAAGAAAATGTGTCACTGCCACTGCACATTTTTCTGTTTTTATTTATTAAATATCTGTTTCTGCTTCACTAGTTGCAGATCTGGGACACTGCAGGTCAGGAGCGTTTCAGAAAGAGCATGGTGGAACACTACTACCGCAGTGTTCATGCTGTTATCTTCGTGTATGACGTGACCAGCCTCTCCTCCTTCGAGAGCATCCCCGAGTGGATCGAGGAGTGCAAACGGCACTGTGTAGGACCTCTAGTGCCGCGCATCATGGTTGGCAACAAGTGTGACCTGAGAGACCGCAGGGAGGTCCCTACATCTGCTGCACAGTGTCTCGCTGACAGCTACAACTTCCCACTGTTTGAGACCTCAGCAAAAGACCCTTCTGAGAAGGATAATGTAGACGCCATCTTTCTGACTTTGGCCTATAGACTGAAAAGCCACAAACCCTTGAGGCTGAAGCAGCCAGATGTGAACAGACAGATGTGGAACCAGAACCAGAGGGAGCAGGAGTCTGGAATTTGTCAGTGTTGAAGTCACCTGGAACCTGTTCCTGCCTTCAGGAATAGTAATGCTGCTTAGACAAACATGGTTTCTCCCTAAAGCTGAAGCGCATCTAATTATTTAAGAAAGAAAAGGAGCAAAGGTCTTGTTGTTTTACACTTTTACCTGCCTGATGCAAGGCACCACAGGTGACATACTGGTCCTATAAGTTTGCACTATAATGAATCAATCTTTCAATTAAATGCATGAATGACTATGGAGAAAATCCAAAACTTGTAGCTAAAATCTCACATAAATTTCCAAAGTCGTCCAGGATACACTCTTGTCTGGTGAGAGTTCATATGCAATCAGCTGTCAAGTAGCATGACGTCTCATTTTCAGTATTCAGTGCAGATAGTAAAAAAAAAAGACTATATAGATTTCAGTGTGAAAAATGGGAACCGATAATGTCAACCAAAACTGTGAAGAAAACTTTGTGACCATTTGTCAAAAAGTGTCTTAAAAGTAGATTTTTTTGTTTTTGTTTTAATGATACAGCATGGGTCATGGTGCTGGTACTGACTATGAATTTCCTTCATATGGACAATATCCTGTTATGCCTCAGCTCGTTTTCCTCCATGGTACTGTTGGAAAGAACACACTAATGGCAAATTGTTTGTTTTTTGGTCTTACTGCAAATCCACACAAACCACTTGAAAGCACGAGTTAATACTTAAAGAATTGTAATGCAGGAAGATTACAATAATGAGACCGCTGTTTCTGTTTTATGTGTATGAAATTGCTAACAGTATGGGTATGTGATACAGCATAAGCTGCAAATCAATAAAAGTCCGTATGTACAATTTCATTTTTCTGGCTCAATGTCCTTAAATAAAGACAAGTGTTACCACATGACCCCTTTTTATAAACCAATTATACGCTACGTGTTTAAGTTTAATCACATTATCTTAAATGTAGTCAGAGCCGGACCAAGCACAATTTGATTTTGGGGCTCTCTATTTCTGCCAATAATATTGATTGTTGATCATTCACACACCTTCACAAATCTCTTTGATTAACATTCCATGGCATGCAAACATACCATTATCTTCTTCCTCTTTCTTTTCTCTGCTCCTGAAGGATATGTCCTTTTTTGTGACATTGTTTTGCCCCACAACTACCTGCGCTGTGGATGCTCAGTGCACATTGCACAGCAGGAGGCACATAACGGTAGCAGAGCTTTGACATATCGGTAGTAAGAAACATAGGCCTACATCAGCAGCAGCACTAAAATGTTTTTATTTTATTTTATTTTTTACAATAATATATATTTGATTATACAGAAAGCATCGCTCATACATGCAAAAATTATTTTTAAAAAAAATATTTTTTTTTTATTGCTTTTGGGGGGCCCCCTACTGACCACGGGGCCCTAAACAGGCACTTAGTTCGCCTATGCCTTGGGCCGGGTCTGATTGTAGTAGACCTAGCTGTTAAAGTAAGAGCATATTGCTGATCATACCCAGTGTAATATCAGCTTTTATCTCATGCATATATTAATTACAGTTTTAGTTACTTAGACTCACTTATATCAGTGTTTCTCAAGTCTAGTCCTCGAGGCCCACTGTCCTGCATGTTTTGGATGTTTCCCTGCTCCAACACACCTGATTCAAATGATCAGCTCGTTATCAAGCTCTGTAATGGCTTAATAACGAGCTAATCATTTGAATCAGGTGTGTTGGAGCAGGGAAACATCCAAAACATGCAGGACAGTGGGCCTCGAGGACTAGACTTGAGAAACACTGACCTAGATTAACATTAAAAATCAATTTAATAAGGATTAACAAAAGTAAAATAACTTCATAATCCGTTGACTGATTCAGCCAGTGCAGACCAGAACTCTGTCCAGAGTAATATAAAGCTATCTGCACCACAATAAAAGTAAATCTTACGATGAGCTCTTGAATTAAGGAAAAGCCCAAGAACAGCTATTGAACATTTATGGATGCTGTGGGCTCAGCTCCTCTGGTTTCCAGTATTTGACTGGATTTTAGCGACGACCAGTGGCCAAGTGCTGAATTTATGTGTCTGATGTTGAGTTTGCGGGAATCTGGAATCCGGCAATTCATCTGGTTATAAAGCTCACTGGTCGTTAGAAAATATAGAAATCGCGGGAAAGCCTTGAAGTTTATACAGTGCAAATAAATTTTCAGGACAATAATTATGAAGAGTAGAGTTATTTTCCCTAAAAACTCTTTGTTCTCAGAGGTAACTCTACAGAGTCGCTAAATTACCAGTGTCTATGAATGCGGCATATTCGTCTGTATTCCTTACGCGGCGTCTCTTCGCGGCCATGGTAACACTTCCCTCTGGACCTGTGAATCAAAAACCAACTCATACAAGAGCTTTTCATGCGGGTAAGATCAATATTTCCCTGTTTACCTTCAGTCAAAACATCTATAATGGTCTGCTGGTCGGCTGGTTTTTGCCCCCGCGCCTGTTTGACACATGGCCGGGGGATTAAGCCGCATGTAGGTTATTTATTGACTCGGGAGTCGTTTGTTGTCTGTCTGTGGCCTAGCAGCAAGCTAGCAAAGCTAACGTCTGCAAGATGAGAGGGTGTAGGAAAAAAACAAACAAGCTCAAATGAAATTTGGCTTAGTTGGGTTTAGTTTATTGCCCTTCACGATGGTGTAGATCTAAAATCACAGTTCCTGTTATCAGTGAGTGTAAATAACCTGCTTTGCTGACTGTTTGATTTCGCCATGTCTGATAAGCAACTCATATGTCAGATTCACAGCAGAGGACAATATGGTGTAGACCTAGTTTGAAACATTTGAACTAATACTTGTACTTTAATTTGCCATTTTATCTCTCAGTCAATTCAAATCATTGTTGTATTTAATACTTGAACTTCTCCTTTTGTCACACAGCTGTTATTCAGCATGAACTTAGCAGACATGTGTGACAACGCAAAGAAGGGTCGTGAGTATGCTCTGCTGGGGAACTATGACTCCTCCATCGTCTACTACCAGGGGGTCATTCAACAGATCCACAAGCACTGCCAGTCCCTCAGAGACCCTGCACTCAAAGTCAAATGGCAACAGGTGAGAAATCCAAAAAAGAGTCCTTCAGGTCTGACACAATCATCATCATCATCATCATCATCATCACAATTTTGAGTCCTCATCGCACCTTCTTTGTGTGTGTTCAGGTAAGGCAGGAGCTGACCGAGGAGTATGAGCAGGTGAAAGGCATCATGGGAACACTGGACAGCTTTAAGTCGGAGAAACCAGCTGATATCTTGGCTCCACAGTCAGAGGAGAGACTTGAAGATCCAGTGGTTTGGCCCCCTCCCATCGCTGCAGAACACAGGTGAGCGTGTAAAGGGTTATTGAGACACTAAACTACCTCAACTCTAAACCTAAACTGATAAAATACAAACAGAAACTTCTCATCTCAGTGGCTATATAGACAGAATATCCTTATTGTATATTGCAACAAGAACAACCAAGTGTGATTCTAGGTTTCCATGTAATCCTGATTATCTTTGCCATGTCTTATTTTATAGAGCTATTTTCTTGAGGGGCACACAGCTTTTAGTCACTCATCCAGCAAAGTGGAAAAAAATCTGTGACTAGTTTATTAAAGCTGTCAGTCTTGATGCAATTAAGGCCCAAAATTCATGAGTTTTTTCTAAACTGTACCATAGTTAAGTCACTGAAATAATGAAACTCAAACCCAAGGTTCTGTTATTTTAGAGTTACATTTTTGCTATTTAAATGGGATGATACACAGCTAAAGCAAGAACATACTTCCAGACCAAAGTCTTTAAATGCCTCAAGCAGGGGCGAGGAAACTGGAACTTTTCTATTTGACCTTCTCTCAGAGGTGAAGTCAGTGTTACTGGCTGACCTAGACCACAAAACTGTTCTATAGACATCAGTCACATTGAGATCAACCATGAAAGTATGCCATAGCATGTTACCTACAAATAGCACAGAAGTGGGGGCTGTTGGTTCCAGTATTTTGTGGAAAATATATTAAAAAAATGAAAACTTTAAAGACCATTGAACTGTCGTAGACATGTTAACCAATCTAAAATGGGCACATGTGCGCTCAATAATGCTCTTAAATGATGGGAATATGCCCTGAAACAGGAGCTATGCCTGCTTGCTGCTGCCCTTGTTACCACTCTGATGTTAGAAAAGACCTCTAGATTAGACTGCTGTCTGTGGAGTGTTTTCTTCTCCTTGAGTTTTGTTGCTTCCCTGTGGCCTACCGTGATCGGCAGGCCTACTCATGGTCCTGACAGAACAGATGGTTACTGATACTGCTAAATAGTTTAGAACAAAGAACCACCATAAGGAAGCACTTTGAAGTTCAAAGAGACATATTTTGCATAATCTCTCTCATCTCTATGAGCGCAGTATGATTCACAATGTTGGATCTTTGTTTCCTTATCTAGACATTAAAGTGGACATGTGAAGCTTTTCCTCTACAGAGAACTGGCAGGCAAAGTGAGGCGAACATTCATAGCAGGGGACATGAGAGTTTGGGGAAAAGCATATGGCTCTTAGTTAACTTCTTCATCACCCTAACCCTCTAAAGCTGTCCTTTTGCATATTCTCAAGTGTTTACTTATGTTTGTTGACAGACTAGGTCACAACTCCAATAGCCAATCTTAGCCAGTTCTGTGGCAGTAGACTGTACTGAAGTGGGGAGTATGTGCTGGGCCCATGTGACATAGCTGTAATCGTCAGTTCTAGAGAGCCAAAATGGTAATATGAAGCTATGCATACCAAGCTCAATTTCACTCCATCTTTGTGTCAAAATCATCCATTCAAAGAAAATTGAAAATAGACTTTTGAGAAAGTAAACCTTCTTGCTCCCATTTTTAAAAATTTACACTTAAATTTAAAATAACAAGTAACCAGCAGATACTGGCTACCATCACCACCTGATGCCGCTGCCAGGCTTGAGCTCACACGGCGGCCAAAGAGTTCTCCACCTTCTAATCCTATGACCATCATGATCATATCATGCTTCAGTGCTCCTGCAGCTGCTTCTTCTCTTTCAGTTTTATTTTGCCTCGTATGTCCATAGGAATCCAGTAGCATTGAAGCGGCCCAACAGTGCGGTGAAACAACAGAGGAAGGAGTCCCCTGGTCTACAGCATCGAGGGGCAGGACCTGGAGGCCGTGGCCAGGCCAACTCCAAACAAGACCGGCAGGGTTTTAGGGACGCACGTGGCCCAAAGGGCAAGGATGATAAGGTCAGACACCAGCAGTTCTTTGGTTGAAAGGATGGATAAGTTGATGGCTTGGGTCTTTGTTTAATACCCACTTCATTTTTGGCTTGGTTCTTTTTTCATCAGGGAAAGAAAGGGGCCGGAGACACACCAGGGGATGTAGAGCAGAAGAAGTTTGACAGTACTGGATATGACAGTGACCTGGTGGACTCACTGGAGAGAGATATCGTATCCCGTAACCCTAACGTGCACTGGTATGGCAGACTCTTACATACTTGTGAATATGTTTTGCTCTCAGTGGATTTTTTTTCCAGGCCCTGCTAACTCAGATCTCTAAATGACCTGCAGGGAAGACATAGCTGATCTGGAAGATGCAAAGAAGCTGCTGAGAGAGGCTGTGGTTTTGCCGATGTGGATGCCTGACTTCTTTAAGGGCATACGTCGACCCTGGAAGGTATGTGCCGGCTAGTATACCCGTAACCTTCTGTAGTTAGCCTTTAAAAAAATAACAGAAACCAACTAAGAGATGTTTGCAGCAGTGAGCAACATACATTTTTCTGCACCTCAGGCAGAACTTAAGGTAGATTTAAAATCTGTGAGGCAACTGACCTTTTAACAGTGAGCCATGATGTCTTACAGTGTGGAACTGTCACACGGCCACTGCCTGCTGCAGCTGTTACAGAGGCTTAATTTAAGTGTAATCCAAAGTCAACACCAGCACTTATGTTGCAGCAAGTCAGTTTCATTTTTGTTGAAGAGAAACTTTTCACATAGTGTAGCATGAAGGCATGATATGCGTTCAAGAGCAACATCCACAATTAAAGTGACAAATAGGAAGACACCCCGAAGCCAAATGGTTACCACGAACACAGTGATTGTGTTTTTTTCCTCCATGCCCCTCACTGGGTTTTTTTTCCTTTGTACAGTTGATTTTCCAGGAAAAGACAATTGAAAAAAAAACTGTTAATTGTTTTTAGAGTGTGACAAAAATTCAAAATAGAGGAAAAACAGCATAGTCAAAGGACCTCAACAAGTCAGATGAAAGTGCTGTACAGTGAAGGTAAAATAAAGTTGAGATACGATAAATAAATAGAGCGATAAATCAAGGTATACGTCAACGACTAAAAACGGTATAATTAATTAAAAACAATGTAGTGCATTAAACTCAGGATACACTAGACTTTAACAGCAAATTTAGCTTCTTAGTAGCAACAGAAATAAAAGAAGCTCTGGTACTCCTCGATTTAGTTCTGGGTATTCTGGAGTGGTGGCCAGAGGGAAGGAGATCGAACCCTCCAAAAAGAGGGTGGTCAGGAGAGGTAAAAATCTGTTAAGCCTTTCTGACAACACACTTACTGTAAATATCATGCAGCTGGGCTTGCTCAGCTTACCTGCTTTTTTTGAAAAGCTTGTCCAGCCTGTTTTTACTCCACCTCATCACATTTGACTCATTTATGGCTTTGTTGTGCTGTAATTTTATAATTTATATAAAACAAAGAAGAATAATGAGATTACAAATACTTTAAGAATCATAAAGCGTTCAATAAAATACAACTAAAAATTAAAAAACTGGACTGTACAACAAAAAAAAAACAAGCTTGAGTGATAAAAAACAGAAAATTCACTCCCTCATGCATCACTGTAGCATCTTTCTTGGACTATAATTTGAATACAGTACTAACTGTGTGTTTGTATCACTTATCTCAGTTATTCATTGGCCTGTTTTTTCATACTACCTCAAAGTATGACTCTACTAAATGATCACTAAGAGGGTTTTTCTCTGCACTCCCTCTGTTGATCATCATATGAGGCTTTCTACCTCCAGGCTGACCATGTGAGGATCAATAAGTTATTGGTTCTCGCAGCAACACAGTCTCTAAATTGAACTCTTTATTTAGTTTCTAAGAACCTTTTCAGTACACCGAGAATACAGTCAAATCAGGGATCAATAAAGAGCACAAAGATCCTTTCAGTTCAGGATTTTTTATGGTCATAAATGAAGACATACATTTTTGTCTCTGTCTTTAGGGCTACAGAGGTCAAAGTAGTTTTTGTTGTTCCTTTCAAGCAGGATATTGAAGTGTTAAGCCATCTCAAACCAAACTGCTTCTTCTGGGATTCTGATCAATGCATTACATGTTTTATTTCGGGAATCCGCCTACCCCACCATGCTGGCAATATAACACACACATCAGCCCATACAGACTCTGAGGCAGAGGGGATTAATTAAATTGGGGGCTGATTTAATCTCTGCAGCAGCAGCAGCAGCAGACACAAACCAGATGCAGAAATGTCAGAGGGAGTAGCAGATATGGTCTTTATGTTTGCAGAATCCTCTTCCATAGGGGGTGGCAGTTCAGTTTGGTATCAGGAACTTCAGATGCAAAAGGAAAGCATGAAAATAAGAAAGCTGTAGCAGTACAGCGACAAAGTGAGCAGAAAGCATACTGAAAGGCAGTTCATTCATATGCATGGCTTAGCACAATAACAACAGTCTCTCATACTTTCAAATACCAAAGTTCATCCTGTGCACATCCAGCGATGATGATGATGATACCGAACACCGGCATTATCCTGAGTCTACAAAAGCAGGGTTGTGTTCGCTTCCATGTCCTCTATTCATCCCCTTGATTAGGTGCAACACTGACATTTACAGGCAAGACTTTGACTAAACGGTTACAAATTTGTTTTTGGCATTTGCTTTGTTAAAAAAAAAGAAAAAAGAAACCCTTTAGAGAAAGTAGAGTTCAATGACTTGTACTTACCTCGGCATCGGGGACATGACTGTCATTTTGACACCACTTAACAGAGCAATAAAGCTTGATTATAAATGAAGATTAAGACCATAAGATTTCAGCTGAAAAATGGAATATGAAGCATCTTTGAACATATTCTTCTTTATAATAAAGTATTTGCTTCCTATTTGCTCTCACATACTGAGAAGCACAGGCGGATTTCAATGAAAACAGGTAACTAAGTGTACCATTTCTAAAGAGAAGCATTGATAAACTCATTTAGTACCTAGCACAACTCTGCATTCTCTTGTTGATCTGCTCTTAATGCTTTTGTTTTCTTACTTATTTTCCTCTAATGAACATGTATGACAGCCAGAACTCGCAGCAGGTAATCTCTAAAAGGATGAACTGTAACTGCTGTTCCTACCTGCTAATGGTCAGCTTATACTCTGAGTCATATTTGATGAATTTGAAAGCTTGCGTAGGAGATTTTAAATGCAGAAGATGAACACTTAAATCAGTGTTGTCCCACAACATTTAACCATTCTGAGAATTAGTTATTTGCTGTGCCAATCTGAGCTTTTATTTGAGTAGATATCATTTATTTATGTCATTAATGGCATGATAAGAGTCCTCTGCCCTTTCTTTATGATGTGTGGCTCTAATAGACATGAAAAAACAGTCATATTGGTTCTAGAAATAAGAATAAATCTCTTGTGGGTGGTTGATCACTAAGTGCAGGCTTATTACTAAGTTTCATTGTATGAAAAATACAAAAAAAATTTGTGTTTTATTCGGCTGCTGGTCTAATAAGATACTTGGGATGAAATGAATAAAGCAAAGTTATACCAGTCAAACTTCTAAGTTGTGCTAAGAAGACATTTTTCAGTGATTAAGACAGTCTTCTTAGAATTTAAAGTCCCAGCATGTCAGCTCAGGACTCCCTCTTTGCAAAGTGTCTGTGTGTATTTGTTTTTCATGGCTTGTGTGTTTAAACAGCTTGTGACTCTTTCTCGCAGGGTGTTTTGATGGTCGGCCCCCCAGGGACAGGAAAGACCATGTTAGCCAAAGCTGTGGCCACAGAATGTGGGACTACTTTCTTCAATGTGTCCTCGTCCACCCTCACCTCCAAATACAGGGGCGAGTCAGAAAAGCTGGTGCGGCTGCTGTTTGAAATGGTAAGCGTTTGCAGAAGGATGCTGTCTGTTCTGGGAAACATCACGATAATAAAATAAATGACTTTTTATGTTGTGGTTTGGCAGAGAAAACACTGTTTTTGTTTCTGTTTAGGCCCGGTTTTATGCACCAACAACCATTTTCATAGATGAGATTGACTCAATTTGCGGCAGGAGGGGAACATCAGATGAACACGAGGCGAGCCGCAGGGTCAAATCAGAGCTTCTGGTTCAGATGGATGGTGAGTGGAATAGAGATGTGGGGAGATGAGGATATGAAGTGAAAGCACAAACTGCACAGTGAGGCTCTACACAGTACATCTTTTCTGATTGTGTGGTTCACGTTGAAGTTCAAAGTCATATTTTTGTGGAATCTACTTTAAAACCAAATCGTTGTTCATTATTGAACCAAAATAAGTCCAAATCTATGATCTTGGAACACAAAAAGTACAGAAATACACATCTTCTGAAATAGTGGGTTGGTGTTTTTGATGACCAGGTGTCGGGGGAGCCCTTGAGAATGATGACCCCTCTAAAATGGTGATGGTCCTCGCTGCCACTAACTTCCCCTGGGATATCGACGAAGCGTTACGGCGGCGCCTGGAGAAGAGGATTTACATCGCACTACCTACAGGTGACCTAATCAGCTGTACACTGAACCCACAACACTTTACAGCAACCTCTTACTATGGGCCATAAACAACAGTCCTGATAACTCATTAATGCCGTTCACTGTGTGCAGCTGTGGGTCGCGTGGAGCTTCTAAAGATCAACCTGAGGGAGGTGGAGGTGGCTGCTGACGTGGACCTGGACCTCATCGCAGAGAAGATTGAGGGCTATTCTGGCGCGGACATCACTAACGTCTGCAGGTCTGAGTGATCGTGTTTAGTCTGCCAAAAAATGAAATGGAGGGATTGATCATCAGTCATCAATTGATCCATTTAACCGCCAACACACAGATAGGATGACATTTTACTGGAGACTAATAAAAAGCATACCCAAGAAATTTATGGATTTCTTAAGTGTGTTTGAAGTCCAACAATATATTATTAAACTCATCCCCATTTTTGAGATGAAATAGCTCTTAATAGGATCAATTAAATGGCTCTACTTCAGACAAAGGAATACCATCAACACTGATGTTTTATATGTATATTTATTCTTTATTCTGTGTGTAATGCATAATGACACTAAGATTTAGTGGAACATACATCTAGTCTTTCTTCTTGTTGTCATTTCTGCCTGGTCTATGCTGGGAATGGCAGATTTTTATGTCGTTACAGTTGTTTCTGATCAGCTCTGGCTTGTATTATTTCGTTGACCTTGTATGCGTGTGTTTATTATCCGTACACTGCCTTAAGCCTGCAGGATTTTAGTCTTGTTGCAGCCATGACATCATCCGTTTAACAGGAGTTAAATTCTTGGAAGCAATAGAGTGTGAAGTGTATTTGAGGGTGTATTACATATATGTGTATTAAAGCAGAAGTACCTTATATGGGTCTTAACTCTGCTCCTGTCTCTTCATGAACCTCAGGGATGCATCTATGATGGCGATGCGTCGTCGAATCCATGGCCTGACTCCAGAGGAGATTCGAGCTCTGTCCAAAGATGAGCTGCAGATGCCTGTGACCATGGAGGACTTCACCCTCACACTGAAGAAGATCTCTAAATCAGTCTCTGCTGCAGACCTGGAAAAATACGAAGCCTGGATGGCTGAGTTTGGGTCAGTTTAAAGAAACTGTGGAGAGAACATTAAGAAGCGGACTCAGAGCTTTGAAGATGGTGAAAGCCTTAAAGAGAGGTACTTGAGAATGTATAAGAACTGGGCAGCACACGGTGGGTTGAAGACATACATGGGAACATATTCACTTCCCCCCTGCCCTTCACATGTCGTCCTTTTATGTTTGTCTGCCACCAAGCTGCTGACTGAATAAAGTCACTAGAACACGGGACTGTTCATGTATAACATAGCCTGATACACACAGGTAGACCTGGGAATGCACTACTTTTACTCTTGTTTTGGCCTCTTGCAAGAACATTTTGATCATGCCGTAAATTTCTCATCCTAACCTGATTAATGCGAACTCTTTCTTTGAGTGTGTGAGACTCGATAATTGGGATGATTAACTCCCCCTCAAGTTCTCCTTGCGCCTTTTGTTTGCTATTTTTGTCTTAGATGTAAAAAACTAAATTTCACTCTGCTGAGCCAAAATATAACAGCTTTTTTTGCAGTGTGAATACTGATATATACTTTTTAATCCTTAAAGAGCTGCTGACTACGTGCAGTTGTATTGTGACAGAAATAGAGAGGGATTAAGACATTAAAATGGTGCAAAATACAACACATATCTGGTCATCCAGCTTTGTGTAAAACCAGAGATGTTTGTGTAATCTCCAAACAACTACTGGCTTCTCATGGTTGATGTGCTAAAATCTACTATTCAAACCTCATAGTTAATGCCAAGTTATTTTATCAGGATAGGATGTTGAAATTCTGAAATTCTCTACATGATCAGCATTTCAGATGGAAACCAGGGTACGAATGTCTTTAGGATCTGAAAGTTGAGAGAACTACAACACATTGGTGATTCTTGTGATTCTTGCAAGAGGCCCACTGTCTTCAAGAACTGTGTGTTTGAGCACTTTTAATTTAATGTAATGTAATGTGTCGCTCATGAGAGCTCATACTACTGACTGAAAACACTTGAAGAAACCACAATGTCTGTGCTGTCTAGGGACTGACTATGTTTGTGTTTGTTTTTTTTTATATATGTATGTGTCTTCAGTTTTAGTCCTCTTGAGTCAAACTAATGTAGTAGCACACCTGTAACTGACACTTAATTCTTATCTGGAACCGCACCTACTGAAAGAGTCAGATTGTGTTATCTGTAGCGACTGAAACATGATTTATTATTTACTTAATACTCACTCATAGTTTGACTGGTGTTTATTTTTTAGCTCTATTTTTCCCCACTGGTTTTATATCTAACTTCAGGCCACATCAAGTCTTAAGAGCAAATAATAAATTACTCAAACTCCACTGACTTTGCACCACAGGGTTATTTCCATTTCATAGTCCCTAATTACTGTAGTCTTTCCATGCAGTCTCACCAGAATTTTACCCTGATGTAGAGACAAGAGAAATATTGATGATGGAAAAAAAAAATCAACATAGAGTCTTTTCACAAGATCTTTCCAGCACTTTTAAGTACATCACACTCCCTCAATCAACAGATGGCGTTTGCATCAGGAAATGGTCTGTTGACATTTTCAATTCGACTAGAAATCCATACAGATAGCCTCATAACAGCTGCTGAGCTCGCCTGTCAACACATCTGTCTCCATGATTTTAAAGCAAACCACACATAAGTCCTTTTAAAATTGTGAGTCACAACAGTGCTGTAGTGCAGCATATTACTGGTTTGCTGTTTTACAGTGAGTCTGTCTCGCCAAGGTTAAGCTCCTGTTGCTACTGCTGATGCCAGTTTAGCAGTTAGCCAACCTGGTCCCACTATTACATCTCTGTGCATTTGACACTGAAAGCTCACAGTGAGTAAATATCTGGCCTTGATCTGAAAAGAGCCAAACCCATATGAATTTTAAAGTTTGTTTTTAGGCTTAATATACCTTGGTTGTCTGTGGTCCATGTTTTAAAAAATGACTGAAATTGAAAACACTACAGAGGGAGTATTTATCTGCCAACAGCAATCACTCTATCTCTTGTTAAAAGCTCTGGAAAGGGCGAACAGAGTGTCACTGAATTAGCATTATTTTGCTGAACTACTCCTCTACAATTTGGAAACAGTGAACCTTTGATGTCAGCTGCATTGTGAAGTTATTCAACCTGAATTCCCGTGAGTATGCAGAGTACTTTACAGACTCACTTTAGATTCTATTTTGCACAACTATTAACGAACAAAGGCTTTCTGCAGGCATCCCGCTAGCAAATGCTGTGTCTTTTTGAAAGGTCTGAATAATAAAATTGGACAGAGAATGATTGAATTGGATATTAAATGTTTTCTTTGTCCTCTGGTTTTGAAATCTCTCCTGAGTCCATCAGCCAGCCACATTGGTATCAAATGCTGGAGTGTGAAAGTATCTGCGCAACAAAATGCTCCACTGATTGAAGCTGGAAAGAGACCCGTTTCCTCACAGTTTTAACAGGTTAGCCTATCCTATCTTCCTAACTTTTTACACTGTCTGTCATACTGGCTTGAACCTAACAACAGGATGAACTCTAGGTCTGGGTGTGTGTTGTAGTGAGTTAAAAGAGATGAGCGTAACCTGTCTCCTTCTAAATTTGTTTTTGTCTTTTTGGGGACAAAATAGTCAACTGGTGGGGCCTGTCTGGTTGTTCCCAGGCTAACATAGAGAAGTTGTGTTGCAGATTAGGTTTTCCCCACATTTTGGTAACCCAAACCATAAATAAAGCCAATGATTCTTGCTTATAAACCATTAATGAAAACTGACATACTCTTCTCTTTAGGAACAGGTAGACATATGGCTGCATTTGTTCTTTCCAAAATGAATGAATAAATAAATAATCCTATTCCATCAATTTACTTTTCCTCTTTTCCTTGGCATTAGCTATAGGGGAAAGTGGGGTAAGATGAGCCATTTTTCATATTTCAGATCACTACATCAAGGCGATCACAGTTTTGTCTCTAACTAGTGTATCTGCATATATTTCAAGATGTTGTGCATCCCTGCAAACCAACAGTGAGTGTAAACATAACTGTCTTGATAATATAGCATTCAGAAAAAAAGTGGTCTCCTATGGTCAACTTACCCCGTGTATGAGGTAAGTTAACCATAGGAGTGGGGTAAGTTAAGCCGTATCCCTACTACCCCACCCCCCACCCCCACCCACTCTCCACCCCAGCCCTCCTTCACCATCTCTCTCTAAATAAATAACAGTCACTTCTTCACATTCATATGTATTTTTATCTATTATACGCTATTCAACTAGTACAATAATTCTTATTATCATTGCATAAAAAAGCTGTTTTGTAAAAAGCCATTTTAACATGAGAATACCTTTAAGTGATTCAGAACATTCACAGCTGTATTTTTGAAAAGAAAAAGTAACACATTTCAACAATCTGAACTGAAACTCTGATCCTCTCATCAGACTTCTTCACTTTCGCATTTGAGTCACTGGCTCAACTTACCCCAGAACTACTGTGATGACTTTGTTAGTCCTCTAAGCTAAAATGGTGGACTTTTATGCTAGGTTTTTGACCTCATATTGTAGCTCATAGATACCACAGTTGATGTGTAAAACTAATTTAAAATAATATTTTTTGGTCTGAACACAATCCTAATAAAACTTATGACAGACTAAATTCACTTTCAAGAGTGAAAAATGTTTTTTTTGTAAATAAATGTCTAACTCCTTCACCCATGTGCTTCTAACCTTCACAGACTCAGTGAATAAATGCCCATCTCCTAAATATTTGGTCACATGATCAATTTCTTTTACCATTTCCAAGCAACATGGGGTGGCTCAACTTGCCCTTTGGCTCAACTTACCCCACTCTCCCCTACCACAGTGCAATGCAAATTTGCTTAAAATGCTTATTATATTTTATGCATCTTAAAGATGAATGGCATACTGTCCTTATGTATAAAGACAATGTTTGAACTGCAAAATTTAAGAAACACAGATTTTCAAATTTGTGCCTCCAAGTAAAGCAACAAATTCGGTGCATAGAGGCTCATATTGTGAAAAAGAAAATGTGAAACACCAAAAACAAGGCAGCTATAAAGGGTACAGAACTGCTTATTTCTCGATTTTAACAATGTAAACTCTGGTTTTGATGCTATATAGGAGAGCCATTGACTATAATGCAAGCCTGTGGCTATAATGCGTTGCTCCAGTGACGCTGTGTGGCTGCATCGGCGCATGGTTGCAGCGCAGCAGAGCCGTTTTTTCCTCTTATCACCACAGTGGGTCTAACGTTCGCCCCAGAATGGAGACTAAACCGGTCATCACCTGCCTTAAAACTCTCCTCATCGTTTACTCCTTCGTGTTTTGGGTAAGTAGCGTTTTATACATCTCTACCCCCCTTCATTGCCGCAGAGTAATCGTTTATAACCCATCCGAATGCCCCGTTGTGTGTGTTTTTTTGTGTGTGTGATGAAGGGGTGGACACACCGCCAGCACAGCATCATCGACGGATTTATGCTGTTGTTTCAGACATACGCCAGTGATACACGGCGATAGCTTCACCACTTTATCGCTAATTCGTGAATTTAATCGTTTTGTGTGACATAGGTTATGGTAAGGTTGCACACATCGTGGCTGCTGGCTGGGCGTCAGTGTTGAGAGGACATACGGCGCACACATAGCATCATGGTTGTTGTCAGTTAGCGCGGTGGAGGAGGAGGAGGATGTTCAACATCACCATCTGATAAGAGCGACGTTAGAGGCCTGCTGTTGTTTGATGAGGCCCGTGAAATGACCATTTTCTCTACACACAGGGAACATTTAGTGCCCGTTGCATAGGTTTTCTTAAAGGAACATCGCACCGTGACCATCGTCTCCTCCATGAATGAAAGAGCAACACCCTTGTAAATCAATTGATTCCTTTAGGAAAACCCCAGCCAACGCATTAAGTTATTATCCAGACAAACTTACAGCATCTAATGCAATCAAAATACCACTGCACCATAGCCATACCATAGCACTGAACGTGGTCAGTCAGTATTGAGTCTTATATTTATGACTGTGACTGTAAATGTTGAAATTGTAGGCTGGTTTTGTGTAATGATACCCCAAAGTTTTCTCAGTATTCTCAAAAATATGTGAAATGTTCCCATTAGACTACTACATCATAATATATGTGAGCCCATCCATCCACTTGTTTTGGATGGAAGTCATTTCCAGTATTTTCTTTTGTGCCTGTGAAACTCCTAGTATCATCTGCTAAATGAAAAACAATAAAAACTAACTAAACAGGGGTAAACAGTATATCAGTATACAGTATGTCTGCTTTAGGCTTCTGTAGGATGTCAGTAAAAGCAGTATATTTCCGTAATGGATCAGCTGACAGTGGTTGGCATTTTTGCTGATCACTTAAAAAAGTCTTGCGCCCTAAAGCTCTTAGTTGACCAGTAGGTTTGTGGACTGATTTCTGATGGAACTCAAAATATTAGTATTTATTTTTTGTTAAATGACATGTCTACAAAAAGGTTAAGATCAGTGCTTAAAGTGCAGACTTAAAAGTTTAAGGCTGTGTTGTTGTATGATACAGCAGCGTATTGAGGTTAGGGCTGCAACTTATACCCTCTTTTCATGTCGGACATGACATGAATAATAGACAAGGGAAGACAACAAAGCCTTGCGGTGGACTGGTTTTTGTGATTGACTTGCATGATTGTAAGCCTATTAACCCATTTATTTATTTATTTATGTGGGACACTGCCAACATATTTTAATGCCCCATAAATTGATTTTTCTTATTTTCAGCACATTTTGAGACTAAACTTTTGGTTGTTTACTCAAATATTGTATAGAAGACCTAAGCATGTTGGCTTTTGTTTAAAAGTAACAAAACTTCCATCTAATGTTTATTTTCGTCTGACAAGAGGTTGTCATTTTCTTAGCGACTAAATAGATTCCTTTAAGTTAGAATGTAAAAAAACACGGAGTGTGTTTAAGAGTGACTTTAGCCATGCTAAGCCTCTGACAAACCTTAGTGCTTCTGCGATTTCCAGGTCATAAATATTTAAAATTTCTACTTAAACTGAGACTGCTACTTGTTTGTTTTCCTAGCTGGACTTTGCTGTTTGACACAGCTTTGTTTTTTTAGGAAGGACCCCAACTGATCTGTCATTTTGAATGACTCATACATTAAACATTGCCATGGTAGAAAAACAAGCCAACTACAAAAAACTGTTTACGAAATCCTAATGTGATGTCTCAATGTAAGACCATCAAAAAGAACTTAAATGATCTTTTAGATTGAATCAAGTGTTTTTTACACCTTAAACACACACACAGATGGGAGGATAAGGAATGAAACTGGCGAGTTTCCATAAAGAAGATGGTTAAATGACAGTTCTACCTTCTGAATTAAATGAAGACAACATTTTATGAGAGTTTTCAAGCACTGGCAAACGTCTGAATCAAACTTCTGGTGGATTTAAACTTCAAAGCCCGCTCTGATTTGAATTAATTAAAAGCTTTTACAGTGCTAAGCAAATAGCATATAATAAGACCCATTTGGAGAATACATTCTGATATTTTCACTCTATGCTGGCACTTTGTCTCTGTAAGCCTCCTCGGGATGTGAGGCAGCTGATCGCACATAAAGCATAATAAATGAAGAAGTGGAGAAGTAATTCTCATGCCGTTTGGCTCTCAGTGGCTTGGTTTAGCAGGTTGTTTACCCTTAGAGTAGATTTGATCTGTGCAGGCAGCAATCAGTCACCTTAACACCACATATCTGAATATGCGCCAAGCAATTTGAGGAACTGTGAAAGCTTTTGACCAGAAAACTTGACCATAATTGTTGGTTATAAACTGCAGACTTGGAGCGGCCAGATATAGTCGCACTTGAATTAACTAATAAGAACACGTGGGAAAGATTTATCTGTTCATGATGTGTTTAGGACCTGAGGAAAACGTTCTATTTTTGCCCCCACATTTCATCTGGATTCCAAACGAAAGCGAAGCAACTTGATTCTGCAAAACCAGAAATAGAGATTGAAGAAGAAAGTTGCGGGGCTGAAATAAGCGATTCAGTTACATGCCCAGGATGAGCCTGAGCAGACACGTGAGGTGATATAGATATGAGGTTTTATATTTAGTCAGGATTGGACAGTCTCTGGATGCATCAGGTTTCAGGCCTCTGAAGTGTTGAAGTATCTCACAGCTCAATGTGGACTTCTTCACCCCTGAGGCTGGAGCACAGACTGGTCCACACTGGGCACAGAGTTCAAAGGGAGAGAGTTGTGCTGCTTCAATGTCAGGCTTAGTTTCGGTGTCATCAACTTGTCCTGGCAAATAATATCCTAAGTGTGAATAGCTGCATTGCCATACTTTTAATACGTACACACATGCACACACGGGATGAATAAATGCTGAGCAGGTGGTGGAGTCTGCGTGGTGTCCTCGCCAGCATATTTTGTCATCGCACCTTCTGTTTCTTTATTAGACCAGCGGGAGAGGAGGAGGGGAAGAGGGGTGACCTGTTTTAAACCCTGCGCTGTAACCAGGGTGGCATTGAATTTCAAACAAAACGTGTGGGGGGCTGCTCGGCTGTAGGAGGAGGAGGAGAAAGGAGGGAACAATCTGAAGCTGTTTGACATGCAGCAGCAGACATGAAAGTCTAGATGACTTGCCCCCCCCTCCACTTCTTGGACTTGATTTCCCTGTTGGCTTCAAAATGAACACTTTAGCATTGACAAGATCGTTCCTTATTTGTATGCAAGAGCAGCTCTTAGAGGTCCAGACATTTTGTTGCTGATGATGTAGGCCATAAACAGTGAGGACATCGTCATCTCGAGGACTGTTCTGTGAAATGACAGTCAGCCCCGGCTGTTAGAATCCCTGGTAATAGAAACAGTGGATGTCATTACACACGAATCAAATCATCGGCCCGCAGTCCTTCAGTTCAGTCAGACAGCGGCTGAGGAGCAGGAATGTAAGAGTTGCGATGATTAGTCCACTGACAGAAAATGACTCCACAACTATTTTACAGACAGAATTGAACAGTTTGGTTACTTTGTGGGCGAAATGCCAAACATTTACTGGTTTTAGATTTTTGTTTTTTTAAATTTGCAATTTTGCACATGGCAGTAAATTCAATATCCTTTTGTGTCAGATTATTGCTGTGAAAGACAGGAAATATGGAGATGTAATTTTTCAGCCCCAGGAAATGAAACAGAATATGATGCTTTTTAGATGTAACTAGGGCTGGGCGATAAAACGATAATGATATATATATATCAAAAATTAATTTCCCTAGATGTCGATAAACATGGTCAATGTGCTGTTTGATAGCCAACATTCTGCCATAGCCAATGAAAAGGGGAGTTCCTCGGGTCTGCGCCGCGCTGAACTGTTCATACAGTCTGCTTTCTCTAGCGCGATGCCTTACGACAAAACAACGAAGAGACACAAAGACCTCACAGATGCAGTAGCTTTAGGCCTGTCGCGATAATCAATAAATCGCCTTATCGCTCGATAAATAAAAACGAGGTCGGTCATTTTGCCAGCCTCGATAATTGACGTGCGTTTGTTTTCCTCCTCTCTCGCTACCAAACACGCTGGATGAGAGAAGAGGTCTCACTCTGCGCATTGTTCTCGGCACCTGGGGGCGTTGGCTCTATAGCGGAATGAACGGAGTTAGTGAACCCTCCTGTCAGTCATTCAGTGTCTTTGTCACGAGGGGGCTGGCGCGCACAGGCACACAGACACAGACTTTTGGATACAGTGCTGCAAGTGAGCGTCGTGAGTGAAAAGCAAGCTAACAGAATGAACACGACAGCTTTGGTGTCTAAACCGAACGCAACAGCCCAAGTGTGGGAATATTTCGGCTTTAAACCAGTATTGTTTTCGTCAACCACAAAACTCCACGTGTGTGTGTGCGCGCGCGCGTGCGTGTGTGTCTGTGTGTTGGAGGAGCACAGCAGGCTGATGAGAGCTGTCAGAGCGGACTGAAGCTGCTCCTATATGTTTAGCGTTTAACTGACTGAGTTTTGCAACTCTGTTCGTCATTTTCGTCTCGTCCCATCAACGTAAACGCACTTTCGTCTCGTCACATTTTAGTCATCTCCGACTTATGTTTAGCTCGTCAACGTTACGTCTTCGTCGTGGGAGAAAAGGGAAATATTTTAGTCAACGAAAACAACCAGTGTTGTTCTCGTGTGGAAATTAAAGTTTATCACTTTTGACACGGTGTACTCGCATTATTATGCCATATAATATCATTATCTATAATTTAAAAAATGGTGTCAATAATATCGTTTATCGGCGATAATTTGTAGCACAATTATCGTCCAGCAAAATTTGTTATCGTGACAGGCCTAAGTAGCTTATTGTATTGCAAAAGACATGCTACCTATAAGCACTGTAAAATTTCATTTAAGAGTAACAGGAAACATTTAAGATTGACAAGTGATTTTTTTAATATCGTGATATCAGCTGATATGAAAAAAATATATATTGTGACAAACTTTTTTCCCATATTGCCCAGCCCTAGATGTAACCCTACTGTTTCACCTTTGTTTATATACACCCTTGTTTGTATTAATGTGGAAGGTTTGAGAGGTAACATTCCTGGCATGAATGCACCCCCATTATAATTCTTCAACTGCTGTTCCTTGAATGGCCACTTGGGGCTGGCTCCAAAGTGAATCAAATCCTGTAGACCCGTGTTGAAATGTCAGACTTTACAGTTGTTGTAGGCATCAATAGCAAATTTCTCCATAATAAATAATTTGTTTCCATTAAAGCATATCAAGGCGTATAACCATACAGAAGATTTAAACTTTACAGTATATCATAGAGTCATTTTGGGGTTAAAAAAAACCTAATCATTATGATGCAACAAACAGGGGTCTTGATTTTCAACATGGAAACTGTTCTGGTTTCTATTTGTAGTCCCAGTAGGATTTACGAGTTTGAAGATGTTGTCCTGGGGGATGTAATGGAGCGAGAAATGAAAGCATTTAAAATGCAGACATCAATGCTGCACAGACAGGAAGGTGGGAAAAATAATGCAAATATTTCATAGATCGAGAGCTCACAGCTAGATGATTAACAGCCTTTATGTTCATTCATTATATGGGATATTCTGAGTTATCTCAGGACGTCACTGTGGTCACAGTCATAACCTCACCCGCTGAGTGTGATGATTCATCTTTTAGTTCTTGGCTATGTTTTTTGTTGTTGTTGGACCTGACTTTTCAAACATTTATGCACATTTATTGTACAAAAATATAACACAATATGGGCAAATGCCAGCAAAATTAAACAGACAGTTCTTGGAAACATTTGAAACACACTAATTTAATCACTCCATGTTGTGAGTATGTGGTCAATCTCCATCAAGTGCCATGCATGCCTCAGGAGATTCATCATTTTAACTGCCCTCATGGCAAAGGAGTAATTGACAGGTTTTGCTAATGTCATATCAACCACAGTGAGAGTAACATGTCATTTAAGTTAAGTACAGACTTAATGGTAATAGGCAAAACAATCTAGTTCTAATGACCTACTAACCAACTCAATACTTTTCAGAGCAAAACATGTTCATGACAGCCTTTAAAATATGGTTCATAGTTTAGAGTGGTAATAAGGTGAATATATGTTTTATGTAGATTCTCAAGTATGGGTGGACTTTCAAATGTATGGACAATAGTTTCAGCCTTAACTTGAATATTTAGCTTTAGGTTGTTCTCTCCTCTAGAGCAGCCACACAGTGTGTTTTCATGCCTGTGTTCCCTCTCCCTGCGATTCTTTCTATAAACTCACCCTCTGCTGAAACCCAGTGTCCTTGTGCGTCATAGTGTTTATGGAAATTCATGCGTGGATGTTTGCATGAGACACGATCAAGTTCAGGCATTTCACACTGCAGCTAGAGTACGCATCTTAACGTGACTCAGATTTTGATCCCAAAGTGACTCCTGAAACTTGGAACCGAATTCAGATCAGTGCGGCGGTGAAATCAGAGGCACGCTGATGAGCAAATGTTTGTCCAGTTGTTGTATACAAACCCTGCCAGGAGTTCAAAGTGTAAATGTTGTGAAGACTATTTTACCTTCAAGCGGTGAGAACCAACTTTTCAGGCTTGTTGGTGAAATAAACATAGCCCTCTTTTTATGACAACCATTAATGTCCTACCAGTGAAATTTTAATATTTTTTAGAGGTTTTGTCTATGAAACCACCTTAACTAAACCATTTTACCAATACTCAGCTATTTAAGCTGGTAATCATGTCATTAAAGCCACCTGAGACATTCATAAATTCAAAACTTTGAGCTTGTTATTGTCACTCACTTTAAAGTGGTCCAAACTGGTCCTTGTTTTTAGTGCTTTAGTATAACAACTGACAAAAAAAAAAAGACCTTTTATAATCTTGTAATTGGTTGATCCCTATAACCATACCAGGAAACCAATGTCAACTCAACTGTCAAAACAACCTCAGGATGCTGGTACAACTGCGTTAGAATCACTGCTTTGACCTTTAATAAATGAGGGAATATGGGAGCCAAAGTGTTTGTAATGATAAAAGATTTATCTCTAACAGCTCCTAATCACTCGTTCATCTTTGTCATTTTCACATAACACGACATTTAACCTTGGGGAATTATTGACTGCTTCCTATGAGGGAATTTATCATCTTATTGGCTTATTTTCTGTGAAGAGTTGAGGCGATCGGTTTCATCAGTCAGAGAGGTTTCAGGGTGCACAGAGACATTTTGTACATGCTGCGCCATCTCTAACCAGAGGGCCTGGCAGCGGGACGGCGAGCAGCCTCCTCTTGGAAGAAAACAGGGTAGTATGATGACTTGGCCCTCGCTAGAATCAGATCATCAGCAGCCGTTCCACACCCCGTTCTGTTTCCAACGCCAGCAAGACATACCCAGCTGAGACACACGCCGCTTCAGCTGCCTAGTACAACACACTCTTTTATCCGCAGCCTTCATTTGAAATGCTAAGAGAGGCGCAACAGGAGGAAGCGTCTCGCTTGGGATCAAAGAGCTTCTTTGACATGGCCCCTTTCTTTTTCCGTTTGTGTATGAGTGAGTGCAGGCATATTCATAAAGCAGGTGATCGCAATCCCGCACTCTAGATAAATGTGTGTCTCTGTCTGCCGTCTCCTCCCCCTCACTCTAATTGCTCTCCTTTCTTGTTCCACCTTGATCCTCTTTCTCCTCCTCCCCCTTGCAACGCTGCTAAAACACAGCTTTTGTAACGCTGCAGCAACACAGAGATAAAGGCCTGTTCCCCTGCTTTCATTCTGTTTCCTGTGCTCTCTCTCTGTTACATGCAACTCTTCAACTTCTGCCCCGCAGATAACAGGAGCCATCCTGCTGGCAGTTGGAGTATGGGGGAAGTTGATGCTGGGCCCGTACATTTCTCTGATAGCGGACAACTCCACCAACGCTCCGTACGTCCTCATCGGGACCGGGACTGTCATCATCGTTTTTGGCCTTTTTGGATGCTTCGCCACCTGCAGAGGAAGCCCATGGATGCTGAAGCTGGTAGGAAGGATGGGGTGTTATGTTGCAGGGAGCGCTTAGAGCTTTGTGGATGCTGAATAATTAGCCTCAGGTCACATGATAGAAGGAATAATGGTTGACCTCCATCCTGTGGAGAGGGATCAGAAATCCAATAAATGCTACAGGGCACTTTGTTCAGTTAATGGTGGTCAAGTGTGTGCGCTGGAGTATGTGTGTGTACATGTGTAAGTGTGCAGGCATAAGCAAATACTGCCCAACAAAGGTAGAGGATTTTATGCAAACCATGCAAATCTTCCTCCTCTCTCTCTCTCTTTCTCTCTCTCTCTCTCTCTCTTTCTTTCTCTCTGCAGTATGCCATGTTTTTGTCCCTGGTCTTCCTGGCTGAGTTAGTGGCAGGAATCTCTGGATTTGTGTTTCGCCACGAGGTCAGTAGACAGATCACAGACGTTAATTGAAAAGCATTTAAAGCCACGTATAAAACCCCCTCGTCTGAGTACATGTGTATGATGTCATGGTGTAGATAAAGGGGACCTTCCGCAGGACATACAATGACGCAGTCCTGAACTACAACGCTGAGGACGAGGCGAGCCGTGCCGTTGACAACATCCAGCACACTGTGAGCCCCTTAATACAAACTCAACCTACAAATACATAAGCAAAGATGCACTTTAATGCTCAGGGTTTTGCAGTTTTCATACTTTATTTGATGAAATCCTGTGAAAAAAAAAGTAAAAACAACCAGCAACCTTATCCTTTACAGAGAAAGCTTTTCTATGGCTTTATAAGGCATTACACTCACTGCTAATGTAGGGATACGCTTACCTGTTTTGGTTAGTGGACAATAGAAAACACATAATGCCAACCTTATGTTTCACTCTTCATCTGTTCTTGTGTCTCTCCATATACGTGTAGCTGCGCTGCTGTGGAGTGTATAACTACACCAGCTGGCTCGGCAGTGTGTATTACCCATCTAATGGCATTCCTGCCAGCTGCTGCTTTAACTCCTCCGACTGCAACCTGGAAGACCTTCGCAATGCAACCGTAGCCCCGAGCAAGGTCTACCACCAGGTCGGTATCTTATTATATTTCCCACTTCTGGCCTGTCTGCTCATAAGTGCTCAGTTTATGACTGACTGTCTCACCAGTCTGAAGATTACAGGTCCTCATTCACCTTTTCATGCCCTCTTCCTCTTCCATTCCTCTAACAACTGCCTCAGATAATCTCCCAGTTATCCGTCTTGCCCCTCATTTGCACATATAATTTGTCCCTGTTCCCTCTGCCGACTAACCTGCCCCCTGTGTTTCAGGGCTGTTACGAGCTTGTCACTTCATTCATGGAGACCAACATGGCCATTATTGCGGGAGTGACGTTTGGGATTGCCTTCTCACAAGTAAGATTTCACTGTATTACGTATCACTGCATTAGTGACTCTCTTATTATTTATAAGGCTGCTTTTTTTTCTCTAATATCGGGTGCAAAAGTTCTGTTGACTAAAAAACATTGTGGTAGTGTAGTGTTGTGTTGTTCACGAACGATTCATTCAACAGAACCGAATCTTTTAAGTGACCGTACTGAACTGAATCACGTCCTCGAGTGATTTGTTCGTTTCTCACTTCAGTTGATCTGAAGTGAGAAACAGCATTGCCAGTCGAGCAGCCGGCAAACGAGGGACCCCATGCATTGACGCCTGAATCACTTGGTGAACGAATCACGCATTGAACTACACTCTCTGGAGTTTGCAAGGAAACGGTGCATGTTCAGTGTGAATTCTTCTAAACGTTCAGTGAACGGATCACTCACTGACCCCAACTTACTGAGCAGACCTGATGAATACCATACCAAAGACAGTACACTTCAAACATCATGACTTATAAACAAGTTCATTTCGAAAAACCTGTTTGCCATAGCAACACAGCCAAACACTCTCTTCTCCCGGTCCCAGAAGCTATGAATTCAACTGAACCCTGAAACATTCAGCTGTGTATCAGTTCAGGAGGTCGGAGTCGCAGGCTTCTCTCGCCGAGGGCTAAACGATTCAGTGATTTGGTGAACAAATCTTTTGAACAAATCTTTTCAGTTAACTGATTCTAGTGATTCAGTACATCTAAAAGAACTACCATGCCCATCACTGTGTATCTTATTGAGCAAATCTGACAAATGTCATCACTTTTAGACTGATCAACAACTAATAAAACAATAATTACAGAGAGTCTGGAGGAACTGTGGGATTTTGAGTTAACACAACCTCTCCGGTTACCCATTAGAAACTGTAAGGCTACAGCTAATGTTAGCATCAAACCACCTCCTAGCTTGAATCATTGTAGGTTATAGGATATGAAATGAGGGTGTAAATTCCTCGCTAATGTGAATTGCTTAAATGCAAACGTAAGCTGGGAAGTCGTTAAATGCTGATGTTTCCTGTTGTGTCTTGGAAGTCGGACTCTAATGAGTTATAAAAAATGTCTTTTACAGGTGACAAAAGTAACAAGAAATTTATATTACTGTATTTCATATAAGAACAGCTTTTGTAATAAAACTTAATAGGTAATAAAACAAGGTCTAATTTTACTGGCCCAGCGACTTTCGGTAATGGCTCACTGGGATGTTTAAACTGAATGGAGCTATTGTGTTATTAATAGCACTTGTGCATTAAGTCGAAATGTACTAAATATATTGGAAATGCCAAAAATAGACAACTTATTAACTTCTTGTCATTAGATAAAAATCAACAAATGAAGAGCAACAAATGGTTTTCTTCTCAAATTATGTAAAATTTTTTAAATGTTTTTCAAAATATTTTTAACCCCAAACATGAAAAAAACCCAAACAAAGCCATTGTGTTTTTCTTTCAGCTGATTGGCATGTTGCTGGCCTGCTGTCTGTCCAGAATCATCACAGCCAATCAGTACGAGATGGTGTAGCTGATGTGACGTGGCAGGTGAGAAATCAAAGGTACACACACACGCACACACAGAACAAACATATTCATCCAGAGTTAAAGCTGCTGTAACAGTTTTTAAATCTCCTTTTTTACTTTGCTAGTAAGTGTTTTGATTTATTTGGTTTTTTCATATGTTTAAGTCTTGCATTTGGTTGCATGTGAGCAAAAAGTACCTTCAATAAACTCAGCATCCAAACTAAGATGAACAAAGATAGCAGGTGTCTGCTGATGGAGCAGAAACTTGAGCTGCAAAAGAGCTACACACTCTCTCAGATCAGAGTAAAACTAAAAAAAACAGACTTACCATGAGACTAAAATTTGGCGGTTTTCTAAAACACATTTTCGGACAAATACAAATGTTAGCTCTTGTTTTATGTGGATCTTAACTCACACTTTTCCCCTGGCAACTTCTCCTGGTAATAGCAATGTGTTTTTTAGTTTGTTCTGCTGCCCCCAAGTGACCATAAAATCAAAAAAAACTGCAGGTTTCATTTCTTCTCTTACCTTTACTCTGTGTTTTTGTCATCTTAGGGAGATGAAGAGAAGAAGAGACAAGGAGCCTTGACACATGAAAAGAGTAAATTCCTGAAACCATCACATGTCTGAATTGGAATTTATATCCTCCGTCTCTCTGCCTGACCTTAATGTAATATCTTAATGTATCTTATTGTAAAGCACCATTCCTCGACTCACTGCTGTTACATCAAAGCATTCTACACCGCACATCCCACTGCTGCTTGATGTAGAAGTTGCTCATTGGCTCATATCTTGGATCAGTAAAGCCTTGAACAGGCAGGTAAACACAGCACAGCTATCTATGTTGACAGCTGTGTTGGTCTCCTAGAGGCAACTGGATGACACTTTTCCTCTGAGTTGGTCGCAGCATGTTTCATCAGAAGAACACTGCACATCTTTGTACAGACTGACATGACTTAAGCTTGAAGTTAATACTTTAATAGATAGGTTTAGTTTTGCATTTGACTTTGCTATTGCTTACCATTGTATATTATTAATATGGTTGTGACATTTTGTGCACTGATCATGCGTACTGAAGATATTAATTTACATTTTTATGATAACAAAGAAAAGTGAGAAAGTTAAATTTTGGAAATGGTCAGCAGTTTTTAGGCTTGAGACTCTTTTTTGACTTTTTTAAGCTTTACTCCCCAGATGAATACACGATTATGAAAATACTTCCTTACTGCACACCGATACTTTCTGGGTCAGAAAAAAATTAATTAATCCAGCAAAAGAACAAATAAGTGAAGCTTTCGAACAAATCAGTTGTGTTGTAAACATGAGGGCGGGTCAAATCCAAATAAATTTATTTTAATCCAAAGACCAAGTCCTACCATAGAGTCCTCCCTGTGACTATGCAACAATTTAATGTAATATGCTAAAACAGCCCCCTATAATTTAGCTCTCTGTTGCCTAAAAGTTGGTCATGGGATTACATCCTCAGTCATGAAATCAAAATGACTTGCTTTTGGTTTAATGCTGTGTGGCTCCTTGAAAAAATTTGATAGTGTGGAACTTAGGCTGTGTCCGAAATTACACAAACATCCACTTCCACTTGCAGCTTCCTACTCAGTAAGTTTTCTGTCGTGGACCCTCTAATCGAGCTCATAAACACCAGATATGGGTAATGTAACCGCCCTATGTTGGTCTGGGAAAAAAAAAAGCATAAATTCAAATCAAAGTTACATAGATCCATTTTGGTTTAAGTATCCAAATATTGCTCTTCTTATTACACCTTTTTTCTTTGCACAGGTAGCTTGGTTACAATGCATTGTGGGACAGTGAGTCCATTACAAAGGGTATTGTAATTCTTGTTCATAATTTGGACAGCACTTACAGTTGCAAATCCTCTTTTAGTACACTACAAAGTGAGTTGTGGGTGATTTTGGACACAGCCTACGTGCGAACATGTGCATTTTTTGAAGTAGCCTCTACAACTGATAATAACAGTAAAGAGTTTTTATTGTAATGAAGTGATTTTTCAATTTTAAACGCTGATGTGACCTTTCAAACCAAGTTTAAAAGAGGTATGATTAACATGCCTCAAAAGTAAAGTTTTAAGCTGTTTGGGACACCTGCGATTAAAAATTAGCTGTCACCTGAGTGCACTCTTAGACTTTCTGTCCTTAGAGTTTTTTCTTATTTAACCCAGAGGAAAGATGAAAAGTGGAGAAATTTGTCAATTAAAGAGTGAAAATGTAAAGATTGACACAGAAGTTTATATCCTGCCAACTTTCACATCTTCGCACACCTCAGGACTCTGTGTGTGAAGGGTGGCCTTAATTATCAGATAGTAGGTTCTGGAATTTGCAAAGACTGTCACATCAAGCCCTCGAATACCCATGTTGGAAAAGTTTGTACAAACCAAAAGAAGTTGACAATTCAGCAAGCTTAATGTGAAGCATCCGTAAACCTGAGAAGTGGTTCTGAATTTTTCCTACCTATGAACAAACTTAATTCCAAAATGTTTATCTTTGAGTATCAACTCAACACCAGCTAATATCTTGTTCTTGCAGACCTCTACTGGTTACAGTTCTCACATTGTTGCTGTAATATACAGGTGTACCTGAGATCACTGTCGAAAGAAGGTTTCAGTGAAATGCGGTTAAATTCCCGCCCAAAAGAGGTCAGCAGAACCCTTTATATTGGAGTCATACTAAATTATGAGGCTGATAAGTTGTTGTCTTCAGGTGGAAAAATTAATGCCAGCTGTTTGTACAGTGAGAGAACTCAACAGTGTTCATCTAGTATTAACAGTATTCTCTATAGTTAACCAACATCCCATCATCATCACTGTCACCTGTAGATATTTATTGGAAATGTAATTTATATGATGTAATGTTTCTCAGTCTAATATGCTAATCAGTATCAATGTCGTGTCACAGTTTTGATTCCACACTTGCTGTGCTGTTAATCTGTATTTGTTTGATAGTTTGTAGAAAAAACTCGCACTGAAAAAATACTTGTGGCTACTGTTTTAGTTGAGTGTAACTTGTAGCTGTTGGAATTTAACTGAATATTTATTATGGTTTGGTTGGCATTAAGTTTACAGTTTAACCAAGTGATTTTTTTTATCTCTCTTTTAGGATGTGTGGACGAGTGTGGGTGATTTCTTTACTTGACTGTGTTCTTAACCTTAAGTGTGTGCTATTCTTTGTATGATATGGTGTGTAAGTGAGAGAGAAAGAGACAGAGAGAGTCTAGTTAGAGCTAGTTGAACCTTTTGTATTTACTTTTGGTCAGTATTATGTTGTGGCTTTTCAAACCTCATTGCTTTTAAAGCTGTACATTTATTTGGTGAATGTATGTTTTTTTTTTTCCAACACTTCTATAACTTTTTTCCCTTCCTGAGCTGATATTGTCCTGTAAATACTAAATTGTAATACCATCTAGCTTACACATGGGGTCACCAGACACTCAGAAGCAGTTTCACTCGCTGTCTACTATTGACTAAGTCACCATCAGTGGTCTTATTATCAATAAATATACTGAATAACAGATGTTGGTGTGTTTATTTGACTTTTACAGTTGAACAGTCACATTATAAGGTGGGTTTACATGTCTTGACCAGATCAAATATTTACCTCAGACTGTTGATGAAACTGGAACCTGCTTTAAAATGCCATACAAAGGGGTGACATATCAATGCCACATTAACATTGTAATAGTAACACATTATTTATAAGCCTATGTAACATTTGCAGAGCTTCAAAAAACAGTCTTAAAAGTCTGTTTGCATACAGAAATGGACAATATTTATAAAAGGAGATTAGTGCTAATATAAAGATCATGAAAGAGCATTTAGTGAGCAAGTTTACTTTGTGTTGAAAAAATTAGAAGAAAATAATGCCAAAATATAATATGGGAAGAGCTAATTGGAAAATTTAAGATAAACTTTGTATTTGAACTTCAACAGCTACAATAAATGTAACAGTACCTCAGATGAAGTATGCTCTGATTTCCATTCAAGTCATGCAAGACCCCACAAACAAAACTCTAGTTTTCCCTGTTTAAACAAAAGTGTCCACGCTTATCTTGATCTGTTGACATAGCCCATTTGCATTACATATAGCCCATGTTCTCTGTGTTTTTAAACAGTACATAATGTGTCGTATCTAGTAGCGTACTCTACAAACTGACAGTCTAAGAGTTTCCGCAAAACTGTTGTTGACTTCAGATTAGATGTCATGTTTTGGGCGCTTTATTGGTATGTATGGTAACAACCATTGTTGCAAAAGCAAAATGATCAAATCAATCAGTAAGACTTGAGAGGAAATCTACAAATATATCTGGCAACAAACACCTATTCCCTAAAACAAACAGTGTAGTTTTGCCTTCATGTGTAATGGGTTCAATGCTCCTGTGAGTAACTTTCGGGGCCAATTTTAGCACCCACTGTGGACAAAGTAGTCTTTGCTTGTTTTGTCCTCTACATGCTTAAGTTGTGTCTTCTGATAAAAGAAAATCTCTTCCTGCTGACATTTGAAAGTCTACAGTATTATGTATTGTGTATATTCTATGTGGAAAGTGTAAAAAATCAGGCTGTCTCTGTAGCTGCTGGGGTGACACAGAGCCCCTGGCGCCAGTTTCATGCATTAAAAACAATATAACAAATGTCAGTCTTGCAGGTAATGGTCTTGCTTGCTTTTGGATATCATAAAGAGGCATCGATGTGAATTTCAGTCTGTTTCAAAACATGGAAAAACTCCTCATATAAGCTTTAATGAGGCAACTTCCCTATTACCTTTTCAGTCATGGAGGGTCCGTCATACAACAATGCTAAAATAGGTTCGTTTGTTACTTGGAGCAACCAAAAACTGACAAAGACAAATAAAACAGCCACAGTTTAGAGAAAATAGGCCATCAGGTGTGTCAGAGGTCAAACCAGAGCCAAGTTTTGTTTGAGCCTTCCAACTTTACCAAACACAGACGCCATGGATCCAACCTTACGGTGGCCGAGAACCACCACTGCTGCAAATTAAAAAAGAATGTAAAAAAAAAAAAAGGAAAAAAGAAGCCACAACGTAAGTTACTGGTGAAAAAAAAGAAACTGAAGGCCGCTGCAAATTAAAAAAGAAACGGTGCAGATATAAAAAAAAGCGACAACAGAATTTAATGATGCAAAAAAAGTGGCAATAAAAAAAAAGATACTCCCTGCGAAAATAAAAGGATGCACATAAAAAAAAAGCGTACTTATTTCCTTATTTCTATGGGTAAAGCAACCGAACCGTAAAGCTACCAAACTTGATTCTCTTCTCGTGGGAGGTCTTTTTTTTTTTTTTTGAGTTCCTTTTTTTTTTTATCACCACTTTTTTTGTTTTTTTTTTGTTTTTGCATTGTTAACTTTGTGGCTTCTTTTTTTTTGCACTCTTTTTTATTTACAGCACAGGTGGTTCTTAGCCACTGTACAACCTATAGAAGCAACAATTTTAGACCAATCTTCTTTTCATTTTGGGAAAAATTACTCCTGCTATAGTTAACATCCCACTGAGCAATAGACGGCTATTTGACGTCTAGTTATTTTTTAGACCTTATTTCAACTGTCTAGATTCTGTATATCTGTAGACAGAATTTAGACGTTGCACTTTGACCCGCTATTTGATAAGTATTAATTTCAAAAAGCAACTGTGAGTTGCATAACTGATCTCCAAGTACTAAACCAAAATAATTATGATAGCCGTTGAGGTAGACCTCTGTTAGCTGGCTAGTCTAAACTTGGTCTAAATTTAGACGTCTGAAAACTTTAATTTTTAGACCTGTGGTAGCCTGATATTAGACCGTCGTCTAGACTACATTTAGACGTCTATTAGACCTCTTTTAGACCAAGAAATGCTCAGTGGGATGTAACATGTAACTGAAGAAAAAACACAACCCAAAAAACTAGAGTTCAAAGCTTGCTTTTTATTTTGATTTGTTGTTTTCTGTGTTTTTACTGAGCCAGTGTCATTTTAACGAATCAAACAGGTCTTTAAAAAAACTGTCTCTTTCAAATTAATCTATACTAAATCGTTTTATTTTATTTTAATGTTTCTGCTTAAAAAAATCTTTCGTTTTCATGAACTTCCAGCGCGTGTCCAACTATGACATCACTGAGTACCGTCGTCTTCCATATGAGGGCGCACGAGTATCAGCGGAAAACGGAACTGCTGGTAATGGAGCGTGTGTGCCGGGAATAGAGCACTACGCACACACACATACACACAAATACGCAGACACACACGCACGCGCGCGCGCACACACACACACACACACACACACACACACACACACACACACACACACACACACACACACACACACACACAGTACGTCTCTCACTGTGTCTCCTGTTCTGCTGCGCTGCTGCGGGCAGCATCTGAAACAAGGCCGGAAAGCGAGGCTGTCACTCGGGCAGACCGCGCTCACCGGGCTCGCTCTGTCCTCGTTACGCAAATTACCGGCGGAGCGGCGCAGCAGTGGGTCCGTTAATGGAGCGTGCGTGCCCCTGGCCGGCTTCCGCACCCCGCCTCCTCCTCCCATCTCCCTCCGCCTCGTGAATAGACTTAATGGGATACAGGCGAGGAGGCATTCACCGGGGAAGCGCTATTACTCACACGGAAACACGGAGACCCGGACACACGAGCGCACAAACACGTTGACGTACAGCTTGCATCGCCATTGAGAAACACGGCTGTTCATACTTACGCTAAAAAAATACAAAATGTTTGAAATTACAGCACTACTTGTGAAGCTCTCGAGGCAAAGCTTTTATAGCCTAAAACGTAAAATCAGTCAGTTTAACCAGAACCGGAACAGCTGTCATTGAACTTTAATAGACCCAGTCCAGAGGCGGATTCAAAGGGTGGGCAGGGGGTGACTGGTGGCCACTCCAAAATCAATAAATCCATCAATCCTTGTCAGAAGCAGGGCTTAAAGGGATATTCCGGCGTAAAATTAATTTAGGGTCAAACACACCTGGGAGAACATTCATGATCATTTCTTCATGGAAATGCAATCAGACCGAGACGCTAAGGCACAAGAACTACCGCGTTTGCAGTGCAAAATGATTAATATGGTGATTGTTACTTCAAGGAAATGATGAAGAAATGATCACAAATGTTCTTCCTTGAGCTGTGTCACCCCGAAGCAGTCCGTAATGGACTGGCCCGAGGTCTCGCTACAAACAAGCAGCTGCTGGAGGAGAGTGGCTAAGTTGTGTTTTGTGTAGTCTCTTTGCTAAAGAAATTAGGCAATGTTAAAAAGCTGTTTGGTGGCAAGTGCTGTGGCTGGGACCCTATATGTACTGTTGATGAAGTTAGGTGCTGTTCTGAGCATTATTTGTGGCTATAGAGTGGCGTTTTGGTTGAGGTTTGTTGATGGCTCCTCAGACCGCTGTGTATTGCTGTCATTCGGTCATTACTAAAGTTGGTGTAACTAGAGAAGGAAGCGGTCGGCAACATTCATCTCTCGGGGGGTTGTCTAACTCGGCATTACGGTGTGTTTGACCCTAAATTAATTTTACACCGGAATATCCCTTTATATTGTGGGTGGCTGGTTGCCACCCACAAAAGATACCAGGAAGACAGAGTAGCAGCTAACTTATTGTAACATCTCTCCAAAAATGGTCAAACATTAATATAAGTGATGGTTAAAAATTTATTGTGAATCAAAAAATGTTTTTAAAGCTTTTACTTTTTACACTTCTTTTGACTGCTTTTTTCCCATTCCATAAATCAAGATCTACTACCAGCCGTGAATTTCATATCAAAATATTTGCATGTTTTTACAATAGTACAGTTTTATTTTTACAATAAAACACAAGACAATAAAAATGTCTAAAACCAAAGCATTAAAAAAACACTTGTTTTATGGAGTAGTCTTTTATTTGAGGAAGTTTCTGTTGCTCAGCTGGTGACAGGGAGGAAAGCTTTTGAAGATGCAGAAACCGCAGTTTTTGCGCTTCAACGTTACCTCTATCCAAAAAATGTACGCACAACACCATTTCTTTGAGCGTTGAAGTTGTCGTCTTCTGGCTTGCATATGACCTGTAAACAAAAATAAGACTGTAAATCTGTTACGTAAGTTCCACATACCGTCTCTAGATGCCACATGGCCTGCATCACTTTTTACAAGGGGGCATGGGTTCTATCACTGTGCTATCTGTAGTGTTGAAAGATTCTTAAAAAGCAACAGTTTCCTTCAACAGAAATCTTCATGAATACCTCCCCATTGGCTCTTCACCTTCAACATTGTGAGCCTGCCTTTTCCTCGCATCTGTTTGTGATGTAAGCTGTTTTCACTGTTGTTCTAACTGCTGTTGCTGCCTCGCCTCAGACACCCCTTCCTCACACTTTTCAGCAACATGCAGTTGTGATGACAAGTACTAGAGTTCCCACTCAAGCTGCCTGTTCTTGTGGTGTAGCAGCAGCACCGCAAACCTCCCTCCCTCCTCTCTAACTCTCTCTCTCCTTGAAGCCTTGCGGGATGATGATGACACCCGCCGTAATCGCTGGATGCTCAGCTTCTGACATGACACACAATCAGGAAACCCTTTCACGGGCTGATCCAGGTTTCATTGTTGCATTCAGGTGTGGCACGTCCTCTGACAGGTGGAAAAGGCCGCTTGCAGGAGAGTGGAGGGAGACAGCGAGGTGGGGCTCTGACTGACAGCCCTGTTTAAGACACAAAACCAGCTCCTGTTCCTATATCTGATCTCCTCTCTGCTGTGATGAACACTCTGCTTACCTACTTTCTTTACACTAACTGGATTGTGTTTGCGTAGGTTTGCTTCCAGGGCAGACTTTGGGATTGAGAGGATGTGAATAGAGCAGGACGGAGGCCAGGCTTTAGCGGAAATCACATAATTACATTAACTTAACTATGTTTAAATACTGCTCCCAGCTCCTTAGCTTATACAGCACCTTTTTCTTATACAGCAGCAGATTCCTGAGCAAAATAATGCAATTTTGCTGCATATTTGATAGCTATGGTGTAAAAGTAAGGCTGAAGATACAAAACGTACATATGTAGAAGATAGAAAGTTAGAGATTACAGTACAATACCTAAAACAGTGTGGGCCAGTAATCAGAATTGTCTGCTATTTGAGTCTGGGTATTATTCAGCTTTGTTTCAAATTACTTAATTCGTCACAAACAAATTTAAGACTTAAAACTGTTGAATGGGTTTTACTTGTTATGCCCTATTTTCATATTGAGTTCGAATCAAGAGGCTAAATTGAGTTCTCTCCCTACTTAAACTATAATTTCGATTCTCCAAAAATTGGGATTTTATGTCAGATGTTGTTTAAACAGAATTTGATGGTTTGCAAATAATTTTAACCCTGTGTTCACTTGAAAATACTTCGAAAACACATTATTAATGTTTACGTTTAATGAAGACCTTTCGCTCATTTTGAAAATGATGAAAGAAACATCTTAAGGGCTGGGACGTCAGGCATGTTTACGTCACACTTTTTTGTTAATATGGTGACATGATGCAACAAAGTTTTTCAGAGGGGTCAAGTCGGGACTACAGGCAGGCGAGTTAAGCAACCATTCTCTTCTACTGCAGAGTCATCCTGTTGTAACACATGCAAAATGTGGTTTGGCATTTCCCCTCTGAAATAATCAAGGTCTTCCCAGAAAAGGCATCAGCAGCATAGGTTGCTCAGGGGGCAGTCCGATCTGCATAAATTGGAACAGACCAATGTCAGGAAAAGTCACGTCCCTGACAGTATCAGTGGCCGATTACTCAAAAACTGTGTCCCATTTCTGTGTGGTATTTATACATTCATCTTCCAGCCTCCTTGTCACAGCAAAAAGTCCCTGAATCCACTGTGACACAGATTACCCAAATCAAAATCCCCAGTGTGCTAAATGATTACCACCCTGTGACATTCCCATCTTTGGTCATGAAAGCTTTGAAAACATTGTGAAAAGGAGCGTATTAAACATGTCCAAAAATATAACTGATCCCTTTAAGTTATCAGGTAAAGAAAGGTTTGATAATGCTACTTAAAGATTGCTAAATCTAGTTGTTGGGCATCTAGAGGGGTTTAAAACTCATGCATGTTTGTGTTTTGATGATTTTACACCTGCTTTTACTTGCATGCAGTCCAATATTCTCACTAAGAGGCTTAAAGAAATACCTGGTTTTGACTTTGCCAGAATCTGTTGGTTGGTGGACTTTTTTAACAATGAGGCTACAAAGGACCCGTGTTAATGGAACATGTTCAAAGCCACTAATGTGCTCTACAGACTCACCTCAGACCTGTGTCTTGTCACCATTATTGTTTGTAGTCTATACTAATAAACGTACGAGTTGCTTTGAGTTGAGGTTTATCATCCACTTTGCAGATGATTTAGTCATTGTCAGCCTTTTGCAGGACCATGAGGTTAGCTATGATCCAGATCTGAACAGTTTTGTTAAATGGTGCCAGGAATCCTACTCGTATCTTAACATGTGTAAGATGATGGTATTGCTGTGGAGACATAAGCTGACCTTTGACACCAACACAGATGCAATTTGCACAAAGGCCAATCCGAGACTTTTTCTTAAGAAAGCTGAGAGGATTCAATGTTGACAAATCTCTTTTAAGTATATTTTATTGAGTCCATTTTAACTTTTGCAAGGATCTGTTGGTTTGGTGATCTCAGTGTGGTTAACAAAAACAGGCTGGGAAACATCATGAAACCTTGCAGAATACATTTCCAGAGCCAACTTGAATGATCTTAGTCGTGTTTTTCATGTGAAGGCCACTCAGAAGGCAAAGGCCATCTTGAGAGACCCTCAGCTTACTCCTTTTGACAAAGTTTCCTCCAGATGCTTGAAAGATTCTAACAACATGAACTGAGGGTGACTAGATGCCTGTGATTTTTTGAAAGTAACATTTTTCTGTAATTGTTGACTTATTTAGTCACACAGTGTCTCACAAATGAGTAGAAACTCTGCCTCTCTGGGTTACCCTTTTAGTCATATTACCAACTTTGCAAAGTAATGTTGTTAGTTTGGAGACGTTTGTCTGTGTTCTTCTTGTAGCATTGCACAACCTCTTAAGAGTTTTGAAACATACTGCTTGCAACAAATTTAAAATTGAGATTAAATTTTCATGAACAATGGTAATTTTTCAGTTTTAGCATTTAATATGTGAAATTACCATTATTTGAAAATAAATTTGTTTTTTAATCATTAAAAATCTGTTTTAACCAACTTTGTACAGTCTTCATTTTTTGCATTAAGGTTTTGGGACTGAGTCAGACTGGTAGTTCTGCTTCGCCGAGTATGTTGATTTGGTATCAGTTTCTTCCCCTCTACATTTTAGAGGGTAAAGTTGTACTTTTCATTGCTCTCATTGTAAGTAATGGATGCTATGTGGTAGTCTAGTTACTATTACACATATTTGGCGTTGTGAAATGTAAAAATCCAATATCATTACTCTTTAAAATTTTAACCTGCTCACTCCCTACCTCCAGCTCTCCAAAAGATAATTTTTAGATTTTGCTAATAACGCTGTCATGGTTCTGATTGCATTATGGGAAAAGAGAGGAACAGGATGACCCAGTGATGGGAAATCAGACTGTTGTGTCCACATCCCATTAGACCTGTCTCTGTCGCAATCAAGCTCAACAGGCATACCAAGTTTTGGTGGGGGGGGACACTCTGTGGTTTGCGCTGACATACTTTCTGGTTACATAAGTGTGTAGCATAGATGGTGTCAAAGTATAGGGTGTAGCCTTGGGGCCTGAAAGGGAAGCCGGCGACTGATGATAGATGGTGTACTGCTGAAACAACCACAACAAAAACTGGGGCTGAGCATAACAAAAGACACTCTGAGAAGTTGGTTGTCTTTTAAAGAGCGACATTTTGGGAAACCTGTTTCTCTTTCAGCAAAATTTGCCTCTTAAATGATATCACTGTTTTTGTAGCGTACTGCAAAACAATTTAGCACTAGCATTAGCTTTTAACTGACTATTTTCACACCTATTACTTACCTCTTTGTTTAAATAGGGTTTCTCCTGGCTGACACAGATAAGCCAATGTCAAGTTGATAGTATTATGTTATATTTCACCTAGTTTTGGTCTAGATACTTTGTTATATTGACAACGACTGACCTTGATTCTTTGACTGATACCAGGAGGAGACGGAAGTAGTACAGGGCCGACAGAAAGACTCATCCAGCAGGTTTTGCCGCCTTTGTTCACATTCCCCCCATTCTTGCTGAGCAACAATTCTGTCATGACAATTCATTGGCTGACTTGAAGAACAGACTGTGCCCATGCATAGATATCCCTTTATGGACATAGAGAATCAATTGGTTCATCTACCACTCCCTACCTCTTTAATATCATTCCAATGAGCCTAACCTTTTATGCCAGGGGAACTTTTTAAATCTCACTGAGAGTGAATCCGTCAGATGTGTTTGGATTAAACATAGACAGGTGCTTTTCCTTTTTGTTTTTGGCAACACAGTGGGAAAACATGTTTGTCGGAGTCACCCGAAATGTTTACCGAAGATCAGATTACAAACTGCTTCCAACAGTGACAAACAGTGCTGAGTTAAGTTCTGGTGGGGGGCTATTTTTGTAGCTTGGGGGCATGTGCATGAGTCCCCCGTTTACAAGTCCCTCCAACAGTGACAAACAGGGCAGTATTAAGTTTTGATATGAGGCTATTTTTGTCGCAAGGGTGCATGTGCACGAGATCCCCTATTTATGATTGCTTACAGTAAGGAGAGTCATGAGGGCATGAGCTGTCCACGATGATGACTGCTGGACACTGGCTGGTGCAACAGTCTGTTTTTAGGGGTAACCTGGAAAACAACCAGGCCTGTGGTGGTGAGCTTGGTCTTTTTAGTTTGTGTGTCATTTGTGTGAGTTTTGATTCAGCGATTACAAGTCTATATACTGTTGGGGAAGCTCTTTGATGCAGCACCAGTTCTCACGTAGGCCTACTCCCTTTATAAAACTGAGGACAAAAGTCAAATTGATCACAGCCATTGTGCTGTAAATCTCTACTACCTGAATGTACACAAGCACAGAGGACAGATGATGTCTCATCACATCACATGCATCAAGTTCCAGGACCTAACTTCTTGTTCTTAACATCTTGAGTGAAAGATGTTTTGCAGATTGAAACTTTGCAATCACCTCTTGAAACTGAGGACAAAAAGTCAAATTGATCACAGCCATTGTGCTGTAAATCTCTACTACCTCTATGTACCCAAGCACAGAGGACAGATGATGTCTCATCACATCACATGCAACAAGTTCCAGGACCCAACTTCTTGTCCTTAACATCTTGAGCAGATAGAAAATTTGCAATCACCTCTTGAAACTGCTCTGGTGGATTTGCTGCAGATCTGTGTGGTCTCTTCATGCATTTGCAGAAAAGCTGAGAAGCAAGTCCATTTTAAGATTTGAAGACCAACTTCAAATAAAACCAATCAGTGCAGTTACTAAAATAAAACTTCAGCACCTCCAGACCCTACAGATTTAACCTCTGACTTTTTAAAGAGGCCAGGCACTCTTAATCTGAAACCACTTCTCTAAACTCTCTTTAACCTGCACAGCAGCTGAGGTATGTCAGAGGCCACCTTCCATGTGGATATACTTTTCTTCAGTGACATTGGGTTCACTTTGCTGATCATGCTTGTGCACTCTCTTTTATTGAGGAATTTTGGTGGAGTTAAACTTGTACTAAGATTTACATTCACGCAGCAGTACTCTTACTCAGGGGATAATTACAGCTTCCATACCACAGAGATGACACATTTATTGTCAGTCTGTGAATTAAATCAATAATCTGTCAAACGCTTTGGCACTCAACCACGTGTTGCTTCTGTTTTCTGTATCCAAGCGACTCCACAGAGCGTCTCATTGGTCAATCATCGGATTGTCCCGCCTTGGGAGACGGCATGCATCCTTCTTATTGGCTCTTCTGCAAGCCTGAGCAGTGGGCTGATGGCTGGGTCATGAATATTCATGACATAGGTCTGCCGAGTCCGACGTGCCTCACCCTGCTGTTTGTGTCTGCGTCTGGCTCATCGCTAGAGAATGTGGGATGTGAAGTCATGTAATATCTGCCTTTCAGTCTTTCACCGGAAGAGAACCCATAGCAGATGAAGACAGGGCAGTGCTTTGCTTGGTAAGTAAAGTTTCCAACGAGTCACGTTGATGAGGAAACTTGCAGCAGCTGTGCGTAATTGCGCGCCTATCTGAAAAAGTTAGTCAGTTCCTTTTCTTTCTTCAATGTTTTAACTTGGATGCAGGCCAGGTCTAACTGTCATTTTAAAACCACTCCTCCTCTTGAGAATTTGTTAACATCTCTGCTCTGCTGGGTGCTATTTCAGGTCATTTGGATCCGGTTACAGCTGCAGTCGAAGAACTTGCCAAACAGGTTCTGGTACCGCCTTAAATACATCTCTATATAAACGCGCCCCGGTCTTCCCACAAACTAGAAACTACAAGAAGCGCACAAACACTCCTCAGAAAGGGGAACTCTATCATCATCACCGCAACTCGCCTGATTCACAGGACAGCCAATCCGTGCCTCAGCATTACAGACAAGCAGCTGCCCTCTTAATCCGATCAACCCGGAATTAAAGCAGGACACTCACAGAGGAGACGCAACCAGACAAGAACTCGGACTCGCTTTCATTTTAGCTCCAAAGAGTAACAAACAAACTCGCCAAGATGATGATGCAGCTGACAGAAACACCTAACCAGAAAAACTCCCTCTTCAACGCCATGAACCGCTTCATCGGCGCCGTCAACAACATGGACCAGACCATCATGCTGCCCAGCATGCTCCGGGACGTCCCGCTTGAGGAGGACCGGGAGTTGAGCCACCTGAAAACAGAGGAAGAGGAAGGGGACATGTACAGCTACTACCAGCTGCTCAAATCCATCCGCAGGGACATCGAGTGGGGGGTCAGGTGCGCTGCGGCTGACGAGAGGCGCATGGAGAAAATGAAGATCACCCGCATGAACTCTTCCGCGTCCACCTCTTCCTCTGCATCAACTTCATCATCATCATCATCCGAGGAGGAAGACGAGGAGGAGGACGAGGATTTGGAGAAGACGTTCCAGTACCACCTCACCGGGCTGCAGGATGTGCTGTCCAAGCTGACACAGCAGGCAAACTGTCTCACCAAGCGCTACAAGCAGGAGATTGGAATCGGTGGATGGGGCCAGTAAACCCTGAAAAATGGACTTCTTATCTCACTGGCTGAACTGATTTCTTTTGAAAGGCCTTTTTATGCTGCTGTTTACACTACTGATGAAATACAAGGACAAAGATTTGAATGGTAGAGAAAAAGGCAGCTTAATCTTCTCTTTAGGCCTACATGGTGTTGGTCTACTCTGTGGTATGGACTGTAGATGTGTTGATCCCCGAGAACGCCTTTGTGTACTAACAACAAACTTTTATTTTTTTGCACTCCATTGTGTTGTACACATCATGCATTCGGCTCCTGTGATACACAGATGAAACGTATTTATACCTTTTTATTTAATGTAATTTATTACCTCAGATTGTGTGTCTTAGAGCCACATGTAATTTCAAAAACAAGAGAAGAAGAAGACTGCATGAACTACAGGACCAGCTGTCTGAACCGCCTCTCTGTGGGGGTATACTGACAGAGGATTCGGCTCTCTGTCTGCACAGCTGATGATGTCAGTGTGTTCAGATGTGTGTCTGTGTCTGTGTGTGACCAGTCTGTCTTTGAATCTAATGTGTCCATGTCTTTAAATTCTGCTCACATGGAAGGAGGCAGATGCTTAGTGTAGCCGCCTGTGATCTCCTCATGTCCTACATGGTCAGTGAACCAGAATCATCTGCAGAGATAACAATGAGGTTTTTCTACAACATGCTTTTGTTGTTGTCTTTTACTTGCTGTTTTCATGGTATTACTGGAGATGTCCATCTGTTAAAATAAGGAAATGCTTTTATATGCACCTTCTGCACAATTTTTGTACTGATATTTTGTTTCAAAAATAAACTTTTATATGAACTTAATTCACTTCTTGGGTCTTATTTTATCATAAGTGCAATAATGCACAAGTTTGGGGCTTTAAAGAACAAATGAGAATAAATCTGGCCTCTTCATAAATACAAAAATTGCCTCACCTTTATGTTTCTACTCAATTCCTCAGGGTGGATTTATGTCTGAACTTTTTTTTAAAGAGTAAAACATTTAAGCATCTATTTCATCTCCCTTCTTTCCAAAGAGTTTTCTTTGAAACCCTCGTGGTGTGTTGTTGCATCACCTCATTCATTAACAAAACTCTGTGAAACACTAAATATTTTCAATGGGTGACAAGTCAAGACTACAGACAGACAGACCAGCTCAGCACTAAGACTCTCTACTTTCGTAAGGCCATGCTGCTGTGTATGTGCAGAATGTGGTTTGGTATCCTCTTGCTGTCATATGCAAGGTCCTCCCTTAAAAAGGCATGGTGTGGACAACAACATTATGTTGCTCTGTGAGCTGAGAACTTGTGCATCTCTGTACCATCACAGATTGCTGGTGGTCTTTCCTTTCTTTGGAGTGTTAGTCAATGATTTCCAAAGAGTATCAAAAAATGTAGTAAATTGAAAATATAGCGTTTAAACATTCAATCTATTGTCTTTACAGTGTTTCCAATACAATAGAAGATTAGAATAATTTGCAAACCATCAAAATCTTTCTTTTTTTTTCAATTATGTTCTCTGGAGTTGAGTAAATCATAAAGCACCTCTCGAATTGACTCACTTACAGGAACCAGCCCTTAAATCATCTACCATTTTGGCAATTGGCAGCTTTAAACAATCAAAGAGCTGGGATATCTGTTTTATAATTCCTATCAAGTTTACTGCCATCTTTTCTCTAAACAAATTATAAAGAAAGCTAATGCGAAATGAACTGATCTTATAAGTCAGTTTTGAGGGGATAGTAGAAGATTTGGAGGCAGAAGAATTTTACCTCTCATCAGCTGCTGGAAACACCATAGGTAAGGTTTCCTTCAGTAATCAGCCATGTTAATAATGCTAAGAGAGAGGGTGGATTCTGGATTACCTGCAGTTCGAGGAATGTTGCCTGTCAGTTCAGCTTCACTTGACAACACCTTGAACCATTTTAACACCTAAACTCAAGAGCTGGAGGAACAGGGAGTGTTAGTTTCACAATTATGCAACTGTAAAGTTGTTCTGAAGGCCATACACAAGTCAAATTTGTTTCCATGTTTCATCAAACTGATTTGGTTTATAATAGAAATAAAAAGCTGTGTGACGTTGGATGAATGGTGCTATTTTAATCACCATCAAATGGTACATGCAAATGCTACAGTCTGAAAAAAAAAAACTGTTTAAAGTGCAACAGAATCATGTAGGTTTGCTTTTATTTTCACAGTTGTTCAGATGTATTTGTGAGGAGATATTTTTGTGTTTGTGCACACACAAACAAGCATGCATGCGCAGCTTTATGTAACATCTCACCAGAAAGAAGAAAAACAGACTTCCCTCATTGTTTGAGTAACCGACAGTGACAGCACCCTCAAAGGCCACCGAGTGAAAAGGGTGCAGCTGGAGTTTCTGTGTCACAACAGGTCAAAAAGGTGCAACACACCCACTTTCCACTTACATTCTGCTAAAGACAACAGTAGAAAAAGGCACTTTAACAGCATTGGAAGCAATTGCCATAGAGGATACAAATATTTTGATGAGTTGATGTTGCTAAATGCATCCCAAAATTACATAAAAAATGATTTCTTGAATTATATATTCAATTGTGTAAGATTAATTTAAATAGTTTTATGTACTAATCTAATTACAATAACTTCTCTGTCTCTTTTTAGAGTAACAGAAACACTTTAAGATTCCTCTAGTTGGAATCCCCATACAAATGCAGCTTTCTTTTCTCTTATTCTCACAGTTCACAAAAAATTGTTTACACCTGTTGTTTTCAAAAATTAGGTTAAAGGTAACATACCTGACTCTACCTGAGTGTAAATGAGGTTTCTGGTCTTTATAAACATCCGGTTAATCTTATCTTCCACCTTAAGGAGAATGCCGGAGGCTATCACAAACATGCTTTCCCTATCTCATGCATGTATGTAGTGTCATTTGTAACACTGCAAGCGTGGGCTACTGAGGTTGACACAGAATTCCTGTTGTGCGGCCTTCTGTTTGTCTTACTAATGATGGGGTCCTTGTTTTGTTGTGAACATAGGGATGACAACAGACTGTGAAAAGATCACTGTATACTTTTGTAGAACTGTGTTTATCTTTGAGCGTAGACCAAAGGCCTGTAAAGTCTTCAAATAAGTATCAGGTTGAAGTTAAATGTGCTCAGAAAATGCTCAGATAAAGTGGACTAAGTGCAAAGTCATCAAAAATGAGAAAACGTCTTGACTACAGTTTTTAAATCTTTTTTTTAACTTACTTATCCTATCCATATTGAGCAAATTGCCATTTTTCAGTTTATACCTTTAATATAAACTCTTCTCTCTCTAAGTATACAAGTGATTGTAAAGCAGCAGACTTGCTCAATGTTGTTTCCCTTAAAAAACTTTGTCTACTGTTACTTTAGACACAGTTAAGTTTGTGTTTTTAATTAACACATGCTCATGCAGTGTTAATGTGTGTTTTCCTGCCCTTTTTTGACTTAAAGTGAAATTGACTGATACGTTAAAATGCCACCAAAACCCCCTCCTCAAATTTCCAGTATCGCAAGTTGAGACTGTGAGCTATTTACTTTTCGGTTTTGGATTTACGAGGCTGCAATAAAACGACAAAACCGGAAACCCCAAAGACTTCAACGTTGAGGACAAACCTCACTCAACCCTCGTTGTTTCCGACGACATTTGATTCCGAACGGTCGGAGGTACTTTTTGTCCCTCGGCCCGCCATGTAGAAACAGGAAGTTGAGAAAAGCTCCAGCAAAACAAAAACAACGTTGAGGCGAAATTATCCGAAAAAATAGTTTGAAATGGACAATCACGAGTCTAAATCAATAAGTAACGATTCACGCTGCATATTTTTTAATACAGATTCAGAAGACTATCGATGCGTAAGTAAATATACACGATTTCACCCTTGACTTTTGATCCTAAAACTAGCTTCCAGCTAACCTCCCAGCGTCTTCAGCGTTTGTAATAATGTGCTCGAGATGGTTTTGATCACTTTATTGATTATTTAAGGAAGATATGGATGTAATATATGTATCTAGTACCTACTGTGTCGGTAAAATTATGCTGTTAATCGTGCCAGCATCATAAATTGGCCTGTGGAGTTTAGTGCAACTTAAGAAATTAGTCTTAAGACCTGTTTTATTAGTCAATAAAGGAGTTAATGCAGTGTTTTTGTGAAAGCTGAAGCAACAAATTAACCTTAAACTGAGAAAGATCAATCATACCAGGAGCCTCATGAAAGATAAACTTATCAGGACAATGTATTTATGTCTTGGTGTCATGGGGTTTCTTGCTGATAACAAACATAAAAAGGTGAAACTTGAGTTTTCTTACATCCACTGGTAATAGATACTCAGTGAGCCATGATAGGATGGTTTCTGTTAATGGTTTTATGGTAACAACAGTGTTTGTCATGTAAATTTAAGACACAACAGTACACAAGTCTTTTTGTATGCCTGAAACAAACTCTTTAAGATGGCAGACATCTGCATTCAGCCACCATTTTGATCCAGGGACAGACTTATGAAATATTGAAGGAGACATCATCTTTATTGGCAGATCAAAAATGAAAAAGAAAAAACAAACAGCAGAGAAAAATCAGATAAAAATCAAGGTAGAAACAAACAACAGACAAAGAAAATACCTCCAGTATAGTAAGTTCAGTGTGAAGTGTGATTTAAAGAGAACAGACCAGAAACTTAGAAATGGGATTTAATATTCCAGAATAGGGATGGGATGGGAATGGAGAACCGATTCTTGTTCCAAATGGTTCAATCCATCAACATCATTTACATTTTATCTTAACGATTCCTTTAACGATTCCTTTCTTCCAGGTGCGTTGAAAAACGGTCTCGAGAGTGCCAGTCTACATGAACGGGAACAGAGACAGTGAAAAAAAACTGAGTTAGACAGAGTTAGACGTTTAACCGAGTTAGAAGCGCATAAAAAACACTTGACCCGTCCAAAAAAACCCTCAAAGTTTTGCACACAAGTCCGCCTTGCGTAGTAGTGTCCTCTTGTTGGGGATTCAGAATATGGTCACCCTAGTGTATGTCCTGGGTTAACATAAACACAATGTAGGCCAGAAAAGCTGCACAAACAGCATTTGTTTGATTATTTTTAGACTGAAGGTGACATACATCTTTTTCTGTTATCAGAGACTCAATAAAATTTTGAGTTAACGGTAAAAAAACCAATAGTCTGCTTTTTTTTTTACAATTCAAAGAGAGGCATTGATAAGGGAATCGTTAAAGAATTGAATCGATAAGCAGAATTGATAATGGCATCGATATCGATAAAATCTTATCAATTCCCATCCCTATTCCAGAATGAGATGTATGTATCCACACAGAGCCAGTGGGTTCCCTCCCACAGAAGCCACCAACTTGCACTGCCATGTTTCTACTGTACCCCAGGATGGACAAACTAGCAACTCAGGTTTCAAATTGTACATAATACACAAACAAAAATGGAAAAAGTATAGGAGGTTGTTTTAAGCAAAAACAAAAAAGTTGCATTGATGAAAATTTTTTAATGATAAAAACTGAAATGAAGAGATGACTCACATTCTCATCTACTTCTTGTTGCACCATTCCTTTCCCCTTCCAGCTCAATTTTCAACTCACCAAAGTGTTTTTTTTCCCACACCCAGACCTCTGCAACGATCAAAGAATGCTGCTGCCAATTAAGTGTTTAACCTCCCTTACTTTTCCCACAACCTCACCTGTCAGTTCAGCCCACTGGCGCCCAGCCAAAGATCTGTCAATGCAGTCGAGGTTTAAGTTTTCTAAACCGTTTTGGTCAAAATCTTCGCCCAAATAAATTTACCAAAGTAGTTTGTAATGTGTGTAGTATTCACTTGTGTCAAAGGTATCAACCCTTTTCAACTGGAGACCACACAGCTCTAGCCAGGCAGTCAAAACTGTCCGGATGTTAAATGAGAAGGTTTCAAGAACTAAAACTATACAGTATGAGTTTAAAAACCATGGCATAAAATCGAATCAGGTCAGACTATGTCTTCGGTAATGAGCCCACACCTGCATGATTGTGTAAGCGGTGATGATAAACCTGTTTAAAAGTTATTTTATCTTTTGAATAACCTAGTTAGGAAATCAGTTGGATCAGTTGTTGCCTGTCGATCAGCCTAGCATGACATGCGGGCGTGTGGTTGAGTCTCTAGAACATTTAAATGACAGTAGGTGTAGCTTTGCATGCTAGCAGGCTTCGGCCTTTTTTGGCCTAACGAAATCAGAGCAAGAATGCTGTAGTTATGCTGTCTTGCTTTAAGCCCTGTTCCCCACTTTACTGACAACCGATCGCTCATATTGGAAATGATCGATCAATGTCCTGTGTGTTGCCCGACTAGCCTAGATTCGGATGGCCTACATTTACCTAGACAGGGATTCTGAGTTTTCTATCAAAGTTTCAAATGAAAATAAAGTAGAACACATTTACTAATTCCCTTAACTCTCCAATCTTATTAACTTTTTTTTTTTTGTCTGACATTTTGAAATCAGGGGGAATATTCACACTCCTGTGTGCAGCTTTAAAATTCCAAAGCTGTCTTTGCTCCAACAGGGAAACATAACTTTTGCATGAAACTGGACTGTCCTGGATTAATACTTCATAGCCTTAATGAATAGTTATGTTGTGAATGAAGCCTACTCTTACAATTTTGGATTTTTATCTTGGGAGTTCTTACAAGTAGAGAACAAGCCTTGATAAATTATATAATTTTGGATGAAAAAATTAGTCGTTTAGTGCTAATATCACATGGTAATGGCTCATTATTTGACCCTTGTCGAACAGATATCTTATATTTCTAGTTCTTGCTGTCTTTTTAACATAATGAAACAAAAGTACTCTGGTTTTGATTGTTTGTGCAGTTTTTCTGATTTTATGCACCACGTAGTTGAGAGATAATTGACAGATTTACTGACCAGGAGTAATTGTTGGTCGCAGCTCTAATCACTTTACTTAGTCAGATTGAACAGTTGGATCTTTGTAAATTTTTAAGTGCAAGCTTCAGTTGAATTTTACTGCTCATCTTTCTTGTAGATGTGAAATTGAAAGCAAACTCATGATGAATGCAGTCATCCATTCTCAGCACCATACCAAGTTTGTGTGTCAGCAACAATACATTCAGAGTATAGTCTAATTTAGTTTTTTTTTTTTTAGATAAAAGTTAGATCACTCATTAATTATTTATGGAACAATTTGTAACAAAGAGCAAGGTCTGAGCCTGTCTAACTCTCCTGCAGCTCCATGTCGGGGTCCATCATTCAAATTTAATTAAAAAAGTAATAACCTGATGAGCAGGAATGTCGGACTTTATCTCTTTTACTAAATCAAATCTTTCCTGCCCGTTCAATTTAAGAATATCACAAAATTTTACTTAACTGCTCAAAACGAACTACTTCATAAGGCTTTATGTGTGATTTATATTTGACATGATACGATCACTTTTCTGGCTTTTTCTGGAAATCTCTGTCCCTGATACCTGTGTAGAGTAGCGGTGTTTTTCCAGTGGTGATAATGACACTGATTGGATGTAGTACTTTGTTGTGACCACTCCAGGATGACAGGTGTATGATGACACCTTGTGCTGAATGCCACAGTAATGATGTTACACTGCTAACACACTGTGGACGTGCCCTTCTGTAATGTCAATGTGAGGTTGCTCCTGGCCTCTCCTGAAGCTCACAGAGCTGACTCGCACGTCTCTCATTCTCTTCATTCTTTCCCCCCTTCTTCTCATACCAGTTACTTTCCTAGTAGCTGTCACTGCAGTTTCTGCTCAGGTGTTGCTTTGCACTAAGTATGCGGTGCGTCAGGTTTTAATACACCTGCTCCTCTTTATCGCACATCTCTCAGCTGTCTGTGGTCTAAAATGAGGTAAAAAGGGTGAAGTGCACCCGACTGTGTGACGTCCTTAGACGCTGAATGTGTTGCAAGTGTCCGTGCATTTCAATTTTTTTATGCGAATGTTTTTTTAATAATTTTTTCTGTTGAACACATGTTTGTACACGTGTACACAAACACAGTAAAGTACATGCTTGAACAAATAACAGTCTTGTCTACCCTGTTATTTCACCGTTTGTGATTGAGGTGATGACAGAGCAGTGTTTGTGCTGCACTCCTTAGGTTTGCACAGTGCTTCAACTAAAACGAAAACATAACATCAATTAGCTAATGTATATCTAAGCTATTCTATTCCAGTTTTTTTCTCACGTAGCTGAATGCTAATACATGTTTTCCTTGTTTACAGGTGCTGATTTTAACGGTAAAACGAGCCACAGGAACCTTCTCTTTAGTAGGATGGTAAATATCTCCTCAAATTTGTATTATTTCTTATAAAGTTAGAGTTTGAACCTTTGACATGAATCATGCCGTATTGTTTAACTTGTCATAAGTGTACATGGCAAAGTGCTATTTGATAAGATTGTTGAGTTAAACAGCAGTTGAAGGTCGAGTAGAAGTTTTAAAATATTCTCTAAGATTTAAAAGTAGTTAAAGTCAAAATGAATTCAAAATGAAATGAATATATAAATACCGTAAGATCTTTTTCAAATAAATAATGATGTTAATATAGAGAAAACTAGACCTATCGCTCAGATGTAGATCAAATAAATTGATAGACTCTTAGATTCATTGATTGATTGATAGAATAATGAAACTGAACCACAAACTGAACTGGAAGGAACCAGTCTACCTTGTCGAGCAACAGCCCAGGAGGTTAAGATCACTCCTCAGTAGCAAATCAAGCTGACAGTGATAACACACATGAATATGACGTACACTGAGTCTGCTATCAGGTGTCAGAAAAACTTAAAGAGGACATAAACACAGCTGTGTTATAGGATATGTGTGACGTTCATCTACTGTGATGCACGTGCACATGTTTTTCTTAACATTCATTACTTCTCCTATATTAGTTTTTTTTCTATCGTGTCAGTGTCTGTCGAAGTGATGCGCATCTTTTTATCCCTCGCTTCTTACTGGTACTTTTACAACAACAGATTTTTCGAAAGTATATCTTCTTCTCATAAAAGTAAAATAATTGTTGCATTAAAGCCTCCCTTATCGTGCTGGTATTACATTTGAGCTGCTTTTTAGTAAGTCAGTCTATGTGTTTTGTTGTTGTTGTTAAAAACTCTGTCCTAAAATAGCTGAAAAAGTTTTTTTTAGGTATAATAGTTGACATGTCTGTTGAATGCACTAAACGTTTTGTGTTGAGTTTAACTGAAAGTCAACCTTTCCATTTTTGTTACAAAAACATCCGCAGGGACATTTCTGTCTTTCCTATAAATAGTCTGTTTCCCTTAAAAAAACAACAACTCCCATATTATCATTTAAAAGTTTATAAAAATGGATCTTTGTGCAGGTTTGTTGTGTTATGATATGACCATAAGACTATATCCAAGGATCTCAGTTTACATACTCGCATGTCTGTGACCAAAAGGTCAGGTACATACAGGTGTAATGTGGTCTAGTCTTGGTCTTTAGTTCAAGTCTGGCAGCTGAATTCTTGACAACCTGGAGCTGATTTCAAGTTTTTAGGTCGAGTCAGGCAAAAAGGCTGTTGTGAATTTTATGAGGATGAGAAGAGATAAAGGCATGTGAAATGGCCCCTGTGTGTAAGTGTGATCCATTGATGTAACTGCAGCATTAACCCTCAAGAGTTAAAGTTTAATGATTGATTAAATAAACTGAGTCATCTTGAAGTTTCTTCCATCCAGGACTGGACTGTTGAGTCTTTGCAGATGAAGAGGAACCAGCCCAGCAGAGATTTAGATGTACAACTTCTTCACTGTGATTGACTTTGCACATACAGTACAGATGTATACCATAGTACCATAGCTTATAGAATATATATGCGTTAAGGCAAACAGTATCAAGTTTCTATAGGCACAGGTGGTAAACAGCAAATCACTTTAAAATGAAAAAAGGCAAAAGTTGCAGAAACAGTTTGTCCTCACCTCAAGAGAGAGTCAAAAAAGGTTCAGCTTTGTACCAAAGTTTTCATTATACAGTTTAAATTATCAAGGCCTGATAACTTACTCTCACATTCATGTACTATGTGACAATTTCAATGTCAAATCTGTGAGCAGGTAGAACAAACAGTGTCAGTACCCCCCTTTACTGTAAGCATGAAGGAAGTAAATACCTGACACGTGTTTTTTTCTCTCTCTCTTTACAGCCTTTTCATGCTATTTATGATCTGGCTGCTGCGCCGGTATCATTCTTTGGCTCAGGTAAATTTGCACTACAGTGTACGGCTCGTTTTTGACTCCCTTTGTTTGTTTGCTTTTACATTTCTCTTTGGTTCATTGCCACAGGAAATATGTTCAATTAGCCATGGCAAATCTTAACGCAATTGAACCCAATTAAAATGTACAGATTAGTCAATTGTGGAGTTAATTGACTCAAGTCGTTTTGTGGTAATGACTCCCTTCTTGTGCACCCCCTACTCCCACCCCTCCTGAAATGAAGCGGTTTCCTAAAACTCTAACTCTACACTGAATATGTACATATGTTTTGTTGGATCCAGATATATGTAAAAAAAAAAAAAATTGGAGCACATCAGCGTTTGAGAGCAGCCTGTGTTGCGTTTTTGAAGCCGGTCCAGCGTGTCTGTCAGGTTTAGCAGCGCTCCAAGTTATCGCCTTCTAATCTGAAGTAAAAGACAGCTTAACATAGAGCTCTGTTGGATCCTATTACCTGTGGACCAGGTGCACTTCAACCTCAGCCCGCTCATATTCCTCCTCTTCCTCCTCCCTGCATGCCACCTCCACCTCCTTTAAAGAGGTTACCTTGAGTCAGTAGTCTCTTTAGTGCTCTGCTGTGTTCTTTTTCCGTCTCCACCTCTCTCTACCACTTCCTCCTCTTCCTTCTCTCTTTTCTTCCTTTCCTCCTCTTCCTGTGCGGCTTTGACATTGTGGTTATTTGACAAAGATTAATAAAGGGCAGTGTTTTTTTGTTACTACCTGAAATTTAGTTTGCAACCACATATAGGCTGAAAGCTGGCGTTCATCCCAGCTACCTATTTAATATTCTGAGTCCCAAAAGCTATTGATTTATATCATATAAAACATAATGGCTCCAGTTTGAACAGGAGGAATTAAGGAGACCCCCTCCTCTCCTGTGATATTTGCACAAAGTTGTCACCAGGGACGTCATATGCCAAGCCGTCAGCTGCATCAAGGATCATTTGATCTATAATTTGCCCTTCTCCCCTAGGGAACAGAAACACGGGTATAATTTTACAAGAGGACATTTTTGTTACAGAATCTCTCTTCCTGTCTTCCTGTCCTTCTCCCCTGCACAGAAAATGATTCTCAGCTTGACTGTAGCAGCCTTCTTTGACAGCACAGCATACGTCATGGTGAGTTACTGCTGTCTGTGTCATTAAACACACACACACAGAGGATTTTTTTCATGCCAAAGTTGCGAAAATGTCTCTCTTTTACCCCCTTTTTCTTTTTGTCCTTGCTCAGGGTGAGTCCCATCCGGAGGGATCGCTCTGTGACTTCCAGGCCTGGTGGCTAACCTACTTTGGTAAGACAGATCAGAGTTTATTAATTAGCCGTGGGCACCCTTCAACAAAAGGGTTCAGGAAGCCAAAACAAAAGAGCAAAGACTCAACTAGACATCATTTATCACAATGAAAATTAAAGCTGCTGTGTCATTTGTTTAGGGGCGGAGAACGAAGAGTGCCCTGACAGAAAATACCGGTGTGAGAGTATCAGGAAAGACTTGTGTGAAACCACGTTAGGTGATAGTAAAGCAAGAATGAAAAATAAACACATGAATTACTACGTTAAAGCTGCTGTGAGGAACTATCAATTTGTGTTGATTATGGCGCCCCCCTGTGGACATGGTATCCCCTTAAACTATTTCAACTGACATCCACACTGCCAACTGTTTTAAATACTGAAAGTAATTTTATATGTATGTGTACAACTATATATATACAGGATATCACATTTTAACCTCACAATTGTAAATAAAAAGGTTTTATCTGCATTACCAGCTCTATGACAGAGACTTTTATTTTGATAGTTTTACTGTCTCATGAATGTTGCCACATTTTTTGGTATTGTAAAAACCTACTTTTATTTTGAAATAAAGAAAACTACTTCTGGTGGATTATAAGTTATGTGACTGAATTAAAACAGCTAAAGAACAGTTAAAAAGCATCACGTATTAAAAAGGCAGAAATTTCCATGTTTTTTTAAATAAACAATACATTTTGGAATTTTAGGTTTTATCGTGAACCAATTATCCGGTTTTACCATTGCTGTTTTGGTCTTGTTTGCTGTTGTAGGTCAAAGATAAAGCCATTGATATCATTTTCAGTCTGTTAATCAGTTAAAACCTCCTCACAGGAGCTTTAATATAATGTTTAAATTGACATTTAGTAATTTTAGCTGTTGTGATTCTAGTTTTCAAATGAGGGTGTTTTAGTGCCTCTAATGATACTTTGGGAGGGCGCTTTTAATATATTTGAAATAACAAAACATCTTGTGATTGTACCACGGTAACTGCAACAAGGCATGTAGATAAAACTCTGAATGACAACCGTTTATGGTTAACAGTCTCATTTTATACAATCATTGTCTGCTGTGAACTGTCAACTAGAGAATTGTACAAAGCCGGCACACCCCCATGAAATACTTTCCAATTACAAGGTTGTTAAACAAATTAGACACCAGTGACTTTTCATTTTGACTTTTTTTCAACCTGAAGTAGAAGGTGAGGTAGTATTCATGTGAAAAAAAAACTATTTTAAATGGGAAACTTAAATTTAAAAAAAAATAACCTCGACAATAGCTTTTATTACCTGGGAGATGACAATCCTGTGAGTGTTTAACTGTTTACATTGGTTACTGTTTACACAGGTATACGTAGGAAGGTGTGTGAAGTATTCGTAAAGTCATTGCCGTTGGTCAGACAGACTGCCTGTATCCACTGAGGATCCCTCATTGATAGATAGTCCAGCTTTTATAGAAATTTATCATTGTGTCATACTGCAAAAAATATCTGTGATTATTTGGCATATGATGCATTTCACAGTGACTTTACGATGATTCTCTCTTATTGCGTTGCTATAATTTTAATGCAAGGACTTTTATGCGTGCGAAAGCCTTTCCTCCGTCCTTTTACTGCTTTAGTTTTGTCAACTCAGCATGCATTCTCCTCCAAAGTTTTTCCGAAACAAGGGGGTAGAATATTTACCAGCATTTGGATCGGCCCCAGCTGTCAGGGGTGGTAACTCACTGGTTAAGCTTTCTCAGCATTAAGGACTATTCACACACCCATACCAGGAATACCACGCCTATGACGGTGTTGTAATACTTGGGAATCGAGCGCCATGTGGTGAACTTATTGGCCTGTTGCAGCCATTCAATAAAACCGCCCTTAAAGTTGACGCCTCTGAGTTTGATCACTCCTCTGTATGAGGAGATAGTTTTCCTCCAATGACAGCCCAGCTTTTAATTTGGGTTATTAAAGGACATGCTCTTTCTCAGTTTCGTGTTAGACTTTGTCAGATTTCTTAGTTTTATGTGCATTTGTGGCTTTTTGCATGTCTCTTTCAGCCTTGATTAACATAAGGGTTCTAGGCTAGGACCTGCTGCTGATACAACACCACACCGCGCTTGTTTTTTATTACTCTTGCACACTTACACGCGCACACACACAGATGGATACTGGGGTAATGGGCAGTGAGTTAGTGCAGCCGGGTCTGCGCCTGTCACCTCCGTTAATCACCAGGATCCTCACGCTGAGGACAAACGGCCGCACATAAACACTGGCTGAACGGGCACTCTGTTCTGTTGCGAAGAGTCGAGTCTAGTGGGAGCTCCCCGCCGAACAGCTCAGCTTTTAACTCGGACCAATAAAATTTTATGAAATGTGTTTGAAATGGAGGAAGATGGTAGCGAGGGCAGCAACAGGACAGGTGGTGAGGCTGAGCCGCGGTGTCATCAAGTCAAAGCTTCAGCTGCTGTCTGGTTATGTAAGACACGTTTGCGATCCCAGTGACGGTGATTTATTGTGATGGAGGCAGAGACAGCCAGCCTCCTTCTTTCTTAGGCACTGCAGTCGACTCTTAAAGGTTCTCTGGGTGTAAAAAAAAAAGAAGAGTGTGTGGTTAGGGTGTTTGTGTGCACTAGGAGGGGGTTGTGTGTAACTGAGGAAGCTGAGTATGCTGCTAAGAAAATCCATCATCGTGACGACTGGCCCTGCCTGTCCTGTCAACAGAAATACACACAAAAACACACACATATGTGCACACAAATGGCTGGAGATGAGAGCAGAAAAGGGAAGTGAGCTTTCGAGACAATCCTCCTTGTCCGGGCTAAATTCATTCAATTTTTCCCCTCTGCTGACTTCGCCTTCTCTCCTTCCCCTCATTTCTTCTTTTCTTCTCAGTTTCTTCTCCCTCGCTCTAGTCCACTCATTCTGCCCCCCTCCTTCCCGCGCCCTCCTCTTTTCTTCTCGCTCGCCCTCTGCGTTATCTCCCTCCGCTTCTCCACAGTTCATCATTATCTCTCTCCGAGCTCCCCCCTCTCATCCATCACCCTAAGCCACAGGTTTCCCTCATATTACTGCAGAATATGCCTTCATTTATCAAAAAGTGGAACACACACACACACACACACACATGGAGTTGTTTTACACAGCGTAAGGCTTGGACACACAATCGCAGGTGCGTTTTGTGTAGCTGGGGAGCTGTTTTGTAATTTGACCTTGTTGTTTTTCTGTGCGTGTGTGCCCCCGCAGACTGGAGTGCCTTGGCCTGGGTTTGCCTCATCACACTGAACCTGTACCTCAACCTGGTTAGAGAAATAAGCACCAACAGATATCAGATGTGAGTACGAGTGTTTTTCTTCTCAGTCATACTTATTACTAATTGATGTGTTTACTGATTATGTTTATACCTCTGCAAAGGAAACGGCTGTATCAGCATCAGAACCAGGATAGTTAATTTATCCCAGGGGGAAATCTGGTCATTTCACTTACTCTTAAAAATAGAAATATTAATAGAGGGAAAATAGAAGTAGGGATGGAATTAGGATAAACAAGAAATTACAATGTTTAGGACAAAGTATGGACTATTAGAAATAAAGCTATTTACAAAAGAGCAGAGTGTCTAAGATAGGGCTGGGCGATATGGCCTCAAACCATTATCACGATATATTGAGTAGTTCACCTCGATAACGATAAATAGACGATAACTACTCCACAAGCTGCTCACTCCCTCCCACATTAACTTCGTCTGCTTCAGCCGCTCCAACTTTTGAACCGTCCTCCATCTCCTCACCTGTCTTTCCCTCTTTGTTATGGACTAGATGGGGTGGAGTCACTTCTCTGACGTAGGACAGCCTCTTAAAGGGACATGAGACCATAGCCTACCTACACGCATCCAAAACCAACTTTTATTTTTTTGACACAGAATATATATGTACATGGCCAAAATGACGTCAGCTAGTGTCGTAAATTTCGGTATCAGTAAATTTTTGGTTTATCGCCCAGCAAGTCCAGCTCTACCCCCACAATGTCACTGGCCTTCTGGATGAGTTTGTTGAGTCTGCTGGCTCAGTCTGCTGCCCCAGCACACAACAGCAAACAGGATCACAGTTGCGACCACAGACTTGTAGAACGTCCTCAGCATGGTCCTGCAGATGTTAAATGACCTCAGCCTCATGAGGAAGTAGAGACGGTTTAGACCCTTCTTGTAGACAGCTTCAGAATTCTTAGACCAGTCCAGTTCAGTCCATGTGACTAAGTTATCCACCACAGTCCTGAATTCATTCAGCCTCACCACTCTTCCTGATGCATCCAACTACAGCAGAGTCATCAAAAACCTCTGAAGGTGGCAGGACTGAAGGTGTTGTAGTTGAAGTCTGTGGTGTGTAGAGGGTGAAGAATAAAGGAGACAGGACTGTTCCCTAGGGGATCCTGGTGTTTCTGACCACTCTGTGATCACACAGGTGAGCGTAGGTACAGTTGAGCAGGAAGGTGATGGCATCCGCTACTCCCAGGTGGAGCTGGTAGGCGAACTGGAATAGATCTGACTGTCGGCCTCAGCTATTCAAAGGTTAACATCACTGTGACCTCTCAAAACAAGGTCTTTCCAAATCTAAGAAACCCATATTGACTGCAAGAAGATGGACAACATGATAGCTTACCTGAAGTAAAGCCAAAATATTTGGAGCTCCCCCCACTGGCTGGTTGCAGTATAGGTCATGAGGTTCGCTATATGATAAAGCAATTACACAGGACTATCATTAAAATCATGGTCAAAGAGTGGACTATTTCTCCTCACTCTGCTCTTTTCTCACTTGTGCGTTCTGCATGCATGATTAAGATGTAGGAGACAACCACAAACTCAGGGAAAATAATGTGGAGAGAGCGAGGAGGTGGAAAAGGAGTCTGGTTTTTGAAAAAATTTCCATTGAAACAATATTTAAAAACCGACAAAACATAGGGGCTGTTTAGTGGGTATCGTCAAAATTGTAGCCGATTGTTTCCCTGACCTACAAATTAACCAAATAAATTATTTTTTTATTTCTGTACAAAAGCACATAATTCCTATCAAAGTGTCTGATGCTGTTTAATATGTACGTTAATCCGCCTGTAGATGATTTCACTCTGTATCGTGTGTGTGTGTGTGTGTGTGTGTTTGGTCTGCCAGAGCATGTGTGTCCCTGCGGAGCATTGACAGCCCCTCTTTTCTTCCCTCCTTCCCACCTCCTCCTTTTCTTTTCCAGCCAGCCGACGCTCTAATTGAAAAGGGAGTGAGTGTCAGCCGTTAAGTGTGTGCGAGCGTCGGTGTGTGCGTGCCCGTCTTCACGCTTCGTGGCTCTATGTTTCTGTCGCTCAAACTCCCATGAGCGCTCTCCGCGGCGCGAGTGCGAATTTGCTTGCGCGCGTGTGAGATATTGTCTCATTTTCCATGCCTCGCGCGGAGCCGTGAGATAACAACACATACTCAAAAAGGAAAAAAAAAAAAGGAAAAGTTATGCGCTCTACGGGTGGATAAGAAAGCTTTAACAAGTTAGTGGCAGTTTTATTTCGTAGATGTGTGCTGGTGTGTACAGCCCCTCCACCCTGATGTGTGTGTGTGTGTGTGTGTGTGTGTGTGTGTGTGTGTGTGTGTGTGTGTGTGTGTGTGTGTGTGTGTGTGTGTGTGTGTGTGTGAAGGGGAGGGTTGGTTAAAAAGCTGCCCTCCTCCACCTCCCATTGGGAGTTTCCCTGCATTGATTAGCAATAAGCCAGGCGATTTAATGGAGGTATAACTCAAAAGGAGACGGCTTTATGGGCGCAAAGAAGGGGGCAGGCTAGGGGGCCAAAACTAGCTGGCTCCAGAGCTTTATCAGCTGCATGCCTCTCACAGGTCCAGAGGGACTAGGTAGGAAAGAGGACATGTCTGTATTTTCCAGGATTGGTCACCCATGGCGCAAAATAAAAAACATCTCAACACGTAATGAGATAGAGCGAGGCGAGGCGAGAGGAGAGAGCGTCAGGGGGGTTGTCATGTATTGACTGCATAGAAAAGCCGTATGTGTTTAGGCAGGCGGGTATGTTGCTTTGCATGCATGCACAATTACCCCTCAGCCCCCTAACCAAACCTTACATCCTCTCTCCCTCTCTCTCCCTCTCTCTCCCTCTCTCACCCTCTTTCTCTCTCTTGCACATAAATTCACACACACTTAGAGTGACGGCACAGTGTGATGGTTTATAAATGAACAAATCGCCAGAGGAGATGGAGAACGCAGGCTGGATGATCTAAGAGTGATTGAAGTGGATGCAAGAGAGGATGGGGAAGTGTGGCTGCGCGCATGTCTATGTCTGTGTGTGTTTGTGTGTGTTTGAAGGACAGATCCAGGCAAGTGAAGATTGAGCCTCGGGAGACATTTCTATACAAGGCAGCGTGTGTGCATGACTGCAACACGCAGGTGTGTGAAATGCCGGGTGCATAGCGGTCCTGCTGTGCCTCATTAAGCCCATGTTGTGCGCAGCTCCGGACCCCGACGTCTCACACTCACAGCGCTGCGAGTGCGCCGTGCGTGAGCTGCGGAGTGTCTGTTGTCTACGAGTGTGAGTGGGTCTGTGAGCTCTCGACATTGATTTCCTGACAAGCCCCCCCATTCTACAGCAGTCGTCATGCCTTAGAGGGGAGGCACTGATTTCACCATTTGTATCTCTCCTCCCACAACCATACACTGTCTCCCTCTCTCTCTCTCTCTCTCTCTCTCTCTCTCTCTCTCCTTTGCATCCCTTCCTCTCTAACTCTCTTGCCTTCTCCTCTCTGCGCCTTCCCTTGTTCTCCCTTTCTCTCCCACTCCCTCTTGTGTTTGATCTAATCTCCCTCTTTCTCTCTCTCTCCTTTTCTCTCTCTCTCTCTCACTCTTCATCTACTCATTTCCTATGTCTCTCTCCCACCCACTACTCATTTCTATTTAAACCACCAGCCGTCTCTCTTTCTCCACCACCTCCCACACACTCGCGCACTGCTGTCTATCAGATGGGGGGCAGAGAAGGAAATAAGAGCGAGAGTGTGTGTTTGTGTGTGCGCGCTTGGGAGTGTGTGTGTGTGGCACACAACTCAAGAGGGATTGAGTGTGTGTCAGCCGTGTCGCCACCGCTCGATTGACCGCACTTGGAACAAGTCAGGGCAGGACTTCCACTCTATTGACCGGGCGACGTTGTACGCTCTATAAAGTATCGACGCCCACACCGACGCCCGAGACACTGGAGCTCACACCTCATTCGTCTCTCTCTCTCACACACATACACGCACACACATTTACACGCACACACACACAACCATGTTCAGTGATTGAGACTTTTTGAACTTGTTAGAAAGCTGCCACTGATCCCATGCCTTTCAGAGGAGGCCGACATGAGCTTCGACATCTTTTGAAGTCGTTTCCTTTGCAAGACAAAAAAACAAAAAGTTCAACATCATGTGTTTTTCTCTTTTTAGACAGCTTTATCCATCAATTTTGCAGCCACCAGCCCCCGCTGAGGGAAAAATCTGCATCTTATTTCTGGTTTTGATTCTCACATCTTCCCTTTGAATTATTTTATCCTCAAAATTGAGAGTATCTCTGGTTTAAAGGCTGCAAATGACTGAATCATTGTGGGCACTTTCCTGCAACTGAAACATGACCTTAATGCAGGTGCCAAGGAGGAGATGTGCTGAAGAGGAGGTGAACTGATTCAACTTTGATTTCAGCTCTCTGGTTCTGGTGCTCATTATGAACTACGTTTCGTCTTTGTTTATCAGGTTGTACCATGTTATGGCGTGGGGCGTGCCTCTGGCCATGGCGTCTTTGCCGCTCTTGAAGGGTTACTACGGCCCAGCAGGAGCCTGGTGGTGAGTACAGCCAACAATCAGCTACAGCATCATTTTCATGTTTTTACAGCCAGCGACATATTTTCCGTTAAAGGCCCTTTCTTTCAAGGAAGGCCACAGCTTTGGCATCATACCAGCTCCAGAAAGGCTCTTTCCCCCATAAGATTTTATGTGATAAAATTGGTCATTATCAGCACATCTTTGAGCAGTAAAAACTGCCCCCTCAGGCCCTCCAGTTCTTGTAGTGAAAAAGAAAGGCATTATTTGTTTGGAGGGTAGTTAGGGGGTGAGAGAAAAAGGGGAAGAGGCCAAGGAGAGGAGGCGGTGGAATGAGAATTGGGACAGAGCCTTAATCTCCGGGCTCGGCTCTCTCTTTCCACTCTCGGCTTATTAATAGCTGCAGCTGCACAGCTTTTCCCCTCCGCAGTCACATAAGTTTCTCTCTTCCGCTCACGCTTTCCCTTTCCTTTGTACAACCCTCATCGCTCTCTCCCTCTCTCTCTCTCTTTCTCTCCCCCCAGCTGGATCACAGAAGATCACGTAGCCTGGAGATTTGGGATGTAAGTAGACCCTTTCAGCGCCGGCATCAAAGCTTCCCCCACTGGGGGAGATGGGGAGGAGGGGGGTCTCTGCGGGGAAATGTGAAGGGTTGCGTGTCAGGGGAGCCTGAAGGGTTTTTTCCCTCTTGGTGTATGGCCAAGACGTGAGTGTGTGCGTGTGTGTGTGTCTGAAAGTGTGTTTGCGCACATGGATGTGCCTGTGTCTGCCTCTGCCTTGTCAGATTTAGGGGAGTTGCTACACTGTGTATTTAAGTGTTTAGGATGGCTATGAAGGATTATGCCTGTCTGCTGCTTTCTGCAACTGGCCCTAAGTCTGCGAGGGCTCTGCCAATCCCCGCCACAGACGTTTAAACACATACACACAGACACACACACACGTACGCACACACAACAACACTTCACTGTGAGCCAAGGTAATCGTGTTGCTGCTCACGGCATCAGCAGGGAATCAATCTTTCTAAACAAATAAGCATGCGTACACACAGACAGACTCCTGCAGACAAACACGCACGCACGCACACGCGCACATGCAGAACAACACATAGCTATCAGCTGTGCTAAACGAGCCCATGTCTCTTTTATCAGTGCTCCTCTGCTCCCCGGCTCTTTCTAGTTTTCCGCGCTGTCGTGGCCCCGGGGGGACGAGCCGCTCAGAGGATCAGGGAATCTTCATTAGCTCTAATTACATCAAACCAGACGAGAGATTAGAGGCCAAGGCAGCGGCACCCGTCAAGGATAGGAAAAAAAAAAAAAGAAAAAACACATACGCTCAAACACACGCTCTCTCCGCTGACAGCTGGCAGGGAGAGTCACGGGAGAGCAAAGGTTTCCGTATTAAAGGTGAAAAGTGGAAAAGGTGGGAGGGGAGACATACGGGGTACAGTTAGGGAGACAGGGAATTACTCAGCAGGGGAAGGAAAGAGAAGGCGGCGTAGCTCAAGGGAAGGGAGGGAGAGCGAGAGACAGAGAGAGAGATATATAGATTGCCCTCGTCTCTGCCCACGCCCCGTAGTGTGTCTTCATCAGAGTTCAGTGAAGCGCGCGGACAGGACAGGAGAGGAGGTTGGAGAAGCCGGGGTGAGGGAGGAGGTGTGAAAGGGGATGAAAGAGGAAGGTGAATGAAAAGCAGAGGACAGCGTTTTGTGACCAAGGTGCAGATTTTCAGGTGGTTGAGTCAGCAATTGGAAACACTCGAGCTGTGCTGAGTCACCGCTTTAAGAGTTTCCCATTGGCGTGTATCGTGGGCCCTGGTGAGACTTAGCAATGGAAAACAGAAAATGACGTGTCGAAGTGGAAACATTTTATTACGTGGCTATTTTTATCCAAATGAAAACAGGCAAAGTAGAGTCAGTTTGTCCAACTCTTTGGCCCAACTTCTGGTTGAGCCAGTTCACTCAAACAGATGTAGTGATCCTGGCTATCGTGTTCTTGCTAACCTTTCAAAACCACACCAATCTCATAGACTAACACACCTGGATAATGCAGTCAGGGTTTGATTTTTGTCTTCCAATCGATCAAACTGAAACTGGTATAAGCGTTCTGCGTATGCCCCAGTGTTCGCTTATCTGGCTTTGAGCTGGAAGTTGAATATAGTCGCGTTACTTGTAGTAAACAAAACCTTGTCAGTTGAACAAAACTCCTCTATTGTACAAACAGTAAAGAGCTGAAAAAGTGACGTTTTTGTAGTTTAACATACATCATACATAGTAGGGCTGGGCGATATGGCCTCAAATCAATATCACGATACATTGAGCAGTTCACCTCGATAACGATAAATGGACGATAACTACTCCACAAGCTGCTCACCCCCTCCAATATTAACGTCGTCTACTCCAGCTGCTCCAACTTTTGAACCATCCTCCATTTCCTCACCTGTCTTTCCCTCTTTGTTATGGACTAACGTAGGACAGCGTCTTAGAGACCATAGCCTACCTACACACATCCAAAACCAACTTTTATTTATTTATTTTTTTGACACCAAATACACTGAAACTGGCAAAATGACGGTTATTGTCGTAAATTTCTGTGTGGGTAAATTTTCTATTTATTGCCCAGCCCAACCACATAGCCTCTTGCTAACATGTTTGTAAACTATTTTGATCATCATATGTCTACTGGAAGACAACCCGATGGTAACGAGCTGAAAGGGGACATGATTCTGTCAATAATTTGATTTTTTTCCTCCTGTTTGTAAACGTGGAGACGGACAGTAGTCCAGGTTAACTGTAACGTACGTGTAAACACATCCAGTGTGTACCTGCAGCTAGTATTGTTATCTAAAAACTTAGATTGTACCTTCCTTGTCTTTTTTTAATGATTTATATCTGGAGACTTCAAGTGTTGCTGTGCTTTGTGTACTTGTGGTAATCAAATCTATTGGCACCACTGAGAACGTGTTGACATCAGCCTGAAAAATCCAGCCTCACAGATCTGCTGCACAAATGAAAGCTCTTTGTCTTGTTATGCGTTCACACCCTGCATCGCCTCGTCTTTGTGTCTCCTCCTCTTTCAGTCTCTCCTTGTTGTCACGTTCCCGTCTAAGTGGTTGAACAGGTAGATCGTGATCTTTCACTCAGATGTAGGATCTTGTTGGTCAGAGTTGACGGCTGCAGTCGAGCACTAACCCTCACAGACGAGTCCCTGCCGTGCTCTCATCTCCTACAGAGCCCTTCAATTAAGGCTCCTTTCAGCCGGGCCTCATTCTTCACTTCTGAGCGGCACTGGAGGGAAGGCCAGGCTGAGGCCGAGAGATTCAATCTGTGCGCCTCTGTGATGATCTTTCATTCTGCCAGTTTCAGGCTTCCTCTCTTGCTCACTGTTGTCCTCTCAAACCCCTCTGGTTCCTTCCCATCCCTCTCTTCTCTATCTACTAGCCGCAGCCCCTTTTCCTTTCATTCTCACCAACCTCATCCCTCTCTCTGTCTTTTAATCACCCGATTCTTCTTTTATTTCTGCTCTTCCTGGTCCTGACCCACACTCCGCCATCATCCATCCACCTTTCCATCCTCACCTCTATTCTCATCTTCACTTTTATCATCCTGCGCCTGCTCAAAATCCGCTCTCTCTCTCCCCGCTTTATTTGATTCTCTCTCTCTTCGCTCTGTCTCTCCCTCTCATTTCCCATCTCGCTCTTACTCACTCTCTCTCTCTCTCTCTCTCTCTCCGGGTAGTGCTCAGCTGTAGAGCACAGCGGACTCTAATGGCAGATCATTATCATGCTAATTAGAGCACTTTGTAGCTGCCGCCCGTCATTCTCTCTCCCCCTCCAACGCTATCGTTAAAAAGGCCGCCCCCTCCTTTCTCCCCTCTTCCCCGCCCCGCGCCCCCTCCCACCCCCACCTCGTCTCTCCATCATTAACGGGACGTGCGCTGGTGTAATTGGACGCTGTTTATTCCGGGGAGCGGGTTATTAAATCACACCGAGGTGACGCTCGCACAGGTCTCCCCCTGAAACGCTTTCATCATTGTCCCGTGTCATTATTGAACCTGCGTGGACGCGCACAAACACACACACACGCACTCACACACATGCGTTCAAAGAGGGGGATTCGTTGTATATTGATGTTTCCTACACGATGTTTAATGCAGCCTTTCCCGTTATCTCCTGCTGTGAAACAAATGCCTGACACCTCAGATTTCTCTGCCAGTAAAAAATATAATACAACAACATTCATATGATATTCAGCGGGGATTTTTTTTCCACTCACAGCCTCAGAAGTAGGGCAGAAAAATGTACATGTTATATTCGGTTTGAAGACATATTCATGCTTTATATATCACAAAGTCTGCCACAAAATGTATTCCAGTTTGTTCCAATTTAGTAACCTGTGATCAGTCTTCATAAAGAGCAGTTGTATTTATATTTATATAGGTTTGTGTTGATTTTGGCGCCCCCTGTGGACAAAGTGTTATTTATAATACCCAATTCTTGGCCCATGGGAATGAAAGTATCATTGATATATTGCAAAAAAAAGTGTTTAAAATATATTTAAAAAAAAAAAAAAAAAAAAAAAATATATATATATATATATATATATATATATATATATATATAAATAACAAAAGTTTTAAAAAATATATATATACATTTAAGTGCTCAGAAAAACATAACCAGTGTAGCAGCCAAGCTTTATCTTAAAGCTGCTGAGAGACTACAGAAACAGGTTAATTGGTAATTAATGTGCTCACTGTTGCTTCGATTCATCTTGTGAAAATTAGACAGTTCTGTATCTTTCTATTGGGAGATTTATTTCTCCTCTGTTGGTCTTCAATTCATACAAAAGCAAACCATGAACTTCCATTCAGAGATTTAAAGTTCACCAGATTTATCTCTCAGCAGTCAAAAAATCAAAGTGCTCTTCTGCGTCGTGCGTCATCGGACACCTCAGTGAAAGTTCCTACCCATAAATCACATCTACTGAGCCTGAGAGTGACACCTCCTGGGTAAGTTGCGCTCTGCAACCAGCTTTTGTACGTAAACTTGATCATGTTTTCTACTTAAAGCTCCTATGGGTAGTTTTTTCTATGTTCATGCAATAGACAGAAATTCACATTCATGCTTTTACATCATACCTGAAGGAGATTGGCCGTCAGGGACAAGATAGATCATTTTCAATTTCTGAAGTTGGTGTGAAGGGTTAGGTGTCCGTATTGTTTTTCCGTAATACAAAATCATCACAAAAGGGAAAGATTTGGCAGCAGGATGGGGTATTTTGTTTAAGACACAACATCAAGCATGTAGAGGACAAGATAAGCAAAGACTGCTTTGTCCAGGTGGAGCGCCAAAGGTCCCGAAAGTTCCTCACAGGAGCGTCAAACATCAAAAGATTCATATCTTAGCCTGTAGGACCGGGCCTCCAACAGCTACTGTTGTTTTCACCTCAATGGGAGAAACTACAGCCGGATGTTTTCCAGTCACCCTCCAGTCTTCATTGAAACTTTTGTTGCAGCTACAAAGGTCTCTTGAAAAGTGATAGTTTGTAGCACTCAGGAATGTGTTTCCTACCCATTGTAAATAAAATGGGCAGAAACTCTTATGCAGGATTCTGGACCACACAGTCCACCCATCAAAGTGGAGTGAAACTGCAAACTGGTCCTTCACTTCTCACTCGGTATAGCTTCAAGAGCTCGAACAGCTCTTCCCTGTCTTTCTTCTTTTTATATTTGAAGAAGGATAGCACATCTCTGAACTACTTTTTACTGCTGTTTGACATCCTGCTGTCTTCTTCTGGTGTTATGCAGCTGTCCACTTCAGTCCATGTTACCCTCACACATCGAGTGATGAGGTAGTGACACAGTGAGACACTTTGACAGGAGTTTTATTCAGTGAAAATATCGACACTTAGTCCAGCTGTATCGATAACTGTTTCACCTGCCTCAGGCCAATGATATACAGCTGTACCTGTCTTGTACACGTGTGCTGTATATCATTTTTCTGACACTTACTTAGTCACAGTTTACATGCAAGAAATACTATTTAGAAAAAGTCAGTCTGTTTCCTGGTGGTCCTGTTTCCTTTACAGTCTTTTGCATAAACAGTCAAAACTCCTCAGAGGAGCTTTAAATAGCTGATAATTCAATCTGTGTGTACAGACGTTTTAATAAACCCTGTTTGAAAGACATATTTGGACCATAGTATATACGTCAAAGGACCAATATTTGCCTTTTGAGGACCTCCTAGCAGAGGATATTTCATCCTTATCAGATTTTGCGTGTCCCTGTATTTATGGGTGAGAGATAGATTCAGCTCCCCTGTTTTTCATGTCACTTTTCCTCTAAATCACAATGAGGCCCTAATTTTTCTCCATGTTCTTCTTTTGCACAATCAAATATGTTTACCTCACAGGTGCATTTGTTCCAGTACCTCCCTGCCTGTGCCAGGTGCTCAGACTGAAAAACTTGGCTGTCACACAGCTCAGGCCCCGACTGCACAAAGTTACTGAGGCTGAACAGAGACGAGGTGACCAGGAACCTGCCTGTCAGAGCCAGACAAAGGCCTGTTTTATGATTACAGGGAGAGGCTGAAACTCCTCCGAGCTTACATCACCTCCCCTGAGGTTGTATAACACCAGGCTGCAATTGCAACAGAACCACCGGGTTCCCTTTGCTCATCTCTCTCTCTCGCTTGCATCTGTTTATAAATACCTGAAATACCTATAATTATTTAGCCTGTGCCTCCCTTGATTGTCGAATACTCATCCCAAAGGAATGCCATGCATTTCCGGCATTGTGACTTTGTTTGCATTTCTTTTGTTGTCTGTCAGCCCCTCACTGCACGTACTGAACCCACGTGCCGCAAGGTCCAAGAGTACTGAGTCAGGTCTTTTCTATTCTGCTGTTTGTATGGGTTCTGTGTTTCCCGGGAGTAATACACCCCTGGGACTTGGGCCAGGGAGTCACACCTTTGCATAAATCTTCCACGCTGCGCAGTTTAGTCTCAGTTCCCGTAAAACTGATCAAACAGATAGTGATAACTCATAAATTGGAGTGTGTGCAAAAATTAAGGCGATGAGCAGTAAAATTTTAAGGTGGAATAGCAATGACTCGAAAATGGGTTAATGTTTTTCAATTTTGTTCTGGTTTATAATGAAATCCTTCGCAACTGCTTCAAACTGTGTGGAGGAAAACATACAAAGTGAATGACTGTCATCTATGCAGCTCAAGAATTGATGTCCCCCAATTTTTTCCCATAGTTGAATTCAAAAAGTAAAACTTCTGTAAACAAAATGAACATTTTCAAAATTTTTTGTTTCAATCTTGATGACAACGGCTCACAGCTCAGCAATCTTATTTCATCAAGTCCGCAGCCTAAAGTCCAGCATTTAAGATCACTTTATGCTTCCACCTGCTGAGAAGCTTTTTAGAGATACAGATTTTCATTTTCAGCAGGACCTAGCTCCTGTCCACAGCGCCAAAATGTGAGCTGTAATCATCAAGATTCAAACAATAAAGTCTTGGAATATTACATTTTGTGTGTGATGGATCTAAGATACAAGAAAATTTGACATATTAAAGTAAATTATTTACAAAATTAACTTTTGGAGAAATTCAAACTTTTTTAGCTGCATCTGTATTACATTTAAAGTGCTGCAAAATTAAGTCTGAAACGCTTGACCTTATTTAATATTTTTTCACTTCTATACTGTCATTTGATGTTTTTTTTTGATCGGCTGTTTGTTGTTGTCGACTGCATCAGGGGCAAAAATTGTGTAAAAGAGATGTCTACATACAGATTCCTGGACTATGACACTACTTAGTGAATTTTGAGGTTTCTGCACGAGTTGCAAAGAGGTCATTTGTGGGTATAGATAAATAAGACCAGGAGGTTGTTGGTAATGTACATTTTTATAAGGCTTATCATAGAGCAGTTTGAAATGTAGTGTAGTTGGCACAACAACAATCATGACAACTTAGTGTAGTTCATTCATAGAAGCTTAGTATCACCTTTTTACTTCAGGTGACCACACTTCTGCCTCAAAAGTCATAAAATGTTGTTCTTTTGTCAGGATTGTGTTGCTGAACTAAATGTTAAACTTTCCTGCAACAATGCCAAATTCGTCTCTCTGTGATTCCTGCTGCACTTATTGTTAAAACTTTTAATACCTACTTTTTAGTGTGCAGTTTAAGTGTCAACTCCATTAGAATACAAGAAATTTTGTGTATGTGGTCATTTTCTCCTCATTTGTCATTATCTCTCGGCCTAAATAGTTCCCCAAACCCCCTGTGCCTTCTCTATCAAGAAAGAGGACTAAAAGGAGGCCAGGATAAACAGAGAAACAACAGGAATAACGCTTTTAATGACATTGCCCATTTGGTTTCTTCTGACTGCCTGCTCGTGTCTGTGCTTTGCAGATGGTACGTGCCTCTGTTCAGCCTCATCCTCCTGATGATCTGTTGCTACGCCAGGATCATCTGCGTGGCCAATGCAAGGGTGAGTGCTCAGCGTGCATCCATTTAGCAGCAGCCAAAGATGTCGCCTGAGATATTGGCTATTTAGATACGTCCAAATGCATTGTGACCTTTTAGAAAAGTGGCATAAGTGGAAGCTGATGACTCTGAGAACTCAGGGAAAAAGCAGTTTGTGTGTTTTATATCTCTTCTTTGGAGTGATACTCTACAAACTTCCCACATAAAAGCGAGTCCGAAAAAGATCCCAAGACATTTCCGGGTCAAGAAAAGGTCAGATATACCAGCACAGATGTTATAAGCATTGTTGAGGCAGCGCTACTGGGACATTTTTGAATGAATTAATCCTTTTCCAGCAGTGAAGGTTTTAATTTTTGAACTCACGAGGCAACATTTTCAGGAATAATCATAAAATTGTACTTATTACAGTACCTTCCAGTTACTGATATTTGGAAACATTTGGAGACACTTCTCAATGTCCAATTTGGCGCGAAAACACAATATCTCTGACTCTTAGCCAGGTTGTAAACAAGCCAACAGTCTAGTCACGTTGTCTAAGCTGCTCGATTTGGATGTAAAACTTGAAGCACGCAAGCAGGTGAAAGTTGAAGCAGGACGTCTGTTTGCTCAGTTCAGTACATGTTTACAACACAGTGTTTGGGAAATTATTTCACAGATGCTTTTGTTTTCTCTCCAAGTGTGTTTGAGCCCGGGGGTTTAAAACCTGTCAGATGGTGTGACTGCTTTTTGGTGAACTCCTTTTGCACTGAACCAAGTCAGCACAGAAGAATCCTCTTTAAATTGGTATATGTAAAAATATTAAAACAAGAGCCAAGTTTTTAAACTTTTTTGGAGTACATTTACTCCCAATGATGTGTTTGAAATAAGAAACTCCCCAAATTACATTCTACTTCATACAAAGTGGTTTTAATTGGTTGTAAAAGCATCTATTATTCACTTATTTCGGAAAGTTTACCTTATACCAGGTGATTTTGAATTGAAAGCATTTGGCCTTTGGATGGTCAATTGGAATTTTCAGTCTATTTATTTGGAGCAAGGCCACTCAATACTGGTGTGAGGGGTATTTTCCACAATTGTTATCATTTTATACAAGATGTGATGGAAATTGATTGAAGTGTTTTCAAGTCCTTCAGAGTGTTTTCAAGTATTTGAGTATGACTAATTGAAGAAGCTGTTCAGCTTTTAGCAGAGATGTTTTGCAGAAACAAAAGAGAAAGGCATGTTCAAAGTCTGTTATGTGAGGCATGAAGAATGTCTGCAAAGTACAGGTACATGATGAAATGCAACACATTTAGTATATAAAGACACTTTTGATTTTCAGTCTGCAAACCCACCAGCTGTTCAACAGTGTATGTCTCTGAGAGCCACAATCCTTTCCACTACTGTTGGTGGAAAGTTAAGACCTCTTTCTAAGGCTTTCTTTACTGCAAATTTTATAGTCTCATTAGCAGTTTGAAGAGTGATTGTGTTTTTAAATCAAATTTTCAGTGAAATTAGCCCCTCTAGATATGTCTCAAATTAATGGTGTCATTATTTTGGTTCAATACACGCCCTAGGTAAGCGCTCATTTATCTATTTTTGGTGAGTCCCAGTTTCACTGTAAATAGGAGATCTACTGAGGCTTCAGTCTGGCTCACTCTAAAACCAAAACAGAAAACGACTGTCCTGTGATTTACAGTAACTGCAAAAACATACTATAAGTTTGATAAAATAACAACATTATTAAATGTAATAATGCAAGCTTTGTCAGGTCTGTTTTTAAGACTGGCTTTGGTAACACCAAGCAGATGAAATGCTCAACTTGAATACTTAAAGCTCCTGTAAGGAGTGTTTTGACATTAAGGAAACAGACTTAACTTCATATTCATGCCTTTATATGGTACACAATAGCAAACAAGCCTTCAGAGACAAGATTCAAAATCTTTTTACTGTAATTTTTAAACCAAAGCGAGGGGGTAGGAGAGGAGTCAGCTGAGGAGCAAAAGAAACAGCCCTTTTTCTTCGATTTCCACATAAAACATTACCAATAAAATGACACAGCTGACTGGAAAAAGTCAGCAGGATGGGATTTATTTATTAGAAGACACTACTTAAGTATGTGAAAGATAAAATAAGCATAGACTGCTTGGTGTACATAGGGCGCCAAAATTAACCCAGACTCAAAGTTCATGACTGGAACTTTAACTTGTCTTGGTGAGATAGTTGGCTGGATTGCATGTAGATATCTGATTATAAAGTTAAATAGATTATCACTAGATTACCACCAATGGAAACCATTTGGACAGAAGGCGTTCTGCTTGCGTTTGCTCTCTATACTGTTTTCTGCATTCACTAGAGCCTGATGATTTGTGATTGGACAATACTACTTGGACTTTGGAGACAAACCAGAACACATTTCACCAAATGGAGGCCCTTGTCTGTACATTTCAATGTAAAACTGCTTTTATAGAATTATCTGTTAATTACATTTGGGTTTTAGACAGCTGGAAGATATTTAAAGACAACAACATGCGCTTTCTGTAACTTTGTGATTGACATATGTCTCTTTTCTGAAACATTTCATACTCTTCAGCACTTCATTTGAGTAGCTAACTAATTATTTGATGCACCGCTCAGCTGATGGTCCTCCCTGCTGCCTGGTAGGTCTGTTGTTTTCCGTTGTCAGACTACATCGAGAACCCACAGGCAGGATTTCATTTAAGTCCACATAACTGCCATTCCCCTGATCTGACGACACGGCACACGGTGCTGCTGTAGTGTTGGTGATAGGGTGCTGGCAGACATGTGTTACAGCAATATGTGTGTGGGTTCCTGATGTGATTCATCAAATGGAAAAAAAAATGAAGTAAGGAAGGGAGAATCAGGCCAAAGCCACATCAGACTCACAATGGATTGTCTTTGTGCGTGTTAGCAGTCTTTGTCAGACTTGCAGATTGAGCGATGGAGCGGTGAGACAGATTCAGAGATAGCGGGGCTGCAGACAGACAGCACCGGAGACAGACAGCAGGTAGCTGAAAGGAAAAGAGGCTACACAGCTCTTTATCATGAATGTGATAAAGGGAATGAGTGAATGGAGCTGGTTCGCAATCTGCATCTCATAACTCATTCAGCTCACAGTGCTCAGCTGTCTCCCCCTCAACAACCTGTCTCTCTCTCTCTTTCTTTCTTTCACTCTCTCTCTCTCTCTCTCTCTCCCTGTGTATGTTTTCCTCCTTTCTTGTTTCTCTCCACACCTCCTCTATCGTTGTTTCTTTCCTCCCTCTCTTTTCCTCCCTGCTTTTACATCTCTCCCCCCTTCCCCTCCTCTGCCGTTTTGCTTTCTCTATCATATTTATGAAGAGCTCAAGCCTTATCTCTTTTCAGCTGCAGGCTGTCTCACTTGAAAGAATTTCAAAAGCTTTGAAAGCGGGGTAGGTGGCGACGCATTGGGGGAAAAGGGATAAAGACGAAGGAGGCTCAGCGAGAAGGAAAGTGGGATGAGAGACGGACGGGGAAGTTTTGCCTGTTTTCCTGAGACGGGAGTTATCAAGGGTGAAACTAGTGCTCGAGAGTTCACCAAGCCAGTCGCTTACAAAAAGATTATCAAAGAGAGCGTGGATATATTCTGAATCACTGTGTTAGATTCCACTGACTGGTGGGATTTGGAAGCTAATGAGTCATTATAAAACCAGACAAAGACGTCTGAGAGTGTTATGGTGCGTTTGTTTCATGAAAGTTATGTGTATGTGCCCACTCCTTTCCTTCAAAGCCTTAACACTTGACTGGCTGGCTGAAATGTTTGCCTTTCTGTGGGGTAGCTCATGGCAGAAAGTACGAGACAAAACTTCTCAAAAAGGAAACTCCACACTTCAGAATATGTTAAAGAAAAGTCGGTGAAAGAGGGTGACCTTTTGACGATAAACAAAGGCTGATTGAATGTGTGTGTAAACTTTAGTGGAAATGCACCTACCTCAATTAGGGATGTATTGATAGACTCAACACATAGTTTGATATGGATCATGAGGATGCCGGGTTCAACACAGTTCATGTTCAAGCTTTAGAGAGGAGATTCGCTCTTGAAGCTGTTATTGTATTTACCGTTTTTAAAATGTGCTTTTATTTTGAAAGAATGCAAAGGTACATTTCTAAACTCCTAATTAACCGTCAAAAGAGCGACCAATGGTAAAAAAGTTGGGTGTCAAAGGAGCTAAAAAGAGGTAAGCACTCTTAATGTTGTCCTAATGTCACCTGACACTTTTCTCTTGACTCTTTGCTACCCATGATGTGGGGACACCACTCCTGACATGAGGAACAGAGAAAGAGAGAGATTGTCCACTTGTTTTGTTGTATTGTGAATGGTAATCATAAATGGCTAAGAAATCTCCTTAACTGGAAATGTTCTAAAGCTGATCATTTCCCGGTCAATAAAATGGGAATTTGAAATTTTACCAACTGGCTCATTTGAAGTTAAGAAAACAGTCAAAATTTAAACACAGTTAAATTAGTAAAATCAACTTTTCAAAACAAAGGTCTGAAGGTGATGTCTAACTGAAATGTGTCTGTTTGGCTAATGTTAGCAGAATTATCACCACCAATCTTTGGTCCTCCCGACATTTTCACTTGACGAGTTGTTCTTGGTGCCGACAAACAAGGGTGACAGCATTTATTTGTGAAGTCGAATAAGTGCACACATCCCTGTCCTCAACTAAAAAATCTTCACCTCCTGTCCTCATGTCTGCACGCCTCCTTTCAGCCCTTGACTTGAAGTGGTGTAATGATGTCAAACAAGACAAGCCAAAGGCAGGTACTGCCCTCTGCTGATTGAACAGGGAGCCAATATTTATTTTTTATCTTGCTGATTTAAATCATTTTGTGTGTTGACTATTTCACCTGTCTAACTTAGTGTAAATCACTAATTTTAAGATGTGCTGAATTACTTTGTTAAATTAAATCAGGAGACATTTTGCAGCATTTGTATAAGTTTTATTCTACTTCTGCTTGTGAAAAAGCACCTTCTTTGTTTCTTCACGAACATCCTACAATAAAGTTTAAACATATTGAATCACGTTATTGTCAGGGGAAAGGGTTTTTTATTTTGCATCTAAAGAAAGATGTTTGTTAAACTCTAAACCACGTAGGTTAAATATGTAAGAACCCTGCAGGTAGTTGAGGTGACAAAACAGGAACCCAGTTATTCTCTCTTATATTAAGATCCAATGAAATTTGATAAAACACCCTCAATCTTGTCTTTGTGTGGAATATTTTATTACTGGCACAGCCTCTCCCAAATTGTTTTTAGTTCCAGTAATCTTAAACAAAAACTTGTGGACTGCAGAGAAAATTGAGTTTTTTTCCTCACTGCTCTGTAACCTAAACCGGCGTACAAATCCAGAAAGGGTTTCAAAATATGAACAGATCTTGCCGAAGCTTGATGATTTGGCCACTTGTTATCAGCGGTTGTTAATTTTGATGGATTGTGGTGCTCTGCTGGACAACAAAGGCGCCGCTCTGGAGCAAGTTCAATCAAACCAAACGGCTATTTCTTTTTTTTTTTTTTTTTCCGCCAGAGCACAAACACACCGCGGCCGCACATACACTGGATTTACAATGACGATCACGTCAGCGCAGAGAAACCATGGCAACATTGAGTTAATAAATAGCAGAACAGAGGAGCTGTTAGAGCGTATCGTTTGTGTTCTGCGTGCATGTGAAGCTCACTGGGCCTCCAGAGATTTGTCTCTGATGTCTTGGGTTACATAAACCTTCTGGCTGCCTGTGACCCCCCCTTCCCCACCACCTCTTCACTGTCCCACCATATGAAATCCCATTCCAGTCTTGTGCATGTGCGTGTGTGTCTCTGCGAGTATGTGTGTGAGTTCCTGCTCGTGTCTGTTGACATTTTCCCTGCATTCCCCTGAGAGAGGAGACGGAGGAAGAGCGAAAAGTATTCCCACGTTCTCTCCAGAGAGCTCCAATCTGCCAAGTTTGCTCCAATTTTCCTCTTTCTTTCACACTTCCTCAAAAATACTGTCTCTTTTCTCTCTAACCCTTTGCCTTTTTTCTTCTTCTTTCTCTACCTTATGTCACATTGTGTGCGCTGAAGCTGATCAGTCCCCTCTCTCTTTCGTGAGATGCTGGGAGCTCTGTGAGTGCCTCCTTCTGTCTCCAAGCGCTGCACTTTTCTACTTGGCTGTAAATTAGGCAGTTTGGCAGGAATGGCTGAGAAGTCTGATGGATTTTGCGTTGCCACTTGTCCCTGCTGGTGCTGACCTCTAAACCCGAGGCCACTCATCTCTAGGAAAGAAACAACTGATTTGAAGATCAAATCACTTTTAGCTTTAGTTTTTTTTTTTTTTGGATAGAGTAATTGCTCTGACCTTTTCCTTCCTATTTTGTGTTTTTTTTTTTTTTTGCACAGATGCAGTCATGGCTGGGGACCTTCAACCCTGAGAGAGAGAGACGAAAGGTAACAAACACCCTGTCAGAGCACTACTTGTATACATAAAGAGCATGGAGATAAATGTGTGTGTGTGCAGGATTATCTTAGTAGGTGTCAGTCAGCAGGGGGAAATTCTGACCTCATGATACCCGCCCTCTTCACAGAGTGCTTGTCTGTCCATGCACATTTACAGCTGCATGATAAATCACAACTAGGTGAATATTCCCAGAAAAGCTTTCATCTTAAACACATCACAAGAGGCTGAATTTACTGCAGTAAATAAGAAAAAATACTCAAAAATATTTTATGAAAGCAGTCAATAGTTTCTCACTCAGCATGCTTACATTTTGCCTATTAGATAGAAGTTTAGATTTAACAGTCTTCACATCGCTTTGATGCATTTAAATGAGCCAGAGTAGCTGTTCAGTCGTCCTCCGGAGGGGTACAGTGCGTACACAGCATACTGAGCACGATGAAGGATGGTGTTAAACAGGGCTGTGGCAATATAACAGAATTGGGGGGCGGGGGGTGTCTTTATTACAATATAAAATATTGATACCGTGCTAACAATAAGCAGTCTGTAATACCGTGAGTTGTGAGCGTAGGTCTTAAACACTCGTTCTGAAATTGAGAAAAGAGGAAGAAGAAGCAGCAGACTGCCTGCGATCTAGCTTAGATCAGCTCTCTAAGAACTGATCGGGGACTTTTAAAAAAGGAATTCTATGATTATTTTCAGTCCAAAAGCAAAATTAAAGCTTGTGCCTCTCAGGGTTCATTTTTCTAACAGTTTTAATTCAGTTCCATAACTCTGATCGACCAGAAGTAACTTTCTCTTCAAAATAAGAGCTTAGTTTGACAATTTAGGAATTAAAGACGTTTCAGTAACACAGCCAGTGATGTGGATAAATCATAAAATTGAACATAATTAGAAAAGGGAGGATTACATGTATGTTAATTAGGTTTACTAAGTTACTAATTAAAATTTATGGTTTTAAAATGCTTATGCTCTTGCTAGATCAGTTTTATTTATCATGTTGCTTTAAGTTTCAAGTTTTCAAGTTGATAGCAATGATATCGTTACTGTGATATTTTATGGTAACGTTTTGAAAATCTTATAACGTGACAACCCTTGTGTTAAACGTGAATAAATGGCAGATTTTAGGGGGAAAAGTTTTAATTTAAAGTAGCATTACTGGCATGAACAGATTCAAACATAGTCCCGACAAAGTGGTTCAAAATAAATCCAAATAAATCTGAGAAAAAACAAACTATTTGGGGAAATGTCAGCTTACTCTAATTAAATGTAACATCTCTTCTTTCTGGATGAAATGGATAGATATTCTGTCCTGGTTTAAAATGAGTAGAGCAAAACTTCTCCAACGAATTCACCTCCTAACAAGTGCAGTCAGATAATGGCAAAAATCAGAACTATTTCTATTCTTCTCTTTTTTTTTTTGCACAGTCATCCTTCAAAAAGAGAAAAAAATACACCTGTCAAAGAGAGGGACGAGATGCCATTTTGTTAAAAAATGAGGATAACATTTTCAGACAGTCTCTCCTTGAAGGCATTCACCGCGTTTCACTCAGTTGTTGACAATGAAAAAGAAAAAGTGTGGAAGGACGGAGAAAGAGGCCTGATCTCATTTCTCACCTTTGTGAACTTGCCAGTCATGGTGGGACTTTGCCGAAAGATACAGAGGTGTTTGTACACAGCTGCCCTGTACTGACATAATAAAGGTATATAGAGGGAGAGAGGTCATCCAAAGTGAGAAGAGTAGCAGACATTTGGACAAAGTATACATACACCCCCTCAGAACGGTATCATTAAGCGTTTTCAGCTCAGATTTTTGGACTGCAAATTTAAACCAAACAGACCACCTGCAGGAAAGGTTATGAAAATAATTTAACTGGTTGCATTATGGGAAAAGGAGTACTTTTTCTGATTAGGCACTCATGAGAGAGTAAAGCTTGGATATCTTGTGTGCTTGTGTTTTGACATGAAACGTTTCTAAAACATGTCTCTTCTGAGTCCCATAACTTTGCACAAGTGCAGGACTAAACCGCTGTAGTTCCCCGTTACAGTAAATAATGTATCCCTCCTTTAAATTAGTAACACCGGGAAGTGTCTCCACCTTAAAACTGTCATTAAATCTAACTTACAGTTGTAGAAGCTGAATTTTCTCCCTCAGCAGGAGTCTGAACCTTTATCCACACAGCCTCATCATTAAAAAGTGAAGCCTTACATCTGCCTAAACCAAAGCAGTCCCTAAAGTAAAAAGCTGATCAGTGTCGTGTTGCTGCTCGCAAAAAGCTAGAAAGCAGCAAACTCTTGTTGTCTTACTCTTAGTTTCCTTCCTCTCCCCCCTCCTCCTCCCTCCCCCCACCTCCCTGCGGGGTGAGGTGTGGAAGGGCAGGTTAGGGTTAAGGTTATGTAGATGCTGCCCCTAAGTGGCAGATGTAATTACTGCACACTGAACTGGCGTAACCCTCACCACTGATGCGTGTGTGGGCATGATTGTGTGGCAGCAACACACACACACACATGCACGCACTGTTCATGTGGGCTAATTGCTGTGTGTAGCACAGAGTGTAAATAAGTCAGCAGTGGTTTTTATCACACTCTCCTCTTCCTCGCTTTTCTTTTTTCCCAGTCGCCTCTCCAGTTTCCGTCTGTTTTTCTCTCTGCCTCTCACTTCTCCTCTCTCTTTTTCGTTTCCTCCCTCTTTCTCACTTCCTACCTTCAGTCTCTTTCTCTCACTCTTGTACTCACACACAGCATGAATAAAGCAGCAAGCCAGGTTCATGGACATGAATATTTATGAGAGTTTATGCACGCGCTGCGATGCTTTAAAACAACAACAACAGCCTTGCAGGTTGCGCCTGCCAATTCACCCAGCTCTGCTTCACGTGTGTGTGTGTGTGTGTGTGTGTGTGTGTGTGTGTGTGTGTGTGTGTGTGTGTGTGTGTGTGTGTGTGTGTGTGTGTGTGTGTATGTTTTTTTGTGCATGATTATGTGTGTGCAGCAGCAGGTGTAAACTAGAGAAAGAGATCCCTGCTGGGTGTCCGCTGGCTCCGGTGATTTCCATCAATGCTGCTCCATCTCCCTCCTTCTGGGCCTCACATGCTCTCTGTTACTGTGTCACACGCAAACACACACTCGCTCGCTCGCACACACACACACGCGGACAAATGTTTTCTTGTTTTCTACTTGCATGTATTTTCCTACATTCGCCGTTCTTGATCTATTTTTCTCTTTCTATGACTCAGTCTAGTACACCCCTCCCCTCATCTTCTATCTTTTTCTGCGTGTGTGTGTGTGAAGTGTGTTTTTTGAGCGTGTGTCTTGTCTGGGAGATGACGTACATAACTAGTGTTGGCAGTTATCAGGGCCGTCCGTCACATGGCTGTGACACATTTCTCTATGTCTCCAGGGATTTGTTTGCGGTCATGCTTGAGTACTGACACACACGCTCACACACGCTCACGAGCGCACACACAAGCATTGCAAGGTCTTGCAGCAGCACGGGTCAGCAGGAGGATATTCTGAGGAGGGCGTTTTGTCAGGTTGCTCAAACACGCACACGCTGACACACAAACACCTCTTAACACATTTGCACACGCAGCAGCTCGGTCCCGTCGGGTAGCAACAAAGCTGGCTGAGTAAACAGTGAGCTGCTTGTTCGTTATCTTCGCAGGGTGTTTGTTTACTGATCCACACAAGCTTTGCCTTGAGTCACAATGTGAAGTGTCTACTTCTGTGCTCGTATATATGTGTATGCGTTTGGGTGTGTGTGTCAGTGAGAGTTGAGCAGAGGTTTTACTGCCAAATTTTACTTTTACATGCGGTCAGCATCCTGAGGAGCTTCCCGACTGTGAGAAAGCTGCAAGGACAGTTGGGTTAGTCTATTGAGGGCTCTCAGTCAGGACATGTGGCTTTGACAAAACACATCTACGGATCCGCTCTTCAGCTGCTTGGGAGGGTACCGCTTTGAGCCTTCAGTGTTACTTCTGTGTTCCCTCACATGATGCCCTTGGGTTTTAACTTTCTCGGAAAAAAATCTTAGTGAGGGGATTTAAAATAATGAAATTATGCAAGTATCCGGGAATATTTAAATGTATTCGATGAAGGAAAATATAAATGAAGAGAAATAGGTTTTTTTTGTACTTCTCAGAACTTTGAATTGTAAGTAAGATTTTAGTGATTTCTGCAGCAAATGGAGGTTGCTTTGCTGCTTTGTTAATGTTTCAGTTCTTTTGCAAGGACTTCTCATTTAAAATCTCTCAGAAGTTGAGGTCCAGTGGTTGAAAACAGTATACAGACGAGGAAAGTACCTTTTCAGTTGTCCCGTGCCCTGGGTCAGGGGGGCAGAACTTGGGTCTCTAACCATTCAAATATCAGTGGAATAATTTGCCAAAGTTTTGCTTTAAAAATCATGTTGTATTTATTCATTGAACTCAGATTTATTTTTTCTATTTGTCCTGAAATAGACGGGTTTCTGTGCAACGTCATCGCAGGTATGCGCGCGCAGCCTTGGGGCAGAAAGCGGGACATTTCTTATTTGTTTACTAACGGAGTCAATGGAGAAAGAAAATGACAAGGAGCTGTTGTGGTGTAAACTGCACGAATGGGCATAACAATCGGCAACCATTACGACCCTGCTCCTCATATTAGAGACATCTAAAACAACGTCACAACTTGGTAAATTGAGTGAAATTCATGTGTTTTTCTGATTTTGAGGCAGTGAAAGACAAAGCTATTTTTCAATTAAATGACATTTTATTGCAATTGTGTCAGGGATATGGCATCTTCTTTGATATCATTTTGCTCCAAAGCAGGCTTTTGCCCCATGGTTGCGCACGCACCTACCCACCAAACATCGTCGCTCTGACGTTTAGAAACTGGACGTCATCTGAAGACCAAATCTAGACGTCGGCACAACGTGCAAAATGGATCCAAGATTTAGACGTCATTATTGGACCTCTTTCAAACGTTGAAATGACGTCCACATTTGTACCTCATCGTAAACCGTCATAACGGGAATAAGTGCTCAAAACACTGGACAAAGGAAAAAGAAAAAGAGTTAGTCAAAGGGAATTCCTGAAATTTTTTTGAGAAAGATATATGAAGTTGACGGTGAAGAAGAAGTGCCAAAGGATTATCGACAACAACGTAAGACGGTTAATTATACAGCATAGTCGCTAACGATTTGCTCTAAACCTTGCTGATGATGTCTTGATAGCTTTTATAAACCACACGTCCTTTCTGACAGTAGATGACAGCTGAGCAGGCAACATAACCGCGGCCTGTTGAGACAAAGAGGGAGAGACCGTGACAGGAAGGGCTGCAGCCTCCAGCTCCGGTCACAGAGAGAGAGAGAGAGAGAGAGAGAGAGAGAGAGAGAGAGAGAGTGAGGTACGACGATGCTGCAGAGGCTCGCTGTTAGAGAGGGTTATAGAGATGAGACGTAGCGTCTGATTCTGAGTCAGAGCAGCAGAGATCAGAGACAGATGTAAGTAAAATTCATGAACCAGGGTAGTCTCTGGGCATGGCATATGATACTACAACCATCCCCCCTACACTGTTGTATTTGAAAGTCTGACTGAAAAAATTTTGATTGACATAATTGATGCAATCTAAGAGAGTGTTTCTCGTGTCTTTGTGGAGGAGATAGGTTTTTTTTGTGTGTGTGTGTGTGTGTGAGAGAGTGGGTGATACTTTCTCATTTTTGATTGATTAATTGTGTGATTGATGGGCAGTTGAAGCGGCACTCTTGGATTAGCCTGGCTGGGCCATCCAGTTGAATCACTTGCCGTTCCTTCACACAACAGTCTGGACTTCGACCCATTGGGAGCGTGTTTTAGCGATCAGAAAATAACCGGGCCAATCAGTGACTGTGTTTCCACTGTTCCCCGGACAACAGGGAAAGGTAGCCCCTGACTGGTCCATGTGTAGATGGTGACGTCTAACACATGCTGCAGGACTTTTCAAAGCCCCATTCATTCAGAACGCTGTTAATTCTGCAGTTGACTTTGCAAAGTCGGCAGAAATCGTTTATTTCCGGTGTCTTCTGCAGATACTGTTGTGTGAAGGAATGGCAAGGGATTCACGCAACAGGATGGCCCGGCCAGGCTACTCTTGAATAGACTTGTCCCAGGCACAGGCAAACCTAGCCTGGCTGGGCCATCCAGTTGCGTGAATCACTTGTTGCGGTTGTTGTGGGAAGGAACGGAAAGTGATTCACGCAACTGGATGGCCCAGCCAGGCTAAGGCAAACCTACCAGCTGGCCTGATTATAATGCAATACAATATGATACAAAATGGTCTAATACCATATGGTATAGCGGCATAGTATTCTGTACAGTACTATACAACAGGATACAGTATATAGTGAAATAGTATGATTATACGCAATGTGAAGCAATACTGTACAATATGGCAAAATTGTACATCAGACGATATGATATATTATACAATACCCCCATACGATGATATGGTGTGAAACTTCACAATATGATTCAATACTGTTCAACATAGCATAATGCAACATGACCCAATATGATTTAATGGAAAAAATGATACAGTACCTTAAAATACAATATATGACATGATAAGATGAAACAGTTTGATACCGCATGATATGATAGGCCACTGTACAATACAATACAATACACTGAATCAATGTATGATATGGTTTAACAATAAGAAAATGATACTGTACATTACAATGCATCTAAACACAACATGATCTAATGAGATAGGATATACTACAAAACAATCTAATACAAAATAATAAGATATGATACAATATGTAATGATACGATAAGATACAAGACAATATAATGCATTACACTTGGCCCTAAAGGGTCATTTTTCATTTGCTCATTGATACATACATTAATTAGACTTCGAAGTTGTGTTTTTTAATTAAGAAGTATAACAGCAAACAGACATCTATATAAAAACATAGATGTTCATTTACATATGGCATCTTATCCATTTCTGCTTGTCCTATATAAGATATTAGAGTTGTGAGCTCAAGTACAAAAGAATCATAAAACTTCTGCACCAATCCTGCAGCCTCACTGGACACTAAAAAAATAATAACTTTTAATAATAAACACACACAGAAGAAGAAGCTCTGGTTTGTGATTGTTAAAGGTTTCAGTCATTGAAATTCACAGCTAAAAGAGCCCTCTGAAAAGTCCTTGAATTTGATGTTGGAGAGCATTGGGAAACCTGGCACTGTTATTTTTACTTTTCTTTGCGAGCGAGGGTGAGCTCAGTGGGTGGTGGAGGGGATGGCTTTCTCCTGATAACCGTCTGTAATCTAGCGTGCGTCATTAACGTCGGGGCCGCTGCGCCTGCCGCACATAATTACGGTTTCATTCCCCTCTGCTTCCCGAGCAGCGCAGGGGCCTCTGACACGGGAGGACTGTGATTAAAAACACGAGGCTCTTTAGCCGCGCTCCTTCCTCTCCTCCCCCTCCCCACTCCTCCCATTCCTCCTCCTCCACTCTTCCACATCCTGTCTCTTGCACACTGAAATTCCTCAAATGCCTGTCTCTACACCTCACTGAAAATTTTATCGGAGACTAGCAGCTTTTTAACCCCATTTCTAAATCTTTTTTTCCTCCAAATATCACACACAAAGGCTCACACAGCCACAAATCTCCTTTTCCAGGAAGCGTCCTTCAGGCTCCTGGATTGCCCTTTCCCTCTCTGCCAGTGAGACATTCCACCAAGTACACACACACTCACACACACACGCACACAGTAGAGGTGACAGAAGAGCTTGACACAATCAGTGATGTCATACCTCCCCATTACAATCCACTCAGAGTGACGCTCTGACTGACCATCCGATCAAATCCATATGTCAAACTTTGCTCTAATTTTCACTCAAACACACACATATGGAATTAAAAAGAAAAAAAAACATTGGGGGCTCTCATGATGTTCATATGAATTGTTTAAAAACCGCCTGCATTGGGGGCTTGCTCGCCGCAGGGTCTTTCTGGTGAGTAATTAATTTCCAGCATGTGGGGGTAGAGACCGGAGCTCGTGGGCCTGCCTGCTGGCTCCGACTTTGTGAGAGAGAGAGGGAGAGAAATAGAGGGAGGCTTTGCCCTGGCTTGGCTACCGCGTCCTAGCCTTGGGGAGGAGAGGGAGGGGGAGTTGTTGAACCAGCACGGCGCAGAAAATCGATCCAGGGGCCGCGCTTCTCAGCCTCTTTCCGGACGCGAGAGTCCTCTTCTCTCGGGAATTAGATAACGGCTTGTAAAAGCTCTCCATCGCTTGCCTCTTCTACCCCCCCTTTTTTTTCTCGATATTAAGCCGCTCCTGCATCTTTCTGTCTTCTTTCCCGTACGCTCATACAGTTATTGAATTCATCCTGTTAGCGTTTACTGCAAAGTATTGGCTTCCAGTTTAATTGGAATCCCCATTTCTTCTCATAACTGTGTGGATATTGCGTATTATCAGCAGGTTAATATTTTATTAGCTTTTAATTGGCCTTTGTTGTTTGCTTCAGTGCACAGATCTTCCACTTAAGACCCTGGACCCTGTGTGTGTGTGTGTTTGAAAAAGCGAGAAAAGGGTGTTAATGTGTGCATCCACTTTTCTCCACATGGGTCAGCAGTCTCCTTTCTTTTCCCTCAGGTTTCTTTGGCGGAGGAGATCAAGCCGTTGAAGTGGTATCCCTCCGTCTATCTGCTGGTGTCTATCTTCCCACTCATCAACAGGTAACACACACACACCTCTACACACAGTGCACTACACACCTGTATGGCACAGACACACTCTCTCTCCCCGCTTTGTTGTTTTATTTGCATGTCGGCTTCACTCTGCCGTCTTATCTCCCTTCAACCCGTCACCCTATCCTCCTCCCCTCCCTCACCCTCCAACTGTCTCTCCTGTCCTCCTTTCTCGCTCACTCTTATCTGAACTCTCGGAAGGCTTCGCTCTCTCTGTAGCAGCACCGACATGAAGGAGATTGTGCGTGTGTGTGTGTGTGTGTGTGTGTGTGTGTCGGAGCCTGGGAGCCTTTTATTGGCTTTTTTAAAACCAGGGCTTCTCCGGCTGATGGTTGGAGGGAGGAGGCGGGTGGTCCAGTAAATGATAACCCCAGCGCTGTTATTACTTCTTCACTCCCTTCCCTTTCCTCCCGCTCTCTCTCTTTCTCTCTCTCTGTCTCTCTCTCCGTTCCTTTCTCTCTCCTCCCTTTTTTCTTTTATCCACACACACACACACACACACACACACACACACACACACACTCCCACCCCCCGCCCCCAAGTGGCACCCGGTGTGATTGACAGGTCAGGGTTACTAAGTGATTAGCTGCGGCGGCTCTGCTTGTCGCCACGGCGATGTAGGCGGAGACACAGGTCAATTACAGGGTCAACGTCTCTCAAAGGCTCCGCTTAAACACCACCCATCCCCCTCCTCCCTTATCCTCCTCACCCTCACCCTCACCCTCTCAACCTCCTCCTCCTCCTTTGCTTCCTTCACCTCTCCATCCATTCCACCCCCCTCCTCCCCTCCTCTCCCATGTCCCGGCTGTCGGCTAAAGAAGATGACAAACTGCATCCTGCGCTAACCCCAAACCCTCCCTCATCTCCTTACCTCCCACTCCCTTCTTTCCTCCCCTCTTGATGACAATTTCCTCTTCCTCCCTTTCCTCCCTCCGCTGCGCTAAAAACATCTCTGTTAAGCTCTGTTATTTCCACACTTCCTCACTTAGGTTTCTGTCTTCCTCGCTCGTGTTTTCATGTCACCTTCCCTCCTCCTCCTTTTCCTCCTCCACTTTTCCTCTCCTCCGCCACACAAAGCCCTCTCTCTCTCTCTCTCTCTCTCACTCTCTCTCCCCCTCTCTTGAGCAAACACGCTCTCTCCCGCTCGCTCGCTCGGCTCAGCTCCGCTCCCCTCAGCCTTTCTCCTGAGAGCGAGCGAGGAGAAAACGGGAATGAATTGCTCTCTCGTCGTCGTCCCCCTCCTCCACCTCCCCCTGTTCGGCAGCGCTGGCTGTATATATCTCCGACTCCTATTAATTTGTTAGCCTCCCCCTCCTTCTCTCCCTCCTCTTCCCCTACTCGCTCACCTCCCTCCCCCCTGGCTCATATCCTCCTCCTCCCCTCTCTCTCTCCATCCTTCCCTCCCCTCTGCTGAGTGCTGGAGTGTGTAAAGTGTTTGTCACGGTGCCGTGCCGATGTCGCTGTGCTCTGCCGTGCGGAAGCAGCGCACGGCAGACTGCCTTAGTGTGTGTGTTTTTCCCCGCATGTGTGTGTGATTGTGCGATTGTGTGTGTAGGCGGGTGGTTGGGTTCGTGTCAAGGCGAATGTGCTGTGGATGCTTGTTGCCGCGCACGCATGTGTGTGCACTTATGTGCGCGTTGTTATGCCTCATAGTGAGTGTGTGCTTTTGTATGGCTGTCTATGAGCATTTCTCTTGTGTTAGTGTGGTGAAAATGTGTGTGCGTGTGTGTGTGTGTGCATGCCTTGCATGTGTGTGTGTCTGAGTGGGGGATTATTTCTATCTGAGCCCCAAAGCCTCCTAAACAGGGCTTAGAGAGACGGCCCAGGGCAGCAGCTAAAGCCGTCGGGTAGAGCTCGCATCCCCACCACCCCCCCTCGCCCGCCCGCCCGCTCGCTCGCTCGCTCACTCGCTTACCCTGCCTCCCTTTCTGCTCTCTCTCTCTTTCTCTTTTCTCTCTCTGCCATTTCTCCCTGCCCTGATCCATTGCGTTAATACACAGACACTCCCACACACAAACACACTCTTGTTTTTGGCCCTCATCTGCTACCGCGCACACACACACACACACACACAAACACACACACACACACAGACAGTCACACGCCACACACAATTTTAATCTGTTCCAAATGCACACTGGTAAATGTGTTAATTCGACACCAGCTGTTGCGAATTGAAATGGGAAAGCGCTCCTACTCTTCCTCGCCCGCGCTCACTCGCTCGCTTGCTCGCACAAACACGCACACACACACACACACACACGGCGGAGTCATTATACATCATTTTGCCGCACACATCTCCCTCTCCTCACTCATTCACTTGCCCTCATTTGGCAACACAAAAGTAGCACCAGACACTCACACCTTCGCACTTCTCCCTCCTCCTCCCCTCTCTCTCTATCTTTGTCCTTCTTTTCCCTCCCTCTCTGCCACTTCAGTCTCCTTCAGCTCTTGTGAGCGTGTGTGTGTGTGTGTGTGTGTGTGTGTGTGTGTGTGTGTGTGTGTGTGTGTGTGTGTGTGTGTGTGTGCGTGTGTGTAAGCGCTGCCCGGGCACGACTAGAGTTTTCACAGTCTGCTTCTCACATCGCCTCCCCTGTGTGCTTTATGGTGTGGGTGTGTGTTTGTTTACAAGGCTTGTCTAGATTCCTACTGTGCGCGCTTGTACGCCTGTTTGCATAAATAAGCCCTCTCCTCGGAACTTAGCTGCCGATTTCTGCAGGGCGGCGCAGCTTGATGTGGCGAGTGCTCCTCCTGGACGGCCTGCTTGTCTTTTATGAGGACTTTTCCCTCTCTTCAAACACCCCCTTACCCCGCCTCCCCCCTTCCCCTCTTTTGACACCGAGCAGCGAGAGATAGGCTTCCCCATTTAGTGTCTGTTTTCCTCTTCCTAGGGTTTTGTCTCGCACCACATAGCAGGAGAGTTAGCTGCCTCTTAGCAATCAGGGTTACGTGCCCTGCAGAGCGGTGCATCAGCGCAGATAGATTGGCCCTGGCGGCTGGGCTTGAACCGGTGAGATGTCTGCAACCTTGGGTTCACCGTGGCGCTCCAGGAGGCGGCTCGCATCCTGGTAGTTATTCTTAGTTTCCCTCGATGCTACGTGTGGGTTTTCTGGTGTGTATAGCTCCTATACGTGCTTGCAGGGGATTTTTGTATGAGCTCCCTACAGCGCTAAAGCCCCCCTCGCCTTTCTCTGGAGGAGATCTGATTTCCCTGCTCCAGGCAAGCAGCGAGAACAAGACAGCGTGTGCGTGCCTCTGTGTGTGCTAAAGTGTGTGTCTGCTCCTTTGTGTTTGCGCGCACGACGCGCAACTCACGCGCAACCCGGGCCAGGCAGACCTTCCCCATCTCCGTTCTGCGCTTTGAAAAACGAGGGAGGAAATCTCAGAGCAGCAGTTATTATTCATCCCTCAAAGCAAACGGGGAGGAGGCGGAGGAGAAGGAGGAGGGAGGGAGGGATGTAGGGAGGAAGAAAGAGAGAGCCAAACAGGAGGGATGAAGGAGGGGGGCTGGCGGTGGTGGAGGGGGGGATACATTAACTCTTATCTCACTGTATTTGGCATTCTGCATCCCAGGATGCGCTCTTTCTCCCTCTCTGTCTCTCTCTCTCACTCCGGCTTTCTCTTTCCTCTGTACACTCCCTTCCTTCCGCTCCTCGCCTCTACGCCTCTCGGAATATCTCGCTCTCGGCGCTCGGGGATGTGTGTTTGTGCCTCGGCGTGTGTAGGCTGGTGTGTGGTTTGTACTGTATACCCTGATATCTTTAGTGGCGCATTTTGTTTACTGGAACAAGTGAGCTCCTCAGATGCTGAAAGGCGGTGTGTAAGGCTCCAACTCTCATCTTTTTATTTGTCTGCGAGCCCTTTTTCTATTTATCTAACTCTTCACTTTCAATTTACTGTAAGAAAGTGGCAGCACTGGCCTGTTTACTAAAATAAGTTTGGAACTGGATATAGCTCGCAGGTATGTGATGTTTTTTGGAGGCGAAACGCGACCATTTTTTGTGTTGCTTTGATCTGGGATTTTTGCAGGATGTGATTCCAAAGCTCCAGGTTTCCATGACTTGGCTCAAAGTCAGAACCATCTGAATCTTAACAAACAAGAGCTTTAAAACTTACCTGCTCCAATCATGAGTTTTAATGATCTCATTATTTCCACATACTGTCTGTTGCAGACGTATCCAAAAAAACCCTGATCAATCTGAGGTATCTCACATCTCGTATTCGGTTTCCTGCACTTTGAAAACCCTATGCGATAGCCTGGCCACGTGTGGCTGTGTGGCCTAGATATTATTAGTGTGGACATATGAGCGCGTCTACTTGTGCTTTTGCGTCTCTCCGGCAGTGATCAGTGTGTAACTGGAGACTGGAGAGCCCCGTGGCTATTCGTCTCCCGTTGAGCAGCAGCGACACTCCGCTATTCATCCCCATTTAGCGAGACAGAGCGCTGGCCTGCAGGGCTGTGTGAAGTGCAAACACACACAGGGCAGGCGCCCGTGCCGAGACTGGACACACATACACTCACACACACACATACACACAAAGTCTCTGGGTTTAATATCCTAGCGCACACATAAATTAATATACGTACATTTGCACGTATATAGAGTAATATGCAGACATAAAAGACATACAAATTATAGACATACGCACATGTCCACACAGAGACATACAAATATTTATGGCACAGAGGAAAACAAACTGTATACGGACCTATAAGTCCCTTTAGACATACAGTACATATAAGCCATATGGACACGTATTCTCTCATACAGACAGGCACACAACCTACATACAGGCACATATAGGCATGTATATACATTCATGGTATACACCAGCACACGCAAATGCTAAAGGAGATACTAGATAACCTCTGTCACACACACTTGGGCATGCGCACGCATTCAGGCGCATGCAAATACAAACACACACACACACACACACAAACACACACGCATGCTTGTATGCACACACATACACACTCAGCCTCCCCCTCCCTCTGCTCTTTCAGGCACGTCTTTAAATATTCATCACTCTGGCTGCTCTGAGAGTGCCGTAAACGCTGCCTCACACTCCAGGGAATCGCTAAAGCCTACTCTATCATCTGCTCTCCCTCCCTCCTCTCTGTCTCTCTCGCTCTTTCACACATACACACACACGCACAGACGCACACACACTTCTTGCCACAGCCACTCACAAGGATAAACTCACGTGCACCAACACTCGAAGGCTCAGCCAGTGGCATCGCTGGACACACACACACACACGCGCACACACATCGATACATGAATCAGGCGCATGGAAACACAGGCGCTGAGATATACAAAGAACAGATTTCTTCTGTGTGTGTTTGAGTGTGTGTATGTGTGTGTGTGTGTGTGTATACTGGCTTCTCCCAGCACGGAGGGCTGAGTGGTGTTGTGTTCCGGGAAACAGGATGTCTCTTTGTTTGGGTTTTATTCTGTTGTTGAACGTTGGCCGCTCTGGTCCCCAGGGTCTCTGGGTGCCTCTTAGTGTGTCTGTGTCTGAGCGTGCTTAACCGCGCATGAGCTTACATGTTCATGTGCATATTTTTTTTTTTCACTCATGCATACTCGTTTGTACTTTTTTTTTTTTCCCTTTCCCAGAGATATTTATTGAGATGTTCGGCAGTTGACAAGAAATCTGCATGTGTGCGATTGTGTGTTTGCGTAAGAGTCCCGTTCTTCGCTGTGAGAGCTCTTTTCATATTGACCCCGTGATCAAAGAAGATCATTGACACGTCCATATTATCCACACAATATCCTTGCAGATAGTTTACAAGCCTTGGAGCGCAGTGCTCATTGAGTGGCTGATCACATGTTGTTTCTGAACAATGAAACGTCTGTGCTGTGTCTGTGCTGCCCCGAAGGCTGCAACACATGCATAAGAGACAAATGAACCACCAGCCGAACCATTTGAACCAGCGAATCTACATGTCAGGTCAACTTTTGATTGGTTGTCACTCACTTGAGCAGAAGAAATCAGTTATTTATAACTTTCTTGCTCAAAAACTCATCCATGCCCCGCCATGATTCTCCTCTTATCAGTCGGGTCACATTGATAGCGGTTTGAGCGAGTCAGCCCAGACTCTCCTTTCCCCAGTTTTCTAGCTCTTCCTGAGGGATTCAGAGGCATTCCCAGACCAGGTGGGATATGTTATTCCTCCAGCAAGGTCTGGCTCTGCCCCCGGGGTCTCCTCCCACTTGGAAATATCCCCAAAGGGAGGTGTCCAAGAGGCATCCAAATCAGATGCCGGGATGACCTCAACTGGCTCTTTTCCATGCAAAGGAGTAGCAGCTCTGCCCCCGTTCTCCCTCTGGATGTCTGAGCGTCTCATCCTATCTCTTCGGCTGAGCCCAGCAACCCTTTCTGAGGGAAGGACGACTCCATTCTCCATTGGTCGAGCAGCCAAGGGTGGTTGTGGGAATGTGGATCTAATGGTAAATCAAAGCTTTGCCTCCAAACTTTCTTCTCACTGCAGATGTGTGAGTCCAGTCGACGAAATGATAACACACTCCTGTGATGCACCACAAGACAAGTGATTTATATTTTTACAAAGCTTGAAATGCCAGTAATAGACTCTGAATACGCTGTGGCCACTCGTCACCAGCCAGAGCTGTAGTCAGGCAAATGTTAAACTGTAAGTAGGATTGAAGTGGTGAGAAAGGTACGTTTCTTTCCTCTTCATGCCGTTGTCTGTTTCACTGTTGCTACACCCTTCATTACATGCTGTGTTAACCTGGTTTGTTGTAGGTCTGTACAATCACTTTTTGAACCCTTTTGGATGCCTCCGTTATTAAAGCCCTGTGGAGAACTGAAATCAGTTGAGCATTTACAGACTCATTCAATAAACTAAGAAGGTTTGGCAATACCAGGCAAGGTTGGAGTTGCTCGATTGGCTACTGCTAGCCTCACTTGGCAAACCAATTTGATATCATTTTTACCTCACTGCTGCCAAACTACGCTACGCTGCTACATTCACATTATGTTACCCCCGCTACTCGCTCTATACACCGTGTATAAGCTTGAACATTACCTTTCACGTTGATGGAAGAGGGTCTAACAGGACGCGCTTGTTGATGACTCAATACAAGTTGAAAATAACGTTGTGTGTTGTCGTGCTCACACAGCACGAGCAGGAATCATTAGTGGCACATTGATATTAATGATCATGTCAAATTTCAGTAGCGGCGCACGTAATTCAGCAGCAGCAATGCGCTGTAGGGGTGGCGAATGTAGGGAAAACACTGTAAAGTCGTTGCCCATTGGGCGACAAAGCGATTATATTGTTCACCAAGGTACAGCAGGAATGACAACATTTATTCATTCATTTTAATGTTTAAAAACTGGTCACAATAAATGAAGCATTTGAGTCTCAAAAATCAGCAGGAAAAGTTGTTTTGCTAAAAGACACGACTGAAACGTGTACAGAGAAAGATGTGCGAAGACTGCTTTGTCCGTAGAAGGCGCCAAAACTGATCCAAACTAACAGTTCCTCATAGAAGCTTTAAACAAGCCAGTGGGTAGTTTGGTGGGTAGTTTTTTGGCAGGTTATGAAACAGTCTGAAATACCAATGCAGCTTTATTTAGACTCCGGGCCTCGGAGTGAAAATGCTGGGGAGGTCCTCTCCTGGTCTCTGGTGGAAGTTCTCACAGTGGAAAGGCAGCTTAAGTGCTTTGGCAGGTACAAACAAGGTCAAAACGTGATGCCCAAAAGGATTGCTTGCTTTCTGTGATATTTGGTGACTGAGATCATTTTTTATTCCCGTGGTTTGGAGTCAATGTTTGTCATAATGCAGTAAACATTGTTTTCTTGTCTTAGACCTTGATTTACTTTGAGATGCAATCGAATCATCTTATCTATGAGTGTCCTTCCTTAAAAGCTTTCTGGTATCTGAAGGTCACGATAAGCAACTTACACTAAGTCCAACTTCTTCAAAATTCAATTGCATAAAAACTGTAGCAGAGCAGCAACTTTGACAACGTTTCGCTTTTGAAACCATCCGACGCCTTTCATATTTGGAGGCAGCAATACCCGAAATTGACCTCACACTGAGTTGTGGGACCATGCTCATTTTGGCAAAATTACCCCTCCTGAGTCGGAGACAATTTAAGATTTGCCGCAGGCAGAAATGGGGCCTTGTTTTGACACTGTGAAGCATGTGATTCGTCTGGAGGAAAGCGGCGAAAAAAAAAGAAGTCAGGCACTCAGCCCGTGAGAGGAGGAAGTGTGATCAGGGTCAGGATGACTTCTCTGTCTGGCCGCACTTCACTCTCGGAAAAAGAGTTCCCGTCCTCGGAGCTGTTTCCCCTCACAGCTTTTGAGGGTGTGCAGCACAACAATTAGAGGCTGACAAAAAGGTGAAGGAGGGTGGAGGGTGATGGGAAACTGATGACTGGAAAGTGGTATAGACTGGCAGGGTAGGATATTGGAGGAGATAGGGAGAGGCAGGGATGAGGGATTTTGCGCAGAGTGTGGCGGGTGAGAGGGGTTCAAAGAGTGACTGACAGCATGATAGATGGAAGGTCTGAATACGTGAGCGAGGCTCCAAGACGCCGTGCGAGTGCTAATGATTGACTGCATGCTAACAGGTGGTGGCAGACTTAGCCTTTAAGCTACATACTGCGCTGTATGTGCTGTGTGTGTGTGTAAGTGTGTGTTTGTGTGTTTATTGTTGCTGACCGTTTTGCTCTTGAGTCATACAGTATACACAATATCATCCCTGTTGTCCAACACCAGTCAGCCAACTGCGAGACTTGCTCGACTACGCGGCGCGCACACACACAAGCCTCTGACAAACACATACACACACGCAGCAGCTCAGTGAGGCATCGCCCGCAGCCACACTCTCCTTCCCACCACTGCCTCCCTCATTCATCTTTCATTAGCCCGGCTCACACAGGAGAAACAGCCTGCCTCCCCCTCCCTCCCTCCTCTGCACGCCTCCACCTCGTCTCTCCATCTCTCCCTTTTCTCTCTATCTAACCTCGCCGTCTCCTCGCTCTTCCCCTCTCCTCTTATCTTGGTTTCTCTCGCACCTAATCGCTTTTGTTTGTCTCGCTCGTGTCTCACAATCTGTCTTTTTTGGATACCTCTCCTTCTCCTCCTCCTTCTCCTTTTCCTCCTCTTCCTCCTCTGCTTTTTAGTCTTCTCCATTCAGCTTCGCTCCTTCAGCCCTCCTCCTCCTCCTCCTCCTCTATCGCTCTCGGCCCTCGTTCCCCTTCACAGCCTCACTCTCACATTCTCACCTCTTTATCGTGCTCTCCTTTCCTCCTCCACTCTCCACTCTCCTTCTCTCCTTCCTGTTTCTCTCTGACACTCGTCTCTGCCCCCCTCTCCCTCCTCCCTCCCCCCTTTCCTGTCTCTCTCTCTCTCTCTCTCTCTCGCCTCTTTCTTCCTTTCATTTCGCTCTCCGTCTCTCCCTCGATGGAGGGGAAAGGCTCTTCGCCTCTAATTGCGGCTGTTCCGTTGCCATGGCGCGTGTTGCTCGGCGCTGCGAGGTGCTGTGTGAGTGTGTGTGTGTGTATGTGTGTGTGGCAGGCAGATGATTGCTTGCTGCCAGCTCTCGTTTCCCGGACGCCGATCGCATTTCTTTGCGGCAGCAGGAAAAAAAAAAATGAGACTCCAGAAATAGCCCCCCTTCACACAGACCCACTCACTCTCTGTGCTGCGCTGTCAGAGAAGCACACACACATAGAAACACACACGCACGGACAGACACACACTCAAACTCGCTGCATTTCATCCTCCTGACATCCTCAATGCATATGACCTAGGTTACACTGCATGCGCACGCCTCTCCACGCTCATACGGGCTCAGATGTGTGTGTTTATACTCGTCCACATGTGTCCAACTTCCTCCCTCTGCGCGCATGTGTGTGTGTTTTCTGCGTCTCTAAGGGGGTTGTGTGGGGACTCCTGATTTATTTCACCTTTAATGGGAAGTGAAATGAATGTGAGCAGCAGCTGGTCTGGCCCTCGGAGATACAGCAGTAGGCTAACCCAGAAAATAGGCGACACCGCTCTGAAACGGGTCCTTACTCCAGGACACGCCGCTCTCTGCTCCACTAGCTGCACTGCTGGCTTTATTTTAAGCTGTATTTAGAGCCGTAGCTGAAACTGGTCCGCAGAATGACTCACAGCAGGTAGGTTTTCATTAGGGGCCGTCCAACCCTACTTGTGGTTTCTTTCCTGTCATAACTTTTTTTAAAAAAGGTATGTGGAAGTAAGTGGAGCCAGATTACTAGCAAATAAACCTTGCAACCCCGTGCCGCAAAAGAGGATAAGAGAGGATTATAACCAGATTTGTGGATGAATCTCCATAATCATCTTCTGTGCTGTTCACCTGCAGCTCTCACTGGGGATTTAAAGGAAGTGAAAAACCCAGATCTAAATGATTTGCTCGCTCGGTTTGACAAAGTAAAAGTGCCTCTGTTCTGCAATTTCAAAATTCTGCATTTGGACCACGTTGAAGTGGGACACAAACCAAAAAAATGTGCGAAACTGATGACGTCTAACGCCATGTCAGATTGTTTGGCCAAGATAGGAATTCAGGCTTTCGTAACTTTTCCTCCGAGCATCTTAAGTGCAGTAACGATAAACTTGTCAGCAGGTTCTTGGCAGTGTCCCCTCTCCTTGTTTTAATGATGCAATCAACCAAAAGCACCCCAAAGCCTCATTCTTAGAGCGAAATGACTCAAATGCTGAAGAAATTAAACCTCAAATACACAAGTGGTGTCTGGCGAAAAGAAAGTCGTTGTCAGGATGGCAGCAAAGCTTTTACACGAGCTCTCCTAGAAGTATAAGCCACCTAAGCCTTCAGCACCTATGAATCCACATCCCATCATTGGTGCCGGTTTATAACCTGTGCACTGATAACAAGCCGAGCAGTCTCTGTCCTTCTTAGAGCGTAGGACACAGCGTCCATGATTTCCAAAAAGAATGTCAAATTTTCATCCTTTGACTTAAACTCATCTTACGTGAGTCTAATGTCATGAGTAGACACCTGTTTCTGAATCATATTTGTACATGGTTTCCTCTTTTTATGGTACAGTTCTAACCAGCGTTTGTGGGCACAGTAATGAGCTGTATTCACAGACAGTAGTTTTTTGAAAATGTTGTGAATCTACGCGGTGATTTCCACTACAGAATGATGCCCGTTTTTGATGCAGTGCCACCTGGGGCCCTAAGATCTTGCCACCACGATTGTTTCATTGGCATTGTCCCATTTCTACCAAGATCCAAAACTTACAAAAACTAAAATTCTCATAGTTAGGGGAATTCTACTTATGTACAATGAACACAGATGCTGTGGTTGATTTTGGGTCAACAAGGCAGCACATACACGCGCTCTAGACACTGTTAAATATCACCTCAAAAGCTAAAAACAGTCTTCAACACGCACACTGTTTGTCCCCGCTTGAGTCATGTTTACTGATACTGTGTTTCACAAATTATTTAGGCTTAACACATTAATGGAAGTACTCTTTTGTGAACTGCTCTTAAAGGTTTTTGGATAAAAGCAACATGAAGAAGTTGGCTCCCTGCCGTGATCAGAAAATGCACTCGGCAAATGTGTTATTTTTAGATATTCTAATCTTTTTGGTGCCAAAACAGGTCTGTTACCAGCATTTCTGCGAGCTGCTGCTGCTGTCTTTTTCAGCTTTTTTTTTTTTACCTGTGGTTCTCAGGAGTAGACAACATTGATGTAATAGTCGAATAACAGCCCATATATTTTTATGTAACCTTTATCATTATGAGTACATTTAGGGAACGATGTATCCAATGTAAAGCGCTATAAAAATCTGATGCATTATTATTATTATTAGGGTTCAATATCTCCACACCAGCTCCTTCAGATTTGATAAGCTGATTTGAATAAGTATGAAGAGCATTTTAAACCACCTTTGCCCTTGTTAAGTACAGACTAAGGCCTGTGGGTGTTGAGTTCTTGGAGAACAGACAGTTACTCATAGTTTTTAAGCGATGAATCGTTAGTTCAGTCATGGTGGTAGGGCATGAAAGATACTTCACTGAAAACCTTGCTTGGTTCTTTGCTACAGCAGTATCGTTGTCTGTGAAGTTGACAATGTGTCCAACAGTCAGCAAAGTCTTTATTTGGAGGGTCTGTATTCACTCGTTCTAGGCTGTTCTCTCATCTAAGGTAGGCCACTCTTGTCCTTTGCATCAGCAGATTCACCATTTGTAGGAGTTTTCTGATGGCTTTCTTTTACACTGTCATAGTTACCACTGAGCTCAGCCTCCGGTAATTTTTTTTGGGGTCAAACTCTGTGCATGCCTCATGCTGACGATCCTTTTCCTCTTTCAAAAGCGCATTTTGTCAAGAGTTAAGCCATTCCATCCATCTTGTTCAAGACCTCCGCAGCAATTTTCAGCCTGCTGATCCTCCCTGTTCTTATCAACGACGATGCCAATGTCTGTGTCTCTTTTCCAAGTTGGCAACCAGCTTTCAGATTTGTACCCAATTTTTCCAACCTTCTTAAAAAAAAATTTGTTGAACTCAACGGTGGTGCAAATATGTTGCTGCTGGTGACCACAATAACAGTGCAATAACCATAATGGCACTTTTGCATGAAACTTTAAACCTTGCACTCTGGGATATTTTAAGATTATTTCCACTTACATCTGCGCATGGTGTCTTCTAGTCCTCTAGTGTCCAACACAAGGAAAAACATTTCTTTACAGATGGATAGAAACCATAGAAGCTACCTGTAGCTATGGAGGACAGGCTAATTTGGTCTGATAACTAATGAATCTTGACTGTTTTTAATACCAAACTAATGTATATTATTTGAAAGTATAAAATGTCTAACCATATTTTAGCAGATAACCATCAAATAGCGTCTGTAAGCGGTGATGAGATATTTCTATTTTTTTATCCTATAATCTCACTGGACCATCAAATGGACAACTGAAACAAAGGAAACAGCCTGTTATCCAGTTAGGAGGCTGTTAGCCTGGAAAAGCACAATGCCATATGGTTTCTCTGAAATGCGCTGCAAAAACTTCATTTTTTTTAAAATGTACTCTGGGGTAGATAATAAACCCTGAAAGAGGGGAGGGGTTTTGCAGACACACTGGATATCACAGAGATTCACAGAGGAGTAGATGGGATTCTGGTTGACTCACCTCTGTGCACAGAGGAGAGGCCTGAAGTTAGAGCACTCAAAAAATGTATTTATTGAACATGGCTGACTTCAACGATTACAGATTCTTTGAGTGGAAAAATGTCAAATTTATTTAATGGGTGTGGCTAATATTAGCAGAGCTAGTACCACTAGCCTTTGCACATAAATATCCGTCTTCCTGTGCTGGCACGATGTTTTCGTTTGCTGATACTGTAAAGTACTTGCTTTATTTTTGGTGTAGGTTTGGGCTTGATTAAGGCCCCGCCCACATGAAAACAAATTCAAGAGTAACCGCTAAAGTTTTTTGTCGTATCGGCGCTCCATCCTCACGAACACTGCATTTCAGATGACTGTAAATGATATTTTTTGAACACCAGTCCCAGAGTGAGTGATCTATACAACTACCTTTTCGTCTTCGATCTGCGAATGCCGATGCGCAGCTTTCTTGAAACGATGATGTCACACATAGCGTAACTCTCTTAAGGCGCCTGTGCGGGACCAGCCAAAGCACCTTTCTACGCATTCTCTGTACGCTACCTCTGTCTTTTGATGCATTTCGGGGGAAACGTTACAGCGCCACTCACTGGCTCGGCATGTGCACTACATTGTTTTTGTCGTGTACGGTGGTTTCGTGTTTATGCGGATATTTCCTGAAACTGTTTTGTCTTCAGGGAAAACTTTTTCAAAATGAAATGGTGATATATCGTTTTTGTCTCCATGTGGAAAAGGCCTAAATTGCTGGTGTTACTGTCCCCCCAAGGCTTGTTTGTCCAGGGTGTTAACATATCCAGAACAATATGTCACACAGTAAGTAACTCTGTTTTTGAAGCAGAAGGTGAGGGAAACAGTGAGACAGTACTTCCAGCTCAAACTGGAAACTATGAAAATACACTGGAAACATGTCAAAGCAAGGAGTGACTGTGCTGTCTCATGTGACTGCTTGTAACCACAACACAAGAGTGGTTCATCTCCACAAATGGTTGGTTTTGTATCTCTCTCCCCTGTGGGGCTCAGGCATCTCGCGGATGACTCCCCTGACCCCGAGGTCAACCACCGTGGCCACTTAGTCCACACGGCACACCGTACCCGGGGACACCACACACGTGGAAAACGCTGTGAGCCGTGCGTAGTTTTGATTCTCCTGCTAATAGATCAATAAAAGACATTAGCGCCGGGCTAACCCAACCAGCAGTGCTAATACAGGGTTAATCCAGGGTTAATGGCTGAGCAGCATCATTCTCAGGGGCAGCCGTTCGTTTGCAGCCGCTCCTCACAATATCAAGAAACCCCCCCCTCTAGTCATGCCCCCGGCTCCCGGAGAGATAGACGCGGGGAGGGGAATTGAAAAGAAAGAATTGAGGACCACCCCCCATGATGAAAATGAGATATCCAGCTAGATGAGAGCAAAGAAACGGGAGCGATATCAGAGAGGAGGGGAGGCAGTTTGCATGAAACGTGCATGGAGTGAATAAGAAAAAGTAGATAAGGTGGTGCTGAGATGAAGAAGCAGGAAACTGAGAGGAGAAAAAAGGGGGAGAGAAGGAGAGAGGAAGGGAGTTGAGCGCTACACTTCTCCCTGTCCTTGTAAAGTGCTGCGTGCTGTCGAAGCGGCAGCCAAGAATGTGTCAGCCCAGCCGTCTCACGCTGCCTAATGGGCTCTTAAACGCTGATATAAAGCTCACTCGCTCTCTCGCCCTCCCCCTTTCCCTCTCCCTCTCTTTTTCTGCCTCCGCCGCTCGCTGTCATTACCTCTCGCTCTCATCCTGTCTCTCACTCTGTCACTCACTTGTCCTCTTCTTCTCTTTCTCCCTCTTTCTGTTACTCCGTCCATCAACCTCTCGCCGTCTCTGTCTTCACCTTTTTTTTCCCGCTGCTGTCTTTCTGCTCCCCCTGACTTCTCCTTCAATTACTTCATCCTCGCCCCTGAAGCTCTCTTGCAGGTTGTCTCTTTATTTACTACTTTTTTTTTATGGTTGAACTCAACACTTCTGCCTGTTTCTCTCTCTCTACTTCCAACAGGCTTCATAACGCCTTCTACCCAAAGGATCCCTCCTTCCCTCTCACCCTGTTGCACGTCCTGTCAGCACCACTCCACGGCTTGGCCAATGCCTTTGTCTTTGGTCTGGATAGAGAGATGTGGAGCCTCCTGAGTCCTACTGGCATGCAGGTACAGCAGCTGCGCACGCAAATACCTAAAAACATTTCCACAAGATTTCTAATGCCATCATGTGAATCTTTGTTTTGAAAACAGCAGCAGACAGAATTGATCTTTCAGTGCATGATGTTGAACTGTGGCTGCAAACTAAAGGTTTTTCCACAGTGATTAATTTGCATTCCGTTGTTTTGTGCTTAGTCCAAGAAAACAGATGTACTAATCATATATCACCCAATGTTCAGCTACTGTCTGTTGCTTATTATGTACAAAAAAATCTTGGGTTTACTTTTTGTTAAGCTGCATCAGAGAGAGTTTGTGACAAGGACATCTTTTATCTGCTTGAGAACAGACGAGACACAACAAAGCTCTGTGTAGTTCGACCAAACGTTCTTTCAGCGATAGGGCGTTAAGATCTCAGATGCGATACATCCTTCCTGAAGTTGATCCGTTTCCAGCATCAGAGTTTAGAGCAAGAATGGCTGCTTTTGTGAGTCTGTATTGTTGCACTACATGGTATAAAGATCAGCAAGCCAATATGACGACAATGAAAATATTATCACGTAATGGCATAGCAGGTTTAGTGTTGTAACGCTGACATGGCACTAAGTACCAAGGGGGTCACATGGTGATTATAATGAGAGAGTCACTTTTGTAAATATTAAGTCATAAACCACGAGACTGGCCCAAAAATGAATATTATGTCACTCTACAACAAGACTACAAGCTTTCTTGTTCCAGCAAACCGACCAAAAAACTAACTCCCTATCTAATCATCCCACTACCTCACTATCTATCTATGGCCCACATGCTTTTGTAGAAAACGATCAGTCTCAACAGTCGATACAGCAAAGTATCACGATATTTTGTCTGTTTATATATCATATCGTCTTGTTTACAAAGTATTGATTTTTCAAATTAACTGTTAATATGAAGTCAAATCTATGATAATAGAAAAAATAAAATCAACTGTTTGTCCAGTGAGGTTGGACCTTAAATATATACATATATTTAAGGTTAGCAAAACGTGCTACATGAAAATAAAATACAGCATAAATAAGACATAAGGAAAGCCAAATGCTACATTAGCTGAACAGTTGACAAAATGGTGTAAATTGCAATATATTGTATCGCAGTACTCACTGTATTGCAAAATGTTAAAAATCGCAATAATATTGTATCGTGGCCCAAGTATCGTGATAATATCGTTTCCCACCCCTGGTCAACAGTGTGCCACATAAAAATCAAGTGGATCCATTACAAGTATTTCAAGAACCACAGTGATGCAAATCCATCCAATAGTTGTCAAGATATTTCAGTCCAGATCAGTGTTTTGGTCCAACTTACTAACTTCCCTATCCCTGACGCCACATCCATACTGTAGCTTTAAAGACATTATTGTAGCAGGAGGATGCTGAAAACAGTGATACACACTCCTTGTCTGACAAAAAAGGTTTTGGAAAACACAACCGGCCATCTGTAGCCTGCAGTTTTACCTCCCCTTGATCTTGTCAGGGTCACATTTGACCGAAGCCTATACCCGCATTCTTCCTGCAAAGTCCAGGACGAAATATTTGAATCATCATTATTTTCCATTTTCCTGCTCTGCACAACCTTCAAATGTTGTAGGATATTTTGTCTGTGCTTGGTTCAGGGAGTTTGCCAATGTCAGTCGTTGCAGAAGGATATTTACAGACAGAGCTTTCAAGGACGTATTCAAAACCAAACTCGCACAAACAAAATATTTTCAGTGATATTTTGGGTGATGAAGCCACTTGGGCAACCTATGTGAAAAAAAAGCTGTTTTCCAATTTTGTAATGACGTAAATCAGGCAGCGTTACTTGTATTGACCATCCTGATTTGGGCTTTATAGGGCTCTATTAAGGTAATAAGGTGTTAATTAATGATTTAGAGGAAAATGTGTGTATTGGAGGATACTGGCCCCTTGGTAGGTTTAACCACTCACTGTTTAGAGGGAGCAAAACAAAGAAGATAATTGGATATCATCAGTGAGCCCCAGGTGAATCATATCTAAAGTCATTGCTTTTACATTCAACTAATGCTGGCTGTTGTTTGTTGGGGGTTTTAGAATAGAGGTTCCATCACAAACTAAAGACAGGGGAAATGTTTTGACACTTGAGACTTTCAGCTAGGGCTGGGCGATAAACCGAAAATTTACCTATATCGAAATTTACGTCATTTTGCCCATGTCAATATATTTGGTGTCAAAAAAATAAATAAAAGTTGGTTTTGGATGTGTGTAGGTAGGCTTTGGTCTCATGTCCCTTCAAGACGCTCTCCTACGTCGGAGATGTTACTCCACCCCATCCAGTCCGTAACAAAGAGGGGAAGACAGGTGAGGAGATGGAGGGCAGTTCAAAAGTTGTAGCGGCTGGAGCAGCAGCTGAAGTAGACGAAGTTAATGTGGGAGGGGGTGAGCAGCTTGTGGAGTAGTTATCATCCATTTATTGTTATTGAGGTGAACTGCTCAATATATTGTGATATTGATTTGAGGCCATATCGCCCAGCCCCATTGTCAGCTATTGGTAACAGTTCGCAAAATTTGCAAAATCTGACTGTATGTGAGGTGCCAGTTTTGCCCCGTGGTTAAGTCATGCACCTCATTTATACAGGCAGCACTCCTCAAGCAGGTGGCCCAGGCTGTATTCCAACCTGCAGTCCCTTTTCGATTCCTCACTCCCCACTTTCTCTCCCAGTTTCTGATATATTCACGTTCCTACCTTCTCTAAATAAAGGCACACAAAAACATAAAAAATACACCTTCTTAAAAATCCTGACTGAAGTCTTGGGTTGCGGTCAGGCCACAACCGAGCGATCAGAGAAAGAGAGGGTATAAATTTACCCGTGCTTATCCAACTATAGATTTTTACTCAAACGCTTTTAGCTCTCTTCCAAGCTCGAAATAATCACTTCAGAATTTGTAATGAGACTACTTGCCTTTCCAAATTAACCAGTGCCATCTGTCACAGGTGTTTTCACATCTTCTACACAGGAAACAAGTGTTGGGTAGGATTCCAAAATCCCCTTATTTTCAGAATTAAATCACTAAACACTGACTTTTTCTTTATCTTTTTTTTTCACAAATTGAGCTTTTAGGGAAATGTAATGAGGACAAATTACCAGAGAAATTATGTTTTTACATTTAACCGCAAACCTCATTGGCTGTATTTCACTAAAACCCCACGATCAATACAGTTCTCCACAGATTTGTCTCAATCTGCAAACATTGACAGAATCTGCGGATATGAGACTGAGCTGGTATTGAACCACACTCATGAAAAAAATTCTCCATGGTCTTAGTCCCTGAGAACACACACATACACACACATACACACACACACACACACATTGTCACCTTCTCGGTATCACCATGCAGGCTGATAACGGGTCACGAGGACAATGTGGACGAGTGGAATGTGTGGTATGACCTTCAACCCAAATGTCAATGCTGCACTGTGGTGAGTCGGGAGAGAGAGAGACACAGGGAGACGGAGGAGTGAAATGGAATCTCAATGTGTTCGTAAATCACAGAGAAAATGTGTGTCAGAGAGACGGAGAGTGAGAGAGGGTGAGACAAGAGGGAAAAGAGAGAGAGAGAGGGAGACGAGCGGCGTGTGTGTTCGTGCTCTATCGTGACTAACAGCCGGTTGTTATTCATCTTGGCATGCGACTCCCAGCAGCTCCCACACATCAGGTGTGAGATTGGCGGGGGAGAGGAGGGGTAAGGGGAGGGGAGGAGGTGGTGAAGGGGGGTGGGGGGGGGGATTTGTTGCAGCGTCGAAACATTCCTCCCTCTACTAAACAAATCTGTGCTTTTTCTTACCAGACGCCCCCCTCAATACCCTGCGTCTTCAAACCCAGCTCGTTCACCGAGCCGGCGCTCTCTTTCTCTATTTGTTTCTCTCGCTGTTTGTCTGCGTTTACTTCACGTGCATTCAAGGGGAATTGGCTCTAATTTTTTCATAGTCCATATAAATGCACCGCTCATTTGGCATATTTGTGCTTGATGGTTTGTTGGTCCCTCCTCGCCAATCTTCCTAACATGAAGCTTGAAGAAGGAAGGTATTTGGAAACAGCTCCAGAGGACAAAATCCTCCATCAGGCTTCTTGTTTTCCAAGATCTTGATTGGGTCACTGTGTTATACTTGTGCACAGCAGGCAGTGTGAATGAAGAGGACGGACAGGCACGTAGGATTTCAATTTCTTAGATGGAATAAGTTCAATCAGGCCGGCCACCAAAACAAAACATAAAAATTCATTGAGTCTATACAAAACATTCTTGTTGGGGAAAAACTGACCTGGGGATTCCACAGGATCCGGAACAGCGCCACTCAAGCAAGCATATAGCGCCCACCGGATCCATGCCATTGGAGGAGAAGCACTCACGATATTACCATTATTTCTCGTGAGACTGGACGGGATCTCACGAGTTCTCGCGCGTTTCCTGGTGAGACATTGAATGAGATCCCCCGATCAGTGTATATAAACGGCGGTGTATATAAACACCCACATCCCACAACCCTGGCCTCTCCTCTTAACAAGTGAAGAACAGTTCAACGTATTGACTTTATTTTACTTTGAAAATTAACCAGATATTTCACTCTGTAGCCGCATACAACTTCCCCTGCTGCTCACGCTGCACTGAATTGTTGATGCACCATGCTGCGGCGTCCGGCAAAAATAGAAGCCTTGCGTATCTGATCCAGCCGCGGAGCTGCACGGCGGACGGATAGTGTGGAATCACACACATTGATTACAATGCTTGTGTATTTGATCTGCCTGCTGTTGCGGATCGGAATGCAGCCGATCCGGATCTTGTGGGTTTTTGCCTTGGTTCAATACTGATCATAACATGGAAAGACTGGCTCTCCCCACAGCTTTGTGTTCAGTAGTAACAAATTTGGACCATCCTTTCACCTTGAAGTTACCTGACCGGATCTTGAATCAGTCAGTATGTTTACATGCTGTTAAAAAAATTGATATATTGCCTTAGTCCGACTAAAACTATCCTTTGAAATCATGTGAACATTTTAGTCTATATTGAACTCCTCATCATCAGACTTAAATTACTGGATAATGCAGTTGGGGTTGATTATCTCTCCCATGTATATGTCTTAATCGGGCTAAAACTGGCCAAAGATTTCTGCTCATGCTCCAGTGTTCGCGTGCTGGATGATGAATTGCAAAGAAGCTCTGTAGTCAATAAAACCTCAACAGGTGAGGAATGTAAAAAAAAGATCAAACTATCCTATCGTGCAAACAAACAGAACAAAGCCTTCAGAGTGACCATCTTTTATCAGTCTATTAGCCTCTTACGATTGCGTTTTCTTCGATTGCTGTGATACATAATAGATCAAGACCCGATCATAATTAGCTGAAGGGGGCATGACGCCACCAACCGTAGGGATGGCGGACATGCTTCTGTCAATAGTTTGATTCTCGCCCGGTGTTTGTCCCAGTTAACAAGCAAAGGTGGAATCAATCCCTCCTTGCCTTAAGTCAAATGGGACTTGATTAGATGAGAACAGTGCTGTCATAAGTGGAAAAGTGCATTCTTATGACACACACGCACACGGATCCACAAAAAGGACTTAAAACGCAAGGGTATGGTTGTCCGTTCAGAAGCTGGTGGTCCAACAATGTAATGAAAAACCACTGAAGAGAAGCTTTATGGGTAGATTATGAACATACAGTAGATATCCGTGCTTAAACATTTACTTTTGAATAAGCAGAAGTACACCTTCCTTTAATACTAATACAAATTTTTCAGGATTTTTGACAATTCTGTACAGGAGATCGTGGGCTTCACAACACGCACACACGCTTTCCATAGCAATCTGCTCTCTCTGAGCTAAACTGGTGCAATAAAAACATGGAACTTTGAATTGGTGACATCTCCCAATAACTCAAGCAATTGGAAGCATTTTGGGTTTAATAACATCAAAGCTGATTTGATAAGAAGAGAGTTAAGTATCATGTGAAGTCGCTGTATAGTGCCATTCAGAGACTTGTGCAAGTGAATTAGAAAACAAGAATCAGGCCAGCCAACACACTGCAGCTCTGTAAGTTGTTCTAATCTCATCCCAAGGTTTCCCATGTGCTTGTGGGAGAGAGTCGAGATGAAAATACAGCATGAGGCGAAAAGAACAGATGCATGCTGGTGTCATAAAACCAGTAAGAAGTTAAGCACTGTAATTTAGCCCACTGATTTCCCTGCTTGTCAACACGGTCAGCAACATTAGCAGCTCATGTAGCTAATTAAGATAGTCTGGCTAGACTTTTCGGAGTCATAACTCAGTCAGATCTGGACACTCGGACAAGTGATCCACATATATATTTAGATACAGTGAAACTTAGACTTTCACTGGATACAAGGTTTTGATGTCCGTCAAGCAAATTGCTCATAAATCGGCTTTGAGATTGTAGAGGAAAGAGGCTTCTCATCATTTCAGAACATCCTCTAGAGTCTTTTACACTGGCGAATTTATTCAGCAATCTTTTTTTTACTTTTGTAATAAACACTGATCACCCCCCCACTTACTGTGGATGAGGAAGGTGGTAGTGGGTTTCAGCTGTCTCCATTTTTGGGGGAGGAAGAGTCTTAAGTATCAGTTTCATGAAAGACCTGGTCAAATCTATGTACTCTAAATAATATGTCTTTTTCAAAGCCCTGCCCCGGCAGCCTCATTCCAGATGGTGAAAGTTTCTCTAATTGGCTGGTGGAAGGGCAACAAGTTAGAGTTTTATAGATTTGGGGGATTAAAATGGGGATATGATTTTGGTAATTAGCAGCAGTTAGAAAAAATAGCCACATTGATTAGCAGCAATTAGTATGTAAGAAGCAGGGTGCAATTTTCACTACCTCCCAGCCCTCTGGGGACAATAGAGGATTTTTGTATTGACTCTTCAGACGCAATTTGACCTAAACAGGGACATTTACAGAATGGTCACCTAATGCGGAAAAAAATACACCCTCAAGTACCATCGAGAAATTAGCTAATTCTGACCCCTATGTTCAGCTACAAAATAAGGGAAGTTATACAGAACCAACTCAAACTTCTTTAATGTGTGCACTCTTAGAAAAGATTAAGATCTTTTGTAGCCACAGCCATCAGATTTTACAATCCCTCTGTGAATAGTAGATGACTTTTGAGATATGACAAATAAGACTACGGACAATTGAATTTCCCTGTGGAGATAAATCAAGTTCTTCTTATTCTTATCCTTAGATTTTCAAGAAATTTTCAGGCACTCGATGGTGGATATAGACCTTGTCAACCTCAGATGTTTTAATTATTCCTCTTCTGGGTTTGAACTGGTCACATGATACAAATGTTAATGCCCGTGCCCAATCTCACTGTGAAATTCTCTCACATGAGTTCACCCTGACCTTATGTGGAAGTTTTACCAGTGCAAGAAAAATCTGGGCAAATTTGGGATGAAATCTTTGGCTGATTCAGTTTCTGATGTTTTTAACAGATTCACAACTAGGAATTGGAAACAGTGGCACAAACAGCCTGGATTTTCACCCTGATTTTGCACAGACATTTTTCAAAGAGGATGGCAGGAAAAAATCTGGGCAAAGTCAGGGCAGAAATTTTTGCCGTTTGCCTTCACACATACACTTCCTGACCTAAAAAATACATAAATAAATGTGTGACACAAGATAGGAGCATTTCTGTATTAAAAATAAACCATTGCAGGTGAAAGACATGAAACAGTTTTTTTTAAATAGTAGTAGCTAACTTTCTAAAATGAGAAAAAGCATCCTACTCCTACACACATTCCTCTACTTCTTCTGATTGATCTGCCAGTGACCTCTTTGTAGCCCTGTTAGCTTAATTGTCAGTTAGTTTTCATCCTGCACAGTCGACTACAAACACAAGTGAACAGCTTTGGATGAGGTGCACTGACGTGAGAGCTCCTTTTCTACTCATTTAACTGCGAAAACAAATCTTAATGCCAAAAATCAAAGTCAAGCCAATGTTTTCAAGTCCTTTTTGTTTCTGTGCTGAGAGGATTCCCAAAGTTCAGCCGGAGCTAAATACGGGCTTCAGCTGTTCAGTATGCCTCCTCTGCATTCTGCAAGAGTGTGAAGATTTTATAATAATCAGTTTACTTCAGCGAACATAAACCTGATTTCTTATTGGCTGCATATCTAGATTTTTGATTTCTGTGTGCATGTTAATGTTCTGCTAACACTCTGCCTTGTATACCCTTCATTTTCAGCCCTGTTTTCTCTTCTATCCCATCTGCAACTCTTCTTCTTCTCCCTCTCTCTCTCTTTCTCTCTCTCTCTCTCTGTCTCCCCTCTGCTAATCTCTATCTGTGCCTCTCTATGTGTCTCTTTCCCTGCCTCTTCTGTTCCCCGAACCTTGTTACAGCATCTCCGGAATTTATCTCTCTTACATGATTTCTGCCGCCCCTCTTTTGTGTTGTATCTCCCTCCCACCTGTGTTTTCTTTCTCTGTCTTTCTCTCTCCTTCTCTCTCTCACTCAATCACTCTCTCCCCCCTCTTCCTCTCTTTCCTTCCCTCGATATTGATCTGCATTCTAGCCGTACAGCTGAACCGCCTGTGGCTCTGCAATGAGTTCACCTCTCGCTTCTTCTTCTCCTGCGTGTATGCGAGTGTGCGTGCAGTGGGGAGAAAAAATGCTCCAGATCCTCATGTTGCTGAAATCGTAGACTATACGTCAGCGCTAAGCCAACGGATTTGAAGATGCTATTTCTGTGCCAGAACCATGTGCGTCCGTTTAAGGGGTTCTCAGTTTGTTTTCTGTGAAAATCTTTTTTTTATATCTTCCTATTTCAGCCAGTTAACGTCAAAACTTAGTGTAACGGCTTTCATTATGAGCACCTCGATACTCTGCTGACTCTCAGCTGGTTAAACATTAATGATTCTGCCCCTTCTTGCTCCCTCTGATCACCTGCTCTGTTTTTTAAAACTGCTTCGATTCAAGGCTTTGATTTGCAAGTTTTTTTTCTGTTTGATAATCCATCCTTTGGACCACAATTCTTTCTGTTATCACAGAGTGTGCCAGGGTACATTCCTTTTTCAGCTTATGCTGCATTCAGTTACCTCGGAAGTCAGATGTCGGAGCTGAGAATGATGTTACACCCGAGTTGACGGCGTTCCGGTAAACAAGTCGGAAAACCAAGATGGACGCCTACTGTTACCTGTTGTTAGCTGTCGTTAACCATTGTCTGTTGTTGTTGTTAGCAGTTGTCAGTTGTTGTTGGCGGATGTTAATTGTTAGCGATACTTGCTGTAAACAACGCATAACACAGTATTTTACTCTTACAAACACCATAGCACCGTGTTCACAGTTTGACGTTGGGCGGTACAATTTATACCACTTACCTAATCTCACAAAAACAAAAGAGAAGTGCTAATACATTACGAGAGCTTTTACTGTTACTCTTTACTGTTGATGCACTGTGCTGCCATCTTGAATTATGACGTTTTCGTCAAGTCAAAGTTGGTGGGGATCGTCCGACTTTCCGAGTCAGAAATCCGACTTTAGGGGGTTTTCCAGATGAATTTCCAACTCGGAGCTCGGAAATCCCAACTTCTGAGTGCAACTGGAACGCAGCATTAATCCTACGCTGTATAATTAGCATGAGACAGTATCACTGACTATGTAATATTAAATCATTAAGTCCACTTACTCATCAGTTAAGCTGTACAGTTACATCCTACAAGGCCAAAGTTTCATGCATACTGATGTCTGGGTATTTCATCCAACCAAAAGTAAAACCTGAAAACATGCAGCGGGGTTTGGTCATGTAACAAAAGAATGCCTCTGCATGCAGGGCTGTATGTAGGTGCTGGAAGCAGGAGGTAATAACTAGTTGAGTGACAAGCTGGCTGTCAAAGAGACTTTCAGCGTGTCCATAAAACAGGCCATCTCAGAACCTGTCAGCAAACGTCTAATGACTGTATACCCTCCAGGAGTGACAGCCAACATTTCAGGGCTTCAGGTGTAGCCAGCATCTGGTAGTAAAGGATTTCTGGCCATGGCTGCCTTGTTTGCGTGCTTCCTCTGTTTACAGTCGGACAAGCTACTTGAGATGCAAGAGCAGAGATGACGTCTCAGGACAGATCTTCACTTGCACTTGCATTTGCATGCAGATCTCTGTTTGTAGACAATAATTAAAGCCAAATTGCAGTGGAATGACCACCAGTGGGAGTCGGGGTTATATTATGATCCACCTCTTTGGCTTTCCACACAAACTGCTTTAACTATACATAGCCAGAGCTCGCTGAAACAGTCGTGGATAATATTATTTGTGCTGCTAATGAAAACCAAAAGGCCATTCATGGTCGTGAGTCCACAGAATCTATGATTTTTAGAGTTATCGTCTACAGAAAGAGAGGAAATGTAGAGAGCAGAGAGTGGGGCATGATATGTAGCAAAAGGTCTTTATTCTCTAAAGACTGGGCACGTGCTTTAACCCCAAGGTTCTCAGTTTTTATGGAAGATAAAAAAATAAAAATTAGCTACTGATACCGATGATTAACTTTTTAAGCTATTATTTGCTGATACCAATAATATACCAATAATATTGCGCACCCCTAGTTAACGTTCAGTTACACAACAAGCATTTTAGGGTTTAGCTTCATGTGTAAAACTACTTTGTTAAATATCGCTGATTTCCCACCTTCCCTTCGTCCCCTTTTGAGGACAAGCAACAAGTGTTGCTTGCAATAGTGAAAGGTTTTCTGTTTAACAAGCATGCTGAATCTCTTTGACCAACTAGTTGCACTGAGGGTTTTATGATGTGTACCAGTTCCCTTGGAAGTCAGATGTTGGAGCTGGAAATGACGTTACACCCAAGTTGACAGCGTTCCAGTAAACAAGTCAGAAGACCAAGCTAGACGCCTACTGTTAGCCATTGTTAGCTATTGCTAACAATTGTCAGCTGTCGTTAGCTGTTGTCAGCTGTTGTTAGTTGTAACACATAACACAGTGTTTTACTCTTACAAACAGCATAGCAACATGTTTACAGTTGGACATTGGGCATTAGAACATAAACCACTTATTTAATGTCACAAAAACAAAAGAGAAGTGCTGATAAATAATACATTTCGAGAGCTTTCACCGTTACTCTTTACTGTTGATGAACTGCGCTGCCATCTTGGATTATGACGTTGTCGTCGAGTTGGGGTTGGTGAGGATCATCCGACTTTTGGAGTCGGAAATCTGACTTCGGGGGGCGTTCCAAATGAATTTCCAACTTTCCGGAGCTTGGAAATTCCGACTTTAAAGTTCAAGTGGAACAGCATTAGTTTTAACACCACTTGCTTGGAACCGTAGCAAAGATGTTACCTAAAGAGTGCCAGGTAGAAGATAATCATGTTGAAAATTTAATTTCAGTTAAGCCCCTTTTAGAGGAGCCTCCTTATACAGTAGAAATGAGTCAATTGGAAGAGAAAGATTAAACAGTGCCTCTTGATTGGTCAGTCATGACTTGAAGTTTAAGTGAAAGTTGCAAGGCACAGAAATGGTCAGACAAACTCTGCTATTTGCATATTGGATGATCTGACAGACACTACTGATGTGTACAGACTGAGAGTAACACTCTGGAGTGATTCACACAACCTGGAGGCTTTCAAGCTTGTTTAGCACCGAGCATGTGAATTACAGCTGATTTTTTCCCCCCGCCATACTGCCGCTTGACGTAGTCGTAGAGATCAAGCGACATATTTCCACACATCGGCGATTGTTCTTGTTTAAGTCCAAGGAGTTCCTTAAAGCTGAATCAAATCAAGTGTATTTGAGCGTGTCAATCAGCTCGTCCTCTTCTTTGTTTGAAGTGTGGGACTTTATGTAAGTCGAATGAAGTGGAAAATGAAAACAACTGTGCTTCTGTGTCTCGAGGGAATCGGAACAAACAGAAGCGATTGGTTGCATTCAGCTTGTTGTTCTTGTTTTGTCAGAGGACGTTAGCATAAAGTCAAACTTTTCTCAAGCTCTCTCCGTTTGTGGGGCTGCTATTTGTTCAGCATTAAATCATAGTGGGCGTTACCAGGATGATATCTGAAAGGTTGAGTTCACATTGGGCCTCCAGTGTTTCGGTCATAGAGTAAAACAAGCTGCCGGTGTTTCTACATTTACCAACTCAGGAGACAGTTTTCAAGAGTGTGAAACACCAGCTTAGTGTGGGTGGATCCCCCCAGAACGGAAAGAAAAAGATGTATTTTCAAACAAAGCCGGCTTAGTGTAAAAATACTCTTTACACCAGCACAAAGACAGTGCGATAATCTTGGCCTCTGTGTGTCTGTTTTCTAGCTGGCTCTGCAGTCGCGGCTGTGTGACAGGACCCGGATCGGAGAGTACCACCCCGGGGCGGTGCGCTACACGCAGGCTGACCTGGTCGACCTCAGCGATGACGACGACGATGACACCAACGTGCTCTTCTACTCCCCCGACATGACCCTGAAAGACAGAGGACCCTGAGAGAGAGAAAGGGCAGAAAAGAGAGAGAGGGAGAAAGAGGAGAGAGAGGGAGAGAGAGAGAGAGAAAGGAGCACGGAGGAGGGTCAGAGCTGCAAAGAGAGACGCAGCGGATTAGAAACTGAGAAGGAGGAAGAAGAGAGGTAGGGAGGGAAGAGGAGGGAAGATTGGGGGGACAGTCAGGCAGATAGAAGCCGGAGATGAGCTGTCAGGTTCCATTATTAATCCCCATCCTTTACTATTTAATATCCTAAAGACACACACACACACACACACTCCTATACTGAGCAGAGTAGTGCTCCCTGCTATACTACCATCACAGAGGAGCGGCTCTAAAGATGCTCCTAATGTTAAAAGGCGTCCGCAGCATTCATAAGGTCTTAAAACAATTTCCCTCTCTGCATCGCCCTCTTGACTCTTGGATTCGGCTGCGCTTTGGCGCACTACAAAAAAAAAAGGAGAAGAAAAAGTCTTAAAAGAGCGAAGTCTTAACAAGGTGTTAGTTCAGCACTCGCTGCAATTACCTACTTCTGCAGGGGGACGAGGTAGAAAGCAGGGTGTAAAAAGTGCCCTGTGTGTTAGACATGAGAACATGTGTACTGAGATTGGTCTGTGTACTGAGGAGTTTTCCTGGTGATATAAAGAGGGAGGTAGGGTTCGATTTGGCTACATAAGGGGGCCTGAAACAGACAAGACTTGGATGGGCAAATAAGTCCCAAAGCATGAGTGTTTCTTGCAGTGAGTCTCTCCTTCCTCAGGCAGTATTTATTTTCTCTTTATTCTCTTTACATATGGTATTGTTAAAAAAAATGTTTGCACACCTTTGAAAGGTTGTTTTTGTATTTTTTTAAAGAAATATTACATCTGTTTGTTATACTGTATTTATAACAGATCAATGTACCCTATATATTTAAGTGAACTCTCTATTTTTGTACGTGCCTTGGACTAGAATACGAGGAAAATGCTTCTCTTGGTCCGAAACCTTCTGCTCTGTTGTGACAGTAGAGCAGAGCCTGATTCAAGACATTCAGCCTTATGAACAACTACAAGAACATGTGAAATTAGTCAAGTAAATCCCCCCTCACACACAAACACACACACGCGGGGGCAAACACACATTATTTCTCTTGTCAAAGCAGGTTGGAAAAAGATGACACACACATACACGGTTCCCACGACATCGCAACAGCCCTCAGTGCTCATCATCTCTCTGCCCTCGTCTTTGGCACTGAGGGGACGAAGCTGAGGTGTGATTGGCAGAATAAAACACTCACATTAAACTCAACCTCAGTCCTTTCGGTTTTGCACATATCAGAGCGGTTTTCATCGCTGTTGGCACACACCGCTGCCTGTCAGCTGCCTCTTTGACGGGGGTGAACTAATGAACCCACACTTGACCCCTTCTCACCCCTCAGGTGTTGAACTTTTCAGCTGAGGTGTCAGCAACACCCGAGTGCAACTTGAGTTTGCGGATCACGAGAGCCCCCCACCACTGGATAACACACATCCAAACACGCACACACACTTGCTCCGTGCCCCTTCCCCTCTTGTGGCACTGCTGCTGCTGCTTTTACTTGACTGTGCACTCCATCAAATAAATGAGCAGGAAAGACATTTCATAACAAAGCTGAGACTGGGCGTGTTTATTTCATTTTCACATCGAAGCAATCCCTCATTCCCTCATCTGCCGCCTGTGAGATGTGTGTGTCCATTTCTGTTCTGTATGTGTGCCTTAAGATATCTCTTACACCTTGGCTGCTTAAATAATGGATATTAATTATTGCTTGGACCCTGCTGGCCCCCTTTTCCTGTCTCCAAATCTGGTTAACTGGATTTTGATTAATGAAATATGCGCTCCATGTCCTCCAGAAAAACCACATTTTCCTCCACACACCTCAGCAGCTCTCCCACAACAGCCTCTTGAACGCATCGAGCCCCGCACCCCCACCGTATAAAGAGCCCGGGATATAAGCGAATCTCCCTGTCACGCAAGAAGAATTATTATCCCCCCCTCATATCGTCGCATGCGCCGTAATTGGATACAATTTAACACCCGCGGCCCACGGGCATGTCGGCAGGCGCACTGCCTACTATTAGCTCGCCTCGCCTCGCCACCCTATCATTTGTCAGATCTGTGTTTGTGTGCTTCTGGTGCCTGTGTGTGTGTGTGTGTGTGTGTGTAGGAGAGAGAGAGAGAGAGACAGAGAGTGTGTGCGCACGAGGAACTGGAGCCATTGTTGGAGTCCGGCCATGACCTAGCTGTGACGCACGGAAAAGGAGAGAGGTGAGGGAAGAGGGAGGGGGGAAGATAAGAGAGGGAGGCGACAGAAACAGCAGCTCAGACGGCGAAAAACAAGCTCGCGCTCTGACAGCTCGGAGCCACCGCAAAGCTGCAGGGCCTGAGGGCTGTTTTTGTAGGTCCGGCGCTGCGCAGCTTCTCTGGGAGCCTCGTCTCTGTTTATTAGAGCCGCAGCAGTATTTACTGTGCTGGAGGAGAACCCCTCCTAAACTCAGCTCACCCGCCGCTTACAGTAAATATAAGGCTGCAGAAGGTTAATGGGGAGATTACAGGCTGCATGAATGATGCCTTTAAAGTATAAATAATTGACTTGAAGTGGTGTGTAGCGCTTTACAGCTAATGTTTTAATTAGCTATCTGCGCTGTAGGCTGTTGATAATGAGCGGGGGCTTTACATGCCTGATGACTTATATGATTGTATAATGTGTTCACGCCCCAAAACGTAAAAAAAGCACACTTTTAGTCCGAAACAAAAGCCATTATATTCTACAGACTGAACGTGTATTTATTTATGATTAGGTCTGTTACTTACAGAATTTAATACCCCCAAAAAAGCAAAGCTGGAAAAAGCAGGCTGCTAAAATATTCTCCTTGAGTCAAAGTTTAGTTACTTTAATGTTTTTGTAATTGGGCAGAAATTAACGGTCTATGAATCTACTCAAGTAAAAGGTCATTTAAATGGAGTAAACCTAAGAGGACTTAGCACTAAATAGGCCTGCTTCATTTGACCCCTGGCAACAGGATTGAGGGCATTAGATGTGCCTCTAAATTTGCGTAAAAGCACTATTTTTGCACTATTTTCCTAAAAAAACTTATGTAAAAACCACAGCATGAATATGTGTAGTCATGTTGACTCAGCGCCTATCCAGAGTTGAGTTTTAAACATTGTTGCAGCATCTTTTGTCAGTGTTGCACTTAACACTCAGTGGTGATGTACAATTGTTGCAAAGTACAATACTCCCCTCTGGAAAAACTTGAGAAGTAGCCTATTTTAAAGTGTTCAACAACTACATTAAAAAGCGTGAACAAATGCAACTTCTCACAAATACATTTCAGTCATCAGTCAAGATGACCAGAGTTGACTCCATTAAATCTGGACTTTGATTTTTTTGTAGCTGCATCATTTTCCAAGTAGCATGGCAGACTGTTTACTTAACTCAAACCCCGAGTCTCAAAATGATCCTCAAGTCTTCATCATTCCTGAGGTTTTTTTACCAGGAGCAAATTATCAACAGATGTCTCCACCTCTTCTATTAAGGGTTTTCATGTTTATACTAAGAGGCCCTGAAGAAGACAACTGGAGTAAGAAGGGGGCTGCCAGCTGAGCTGCCGCCCGCTTGGTTTAGTTATTCAGTTATTCATACTACTGTAAAACATTACTGCAAAAAAATGGTTAAGTTATAAACAACATTGACTTCTATGCTAGTCATAAAGATTACAGATTAGAGGCAATATTTCATATCAGGAACCAGGTTGTTGACTGGCTAGAGTAATTAACGGTTTCTCATAATGTTTTTCTTTTTTTTCCGCAGACCTAAAAATTTGACTTGAGGTGACTGAATCATTGGTTTCAAGCCAGCATGACCGTACATGAGAGTGTCATTTGAATAAACCTCAACTGTGACTTTCTTTAATGTCACAGAGCGAGAATTATGTTATATCGTACAAATCCAGTTTGCTCTTTTGAGAATAATTCACTCTTTCTACATAAACCCTCTTTTTAACTATTGGACACTGTGCACATTGTTTACCTTAACCTTTTACTTACAGTACATCTGAAGCCAATTTGAAAATTCCCCTTGTAGAAACCCCCCACCCACTTTTGCTTTTAGTCACCTACCTAACTCAGCACAGTTTTCAGACGATTTAAAAAAGTTCACCCGAGTTTCACAGTCATTTTCATATTCTTGTCATACTTAATCTGTCTACATCATTGTCTCAATTATGACTGCAAACAGAACATCTTGATATCTTTTAATTAATCTGATACACTCTCATTTAGCTGTTTTAAATATGTAGCCTAGAATGCAAATCACTCTCACCCACATCCCAAGGTGAAACTCGTATAGATTCAGCAACAGAAATTCAAGCCACCAGAGCTATTTAGTTTAATATATTAGGAAAAAAGATTGCTAAAAGAGCAGAAACACCTAAGACGTTCAACAAAGAAAATGGATGACATGTATTAAAATAAGGGGGAATGCAGGCCTACTCTGGAGGGGGGAAAAGATCCATTGATCTTTGAAAAAAGAGGCAGAAAATGTCAAATTAACCTGGAAAAAAACATGTTTTGGGTGTGTAAAAATCCACAATAATGCACCAGATTCCCCCAGCCTTGAAAGAGAACATGCCCCTGCTAAAAAGGACCCTTAATATCTCATTTATGTCGTTCGTTTAATGCTCCTTTTCTCCTTGCAGCCTCGTAGCTCAGCCGTGCTGCTGCTTCTCTGAGCGGAGTGCAGCAGCGAGCGGAGCTTTTCCTGCGCTACGATCCGGCCCCTAAAGAGTTAAACTAATCTCTCCCTCTACCCTTGCTCTATCTCTCTCTCTTTCTCTCTCACTCTCTCAGCGCACACACATACACACACAGGCTGCCACCGCCCCAGATAACAGAGGGGCGCCTCTCCCCAGCCAGCCAGCCTCCGCTAATCGCAGTGGCAGGAGGGGGGAGTGGAGTGCCGGCGGCCTCTCACAGCGCTGGGCTTTTTATTGACGCTGCCTGCCTGTGTGTCATCCGAGTGTGTGTATGTGTGTGCGTAAGTGTTTGTGTGTGTGCGCGCAAGGCCGTGCATGCTTGTGGGTGCGTGTCAGAGCGAGAGAGCTATAAAGAGAAGGGTGTGTGTCTCCCTCTCTGCGTGTATGTGTGTGTGTCTGTGCGCGGAAAGCAGGGAGAGGCGGGGAACTGGGAGGGTGGGTGGCGAGGTTATGAGCGGAACTCGACAGAGGCCGACAGACGAGAGAGGAGGAGGAGGAGGAGGAGGAGGGGAGGGAGGGAGGAGGGAGTAGGAGGGGGAGATCTTTCTTGTGCTGCGCTGAGAGCCGCCACCGCTTCTCCTTCCTCTCAGATAAGGTTCGTTTGAAGGTTTTAATCTTTATTCCCCGTTAAGAAAATGACATTTCTGCTCGCGCGTTTTTGGAAAGAAGTGATCGCTGTTCATAATCCCCAAGGTCGAACTGAGACAAGTGTGATAGATCGCATTGGTTATTCTCTGTCACGGGCCCACTGATTGATTGCATCGATGAATTTAGCAGCATATTGATTGGAGCTTAATCTATAGGTCTCTCACTGCTCCAATAATCTCTCTCTTTCTCTACCCCTCTCTCTCATCGCGAGCAGCAGCAGCAGCAGCAGTGTTTGGCTCGCGGCCACGCTCGCCCTGCCGCGCCAGGCTGTAATTATCCCCGGTGAGGCCGCGCTAACGCAGCGTGGCGCGCCTGTGGGGAACCGGTTAGCTCTACAACACCGGTGGGGGTGCATGAACGTGCGTGTCCCCTTATGCGCGTACTCGTGTAAGAGCGTGTTTTTTGTGTTTGTGTGACACGGGGAGAAAAATGAAGCTGGGATCGGAGCGTTTGCAGGTCCTTGCCTGAACTTCCAGAGTTTTGGGAAATGATGTAGGACTGCAATTCCGGCGTACGATTGATATACTCTATTGAAAGTTACAATTGATTATCAAAAAAACGAACAAAAATAAAAGGCATTCTCTTGTTGTCTTGCAGTTGAAAACACATTTAAAATGTTTTGGTTGGTGACCTTCCAAGGAAAAATATTTAAAAAAGAAAAAAGTGCCCTCTGGATGCCCTTCCAGCATGTAGAAAAAACTCACTTAAAATGCCCCCCAGAGTATAAAATATGGATAAATAATGCACACTGGATGCCCTTCCAGTGAAAAGTATGCTAGAAAGACTGGATGCTCTTGTTGTGGTTCAAACATGTATACTGGATGCTCTACCTAAAAAATAAAATAAAAGAGAACTCTGGATGTCCTGCCAGGGATAAAATGTAACAGTACATTGGATGCCCTTCTAGAAGGTAGATCACTAAAAACTGCCCTCTGGATGCCCTTCCAGCATATAGAAAATGCTCAATCTTAATGCCCCTCCAGTAGATTTAATATAGAAAATTATGCACACTGAATGCCCTTCCATTGAAATCTATGCGAAAGAGTCCCTTGGATGCTCTTGTTGTTGCTCAAACATAATGAAAGGTGTACACTGGGTGTTCCACCGGTTAAAAGTATTTTTTAAGAGAGCCCTGGATGCCCTACCAGGAATAAAATGTAAAACTACATGCCCTTCTAGCATGTAGAAAAAGCTTACTATAAATACCCCCCCCCCAGCGGATATTATATGGATAAATAATGCACATTGGATGCCCTTCCAGTAAAAAGTATGCTTAAAAGAGTAACCCTGGATGCTCTTGATGTGGCTCAAACATAATGAAAAGTGTATACTGAATTTTTTACTAGTTTAAAGTATTAGTATTTTTTAAGAGAACCCTGGATGCCCTTCCAGGAATAAAATGTTAAATTGGATGCCCTTCCACCATAAAGAAAAAAAGATTACTCTAACTTCCCCTCAAGTGTATAAAAAAGGTTAAATAATGCACACTGGATGCCCTTCCAGTGAAAAGTATGCTAAATGTGTTCCCTGGATGCTCTTGTTGTGGCTCAAACATAATGAAAGGTGTATACAGTTAAAAGTTTAAGTATTTTTTTAAGAGAACACTGAATGCCCTTCCAGGAATAAAATGTAAAATTGGATGCCCTTCCAGTAGATAGATTTCTTAAAAACTTCACTCTGAATGTCCTTTCAAATAAGTCAGTGTGATAAGAGCCTTTGCTGGTAACTCAACCTTAATACGGATGTGAATTTTGTTGTTATATTTTTGTATCAAGAAATTGAATTTTATTAGTAGATCAACAACGCTATGATGCTTTGTCAGCATAACGAGTGAGTGTTTTAGAGGTGTGTTCAAGCAAACATGCATTGATTGTCCTCGTGCACAAGTTCGAGCACGTGCGTGCAAGTGAGTGTTCGGGCAAGTTTCTGTGCGCGTTTTTGTGTGTGAGACTGTGTGTGTGTTTGTGTGAGTTGCAGTAAGCGATCCATAACGATCTGCAGGTGGATTGTGCTGATTAGTACCGGCTGCTGTGGACTGAGCTGCGTGCAAAGAGCTTCCTGCAATCTGAGCCTGCCGACTGAGAGTGCACGCGCCATGTGTGTGTCTCTGCTTGTGCGCTAGCAGGCAGTCCTTTTGAAAAGTGTGTGTCACTCCTAGGTGTGTGTCTGTATTTCGAGGGCAGCACGTGTGTATTTGGTTAAATATGCTGAAGGTGTGTAGGTTTTTGTGCACATGTGAACTTGCCCTAAATACGTGTGCATATGTGTGTGTATGTGCATGTGTGTGTGTGTGTCAGTGTCTGATTGCAACAGCAGATGGTTGGATCACCATGACCTCCCAGAGTGCAGCTCCTTCTACATCTTGGTCCACAGAATTTTAGGTTATGAGTTAAACATGAATTCACGAGTTCCTGACAACACTCGGAGTGACAGTTGAAGGACATTATCACACATTTTAACACGTTTTTTTGCCACCATTAGCCACCACAAGCATTTCCAAGGGCACACGCTGTTCTCAGGCTGCCTTTTCTAACCACAAAGTTCACACACAGTCGTAAAAGTGCAGCCATAAAAGACACCGCTCTCTCGCTCTCCAGACCTGTTTTTTGTTCCTCTCTTTTAGACTCGCAGGCAGCCTAGGTGTTTCTCCTGTCTGTGTGTATTTTTGTGTGCGTCTAGCGTCAGAAACTGAGTTTGCCCTGCGGTCCCCTGAAGCAATATTCATCCTAATCCAGTTTTCTAGTGAGCGATGGGGCTGTGAGTCAGAGCAGGAGGGAGAGGAGGAAGCCCCTGTGTAGTGCGGTGTGCCGTCTCTCGTCTTTCTGCATCCAACACCCATCTGACCTTTAAACATGCTTATTAGCTGTGTGTGACGTCAGCACTAGTCTGTTTTTATCTGCTTCAGAGCAGAAATTTGTCTTTGTGTTTCCTGCATTCATTAAGTACAGTTTATAAGAAATTCTGGTGCCTTTCCAGGCTGTTTGCTGATGAAAATCTGATTTGGACCTGGACGTATCTAAAATCTGTTCATTGTCCTGTATTTACACTAACAACACTCACAGTAGGGGTTTTAGTAGCGCAGGGTTGCCAGGTTGGATCCTACCTGCAAAAATCTGGGCAGAGTCAGTGAATGGGACATATGGTGCTACATTTGTAGAGTATGACGTGCGCATTGCCAAGGCTAAAGATGGTGGTATACTTCCTGGGGAAATACATGTTGGCATATGAAGAACATGCTAGCAGAAACAAACACAGCACTGTTTTGACTGCGGAAAGAGCATGTATGCTTGTCCAGGGAGTGCAGTTTTTCACATGCCAGCTACTGCTATGTGACAGCATTACAGGGGAAATTTGGTTATGTTTGATGTCTGATACATTTCCTTTTTTGGTTAGCTTTTATAGGAACTTCTTTATCTTTACATATCTTGAACAACTTAATGTAGTACGAGAAAATATTGCAAAGAGTGAGTCAAAATTCCTCTAAATACCACTTTGCAACCCACAACCAGCCCAGCTCCTCCTTTAATGCTATCTGATTTGACCAGTTTCATTTGTATTGTCACTGATGCCTGCTCTGTTTTGTCCACCAGGAGTCTTTGCCGCTGTTCTCCCACCTTGGCTTTCCACGTGCACATGAAATGAAGAGGAAGTGTGCTGTCCTTCCCACAGGCTTTGGTATTCCAGGTATGCACATGGAGGGGCAGGGAGCTCTCAGAACAGAGCCTTACTACCAAATATTACTGTTTCACGCAAATCATTAATTTTCTATGGAAGAGTTCCTGATTCAGTTTGGTGTTTAGGATTTTGCCTTTGAACAATAAGGCAGTTTAAAGCATTGGTTCCCACCTTGGGGTCTGAGAACCAATGCTTTGAGGTGCTAGGGATCTCAAGGGGGGTGTGAGGCTTTGACTTCTTTGAGGTTGGGGACCATTGGTGTAAGGCATCTGTACCAGTGATTTTTTTTCTTCAGTGGACAACCCAATCCATCTCCTGATCCATAGCCAACCCAGAATCACTATCCCCTTTTACATTGCCTGTTCAAGGCTGGAATTTTACATCCCTGTCTGCAGTGTGTAAGGCACAAAGGCTGACTGGTGACACAAGCTACCGAAAGAGGTCGCAGTACAGGGGTAATGAAGGAGAGATGTAGGTGAACAGAGCAGAACAGTACAATGAGTGCATATGTCTGTTTATGTTTATATGTGGCGACACCACCATGTCTCTGTTGTGCCTCTAGTGCAGACGTGGACAAACTAAGGCCCAAACTAATCCAGCTTGCTAACATGTCCTCTCAAGAAAATGGGGCCAAAGATCCTTTAAAGCGTCATCAACTGTCTCTGGAGGGGCCAGTTTCCAGGCTCTTCAAAATGTTTTCCCTGTCATCAAGCACGATTATGAGTTAACCCTCAATCCACATTTGGGGGCTTGTTTTGTGCACCACCTGGCCGGCCCATCCATTGATATCTTAAACCCAATGTGGCCCTACAGACAAAATAATTGCCCACCCCCGCTCTAGTGCTTTCGCACAGTGGTTCTTAACCTTTTTTGGTCACAACCACAAGAGTCACATTGTTGGTGTTTGTAACCCCATCCTCTGTAGCTGTGGTGCAGCTTGTGTCAATTCCATGGCAGTGTGAGTCAGAGCCGTTACCTGCAGCCGTCACTCTGCTCACACGATGCCAGTCTGAAACAGCAACGCAACTTGTGTCACTAACACACCGCTATGTATGGTAAAATCCATTACCCAGTTAAAATATAGTATTTCCTTTTTCTGGCATCTGGTAGCTCTAGAAGCTATCTGTCAACCTCCAAAAGCATTGGGCCTAGAGTTGAGTATCTGCTTGGGCAACAACATCCTGCAATTTGGAATTTCCCAGTGCAGATGCAGTGTGTAAAGACAAAGGTGTGAATACGTTGTAAGCTTGGTATGGCACTGCTTTTGGATTTGTGTTATGTAAGCAGATTCTGTGTCATAGAGGCATATTAGGGGGAGTGGTCCCACTGCTAAGTCAGCATCCAAGAGTAACCATGAAACAACAGGGTTAGTGGGCGCCATCATAAAAAGTATCCAAGCACACAGGGTGGAAAAAGATACAATATGACTTCTGACTGTCTTTTTACTATCGAAAAACTAAAGTAGAAGATTGTTTTAAAGTCATCAGCAGCCTCTGGTAGTTAAACCAGCAAGCTACTTACCTTAATATCTGGCTTTTAGCTTTTTGTGAGAAAAAAAAAAAGATTTTTCAGACAGTAGTGCACCAGAGCTGACCTGTGCTTACAATGAGTAAGAGTTTTTAGAAACAAAAACCTTCAACTGGTTCAGACCTGATTACATTGAGTTCAGACGTAGCCAGCATTTCACCTTCATGACTGATCACGACTGATTATCTAACCCTTGCCACAAGCATTGGCATTGATAATTTGTCCTTGTCTGTGTACACCATGAATCAGGACCAGTGACTGCTGTTAAAAAAGAACAACTTAAACTTGACAAACAAATTAAATCTCCTCAGAAACACTCAAATTTTCTCCCCTCTTTTTAACCTCTGATTCTTCCACTCCACAGTCCTGCATCAAGATTAGCTAATACTCTAACTCCTGACAGAGCTTCACTGGTTATTCACCCAAACTGTGATGATGAAAACACTCCCTAACTTGCATAGTGTTTTTTTCCAAATCATCTAAATCTTTGGCCCTAAATTTGTTTGAAAACTGAATGGAAGCATAACTAACGGCACATGTTTGCTTGGCCACTGTCTTGTCTTGCCAATAGACAATTCTCCACAGCCTTTCTGAAGTTGAGCCAGGTTTAACTTTTTGCAGATGATGCTTCACTCTTTTTTTGTTTGGTTTTCCTCTGTAGCTTCTTTTGTGCATGCACTGCACTACTAAAAATATCCTGACATTTGCTGGGGTGGGTTGCATGTGAGAAGGAAAATGTCCCAATCCTGACTGGGTCCAAAAATGGATTTTTTTAAGTCTGTATATAATGCCTAACAGTAGACTAAACACTGACCATAAATGAGCTGCTGGATTGATATTTGTGCCGAGTTCTGTTGTGCTACTTTCAACTATTTACTGCTTGCTTTTAGTTAAGGGTATCTTGTGTTGTTGGGTTTTTATTTTTTACAGAAACCTCATGTCACATGCTGTGGTGATATTAACCCAGAAACAGTCTCCATTTAGAAAGACTCCTCCTTCTGTTGCAGATAATATTTTGAGCTGTTTTCACACATGCATGCCAGGAAATTTCAGGAGCTCTGCCACACAAACGTACCTGACTCAACTGTTCACAGGCATCGTCTCACAGTGTGAAGTCTTCTCTAGTGGTCTGGGGATGTGAGGCTCAGGGCATGTGTAGAACTTGAGATGCCTTTCTCCTGAAATCTTGAGGATTTTGTCATCAAAATACACCTTAAACACTTGGACAGTGCAAATGTCTGAACGGGGCTGTTGTCTCGTCCCTCACCTACACCAGACTATCTCTAAATAGTTGGGAACAGGTCTCTCAATGAAAATCTCCCACTTTTAGCTGTGTGTGAAAGAACAAGTCTAGACAATGTCAGGACCTGATTGTACGGAGAATGTCATATGTGTTGTGGGGAAAGGCGTAAGTTGGCAGAAGGGCTGATTGTAATCTATACTACCAGTTATCCTCCGAGAATAAGAACAAATAAGATTAAGTTGAATTTTATCAAAACACAGTACAGTTTGTCACAGAGGAGTGTGAACTGAGACTCAGAGGATTAACCCGTCTGTGTCCTTCACTGAGACACACTCTTCTGAGAAGAAAAGAATAAACTCATTTTCAGTTTCTCAGGTGTCAAAATGTGGATGGAGTCACCGTGAAAATAGTCAGCATGTGTATCTTTTCCATGCTTGAGGTACGATTTGAGACGCTCACGGTGAGGTGTGAAGGTAGCGGCTGCGGTCTTGGTGGGAAACTCCCAGTTTTGAGTGGTAGAGGGTGGGGCTGATATCAGCAAACATAACCTGCAGTTCACCCTGAATACATCCAAGTTGATGATGCACGCTGATTTTTTGAGGGACTGGTTTCTTTTTTTTTTGTTTTGCTCTTCTTATCTTGCACACCCTCGCTCTGCTTTTTCAGCTCGAATACTTTGAGCACTGCATGGCCTCAAAAAAGTGCACTTTTCCCTTGAAGATCTGCTTTCCTTTTCCATACAACCATATGTGAGTTCTAGTGTCTTTGTGTGTGTGTGTTTGTGTACGACTGTCTGCTTTAACTCCTACTTTCAACAGCTGCAGCAAATGCAGTCAGACCTTCCGTTAACAGGTCTCGCTCTCTCTTTCTACTCCTACTCCACTGCTGTTTGTCTGTCTGTCTTTTTGTCTGACTGTCTGCTGGATTTTCTTGTTCACCTCCTCTCCTCCTTGCACACACACACACAATCACACACACACATGCAGGCACATGATGCACACACACACCTCAGGCGGCTTGATATTCATAGCCTCCTCCTCCTTCACTTGACATGGGAGCCTTAACAGATGTGCCCCAGCCTTGAGCTGCCTCTCCCCTCTCTCCCTCTCTCTCTCTCCCCTCTTTATACTGCCTTGTGCCTCACAGAATTATCTTCTGTCTAAATGGAAACAAAACAATAACCTGACACCCAATTTAGGATTTTTGTCTTTTTGTCTGAAATGTAGAGATGTTTAAAATTTGCATGCAGTAAAAGGACCAAAACTACACCAAAAAGATGGCCTGATGGGATGGACAGAATATAACACGAGTTATAGAGGTTACTATATTCAAATAAAGCTGATTTGGGAATGAATGGATGTGCGTTTCTTTGTCTCATTGCTCTAATTAGACTTACTTTCCCTGTTGGCACATAAATCTGTTTTTTAATTATAATTTCCAAACATTTCCTCCACCACTTTTGTGTGATCATCATTATTTTTATTTCTCCTACATTTTCCCTGCCGTATTTCTGCTGTAAAAACCTCGCCAGTTCCTGTTTTGGACTTTCAGCGGAGCCTGTGTATGTGTGTGTGTGCGCTCCGCTCTGTTTGTGTGTGTCTCTTGTGTGTGCGTGCGCGCGCAGCCAGTGCCGTGCGCTGGAGGCTTATGGTAATTGCGGTCTCCCGACTGGCCTTCTGGGTAGAGTCTGCGCGAGTGGGAGTGGAGCGAGTCGCTCGGTCTCGGCAGCGTTCATCCATTCTGTGCGGCACTCCCCGTACAGCTCCGCGCGTCCTCTCAGCGAACCGGGGTGTTCTCTACCGCTTTACAGGAAGAAGCAGAAAACGCGGGACGGAAAGCTTCACGGAATAACCTTCAACGAACCTTCCCAGACACGGAATTCAGCGCCGGGGAGGACATGGAGTGACGGAAAGCGGGAGAGAGGGGCTTTTTCCGAGCACGGCGTGCTCCGCTGAAACCCAACATGGCGCTGCTGCGAGGTACGGCCGAGCTGAATTAATTTCTCCGCGAGTCCGACGACCTCGCCACCTGTATCCTGTGGGGGCCCGGGCTGCACGGCACGGACACTCCACGACTTAAAGGACCACAGCGGATTGTCTTTTGTGGATATCTCGCTCCGGACGTTCGTTTTTTCCTCCGCGTAGGATCTTTTTGTTGCTTTATTGCCTCACAAGTGACATTTGCAGCAGCAGAAAAGTCCGCTTGAAATAAAAGGCGAATGGATGAGAGTTTTCTCCGGACAATAGAATAAAGACAGAGAGCTTTTTTATGTAAGACTTGCTTTGTTTCGTGACAAGTGGATAACCTGTTAGACACTTTTAGTTGTGTTTTTTTTCCTCCTCCGGCCGGGATTGTCTCCAGCAGGCAGGACCATAACCGGGTTAGTCTACGTACGCACGGATCGCTGTCCTCCCAGTTAACTTGGAAAAACAGGAAAAAGGCGTGAGTTGCTGCGCACGGACGACGACTGGAACTATCAGCAATTAACCAGGTGAGACACTCAGTCACAAAGAAAATGTTTTTTCTTTTTTTCTTTATGAGGTTTGTATCTTTGGCGATGTGGAATCATCCGCTGGAGTAGAAAAACGCACACTGCTTTGTTTTTAGTGGTTTAAGTGAAGAACCTAAAATAAGATGTGTTGAAGACCTTTATTGTTTGAAACTGTGTGTTTCTGATCAGAGACGGCTCTCCTCTGAGGTTGGTCTGAACGTTAAAGCCCGCTGTTGTGCGCAGAGACTGGGAGAGGATCGGCCACTTCTAAGAATAGCGCATAGGGTGGTCTTTGTGCGTTTCGGCGGGGCAGTGGCATGTGCTTGATAAATAACACGCACGAACACATAATGATCCGACCGTGATCTTGGCCTCTTTTTTTTTTTTTGAACAACTATCCTGTCAGACGGGTGGAGGTGAGAAGGACGTCCCAGAGATTAGCGGACTTGAAAGCGGCGCCGTCCTCGACGGTGAATATTCAGGCTTTTCGCACTCTGCTGAGTGACGAAGTGTGTGAGTGTGTGTGTGGGGTGAGGGGGAGAGTTTGTGTGTGCGTACGCGTGTACGTGCGCGCACACGGAGCTTCTGCGCTAAACAAGGTTACGGAATTCAGCCTCGCCCTGCCAAAGGGAAGCGAGCGGTGCTGCTCCGCTTCTACATGGTTCAGTTCAGTTGGAGGGCATCCCCGGGGTGTGAGTGTGTGCGTGCTTGACAGCTGTATATGTGTGTTCGTGGGGGGAGGTTTGTGTGTGTGTGGGTGGGGGTGTTTGTTTGGCTAGAGTGGACGTTGATCAGTCGTCTCATCAGCCCCAAAGGTAGTGTTGGAGAGAGGTGTGGGGGGCTGCACCGTTCACCTTCCTGTCGAGTTGATGGAAACCGCTCTGGCATCGTGCCACACACACACACACACACACACACACACACACACACACAGAGGCTACACACACACACACATACACACGCTGTCTCGCTCTCGCTTCATGTCTTGCAGGTGTTCTCCACTCTGACTTTGCGCTGCAGTCTGTTGTCTTCCTCTCTCGCACGCATGCTGTGTGACTCGTCTTTGCATTGCGGGGGAAAATCCTTTTGCGCACGGAGGATCCACGCAGCGCCAGTTAACCCCCCCCCCTCTCCCCACAGCTCTGATACGCGCTGCTCTCTTGTAGGGAGAAAGTGTCAGCTGAAACTCTTCGGAATGTGAAATAGTTTACAAAGTAGGACCTTTTACTGTTTTTATTTGTGTTCTGGCGTTTGCTTGGATGTCTCGCGGTGAACACATGGCAAATATTCTCTTCTCTGTCGTGGATAACTTTTAGAAATTAGTTTGGATACTTGTTCAGCCGTCCTCCCCTCGAAACACATCGCTTCTCGAAAAGTTGTCTGACTGAAATGAGCGCGTCGACCCTTGTTGGCTGTGATCCAAAGTGAATCTTCGTTCCTCACGATTTTCAAAGCTCAACACCCTGACTTTCACGACACACAAAACAACATTTCACCGAGACTTGTTTCTTCACTCTTCCACGGCATTGACTCGGTTCATATCACGGGAGCTTCTTCTCCCTCCTCCGCGTGCATGCCTGCGTGCCGTCTGTCCTGGAGCCACACAGGCACTAATTAGGGGACGCTCTCTTAGGACGATCGATGTGCCTCATATTGGCTGGCTCCAGCTCATTGACGAGCTTAGTGAGGGAAGCAGCTACTAAAAGAGCACTTCAGCCCCGGCAGGCAATCTGCGCAGGATATACAGTATATGGAGAATCTCTCCAGACGCTGGAGCAGGTTGGAGGAGTGGAGCATGCAGAAGGACCTCGTGTTGGGACCTTTTTTTCGAGGGAGCGGAGCGAGGGGGATTAAGTGGTGGGGGGTGGAGGCTACTTCAGGGGGATTTGCTGCGGAATAAAAGCTTAATTGTATTTAAATGAAAGCACGGTCTACATCGGTGTGGAGATATTAAGGACTCTTGTCATACATGTAGAGTTAAATGTGCGTCAGGAGTTTTGAAAAATCAAACGGAGGATAGTTGTAGAAATGCAAACCTCACTTGAAACTACATTTGGGGATTAGGAGCAGTGATCCATTAGAGCATGAGGCAAATTAATTACCAAACGGTCCAAATACAGCGCTGTAATGAGACCTTTCAACTAGGACTGGGCGATTATATGATCGGAATTAATGATCGGGATAAATTAAAGTTCGATCACGGTGATCAGCTGTGAGCTTATTTACTCCGTCAAACATGGCGAAAATGTGCATCAACAGCCAATCAGAGTCGAGCTTTTCCTGCTCACCTGTGTAAGTTGCTGGAAAAGTAAACAGAGTAATCAAATGTGGAGCTGAGGGCAGTAAAATAGATGTCAGCCATGACTTTGAGTCATCCTCCGAAGATGTTATTGTTAGGAAGAAAAGTTATTTAACGTCTTATTTAGTACCTATGTATTCATTTTTTACTTTTAATACAGATGCTTTAAAACTGGCAGTTAAAAAAATCGGGATAATAATCGAGATCGGACGATATGACAAAGTATATCGTGATCATTCTTTTTGGCCAAATCGCCCAGTCCTACTTTTAACTTCATTTCATATATTTTAGAAAGTTTGGTTTGAATTTTGCTTAAGTGGGTAAAAACTTCACCCTGGATTTGGTCAGATAAATCTGTTTTTGGATGAATTTACATGCCACATTCATCCTTTTCTTACTTGATGGTCCTTCATCTACAACTCTTGAAATCTTGACTGAAACCAAGTGGTTGTCACCCATTACGCAGCTCGGTCTAAGGTCGTCCTGCCATCTCTCTGTGTCAAAGTCTTTGTGTCGAATGCAGCCTGTTCCCTGAGTGCAGCGTGTTGTGGAAGCATCGAACAAATACTTCACATTTTGTGTGGGCCGAGTTTATTTATAGGGAGCCCCCGTTGGACTGTTTTTTGCGCATCATTTTTCCACTGCGCGCTGTGATGTCAGCGTGGGGCTGATCTGTTTTCCAGGTGTTGGAACACAGAGGGGGAGGGCTGCTTATACCAGAGATTGACACACTGATTTATTTTCTTTCTCCTTTTCATGGGAGAGGACTTCACGCGTCTTCCAGAGAGGGTGTTTTACTGCCAAGGCCTGTGAAGTGTCAAAGTGTGGTTTAAGGGTGGTCTCAAAACAAAACAGAGATTCTCCTTTTGTTTGGATTAGTCATTATTTTTCGTTTCTTTTACCAAGACGCAGTACGCCCTTTCATAATATCTAATAATGAAAATATCCAAAATAGTCCCCCTTTTACGCAGCATTTAGTGGATAGATGTTCCTGTGAATGATATCTGTACGTTGCGGGGGGAAGGTGCACCTGAAGTACACACGAGCCTCGCGCCTGCTGGGCCCTATTGTCATGCTGAGTGATGTGTGACAGAAGATGTGTCAGCGCACAGCTCCGTGGGGTGGCTGCGTGTAAGGGGACAATCACATCACTTCCATTCTAAACCCATTAACCTGCTGTTTGCCCGCTTTCCTAATCAATGGGGAGCACGCGGGGAATATTACGCACAGGCAAATAGCACGTCAATAAAAAACTACGAGCCCGCTTTTGCAAATCTAATCAATGTTGAAAACAGGCAGGAAAGAACCCGTTTAGAAAAACACCGGTGTTCTGGTTCAGCTCCAGTCAGAAGCAGGAGGTCTGTCTTATTGTTGTCGCGCTTGTTTTTTCCCTCCTCTCTCGCTTACGCCTGGATATAAAACAACAGTGTCTTCGCTGCCGGCGCTGCGCTCGCTGCTAAGGCGAGCTGCGTGTGAACAAAAGCGGAGGCACGGCAGAGAGCCGAGGAGAGATCGGTTTTCCAGGCGCTGCGCAGCTCCCGGAGGAGACGTCACGGTTTGATTGAAGCTATGCTCCGTGCTGGCCTCCCGGGACCTCGCGATGAAACGGGAGAGCCGCCCTCCCTCCCTCCTTCCTTCCCTCCCTCCCTCCTCCTCCTCTCTATTCCTCTCTCTTTCTCTCTCTCAGCGCTCCACAAAGCTTTTAGTTTCGACGAGGTCTGGAGCGCACGGATCACTTCCCCACAGAGATGTGTCGACCTCCAGTGCTATTTCCCCGGAACAGGGGTGGATAGGACGCTTACGCGAAGCAATATTTCACCCCCTCCCTCCAACTGTCTGATACATTAACTCTCCAGCCCATTACGCACCTGATCAGTTGAGTCATTTAGTTTCCCCGTAAACCCCTAAATGTATTTAGGGGTTCACTTCCCTTTTGATGGTATGAATCTAGATCTCTGCGTTCAGTTTCCTTACCTCTTGATTGATTGATTGATTGATTGATTGATTGATTTAGCTTCGCCGTTATGACGGCACACCTCGCCTCTCTCCCCTGCCTCTCAGCACCTCCTCATTTGTTTTTCGATGTCGGTGCCTCGGGCTTCTTTCTATCTATCCATCTATCTGACGAAATCCCGCAGACGCTTGGCAGCGCAGCGGGGAGGATGGCGGTGGATGCGAGTTTATTACACCAACCGTCTTCAAAGCAGGAATGCTGTGTCTGCCGTGCGTGTTTGGCTCGAGAAGCCTCTGACCTCGACTTGGGGATCATCACGAGGCTCCGTATCTCCACAGTAAACAATTAGCCTAGTAAATATTTTGCTCTAATAGGATCTAGGGCTCATTTTCCCTCACAGTAACACGTGTGACCTTTAAAAGCTGAAATCCAGGCTACGCGCGAAGCTCGGTTTGCCTCACAGCCTGTTTAAACTGACGTTCATTTAGCCTAATTAACGTCATTACGCACTAATCATTAAGCCTGCTCTTTAAACAGACTATTCATCCTATGTGAGGAGGGGAAGGGGAGGGGAGGGGGTCATATGGAGGCGGATCAGTCCTCAAGCGTCATGCGCTTTCATTCGGGACATCCAACACATGAAAGCAAAGGGAACATTTCAAAGGAGAGTCAAGAAACCTCCGGTAAACGCGGGCCGGCTCATGCATGCGCATCCCTATTACAATCGGCTCCTTTGGTGGCATAAAGGCCCATTTAGTCTCCATTTGGCCCGGGATGAATAGAGCCCAGTTAAGCAGCCGCCGCCCGGGCCCTGGTGACAGTACGGGGGGCCTCACAATGCGCCCGTTGTTGACGGCCGTGCTGTCGAGGGGGGGAACTGAACCGTGCACCGACTTGCATGCGGCTGTGCAGCGGCCCGGGAGGACGCAGGGGCCCCTTGTTTACAGCTCGGTCGCTAATAATGTGACAGCTGAAGAGATGCCGCCGGCTGCTTCAGGCTGTGAAGGCGCTCTGAACAGCGTTTATCTGCTCCATCTCTCCCTCAGCCTCTCTGTCTCTCTGTTCGAGCTGCAAGACCAGAAACTCGCAGACATTTTGACAACTTTGCATAGATTGTATTGGAGTAAACTTTGAGCAGAAAATTGGAGCCGTTGGCACGTGTCAGTCTGATAATCAGGGAGGGTGCTATAGGTGTCATTATTCGTAGAAGTGTGGCCCTGAGGCTCCAATTTTGGTCCGCGCTCTTCCTCCATTCTCCATTTTTTGAACGCGCAGTATTCCTTTCGTAGACAGCCTCATGTTGGTGTGTATAGTTTGAGGCAAAGTGAGTATTTGTGTGTTTGCGCGCGCCCGCATTTAATCCGTGTTTATGCCCACCCCGCCCCCGCCGCTGCGGAGATTATCCTGCGTCACACTGCATTTTTTTCGAGCTGATCGGAGCTCTGCGCTTCACAGAGTCTGGCAAAGCTCCAGGGACAAAGAGCGAGAGGGTGCCTGCGCTTACAGCCAGACTCGCAGACCTGCTTTCCCGCTTATAACTAACGAACACACGTGCTAACCTGAGCGTGCAGCGATCTTATCAGAGCTGCTGGTTCGTCATTTCGAACCCGTACACAGACAGGAAGTGGCTAATGGGGACGGAACCACCTTTCACTGGTATCTCTCACAGCGCTACGCGGCCGATCCACAGAGGCCTCAGTCCAGGAGGAAATGATGAGCCGAGCTAGAGCGCACGCACACACACACACATACACACACACACAGCACGGGTCACGCAGAGTTCAGGTCATTGTCGTCAGAAACAGGAAACGAGGGAAAAGAGGGAGCACGGGTTTATTTTCTCCCTCTCCCTCTCTCTCTTTCCGTCTTTCTGCTCTTTTTATCGCTCTCTCCTCACTCTGTTTTCTCGTCCACCTCGAAAAAACGCAAACACACGCAGAGCCAGCCTATATGAGGTTCCGCTGAAACGCCCGGTGGTTTTCTGTTTAATGGTGCGAGTCGGGGCTCCGCTCCAGCGGTCTGCTTTATAAACGCAGCTCAGACCGCTGCGCTCCCCTTCCCCCTTCCCCTGCTGCTGCTGCTGCTGCCGACCGCTGTGATGGATTGGACGGCCGTCGGGAGTTGTTTGTTGCGCAAACTATTCTTAGCAGCGGGGACGAGCGTCAACACCCTGCCTTTCCTCCTCTCATATCTCTGCACACTTTCTCCTTCCTCGTCCTTTCACTCACATGGTGACATTTTCTCAGCATTTCTCCTTTTAAAGGGTCTTGTTTAGGAGGACGAATATAAAACGCCGTTTTACTGCGCAGACTTCAAAGTAGGACTGGGCGATTTGGCTAAAAGGATGATCACGATATACTTTGTCATATTGTCCGATCTCGATTATTATCCCGATTTTTTTAAAACTACCAGTTTTAAAGCATCTTTACTTAAAACAAAAAAATAAGTAGACAAATACTAAATAATACGTTAAATATTTTTTCTTCTCAACAATACTCTGTTTACTTGTCCAGCAACTTACAGAAGTGAGCAGGAAAAGCTCCACTCTGATTGGCTGTTGTGATGCACACTTTCGCCATGTTTGATAAGCTCACATCTGATCGCCGCGATCGAACTGAAATTTATCACGATCGTTAATCACGATCATATAACAGCCCAGTCCTACTTCAGGGGATATGAAGTGCATAATCACAAAGCCTGCTGAAGATTTTGTTTTAATCCAACCCCCATCCCTCAAGAGTTGGGATGTTGGGTAAAATGTTGATAAAAGAGAATTTGATGGGTTGCAAATCACTGAGACCCTCGTATTTGATTGAAATAACACAAAGGCAACATATAAGTTGTGGAAATTTGTATTATTTTATGTAAAATAGCCTACATGCTTGTTTTGGATTTGGTAATTTGCAACAGATTGGTAAAATGACATTTCTGGAAGGTTTTCACCTCTTTGTGAGAGACTGTGCGAGCAAAAAGTTCTCCAATGTCAGAATAATGTTCCTGAGTTTTGGGGTTTCATTTAACCCAGCTTTCTGACTGTCTTATGAAATTGGAGTTGTAACTGTGAGCAGGTCAAAGCTCTCCAGATGGTTTCCTGATATGTTGTGTACAGTCTCTTGTAATCTCCAGTTGATTAGTTATGTCAGGAAGGTTTGGACGAGGTTCAGACAGTTCTTGTAGCACAAGGAGAATATAGCTCAAATGCGGCTTCGAACACATCAAAATGTGGGTTTCTTATGAGTTACGACTTTAGGCTATCAGAGCTGTAAATCAGATCTTGACAACTGGTGTATGAGATTCAGTCTGACAGCATGAAAATAGCATACAAGGAAGAAGAGGAAAGTCATCACTAAAGAAAATGTGTTTTGTGAAAGTCCTGTAAACACCAACGTTTTCTACTTTAATTTTCCAGATTGATTGAGAAAATCAGACCCAACATTTAAAGTGTAGTAATTTTTGCAGTAGCATCAAAATTTAAAAGCACCTTGCAAATTGACTACACTTATTTTGTATAAGTTATTAAGAAGCAGATAATATAAACGAAATTTCTATTAACAAAGAGGAGAGAAATGTCATTGAATACCTTGAGAAGTCTCTTTGGGTTACAGGACTTTAACTGTAGCAGCATACTTGTGTTCTCATTTCCCTTTTAGGACATATATGTCACATAAGTGTTCCCACGCTGTTATGAAAACAAAGTCAACCTTATATGTTTGAATTCATGTCTTAAGCACAGAGACTGCTGGTGTCCATGCTGCCAAAAGCATGTTTTTTATTCCTGCTGGTGTGCAGTGTCGTTGATTGCTCGGTCCTGACCTTGAGGCCCAGTACAGCCTCTCATCTTCGCCAGACTACTATTAATTTCACGAGGATGACGGGTGCTTTGAGTGCTCAAAATACACCGTCATCAGCACAGCATGGTTACAACGTGGCGTAATAACAGGGCTTAAGGAAACAGGGCCGTCCGTTTTGTTGTGCTGACCCGAATATGAACAAATGTTCACCAGTTGTTTCACAGCTGTGTTTTAAGGTGAAATCATCATAGATGTTTGCTAAATTATAGGACAGAGGCTTGACAGTGAAGGTTGGACAGAACATCCATGTAATTGAATATCTGCATTCCTGTAAGAGGATTAATTTTCTTTATCATGTTCAGTCTTATTGAGGAGCTGTTCGGCGTATGTGTGTGTTTTTTTTATGTGGGTCAGTGTGTGAGAGAAAGATGGAAAGCTCCAGGAGATACGAGAAACAGCACCGATGTTATTTCCCCATGTCTGTGAAATGAGCGGACGAGCATACAAATGGCTGAATGTACCTTTAGTGGAGCACTTCTTCTCATGCACGTTTCAGTTCTGTCACACGCTGATGTTGTTGAGGCAGGACTGGCTCCGGGGAGCTGTGTTGGGGGATGGGAGTGCTGGAGCAGGGAGGAGCTGTGCCGAGGGGCCCGCTACAGGCTGATTAATGGGCCCCGGGTCACGGCAATAAAAGTGGCGTGCCAGCGGCGCGGCAGCTAGGCTCAGAGGCGTTTCTCTGTGATGATCGAGGAGCCAGGAGTCTCTGCTGCTCTCAGCAGAGCACAGAGAGGCTTTACTTTTACTATTTAAAGGCACTCCTCTCACTCCGTCTCCCACCTCATTCCTGCTCGGGTACCTTTTACATGGCTTTTTTTGCAGAAATGTCTCCTCTTAGGAGTCATCAATTATACTCAACCCTAGTATTATTTTTACAAAAATATTTCAAGTGGAAGCTACAACCAGTGACTTTTACCTGTTTGAGGAATCTGAAATAGTCTCTTGAAATTTGCAGAGCATTTTATGAGCATAGAGATGTCACTTACCTCTCTAAAGCTCAGACGTGGTCTGGAATATCTCAGTTTGGCCATTTGTAAAAATAGTTTCTGTCTTTCTTTTTTTTTTTTCCTTTTGCACTTGATTATTCTGACATGTTGTTTATATAATATTACTCACATAGGGGGTTGCAGAACTCTACCGTTTCTTGAGTAGTTGTATCTTTAAACCAAAGAAGTAGAAGACGGTTGATAAGTGTACAGATGAAGTTATGAACTTGAATTTATAAATATGTCAGCATCTCAAATGTTGTATGAAATAACTCTTCTTGGAAATGACCCCTTAATATGAAGTAACAGCTTTATTATCCTCCTCCTTAAATTTAATGTAATTCATTTGGAGGTATTTATTTATTAATTCTTTGTTTTATTTATGAAATATCTTAACAATGTGAAATATTATTCAATGCTATGAAACAGCACTCAAAGCATTACATCATGACGGGCTTTCCCAAGCCGGTTGATTGTTCATTCTTCCTCGTAGTTTCTGGTCTTTCTGTAATGCCATGCTTTTTGCATGCGTTTGTCGGTGTGAGTGTTTGTTGATCTGTGGCTCTGTGTTGGCGGGCGGTAAATGGGCTCCCACCGTAGTGGTCTCTGATGTATAATCTCTCCTCGCTTCACTGGCCGAGGCAGCCGAGAGAGCAGGTCAAAGAGGGCACGGAAAAACCAGTGTGTAGGGAACGTGACTGAATAGATGCAGCCCCACAATGCACGTCTAGCCCACAGGGTGGGCAGGATAGGGGTCAGGGGAGAGGGAATAGGAGGATGGGGGGGGGTTGCTGTGGTTTGTTGACGGATACGAGGGGAGGGGAGCCCACACAGTGCTTTCATCTCTGGTGACGGTTTCAGCGGAGGCGTGTGTGTATGTGTGAGAAAGAGAGAGGTGGTGTGATGACTACAGCTTATGATACTATTATCTTTCTTTTCATTTTCATTCATCACCTGACTCCTGTTGCGACGTTTGATTGATGTTTAGCAATAATTTATATATTTATTGTGTAGATTAGAGGAAATTAAAACCATGTCTTGGAGCTGATTTCCATATAATCTCTCTCGTGGAGATTTTATAAACTAATATTTTTGCCCTGTCTGTTTTTTTTTGGCATTTAGTTTAAGACCAAGCTGTAGTCTGTTATGTGACCAAGCCAAGACACTGACTGCTTACTGTTTGCTCATCTCTGCAGGGCAACATCTGTTCGTGATGTCGATGCTGAGACACAAACCAACCTGGAACTAAGACAAGGCAACCACATCACACAAAACATGGCAAGTCCCCAGTGCACGTTCTCAGTACTGTTTAAACTAATCTGTCAAATGAGTCAGTATTATCTGGAAAGAAACACTTTCCCTCTGTTTCTGTTTGTGTTTGCATGCAAGTACCCAAGAAGGCAGAGAGGCCGTTTATGACTTTTACAACAGCATTTGTGTTTCTGTCCGTATTTTTGTCAAACTAGCTTTTCTGGACTTGATTTTGGTGATAGCAGGCAGATTAACTCTCCTGGCTTCTTTTCTTACCTTAGGTGGATGCAAGGTTAACACCACTGGCAGCCATGGGGCTGGACCGAGGCGCTCTCATGCATGATGGTCTTCGTCTCCATGGCGGGGTTGTGTACCCAGGCATCAGAGCTCTGCCTACAGAGAAGAGCCGAGAGACACCAGGCATCCCCCTCAGTTATAACAGGGATGGTCTCCCAGAGCTCATCTACAAGCCTGATGGCCCTCTGGACAGTCGTAAGTCCACTAATGGATACCTGGGTCTCTATAAGGGCACCCCACCAAGTCTCCACAAGCCTATGCTGGTTCCTGGAGCAGGAGCTGAAGGTCTGGGCTTGGAACGCAGAGTAGGGCCTGGAGAGAAAGCATCTGATCTGGGCTTGGCAAGTGCCGGTGGCAGCTATCTCCGCCTGCCATGGCTCACTCCTTACCCGGAAGCAAGCATGTACCCCTTCATGGACACATCCAAGTATGCTCTAAACATGTATAAAGCCTCCCTGCTGAGCCAACCCAGCCACTATCTCCCTCAGCACCTGCCCTACCCTTCTCTGTGTGCAGCCCAAGGAGGCAACCCTGCTGCAGCCGCTTCTGCTGCCGAAAGGCTTTACTACATGCCCCCATACCCTCCCTCCCCAATCTCCTCGCCCTTGGTGGCCCCCCCTATGAGGATTCCTACAGTCACAGTTGCCCCCTCATCACTGGTACATTGCCAGGATAAAGGGCTCGGTGTTGCACCTTCATATGCACAGCAGCTTCACCAACCCCCTCCTCATCCTCAGCACCATCAGGCTGCAATAGACAGGGACCGGTCCCCGAGCAGAAGCAGCAGACCAAGTAGGCCCCCGTCTAGAAAGGGGCCGAGCAACATCAGTAACACCGGTAGCACTAGAGACACTAATGGTGGGAATAATGGCAGTCTGCCCCCTGATTCCTCTCCTCATGCATCTTCTCGCCTCTCTCAGCCTCCCCCACCGCCGACTCTCATTGATAATTCACTGGATTTACAAAGGCCAGTTGCAAGGATCGGACAACCGTCAACCTCTTCTGCTTCTTCCATAGCTGCCTCATCGTCATCGACACAGTCCATTCCTCATCCGTTCTCCGTGAGCAGCATGGCATCAGAGCAGCCCTCTCCTGCTCGGCCCAGCCCACACAAACCCAGGCCACGAGATGGAACACCGGAACACAGAAGTGTCGGGGCTGAGAGGAGACAAAGCAGATCACCCTCCAAACCAAATTTTGAGAGACCCCCTCACCAAACCCAACCAACCAAAGACTCAGCTGAAAAGCCTTTGGATTTGTCCGGAAGAATACTTGAGTTACTGCCTCCGAATGGATTTCCAGTGAAAATGGACACTATGGCATCGGGCCCACGGTATGGGATCCCCCCAAGCAGAGAACTGCTAAAGGAAAACCTATCCTTGTCTCCTTCCTCTCACCCTCACTCTGTGGCCAGCAGCACTTCTTCCAAGGTCCCAGAGAGGCCGGAGATGATCAGCACTTTACACTCCTCCTGGGTTGTACCTAGCCCATCTCCTTCCTCCAACGCACAGCACACACCAGGCTTGCCTCCCTCCCCGCGGCCTAACCCAGACCTTTCACAAGCCAAAGGTTCTTCCCCCTCTGTCATCAAACATAAGAGTCTGGAGAGAGTTCTCCCTCAGCAGCGTAGCTCATCCTGCCCCAGGATAGGAGAGTCCAACCACAATGTTCCCTCCACCCAACACTCCTCTATGGTCAACTCAAGGCCTCTTTCCCCCAAACCCAATGGTGAGTGGGCCAAACAAAGCCCCAGCCAACCAGAACATCCACCAAGCATGGGCCACCACAGAGAGGGGGCAGAGAAGTCCTCCCAGGGCACCAAGAGAAGTGAAACCACCCAGGATGTTTCGTCTTACAAAAGGCCCTGTCTGGAGAACGGTCACCCTCCTGGCCATCTGTACCTCCCTCAAAATGACGCTTACCTGAACCACAGTTTGGCATACACCAATAGATACCTGCACTACCCAATCCCTGATGGCATGGCTCTACACTCCCTGCCAATAACAGGAAAAGGTCCAGTTTATCCTCATCCAATGTTGCTGGGCAGCAACAGCCTTTACCCAACCCACCTGGCAGCAAAACATCCGTTACCCTACCACAACCTCCAAGCTGGTCCAGGAGGGGAATACCTCACATATAACTCACAGGAGATGGCCCATCCTCTTATGCAGAGTCACCCAGACAGTAAGCCGCCAGAGAGGGGAGATGCAGCTTTGAAGCCTCGGGGACAGGAGAAATCCCGGGGAGGTACTGAAGAAAGCAGAGATCCCAACATTGGGAAAGAGAACGGAGAAGGAAGTCAGTCAAAGCACGAGAGGGAAACGGGAGCAACAGGACATGGTGGAAGTAACAGCAAAACCTCCTTTTCTCCTGCAGTATCTCGAGAAAAGATTGTCTGCATTGACCTTGTACACTCAGACACAGATATTGAGTCTACGCCAAAAGTCCACAAACAGTCCTCTGCTGAGACTAGCACAAAGGTTAACCAAAATGAATGTTGTCATAGTAACCAAAATCTGACAAAGACTGACTTTGAGCCAAAACACCAACAGCACCCTTCCCATCCCTATCCCATCCACTCTGTACAGAGCCCCACCCTGAAGCCCAATCACATTGAAAGACAGCCAGAGACTCCCTTTGGGAAAACAAGCGTCTCTCAGGACACAAGCTGTCCTGCAGTAACATCCGGCACAACCCAAACTGCTCCAGGGGAGAATGCCCAAGCAGAGGAGAGCCAGGATGAGCCTCGCAGCCCCAGCCCCGACCCTGAAGACCAGGATCAGAGCACTCTGCGCTGTGCCCGCACATCTGGATTGTGCAGCTCTGGTAAGGACAAAGGGGTCAGAGACCGTCAAGCTTTTCACATCGCTCAGCACTGCACGGAGGTGGTGAAGGAGGAGAAACTAAGCGAGGCAGAGACTGAAAAAGAGGACAGTATCGTTGATTTGGGGGAGTCACACGGAGAAGGTGATGAGGAAGAAGAGGACGGTGGCCATGCTTCATCAAAAAGCTCTCGTAGATCCAGCCTGGCCAAGAGGATTGCAAACTCCTCGGGCTATGTTGGCGACCGCTTTAAATGTGTCACCACTGAGCTGTATGCTGACTCCAGCAAGCTGAGCCGTGAACAGAGAGCTCTGCAGGTAAGGCCATTAACACTTCTGTATGTGTGTGGTTATAAATAGCACAGGACAAATTGGGCCAAAAGTTGATGGTTGACTGGAGAATGTGCAGATATTTTCAACATACTTTGAGTCTTAACATCCACGCAAGAATTAACCTCCATGGGCTAATGCCTTTATTTTATTTTTGCTGCAAAATTCAGAACACACCCTGCATGGAATTGGCACACACTGCATTTATAGCACAACACATAGTAATATAAGTGCTGTCATGCTACTGTCCTGTCCAGAGGCTTGACTTTCCCCCTTAGTTTATCATTGTCTGTGAAGGCTAGTGCAAGGCCTCTATCAGGGAGAGCAGTTCAAAGGTTAACCGGTGCTGCCTTCTCTGTATGTTGATTAGTGAGCAGTCATTGTAAAGGTTATTTCTGTGCGTGCGTGTTTGTGTGTCCGTACATGCCTGTCCTTGTGCGACTGCCTCCGGGCTAAAGCATGTGTTAGTGCTGACTGTGCTGTAGAGCTGTACACTGTAGATCCAGAGCATGACTGTGGCAGCCTTACAGTTCACACCGCCTTTGGCAATGCTTAACCCCCAAGGTTAGGGGCGGTGGAGGGTTCGCAGTGGGCTTAAAAATCCCGCAGCTGCCCTCCTCTGGGTTCCTCTTAGGCTTCCTGCATGTCCCACATTTACCAGACGCTACTCCCCCCCCCCCCCCGATGGCCTAACGCTGCCCTGCCTGGCTGCTGTCCAAGTTCATAATTCTCCTCATTCCACTAGCTTTAAGACCCTAACACTCACCTCAATTCATGTAGGAATGCATAATTACAGAAAAGCCCCCTCCTCTTGGCTATCATCCCCCTTGTCATTCATTTTCACAATTAAGCTATTCATTTTAGGCCGTTATCGCTGATTCCTCACGCTCAATGTTCAGCATAGAAACACAAACAAACCCTATGCTTTATTACCCACTGGCTCAGAGGCAGATATGTTAATAGGTTGCACATGTCCGTCTGTGTCTATGTTGTGAATGTACTCTAGAAAACTGTGGTTTTGTCTGTGTCATGCTTGTCAATGCGCAGCTGCAACGCAAAGCTATCAAACGCTCAATTTCTGGACGTGAAAAAATCCGATGAGGAAGTATGTTTGGGGAAAAATAAATAAATGAGACCATTTAAACTGAATGAGCATTATCAATCATGCTTAGAATGAAAGCCTCGTTTGGATTCTCTGATTTCCAATTCGTCACTCACACAGTTCAGAAATCATTTGATAGTTTTGATGCTCTGTTAATTGACCTGTTGCGTCTCTTTGATTTGATTGTTATTTTGTGGGATTGTGGCTGCCTATTGTGTCAAGAAACATGTGGAGAACATAAAGTCTTAAAAGAAAGATGAAATGATGGACAGATATATTGAGCCCCCCCATTCTAATTGCTTAGATGGAAGTCATATCACGAGAGGGGAGTAATATAAGTCAACCTGCAGCTAACTGGGAGGTCAGTTCTTTACATTTCTTATCACATCTGCCTCTGATGGGCTCTGTCTCCTTTGTACTCTGTATCGCCGCACACTCCTTTTTCCCCACTCCCTTCTTTCCTCTTTCTTCTCTCTCTCCCCTCTCTCTCTCTCTCTATGCCTCAGGACTTAGATGTATATGTTTTCTAGCTATGTTTATGTTTCAGGAAGGGAGATGCCAGGACTTAAGCCCCAGAGCGCATGGACTCACAGTGGCTGCAGTAGTCTAATCTATGTCTTGATGCCATGCTTGTGATTTATCAGTCTATCTTTTTGTCCTGTGTGCGTGTGTGTGTTTGTGCGTGTGTGGGTTTTTTTTTAATTTCTTTGGCATTTTCTTTGATTTTGAGATAATGCGATTTCTGACGCAATTTTTTTGCTTCTGTAGCTGTTGAGGCCAGATTGAGGCTTAGAGAGGTGTGTGTGTGCGCGGCTGGGGCGGACGATGAGTGGTTTTCATGGGGTTTTTCCTCTGCGTTTGTGTCTGTGTGTGCGCACAGCGGGCTATGATGCGGTTCTCGGAGCTGGAGCTGAAGGAGAAGGAGGGCGGCGGTGTGTGTGTGTCTGCCTCGGCAGCGGCAGCAGGACGGGAGCTGGCAGACGGCCAGCGCAGAGAGCGAGTGCTGGAACACTGCCAACACACCACCAGGCAGGGAGAGAGGGAGGGTGAGTAACCCAGCACCACACACACACACACACACTTGTCATGCATTCACACACACACACATGCATGCATCAACTCTGCAAATACACACACGGGGAAGGGACACACACAAACAATAGATGCGCGTGCACGCTCACACGCACTTGCAGCAAATGCTGAGGCAAGACCGGGTCACTCTAAAAAAAGACAGTCTTCCATACACACACAGACTCAACACACACACACACACACACACACACACACACACACACACACACACACTCACACTCATAAGCGAGGCAGCGCAACGAACAAGCCAGCGAGAGAGACAGAGAGGGGGAGTTTTATTTTCAAGAAGTCTTTTGTGCTTATCTGCGCCGAGAGACGATCGAGAGGGAGGGCAAGAGGAGAAGGAGGGGAGAGATTGCGTGAGTGAGAAAGAGAGAGAGAGAGAGAGAGAGTGAAAGCAGGGGGAGAACTAGTGGGTGAAAGCGGATGGGAGAGCGCAACGGAAAGAGAGAGAGAGAGAGGAGGAGGGGGGGAGGTGGAAGGGGAGGAGGGGGGGTTAGTTGCGTTGGCTGGGAGCCCAGCTGTGTGTTGGAGCGAGGCCGCGGCTGACGTGTGAGCCTAATTATGGCATGGAGAGAGACAGAGAGGGAGCCGAGGAGAAGGGGGGGGGGGTAGAGTCACGCTCAGTGTGAGAAGGGCGTGGTGCGGTCATGCCGTGGGGGAGGACAGAGAAAGGAGGAAGGGGGAGGAATGGGAGTCGCCGTGCGCAGCGAGTGTGCAGGATGTTTTCTTGCCTCCCCTTCGCTGGAAGTGCGAGCGGCTGCGCTGAAGCGGCGTCGGCCCGCTGGCTCGGCTCACATCAGATTAAAAAGTCTTTACCCCATCAAAGTTTTACTGCCTGTCTTTAAAGCAGAATAAAAGCTGGCTGGTGTTTAACTGGCATTCTCCCTCTGTCAATCCCCCACCTCGCCTCACCCCCGCCCTCTTGCTCCCCTGATCTCTTTCGGTCTGTCTGTCTGGTTTGTGGTTCGTCTGTCTGTCTGCAATTTCTCCCCGTGCCCCTGTCCCCCTTTCATCTCCTCTTGTTTATTTTTCCTCGTCTCTGCCTCCTTCTCTTCCCTCCCCCCTTTTCCATCTGTCTGTCTCTCCTTCACTCAGGTGTACGACCAGCTTTCCCAAACAACCGAGTTCCAGTCCTCCAGAGGTGTACAGTCCAGAAGGAGCCTTTGTCCCCCGGGCACGGAGCGCGAGATGGGGCCAGAGGTGCCAGCCAAGGGGCGCACAAGGACGGAGCCAGGAGGGTGACAAGAGATTGTGAGGGAGTTCATTGTGTACCCCCTACTTTGACACCGGTGAAAGGTTACCCCGAGGAGAAGATCAGCCCCGGTTTCGTACCCAACAGAAAGCGCCCGCTCAAATTGGAGCCGGACGACACGGAGAGAGAGGAGGAGGAGGAGAGGCTGTCCCACCAAGAGAAAAGAGCCAAGATTTCTACTGGTGAGAATTTCCTGAACATACTTCTTCACTCACATGCCACTTCCATTCTCCTCATATTCTCCCTGGCTCCTCTTTTCTTTCATCTGCTTTCCATGTTTGTCTCTAATTCTGCCCATTCTCTCTCGCCTCTTCATCCCGTGTTACGCTGAGCCCCGTCTCATCTCTCGCACTCAGGAAAAAAAAAAAAAATCTGTTTCTTTTGTCGCTTCCTCCTTCCCAATCAATTTCACCTTAAACTCGCTCCATCACAAACCCCCGCTCTCCTCCCCCTCCCCTCCCTCACCACTCTCTGTCCCATCTTTCGCTCTGTGTGGCAGCCAGCGCGGAGAAGTGTTTAATCCTGCCTTTGAGCAGAGTGCGAGTGAGAAGCGAGGAAGAGGGACAGCCATTCTCTCCCTCTCTTCTTTCAGCTCCGTCGTTCCTCCGCTGCGCTAACCCACCCCTCTTCAAAGCTGCTCTTTTCTTCTCTTTTCATCTCTTTTCTTTTTTCCCTCATCTGTTTGGGTTCCCTTTTTTTTCTGGCATGCGGTATCACGCTCGCTCTCCCCGGCACTGGCAGACGAGTCAAATACTCGTCCCCCATGAATTTAAAGGGGGGAGATCTCTCCCTCGGCTTCTCCAGTCTTTATTGCTTTGTGTCTCCTCTGACTTCTCTTCCCCTTGTACTCCTCAATCTGTCTGTTTCGCATTCACTCTCTGTTCCTCTCCTGCCAGAGTGCATGTGTGTATAATGTAAGGCTTAGAGGGGGTTTTACAAGCCATGAGAATGTCCTGATTAATGGTCTTTGTTCTTTGTACTCAGTCGTCTGCAGTTTGGTGTGGATGTACTTTACATACAGTAGATTTTCATTGTGGAACTTAAAGTGTCAATCTTTAGGGAAGAGAGAGGGAAGAATGTAAACTCACAGACTCTTGTGGATGAAGAAGTTCCGATTTAAGCATCACTAAAATAAATTTCTTAGTTCAGCTTTTTAGTTTTTGTTAAATTTTCTTTATCTGATCTTCTAAACTGACTTTAAACTCAACACAGCGACACATCAAGGTTTAACAGGAAAAAAAAAATCACAACCCGCTTATTCTGTGATTTCGTTTTTGCAGACGTGCGCGATCAGGCCAATCCGGAAGAGGAGGAAGACGACGAAGTGCGAAAGCTCAAAGTCTGCATCGAGCTGAAGGGACTGAGGCTCAGCAAGCCAGCAGCCGGCGCGGCGTCACCCGACAGGTTCCACATCAAACAGGAGAGGCCCTGGCCCCAGCCCAGACTGGTACCTCCGGCCCAGAATGTGCGAGAGCGGAAGATCAGGGCTGGCGAGGCGGAGGACAGAGCCGCCGCACAGAGAGCCGAGATCAACAGGAAATGGGGCTGCGACAAGCTGCTTAATGGTAAGAATGAACCGCCAGCCGAGCAAACTACCGCTGTATCGAAGTTCAGCTAGGGTAACGGAAATCTATCTTGGGCTTACGTTTCACTCTCGTGTTGAGCGGTGTGTCTTTGCGGGGATTTCCCATGAGCCGTAGGTAGGGGAGGAGACCGAGGAAACAGAGGAAATAAGGCAGAGGTTACTTCCTCTTAGAGGAAAATCTTTCTAGAGGGAATGAGAAACAGGACCTTGGGACTAAAAGCCAAAATCTCCCCCCTCCCTTGTGGTTTTGGGCTTTTGTTCAGCTGCTCAGTAAGAACGATGAAAGTGCTCTGCGATCGAGGGAAGTGGCTGGTGGAGATACGCGTGGGCAGGTGTAGTGTGACTAATGTGTGATCAATGAGTTTTCTTTTTCTTTTTTTCCCCTCAAGACCAGTCACAGGGAAAGGAAAAGGCGGTGAGTGAGTGCGGTGAGCGTGTGTGGGTGGGGGGTAACTTATTAAAACCAGGGCTTTCCCTTGTTCATGAGCCCAAACTGAGGCAGAGGGAGGCACAGACGGAGAGAGAATGAAAGAACAGGCGGGAGATCAGAGGAAGTGAATAAAGCAGAGGAGATTTTGGGGTTTTATGTTTCCTGCAGAAAACACACGCTTGATTGGCCACTAAGTTCCTCTTTTTTTGCTTTCACTTTTATAGATAACATTACCCTGGCAACAGCTCTGATTTTTATACGATCAATATGGTTATTTCACTGCGTTTCTGCCTGAGTCTCTCCCCTTTTCCCCCTCATTTCCTCAGGATTCCCAGGATGCTTTTCCTGCACTGTGGGTTACATAGAAAATGCATATCTAATCTAAGGCAACGTGATGAACGATCACGCTTTCATTCAGCCCTGGTTTGATTCAATGTAAAGCTTCCACGTATCAAACCAAGATCACATTTCTGAGTAGTTAGAAATGCCTTTTGATGATGTTTCCATCGAGCCATTATACCGACTCTATGGTTTCAAGGATAGGTTTTTATATGTTGTACAAACACGCGCTGTAAGAAGCCGATATAAGGGAGGACCGCGTTTGTTTAAGTAGATTACTCATGCTAGTGTCCTTGCCGCACAAATCGGGGGTGTTTATGTGCGCCTGCTTTGTACGTGCGAGTGTGTGTTTTTATTTATTTTATATTTTCTCCTGAGCGAGAAGGCATGCTGCGCTCCCAGACAGCTCTGTGCACTCATTAATAAACCAACAGAGGGTGAGAGATGGCCTTGCAATACCTTCCCATCCTCCCCTTCCACTGAGCTCTCACACTATCAGTCGCTCACTCTGCCTCCCTCTCTCTCTTTCTCTCTCTCTCTCTCTTTCCTCTCATCGTAGGAGTAGCTGCTTCTCCCCTTCCCCCCGGCCAAGTGAAGGACAGAGCGCAACCGTTGGGCCCCTTCTCAGGTGACCGAGGCCTCAAGGAGCCCAGGAGGGGCCCCCCCTCTCCTGCGCCAGAGCCGTCTGTGGGAGGCCCCCCTCCCTTCAAGCCCCGTCGCCATAGTGACACCGACAAACCCAAGGGCAAGCGGCCGTGCAAGACCAAACACACTAGTCAGAGAGAGCGGGAAAAGAAGAAAGAGGCCACACCTAGCAGCCCGGGCCAGCGGTGTGCAGCTGATCTGGGAGCAGCTGAGGATGACAAGGTGAGTGCTGATAGGCTGTCTGGCTGCGATACGGGCGTCTGGATTTTTGTAACGGCGGAGTCTGTTTCAGTATGCCTGTCGGCGCCTCTGATTATGCAGCTGGGAGAGCGAGAGGGGAGGGAGTGAGGGAGAGAGGAAGGAAGTATGTTTACAATGTTTAGAGTGCTGCTGGAGCTTTGACCTCCTCGTGCCCTTTGTGGCTCCCTGCGGAGCGCCTGCGTGCATGTGTGTTTGTCTCTGGCCTTAATTGTCGAACGTGTGTCATCGCTGCCGTTGTGTGTGTGTGTAGGTGCGTGCCACAGGCTGCAAGTGTATGTGAGCGTTCTTGACATTACAACAAAACCCCGGAGCAATTAAACATCGCACTCGGCGTCCACACACACACACACACACACACACACGCTCTCTTACTCTCTTAGCGAGGAATGTGGCAGCCATGGTCGAGCGTATGAAGCACCAGAGTTCAAAAGAGGGGGGAAAAAAAACGCGCACGGGGAAAAATCGAGGGGGGAAAAAGAAGGCTAGTTGTTTTCCGCCCACACTGCTCTCCTCTTCAGCCTGACAGCTGCTTCTACATGGAATTCCACTGAGAGGGCACGCACTGTACACACACGCAAAGACACACACACACACACACACAGAGCGAGGCATGCAACTCCCTGTCTGTGGCGTGTTGCGCTCCGAAGGCTGTGTTGGTTTAGCGGTTAAAGGAAAGTGGCGTGCCAACCTGCAGTGTTTGGGGCGTGAACAGTTGGTGTGAAAGCTGTGTGTGTGGGTGTTATTTAGTGATGCATAGTGTGATACATAAATATCATGCGGAAGTAAGCCCGATTAATCATTTTGTAGGTTTAGGCTAAATGTAGACGGTAAACAAAAGAATTTAGAGCCATAGAAGGAGAAGAGAGGAAGCGACAGAAAACCGTCTTCTTGAAATTCCGATGAATCTCTCGTCCACATGGTGATGATGTGAACGATCCTCGATCAGGGGCTCCAACTTTTTGATACGAGGTTGGCACAGTTTGGTGTGAGTGTGCCCCATATTCGCACAACTACGACAGATTCCCTCTAAAGTGTGTGTGTGTGTGCATGTGTAATTGTGCAGCGCATGCATGTGCCCTTGAGTGTCCATGTGTGTCTGCAATGTGACAGTAGCTGTAACACTCTCCCTCTCTCTCTCTCTCTCCCTCCCTTCCCCTCTCTCTCTCTCCTTCTCTCTCTCTCTGTCTGTCTCTCCTCAGCTGAGCGAGCAGCGCGGCGCTCTGAGGAAAGGAGCCGCCTCTCCTAATCATTATCCCTGCTCTCCAGTCAAGCCCTGCTCCCCCGCTGTGCTCTGTCCGCCCTCCCTCCAGCCCCAGGCCAACGGCAGAGCGGGCACCGTCCCTCAGGAGGCGGTGGGGGCGCACAGGACTCCCCCTGCCGAACCCCCCGCAGTGCGTCCCATCCCACCAGAGGCTCGCCGGCTGATTGTGAACAAGAACGCCGGGGAGACTCTGCTCCAGAGAGCCGCACGACTCGGCTACGAGGTAATGGGATTCGCTCAAAGTCATCCTCGCTCCTTATCGCTTTCTCTCTTCATATTTTACACTCTTACACTTCATCTCTTCCAAATCTGCGCTCTCTCTCTCTCTCTTCTTAAATTGAGCTCATTTTCTCCCCCTACTTTGTTCCCGTCTGTGACTCTGGCAGACGTAGCTCGACTCCAAATTGTCTTTCCCCGTCTTCTTCTGCTCTCGCATCTCTCCCCGCTCTTCCTCTTTCTAGCTCTCTCTTTTGCTTTTTGTATCATTTCCGTCTATTTCGCCCTTACGCGTGCTTTGTTCTTCCCCTACTCCATCTTTTTCTGCTCCTCTCCTCGCCTGCTACTCTCTCTCGCTCAGGTTTCCGCTCCCCTCCCTCCCTCCTCTTTCCTCTCAGCGCTCTCTTTCTCTTCCTCTCTTTGTGACTCAGATTGTCGTTGGCACCCCTCCTCCTCCTCCTCCTCCTCCTTCCCGCGAGCGCACACACACACGCATACACACACACTCCCCCTTCGCCTCCCCTCCTCTTGCCTCTCTCCGCTCTCACATCTCATTAATTTTCCGTGAGGCGAAGTGTGACACACACACACACACACAGACACACACACACACACACTCAGGCAAGCGTACGTGTGTGCAGACAGCATGAGGGATCGGTGGGATCATTATACGGAGACTGATGCTCGCCGCCTCTCTCCAGCATCGGAAGTTTTTTTCACCCTGCCTTTGTGCGTAGTCGCTGCCGATCGCCCGCTCCTGAACCAGATCCTCCCGTTCTCGCCACGAAAGCGTGAGATCGGCATATTCTCGTGAAACTCTCATTCCTCAGAAAGCTTTTAATTAAAGTTGGATGGCCCGCTGTCTGGTTCCCCCATCCCTCGTGTTTCTCTTCATACCCCCTAATCGTTTCTCCCCCCCTTGTTGACAGATTTTACAAATTGATTTATTGATTCAGGTGGCTTTAATGCCACTTGAGCTGCAGATCGTGCTGCGCGCGTGTGTGTGTGTGTTAGTGTGTGTCTGTCCACTCCTCCTCTCACCCGTCTTCGAGGCAGTCTTGTGTGTGTGTGTGCGTGATCATTTTTATCGCCAGCAGAGGTATCTTCACAGAACTGTAAATAGGTGTGGGTATCTTTTGTTGCTCATTAACCGGTTGCTTTATGGTTGTGTGTGTTTGTTGTACACGTTTATGATGATTAGGGGTGCGTGTGTGTGTGTGTGCCCGTGTGTGTGTCCGTGATTATGTGTGAAGTGTGTGAGTCAGAGAGGGAGAGCGAGCAAGAGTGTGAATGAGAGGTAAGCACTGGGAGTATAATCGCGTTCTAATGGCCCTCTAATGTGCCGTGGTGACTGTGGTTAGCAGCGGCGGCGGCTGTTTTTCTCCCTCCCTTGCTCGCACACACACACACGCGCACACACACAAACACGCGTGCGCACGCAGGGCGCAGCGCAGCAGCAGCAGGGTTCAGTCAGCCGTGCTGGAGAGAAGCTGGCTCGTCTCTCTGATTTATGCGTCTCTCTCGAACGTTTTTTTTTTTTTCCCTCCCTCTCCTTTTTTTTCTCTCCCCCTTAGCATTTTTCCCTTCCTGCGCTCCGCGTGTGGAGAAGGGAGGGAGGGAGGAGAAAACCTGAGACTACACAAACAAGGCGCTGACCGCTGCGCAAACAACACCCCCGCCTTCCCCTCTCCCGCCCCCCCCATCCCTCCCTCCCTTTCTTTCTCTCCCCCTCTCCCTCTCGCAGGAAGCTCGTCTCTCACTGCCTGTGTGTGATAAGCCTGGGGCAGACCCCTGGGGCTCCCACACACACTCACACACACTCAAACCAGCACATACACACACACAAGGACGTGCGGAGAAAGACACACCAATTTATGCATTCCGCCCCACACACACACACACACACTCAGACACACACTCAGACACACACACACTTGCATACAAGCCCGTAGACGCACAGAGAGCTTGTCTCACGCTGGTGTTTTAGCGCCGCAAGCTCCGGGCTTATCACACACAGGCAGAGAGATATGAGGGCCTGAGAGACAGAGGCATGCACACTCACACAAACACACATACACACACATGCTGATTACAACACACACACATACACACATTCACACAGAAACACCGGTTATGACCCAATAAGCACATGCACAGGCATCCTGATGTGTTCCTCTCCATATGCCGCACCAAGTGACGAGTCTCACTACTCGCTCGTGTTGTGCACCCACACAAACCTGCACATGCAAATTCAAAATCAGCTCATGCACACACGCTCGCTGCAAGCACACTCACACACACACAAAGTTAGAGACACACGTTGTTACCCTACAATCACACACACACACACACACAGGTATCCTTTCCTGTACAGACCTGCATGCAGGGCACAGAACCTCACGCACACATGCGTGTAATTTAACACACGCGCACTGTTCTGTGATGTTCTTGATGCCAGGCCGACACTGTGCATATTTCATGTTCGTTTAGTTTTGCGATCCGTGCCTCTGCACACGAAAGCCCACTCTTTCTTTTTTCCTCCCTCTGCTTTCATTCTCTCTCTCTCTTTCCATCTCTCTCCGTCTCTCTCTCTCTCTCTCTCCCTCGTCTGCCGCGCTCTCTGAGCATTTGAAATGGTAATGAGGAGAGATTCTGCGGATGTCTTCATCCCTCTCCCCCTCGTGCCGGGGCCCCTCAGCTCTGCCCATTGAAGGCGCAGATAAAGGTGCAATCTGTAATTTATTCTCCTCACATGAATCACGTCTGATTTTCCTTTTCCGAAAACCACGTATGATCCCAAGAAAGTGAAAAACTAGATTGCATTTTAAGTGGCCAGTTAGACCTCTATTTATGATCGCATAAATTAAAGGCCAAAATTGGGGTAATTGGTAGATTCACTTGAGGACTTGAAATGAATTCAAACTGACTTTTAAAGTTCAACTTTGGCGAACTTTGACTTGCAAATGTGTACCTTTAACCAAAGCGGTCTTGCTGAGCTGACCTTTTGAAAAGAGCTGAAACCAACAAATTCCCAAATAGGAGGAGCTGTCACACGGCTGTTAATCTGCAAACATGTTTTGCTCCCCACTCTGGAGCAAATTAAATCCACCATATTTGTGGTACATTTCCACCGAAAGCCAACGGAGACGGTTGAGAATTTGACCCCAAAAATTTGTTGTATTCAATGTTTTTTTGAAAACTATCTGATTCACTGTTCCTGGAATACCGACCAATGAGAATCAAGCTAGCAGCGACACTTTTAAACAGCGTTTCTCCTTCATTACGTTGATATGACCTCTGTAAATAAAACTGTGTTATACTGGTTAGAAAAAGCGTTGTTGGGTTGGTGTTTGTTTAAAAGTACTTAATTTGAGTTGTGAGGCACTAAATTAAGCTTAATTGTCGCTTTTTAGGCTAGCTACTTTAGCTTGTGTTATATTAGCTTGTAAAGCGTAATAGCTCATTAGCTTGCCGCACGGGTCACCAGGATGTCAAATTTAGCTCTTTTGCGTTCTAGCGTCGATTAAGCGGTATTTTCAGTTCGCATAAGTGCAAGATTGATTAACCTTACCAGGATGATCTGGGCTAGATTGACAGGCTTCTTCTGTTAAACCAGCACATTAATCCACAACAGGCTGTTTCCTACGCACGCACACACACACAGACACACACACAAACATCCACACGTTTTACTTGTCTAGGCACGCATCCTCTTTTTACCGCTTAGTCTGTTCATTGCACAAGCAAAAGTCACTCATGCGTTACCTACTACATGTAATACGCTTTCACACACACATACACACACGTATACGCACGGTTGTATGTGATGAGCATACAGGGCAGCTCCGCAAGGGGTTAAATGTCTGAGTGATGCATTGATTGCAGGCGAGCGCAGGGAAGCATTCTAGAGAAGGAGATTAGAGGACGGAGGGAGAGAGCAATAGAGAGGAGGGAGGGAGGGGAGGGAGGGGAGGGAGGGGAGGGAGGGGGGTGGCGGTGTCTCATTTTACTGCGGAGGAGTTTGTGTGTGTGTGCGTGTGTGTGTGTGTGGCGGGAAGCCAGGGCTCTCGTGCTAAGCTCCTCGCTCTCTCCTTGCGATATTAAACACGGCTTCGGAGGTTTAGTGCTATGCCTCCTCCACAGCCACACACACACACACATACGCGTCGGCTCCACAAAAACACTCACCAGCGCGCGCACACACACACACACACACACACACACTTAGGCAAGCTGCATATCAACACTCCCTACCCGTCAGTCTCTCTAACACTTGCTCTCATTCACTCACACAGACAGACACACGCTCGCACACTCACACACGGAGCGAGTGGAATCCCCCAGAGGGGAGCTTCGGCACAGCGCTCCTGAATCTCTCTCCAGCAGGCAAACAGAGTGTTGGCAGTGAGCGAAAACCAGTTGGAGCGCCGTCCCACCCCCCCCTCACCCAACCCTCCACCCTAGTTTCTCTCCCCTTCTCGCACTTTTTTCTTGCTCACACTTGCTCACTTTTTTCTTGCCATTCTCCTTTCCGCTTCTCCCCTCCTTTCTTTTCCTTCATTGTCTCTCCTTCCTCCCCGGCACAATCGTCCTCTGTTCGTTCCTAACACCAACACCACCGCCGCCGCCGCCACACACACTTCACACTACCACTACCACCCAGCCTTTCATCTCTTGTTATTATCAGCTGCAGCCCAGAGGACAGCCCCGGCAGATTCCATCCACAGATTCATTAATCTGTCATCTGTTGGGGTGTTGCCTCTGCTCTTCTCCCGTTCTTCCGCTCTCTCTAGCTTCTCCTCTCATCCCTCTGTCAGTCTGTTTTTCCCCTCACTGCTTTTCCTCTCCGTTCCTTTCCCTCCATCCGCCCTGCACTGAAAGAGAAGGAGAGAGAGAGAGAGAGAGAGAGAGAGAGGGGGAGTGAGATAAACACTTGGACTCGACGGCAGGCTGGAATTAGCATAGAAATGGAAGTTTGGAGTCATTCCCCAGGTTCAGATGAGCAGCTTTCCTCCCTTCGGCACAGGACTGTTAGCAGGACACAGTTTGCATGTCTCTGGATGTATGAGCCTCCCATTCACATAAACATGAATATATATGAGATATGTATAAAAAAAATAAAGGTTGTTTTTTTTCCTGTTTGTTTTATCCATCCGATCCCACACTAAGTTGCATTTCCACGCAGATAAACATACCTGCAGTGTTGAAACACAGACCCCCTCTCTGACAGGCCCGATATCAACACATGGCTGGACTCCTATCTCTCTCCTCTCTGTTTTAGAAACAGCAGAGGTAGCTCAAGTCCAATAGAAAACCAGTCTGACTACTTAGTGCTGGATGGCCAACTGTCACAGCCCTAGACCAGAGAAAACGCTTCCAACTCTTAAGCGCCTCTATCAAATCTCTTTGTTCCGCTTCCATTACGCTGTGTTCAGAGCCCAACCATCGAAACTGGCTGCCACAGCGGCGTCTAGGCCCAACCGTGGCACACACATACACACTCACACTCACTCACACACACACACACACAGGAGCCGAATCTGGCAGGCTAAATACAGTTGAGTCACACTTAGTCTCCTCGATGTGTTTTGGCGCCAGTGTTAGCATTATGGAGCATTTGTGAGTGAGCGTGTGTGTTTGCCCGACACAGGAACACACTCAGTTCCTCCTCTCCCTAATTTCTCTCCCACAGGACGCGTGAAGGGAAGGACTGTTTGCGTACGCGTCTGCTCCGTCTGACATGTGTGTTTGCTCTTGTGTTGCTTGGGTTGTCGCCACTAAACCCTCCTCTTCCTCTTTGTTGGCTCTCTCTCTCTTCAGGAGGTTGTGCTGTACTGTCTGGAGAACAGAGTATGCGAGGTGAATCACAGAGACTACGCCGGGTACTGCGCTCTCCATGAGGCGTGCGCCCGCGGTTGGCTCAGCATCGTCCAACACCTGCTGGATTATGGGGCTGACATCAACTGCAGCGCACAGGACGGCACCAGGTAACCGAACGCTCGAATTCACATCGCGGAAACTCCTGCTTGCATAAACACGTCTCCCTTGCACAATGACATTAGGGCTGCTTTTTCCACATGCTCTTAAAAGGGCAAGCCAGCACTGAGTCATCAATCAAATCACTTGAGTTTGCACATAACATTCGTGGGGATTGATTTTATATTTGCTTGGCGGGAGCAGGGATTTGACTGCTTTGATGCAGTTTAAAATGGGAAAGGCTCGAGCTCTCATTGATGAGCCATTAAAATTTATAAGTCTGCTTCTGATCCAGGAAACCGTGCACAGGCCTCAGAGGTGCATTGAGCAACAGTTTAGCCCTGCTAGCCATTACAGTGTTTGTGAAATTACAGTTTTACTAGAACTGTTGAGATTTTACTGAATGTCAGACGCAACGTGTCGAGTCTTATCTGTAAATCACCGAAGGGCAAATAGAGCAGGAGCAGTGATGTGCAGGAGAAGGAGCATGTAACCTGAAGGAGAGCGATTTCATGGGAAATTAAAAGTGATAAAAACATGAATCTATCAGTTATTATGATATCAAAGTTCTTAGAAAGTAACACAAAATCTTTAGACTACTAAGATCGTTGAGAAAGGCTCAGTTTCCTGGGTGAGCCTGGGTGCCACCCCCCTCAGTCTACATCTCTTCTCTGGTGCATGATCTCAGGACTCTGTGTGTTCATATGCTGCCTTTGGGTTACTTCAGAAGTCAGATGTCCAAACTGGGAATGACGTCACACCTGAGCTACCAGTGACACAGTCACCAAGTTGAAAAAAAGCTAAATCGAAGGCGGAAACAAGATGTTGCAGAAGTTGCTTATATTCGGTGAAGCCAAGCGCTAAATTAACTTTAATAGATGTAGCCATCTTGTTTCCGCCTCCAATTTTGCTTTTTCCCAACTTGGTAACTAAAACGCCGGTAACTTGGTTGAGATGTCATTCCCAGCTTCCGAGGTAACTCGAACGCAGCAATATTTATGGGTATTCCAGCCGTTTTGTGTGTGGCGTGTTTCACCAGCGTAAAAATGTTTATAGACAATCAAAAAATATCATCGTCTGTACCCACTTGTTGATTTGTGTGGCTTGTGTGCTCAGGCCGATTCACGACGCTGTGGAGAATGACCATCTGGACGTGGTGCGGATCCTGCTCTCTTACGGCGCCGACCCCACCCTCGCCACTTATTCTGGCAGGGGGCTGCTGAAAATGACCCACAGTGACAGCATGGAGCGTTTCCTCACTGGTAAGATCCCAGCTGGACTTGCATACTGTTACCTTCACTCCCCCCCCCCCCCATATTCAGTCCTAATTTTTAACTCTATACCTGAATTGAGCTCGTTCTGATGTTTTAGTAGAGATCATAAATATCCCAGTTGTACGGATGCTGCCAGTTTAACTTTTCTGCTGTAGTCCAAACGGAGGATATGAGTCCCATGGGAAAAAAAGTGAAGAAAGTCAAACTGGTTTTGTACCTGAATTTTCGGTTGCCAGTGCTGGAGAGGTGTGAATGAAAACTCTTGGAGATTAAAAAGACTTTTTCAACAGCAGCCACACTTGAGTGTGGATGAGGTGTGTTGAGGTTAAATTTTTAAATGGGACTGTTACCGAGCCAGTATCCAAAAGTCCTCACTCCTGGCTCATTCACTGTTTGCTGTTCTCTCTCCGCTCTGACCTCCGCGCAACCTGTTGGTCTGAGTCCCTCTGTGTAAATCCTCCTCCTCCTTCTTCCCCGCCGCCGCCGCTACGAGACATGTCCGTCTCTGTCATCCTGTTTCCCCTTCAGCACCCCTCCCTTATCCCTCCTCCCTCCCTCGACCACCTGTTAGACAGGGAGTCTCAGCCTGCCGGGGTGCGTGCTGCTGCCTCTGAGCTCCTCTATCTGGTTACTTAGCAACGCCAACTGTGTTTGCTCAGCGTACGTGCGGAAATGGGCTCCGCTCTGGCTGGAAACTGCTTTTGTGTGTGCGTGCGTGTGAGAGCCTGAATGTGTCTTTTCACTCCGGTCTGACGTGGTCTGTATTTTGGTTGTGCGTGTGTGTGTGTGTGCATGTGTGTGCTAAGAGAGGAGTCATCTGAATGTTTGTAGTTAAAGTTGAGAGAAGCAGCCAGTTTGTGTACAGGAGGAGGAAATGAGAGCACATACACATGCAGACGCTTCCTCCAGAGCCAGCTGCTTAATATTACATGAACATCTAACAAGCTAAAACCGATTATCTGAGACACGCCAGAGGCTTTGGAGAAAAAGACAAGACGGGGGCGCGGGAGACAGGAAGGGAGATCAGGGTGAAAATGAACAGGTGTAAGTTCACGGTGAACAGGTTTGCAGCAAAAGAGGGAGATTTATACGTCGACAAACGGAAAGATGGTGTTGAATTTTGAAGAGAGCGTGAAGGGATGGATCGATGGCTGCTAGATTGACAGAGCAAGGAGAGAGGGAGGGATAGAGGGGAGATCGAGCAGCGGAGAAAATGAGCGAGAGCGAGCGATCGCTGCCCTCCCTCCACCTGGTCCCACTCATCTGGAGGCCGTTAATCCCTCCAAACACACGCCAGACGCCCCACGCCTCAGCACTGGCACAAAGCCCAGCTCTCACTCTGCAAATGTGTGTGTGTGTGCATGCGTGTGCTGCACACTCACACATACACACACACATACACAGACACACACACACACATTGCTCTGGCTGTGTGTGCTTATCCAGCTCCCTCTGCTTGTTTGTTTCCAGCCTGTGTGTGTGCGTGCGTGTGTGTGTGTGTGTGTGTGTGTGTGTGTGTGTGCGCACAGCGACTGTGTGTGGTTCTTGTTTGATTCCTGGCAGCCCGGCTCTGAACTGAGCCAGCTCTCACCCAGCGGAGACAGTCGCTCTCCTCCCCCGTGGTACAGCCGCTGGCCCCTGACCATCACCACCTCCCCCCTCCCCTCCTCCTCCTCCTCCCTCCAAAACATTTGCTCTGTTTGTTTCTCTTTTCTCTTTTGACACCACCCTTCTCCTCCTCCTCCTCCTCCTCCCTCTCCTCCTCCTCCTCCTCCGTTTTACTCTGCTCTTTATCCATTTTTCTGCTGTAGACTTTAAAGGGCAATTGTATTTGCCTGCTTGTCTGTCCCCGGGGCTCTGGCTCTCGAATAACACGCTCTGCTCCTCTCCTCTCTCCATAGATTATTTTGCCGACCTTCAGGGCCGCTCGGATGACGACCCAGGGATTTATTGGGAATTCTACGGCAGCGCTGTGTGTGGTGAGTGCTAATCATGTCTGTGTGTGTGTTTTGCTGCTTTCGGAGTCTTTATTTTTCAAGGCCTCGGTGATTCGGACTAAAAATAATCCATGTTTTTTGTGTGTGTGTGTGTGTGTCAGAATCAAGCGAAGAGGGCGGCGTCTATGACATCTTGGCTGACCCTCCAGGCCCAGAGGATGAAGATGAGGACGATAAGAGGGAGGTGTTTGAGTTCGAGTTCTCTGACCGACCTCTGCTGCCTTGCTACAACATCCAGGTTTCCCTCTCCCAGGGGTGAGCGTTGTCCCGAAGAGTCAAACAAACCTTTGTGACTTTTTCTGCCCGTTTCATCTGCTAAAACTTTTTACTTCTACTTCTCTCCTTCAGGCCCAGAAACTGGCTGCTCCTCTCCGATGTGCTCCGCCGATTGAGGATGTCTGCCCGAGGTTTCCGACAGGCCTTCCCCCACATGGAGGTGGTGACGGTGGCAGAAGCTGAGTTTTACCGGCAGGCCTCTTTGTCGCAGCTCTTCTCTTGCCCCGAGGAGCTGGAGGGCTTCCAACCGGACAGTAAAGACCTGTTGGACCTGGTGGAGGATAGCGCCGAGCTGGCCGCTCTGCTCGGCTCCTCACTGGAGTGTTTGGACGACCACTGGGATCATGTAGGGGACAAACTAAAGGACAAAATCAAGGCTGTTGGCAAGTTGGGCTCATCCTGACCCCTAAGACTACTACACCTGGACTTAAATCCTTAGTGACTGCGTTTTTCTTTAGAAACCATGCAGGGGTTGTGTTGATTTGCCTTAGCCCTGACCCTTAGTTCCCACTTCTCAGCTTGGCTCTGGACCAGCACCGGTGCACTGTACAGACGGACTGACCTGCTGGTTGAGCGGGCTGCTGAAACCCCTCTGTTATCTGAGTTTCAGAAGATTTGTGACTTAATAATGGTCTTATTTTTATAAATTAATATATGTATAAATTCATAAATATATATAAATAAATATATAAATAATATCAAGAGATTTTGTTTTTCCGTTCCGACGTTGCTCACAGCTCCTCTCTTAGAGACTTTGTACGGCAACAGGATGTATTTATGTTGTCAGCGGAGTGTGTGAGCGCAGCACACTGTGCCTGTGTGTTGCTGTACAGGATAGAACTGAGGCTGTGCTATTGAATGTGGTATTTGTGTTTATAGGAAGCACATGATGTCCTGTTTTTTTTTCCTTCAGACTTTAGCGCTGGCTGTGGCCTCAGGGGCGATTCTGTTGTACCTTTTTTTTTTTTCTCCCCCTTCATTTTAGCAATGGAGTTTTGCTTCCTGTTAAGTCTGTAATTTAACTTTGCAAAACTACAAAATTGTTTGTATGATAAAGTTTGAAGATAATGTTGATATTCACCTTGCAGCACAGAGCTTGTACATAACAGGGAGGCTACTGCAGTACAGTAATTTCTGGTGTGTTCATTTTTTGTTTTAAACTTTGTAATTAAAATATCTCATAATTTGTATTTATATTTTACAAAAGAAGTTGCTTTAAATAAATATACAAACTGCAAGTGAAACCAAGTTCTGAGCCTTTTTTTCTGGCATGTTTTTTAAATTAATTGAAGTTGTGGGGCTGAGATCAGACGTTCCCACTAAAGTTAAATTTTTCCTACACAATCGTCCTCCACAGTTCCAGCATATCGCCAAGATGCGGACACTTAAAACAATCCTGTATCGCCATCTCTTGGAAGACTTTTGTATTGTCTGTGTCTTTCACTTTACCGCTGTAGCCATGAGGGGGCAACCCACCAGCTACCATAATCAGCCTCTTTGTGTTGAAGGCTTGCAGCGCCCTCCAGTGTGCAAAAATGGTCTGACTCTTCATTCAATTTAACTCCAGTGCTTAACCAAATTCCTTCATGGGTATTTATTTGACATTCCAAGATATGACAAAAGCAGTCCTGCTAAATGAAGCTGAAATTGCCTCCAAATCCCCCCTTCCCTCAAGACCCATTACAGGACTTTTGGTACAGATAATGAAATTGATGGATAACAAAGAAATGGAATTGTTACTTAAAGCACAAAATCCAGGATTTCTCCATTATCACATCTGATATGAAGAGTAAAAGAGATTACAGAGCCCCATTTTGGCTCAGTTGATGGAGCAGGTACCCCATATATAGAGGCTACAATCCTTATTGCACATGTTCTGGCATGATTTGGTTCAGGTCAATCCCTCTCTGTCCCCACATTTCTCTCAAGCTGTTCTATCAAAATAAAAGGCTATAAGCCCCAAAACATTTTAAAAGGACTGAAGGGATAAGATTATGTTGTCTGCAACAAAGCAGGATCGCCAGCAAAGTTGACCCCATTTTTTGGTCAGTACTTGGTGATCTGTGCAAGTTGGCAATCAAAAATATACAGTGTCAAAGGAAGGATTATGATTACTGAATTTTGCCCTGTATGATTCAGGTATAAAGAGTTTATTTCACTTTACACTCTTCATTTTTAGAATTACATCAACAGCAACAAAAGACCAATATCCACTATGAGCGACGTGCAGCTCAAAAAAATTAGCATGTTATGAAAAGTTCAGTTTTTCAAATAATTTTATTAAAAATGTAAAATTCCCATATGCTCTAGATTCACCATGTCAGATTTCTGGAAAATTAGGTTCATTTTTGCACTCAGTACTTGGTCGGAGCTCCTTTTGCAAAAATTACTGCATCACTGTAACCTGGCATGGAGACAATCAGTCTAGAAACCGAAGTTACTTTGATTGCTCCTTCAGCTCGTCTGTATCGTTGACTCTAGTGTCTCTCATCTGTCTCTTGAGGATTCTTTAGAGATTCTCTTTGGGGTTCAGGTCAGGTGATTTGGCTGGCCAACAACTCTCAAGTCAGCAGTCTTCTTCATGATTGTGGTTGTGTGTACTGAACTAGAGTGAGAGAGTAATGGTTCGGTAAACTTTTGCAGGTGTTCAGAGTTAATAAGCTGATTAGAGCTCTTTTCAGGACTGAGAGAAGTGACAAGAAACAGGACTTTTCCAGGATATTCTAACGTTCTGAGACAGTAGATTTTGGATTTTCATGAGCTAGGAGCTGTAATTATCAAGATTTAAACCAACAAAAATCTAGAAATATGTTGCTTTGTGTCAGTTGAATCTTGATTATTTTGAAGTTTCACTTTTATAATTAAATCATGGAGGAAAAAAATGAACTTTTTCAGGAAATTCTAGCTTTTTGAGCTATACCTGTATGTGTAAGCACACCCACAAAATGAATTAAAACAGCTTTCTGAAAGACAGCAAACTTTGCTGTCTGCGAAACATGCAGTGAAAATGAAGACAGTCTGACTCATTTCAGGAAGCTCTATATTTTATTAACACGTCTTAATTCACACCGTTGAAAAAAAGTGATTCATATCCTATCTTGTAGTGATTAGTTATCATCTATTAAACCTTGAGTCATACTAACAAACACCGCTCCATGCCAGAACGGAAGAAATAATTCCCAACAAATTCTCTTTGCACCTTTGTTTAAGTCAGGAAAACAGTACTTAGCCTCCTCTTTGACATCTTCTGGAGATATTCAAGTTCATATTTGTCGCTTACATTTTCTTTATATGTTCACAGCCTTGTCAGATCAGCAGTGAGCCTCCGAGATGCAAATGTAGGTGCAAAAAGTCCAAACGAAGACAGATAAAAGTCATCTTGTTAAAATGGTGTCATTCTATGGTACAAAGTCCCATCTGATCTAGGTCTGTGGAAACATCTTTAAATGTGGCATCACTCCTGTGCCTTCAAGTGTTGGCTTACATTTGTGTAAGACTAGTACCTGTACTTCATATGCCCGTGTGGGCTAAGCTCTCATGTGTCACTATCAAGTTAAAGTCATGAAACCCTCGGAAAATGTTCTAACTCAGTTAAACGAGAACAGTTCACTCTGTCTGCTTCAAGATGAATTTCCTATCTACACAGAGTGAGAGATACATGAGTTTGGGTTCGAGATTAAAGGCTTGGCAGTGATATAATTTAACTTCTTGGATATTTTTGAATGTCCATATCAACAGTTGATCATTTCTTAAAAGGACATGTCCAGTCAAGCCCTAAATATAAAGGCTTCAGTGGCCTGATGGGACTGCTGTACGGCTACACATCAGTCTGAGAGGCTCTGCAAAAACAAGCTGCATGATGATCTGGCTGAGATTCAACAACAATTGCAACATAACTTAAGAGGAGCTACAGAAGGCAGTGGGAATCGAAACTTATTTGCCAACAGCTCTATCTTTGCTGCAGAGTGGGTGCATGAGAGATCTGCTGGACTGCTGCCAAGAAACAAGCCAAAATTTAGAAGGAGTTGAGTTGATCCACAAGCTGACAATGAAGCTTCAGAAAGTGACATGAGCAAATCATCCCCTCTGGCAATGTAGGGAAAATCTTGAGAAATCTATTGTTTAAAAAAATGTTAGCAGATTAAAATCAGCCTCAAGAATCAGCTCCATTATTTATTTTTACTCTGAAAACCATCAGCAAGAATCTGCAACAGTACCTTTCAGCGTAAGAGCTCAGAGAGACTGATGGGGTTAGGTCAGAGCTGGAGCTGTTGTCTCCAGGTAGAGAGGAGTGTGCTCATTTCACATATCCAGGTAAAGGTCATGGCACGACTATGGGCTGTCAGACGGCTAATTGAGATCCTAAAAAAAGAGCTCAGTCTGGCAGATGTGATTTTCTCAGCCCAAACACTGAGTCAGAGAGTCATATCCTGAGACAGACGGTGCAGGAGGTTCACGCTGGCCCTCTCCACTGAACAGCAGGATGGAATTTTAGCGATTAAGGCATGAACCTGAAAGCTTTGCAAAGCCAGCCGGACGTCATAAAGGTGAAAAAAACAACAATTCTCTGTGAGTAGCTGAGAGGCCTGCATTTTCACTGTATTACAGAAAGATGTAATCTGAAATCTTTTATTGTTTATATTTAGTTTTGTTTGAAATAACTGTATGAGAAAGCTTTGAATGTGTTCTGTCATAGATAATACAATCCAACATAGTTTTACTGCAGCCTGGATTTTAGTGCCAAAATCCAGGCTGCAGTAACTTCACATGATTGAGACACTGCTGGTTTTTGAACCTCGTATTGTCATGTAGGACTCACTTGTCCAGGCTCATCTGTTTCATGAAAGATTGTAGTGATTCAAATGCTTTCTCTGTCCGCAAGTGCTAGGTCTGGGGACTCTCTAACTCTACACAGAGGGCCCGCAGTATTAGAACTCACAACTGACCCTACTCACTGTGACCTGTCTGTGTTTACCTCCACAGTGATTCATTGCTGCTTACTTGTTCAGGTTAATGTAATTTCCTGTACATCATGGTTAAAGTTCAGAATACTCTAATTTATACAGATCTTCTTGGCTTAGCTCCTTCTTATTTATGTGCTCCTCTTCAAAGGACTGAAAGCCACTACACTCTGTGCTCACACAACACTGTCCATTTGATTGTTCCGTGAAACAAAACTGAACTGGGCAAAAAAGCGTTCAGTTCTCTGCCACTTCAGCATGGAATACTCTCCAGACTGACCTGAAATTGACAGAGTTAGACACCCCCTTGAGAGATGAATGTCACCGACTGCTTGCTTCTCTAATTGTACCAACTTTAGTAACGACTGCACGATAGCATTACAGAGAGCCACGTGCTCAACCAAAAAGCCACTCTATAGCCACAAATAATGCTCAGAACAGCACCTAACTTCATCAACAGTACATACAGGGTCCCAGCCACAGCACTAGCCACCAAACATCCTTTTAACTTTGCCTAATTTCTTTAGCAAAGAGACTAAACACAACTCACCCACTCTCTTCCAGCAGCCGCTTGTTTCTATGGTTTATATGGAGACCTCTGGGTGAGTCAACTACAGCGGGATGACGCAGCTCAAGGAAGAACATTTATGATCATTTCTTTATCATTTCCTTGAAGTAATGACCGCCAAATTAATCATTTTGCACTGCAGACGCGGTAGTTCTTTTACCGCGTCTCGGTCTGATTGTATTTCCATAAAGAAATGATCATAAGTGTTCGTCCTTGAGCTGTGTCCCCCGCCCGGAAGTTACCGTAGGCTACAAACAAGCAGCTGCTGGAAGAGAGTGGGTGAGTTGTGTTTAGTCTCTTTGCTAAAGAAATCAGGCAAAGTTAAAAAGATGTTTGGTGGCTTGTGCTGTGGCTGGGACCCTATATGTACTGTTGATGAAGTTAGGTGCTGTTCTGAGCATTATTTGTGGCTATAGAGTGGCTTTTTGGTTGAGCACATGGCTCTCTATATTGCTATCTGCGGTCGTTACTAAAGTTGGTATAACTAGAGAAGCAAGTGGTAACATTCATCTCTCGGGAGGGTGTCTAACTCAGTGTTACGGTGTGTTTGACCCTAAATTGATTTTACGCCGGAATATCCCTTTCATTGGGATCCTATGAAGTCAGACCCCTCCTCTCCCTTGTGTCGGTTTCCCAAGTTTTGCTTTCGCTCCTATTTGCAACTGACCTCCAGCTGGTGGGGCTGATACCCGTGTGAGCGGTTGCATCAACTCGAAATAAACACCACAGAAAAAGAATCCTTTGCAGCACGTTGACGTCAGGTCAGCTGATCACTTCTTACCAAGGAGAAAAATGTCGCTCACAAACTGGCGAAGGATGGACGCGGTTTTCACTGCGGCGTTTCTTCTTTGTTTCCTGGCATCAAACGGTAAGCAGACACATCGATAGAGGTAGATGGTAACCATAATTCTTGGTATTCCCCCACCACACCCTCGCTAAACTAAATAACATCGATGATTGGTCAGGTTTGCAATTGAGAAACGTCGTTAGCATCGCCATTAAGCCTTACGTTTCTAATTCCTCATCATGTGTAACGTAAACACATTTTTTTTCACATATATAAAGAGGATTTAGTCATAATAAAATCAAATTTTCTTGCAGTACATGGATTGTTGTCTTGCTTTGTTTATTAACGCGCAGGTTTAAAAAGCGGTGCGGATATTGCTAGCTCATTGCTAACCTCAGTAAGCCCCAAAACGCTCATCAGAAGTGATGATCTGATCATATGTGGTTTTCTTGTCACGAGAGTTATGAATTTATAAGTGTAAGTTTGTAATAAAGTGAAGATAAGCAGGCCTGAAGCTAGTAACTATTTGACACAGGGCTGTCAGTCATGTGACCCACTGTAACCTGGTACTTCCTCTTTGACATTCACCAGCTCTCTGTCACGAGTTAATACCATCATTTAAGACACTGTTGGTGTTCATGTTTTATCTTTGGCTGTGGATAAACTCATCAGATATTTGACAGAGCTTTACTAATGTTGGAAGTTCTTTTTACACACAAATGAGAACTAATCACAGCACTGAACCACAGGAGTCATTTTGTTTCTCATTTCAGGATTCATACTTTTTCTTCCACTATTGCAAAACATTATCTAAGGAAGGAAATGTTATTACTCTGTCACTGTCTGGAAGGTTTGGTCACAGGGTCATTTATAAAACTAAATCACCAAAACACTTGGTCTAAATATCTGCAGTCAAAAATGTGATTTCTAAGGGCTCTCTTTATGTTGTGTAAATGCACTAAAAACAGTCATGAAAAACTGTCAGATACTGGTGACCCCCCTTAACTGATAATGTTAATGCATAGAGGCCTCCAAATTTTTTTAAGGTATAGATTGGTTTCACAAATGCAACATGTGCACTTACAGCCGTTTATCATTTCTACAGAATTAAAAATCACTCTGTCAAAGGAAGTCCAAGGAGGCATAGAAACAGTAGTCCTGGATAGTTACAGTATATTTTCCTTTATTAAAGGGATATTCTGGCATAAATTTAATTTAGGGTCAAACTTACTGTAACACTAAGTTAGACACTATTAGTTAGTGCTATGACTGGGACCCTACTGTTGATGAATTTAGGTGCTGTTCTGAGCATTATTTGTGGCTATAGAGTGGCGTATTGGTCGAGATTTGTGTGTGGAGCCATAGACTGCTGTGTATTGCTATCATGTGGTCATTACTAAAGTTGGTAACTAGAGAAGCAAGTGGTCGGCAACATTCATCTCTCGAGGAGGTGTCTCACTCGGTGTTATGGTGTGTTTGACCCTAACTTAATTTTATACTAGAATATCCCTTTAATGATGGTTTAGGTATTGAAATTATAGATGCACAGCATTATTGGTGTAATATTAGCATCAATAGATAAAAGCTGTAAAAGTTAGATATCAGGTTGGGCAGATATGAATATTTCTGCTGAGAAAAGTGACGGACAAATTATGCTCACCTAGTGGCAGCTTATGCATATCAGCATCTTGCTTTACCCTGCGCGCTGTTAAGAGGTATTTTCAAGTGTCAGATACTACAGCTGTTTACAATGCTTTTAAAGCTCTGTTGATTTTAGGAAGAGCAAAGTAATGGTCCTCTAACACTACTGATTTCATTGTACATCGCAAGAGCTGTAGAATCAGCACCAGGGAAAACCTACCTGTAGCTTCTACCTTAGTCATTCAAAAAAGTTAAAAATAAAGCCGGAACCACCCAAAGGTCAAGGAGAGTAAAAAGACAATCATTGCTTTTGATAACCAGCCTTGCAGTGTCAAGTCAGAGTCACCAAGATGAGTCTGAAAATATCAGCATACCAGAAGAAAATCCAGTATCCTTCACTTCATATTGTAATGCTATATTTTTGTTGGTGTTGTTGAATTTATAAAAGATTTTATTAATATTGTGTAAATTCCAGCAAAATGTGCGAATATAACTTTTAAAAACACAGTAAAACAAAGTTTTACTGTTGTCCCAAACTGTTTCATCCTTCTGGTAGTAGTTGTATAAAACTCTGAGTTTTACAGAATGTCAGTTTTACCAAAGTTGACAGTCGTTGTCTTTCTTCCAGGTGCTCATGGAGACAGCCTCACTGTGCTGCAGGCTCCAGAGTTTGTGTCCTTTCAGAAAGGAGACTGGCCCGTCTCTGGAGAGAAGATCCCGGACTTGGTGGCTTTAACCATGGGCTTCTCAATTCAAGAGGTACTTCTATTTTTCTAAAGAAGCCTCTGCATTTGTAATGTTATTGAACAGAATCATCTTTTTTTTAGTTCAGGTGCCAGCGGGACTGAGACTTGTAAGATCCTTTCATGTTTACAGACCTTTTCCTGTTTCTGAGCCCATTTTTAGCTGCCTGGCTGCATGTTTACAAATGTATGGTTCACTGTCACTGTTCACTTTTTCTGCTGTAGATTAAAATGCTCTGAAAAAATATTAAAACTAATTAATTTGAAACTATAAGCTACTAACTGGAGAACACAATGAAGCATTTAGCAGCCAGAGATTAGGATATTTCCCAGGACTTTGTTACATAAAAACCAAAAATCTGAGAGGTCATGATGTGCAATTTTTCCACAGTTTGTTTTTTGGCTGCATCATGTGACAAAATCAGGTCAATGCAGATTAAATGCTCCTGTGAGAACTTTGTAACTGGCTGTGAAACAGGATAAAATTAGATTAACATGTATTTAAAAAAACAGTAAGACTATAATAAATGGAAAACAGCAAAAAATATGCATGATTTTGTGAGACCTCATCTTACCAATGTGTCATACAGGATCTGTCCTGGCCTGGGCTGAATGCAGGACCACTGTTCCAGCGTCCCCGGGCGAACGTGCTGGTGGTGGTGAGGGGAGTCGACAGCCTGGACCTGCCTCAGAGTGTGGCCTCCTACCCTCTGGAGAATGTGAGCTGGACTGAAAATAATGCTTTGTATTTTGATAATAGCGCTTTATAACAAAAGCCAGCACTCTGACTGAACAACTCTCGTGTCCTCTTCTTTGCAGCCTGTGCCCTTCACTCTGGATAGCGTTGCAGAGACTGTACACTCCCTCTTTGCTGAAGACACACCTGTAGTGCTTCAGCTGGCCCCCAGTGAGGAGGTGAAGGAAATATACTCAGACTTAACAGTACCTTCTAACTTTTAGTCTCTTAAAAAAATATGATTGTCATGTTTTTTGTTGTCTCTCTCAGAGGTTGTACATGCTGGGCAAAGCCAATGCTGTGTTTGAGGACCTGCCAGTCACCCTGCAGCAGATCCGAGCTCGTCTGTCCCAGGATGGCTCTGTGTTGGCTTCCCTACCTCTAAACTCCCTCAGCAGAAATGTAGAGGTCAGTGTCGAGCCACAAAAGAGACGGATTGGCTTTTGATAGCTCATGTGTTATGAGCAAAAGTATGGCGTGATGCTACACCATTCTGTCCAACATTTCTCTACACAAACTTTTAAAGACAAACTTGTGACTGTCAAAGATACTCAAAAGCTGACTTCTATTATAGCTGGTTCCTTTTCACTGTCGCTAAAAGAAATCTACATTGACAGATGTTTTTCTGCTGTCAACCCTCACCGTTTAGTAAAGGCTGTGTTGCAGCTAGCATCCCTGTGATTAATGTAAACATACAGGTAACCTGACAAGGGTTTCCATTTGTTTTCAGTTTCTATCTCTACTCATATTAACAGCTGTTCTGTGCCGTTCTTGCTTTTGCTTTCCAGGCTGATCTGCTCTTCCTGTCTGAGGTCCAAGTCCTGCATGATATCACAGCTCTGGTAAGTCTTCAGGGAGTCCTGAAGCTCTTTTTGCCTGTGCTGTTACTGGAACCAAGTGTTGCCTTGCATTGCGCAACTGAATCTCCATATTCTTCATGTTTTGTAGCTTTTGAGGCACAAACACTTGGCGAAGGACCACTCCCCTGACCTGTACTCTTTGGAGTTGTCTGGCCTGGAGGAACTCAGCAGGGTGTACGGCAAGGACTCTCCCCAGTACCGCGATGCCACCTCCATTCTAGCCTCTGTTCTGCAGAAAGTAAGTTGCGTAGCAGTGTAGAAACAGACACTGTCTAGTTTTTAATGTAATATCTGCATCTAATAATACCTGTTTCTTTTGTTGTAGTTTGCAGAAGATGTGTACAGTCTCTACAGTAACAGTGCTGTGGTGGAGGTCGTCACAGTGAAGACCTTTGAGGCTCCTTTGACCAGGAAGTCCCGTTCAATCCTGGAATCCAAACAGATTGTAAGTGTGAGGTAGACAAAGTGTTTGGTAATAAATCAGCACAATATCAAAATTAAGGATTAGTTTGGTGCCATAAATGAACATTGAATGAGCACTTGTTTTTAACTCAGTCTTTAAAAGCTGAACACAGAGCTGTTTCCTTCATACTGAAATGTAAAACTGAATCTGGCGTAACTGACCCGGAAAAATAGTGAGACTTGATGACAAACCACAGAATGTAAAACGGGGAGTAAAAGATAATCGCCGTGGGAATACTTAGGAATAATATTAAATGACAATGTATCCCAGCATGCGTGTTTAGTATGAGGGAAGAGCAGTTAGTAGTTGAAAATTGACTGTACTACAGATGTTGGCATCACAGAGGGGCTGCTTTAAACCCCAATTGGTGAGGTATAAAGTCAGAGCATGAATTTTAGGGTGTGGAAGTAAAGGATGCCTCATTAACTCATAGAAATGAATGAGGCAAAAAGAGGTAGTGCAAAGGTCTCATGCCATATTATTCTAGTTTCAAATCAACCTATAGGATATTAACTTTATACACAGTCATAAAAGGGAAAAAGATTGACATGTATTAAAACAGGTGTCTTTAATTTTGGTGGTCTAAAGACACAAAAATTCATCAGACGGACTTTGCTTGACTTATTCTTTTCTCTTGACAGAGTAACCCTGGCAGCCCGTACAACCTGGCCTACAAATACAACTTCCACTACGCCGTGGTCTTTAACATCGTGCTGTGGCTCATGATCGCTCTGGCCCTCGCCGTCATCGCCATCGCCTACAACCTGTGGAACATGGACCCAGGATACGACAGCATCATCTACAGGATGACCAATCAGAAGATCAGAATGGACTGAGGCGTCCTGTCCATCAAACACTCCAGCTGTCCTCTTAGACCCCTCTAGTGAATGTTTGTGTTTGTGTGAGGTCCTGTTTAGTGAAAAATACTGTGACAGCTTGATGGGAGGAAGGGAATAATTCAGAATCACTTCCTTGTTTACACGTAGAAAACAACAATATTTCAGAAATGGTTCTTAATTTTCCTGTGAAATGATTCTTTATTATCCAAGTCAGACTTCCTCCCTTCAACCTCACATCATTCCTCATGACTTTGACCCCTCACTAACCGTGTTTCATGTGTTCCCCCTTTTGATGAAAATGTTGTGATGTGACGAAAGAATGAGGTTTGTCTGGTGCCTGTGTGAAGTTGTAGTGCTTGTCTTGCTGTGTGAAACTGTTTTAAGTTAAATGAAATCTATGTGTATATATTGAATATACAAATGCAATATGAGAAACTGCTGTTATTAAAAGATTTGCGCTACGATTATTCTAGGTAGGTTTCTCCCTACTTCAGTTCAAAATGTTAATGCATATTGGTTTACAGAATGACTTGATGACAAAGATGGTTGTTGTGATTGAAATGAAGCTCTGTAAAATGTCTGACAATAAATTATTACACCGATCACTCTGATTTGTGTTGACTTTGTCAGTCTCAAGCACTAATGAGCTGCTTTCTTAGACACGCCAAAAGCACATTTTCATTTAGAGCATTTGTATTAATTTTGGAAAAAAACATTTGGATGCCTCAAAATAAAGGTTAACTTATTAAAAAGTAAATGATATGGAAAATGAAAGTAGCTGCGGGGCATTCTGATGGAACAATTATTTCATGAGTGTCACATTTTCATATAATTTCCAAGAAAGCTGCTGATGAGTAAACTCTTGAAGCTTCCTGGAAGCGACCATTTAGATTAGTAATAATTTTCAAGAAATTGAAGACAGCCAGTTTATATACTTTTAATTAAGCACATCCAATTAACTGCTATTTGTAGCTTTTGAATCATATTTTTAATTTTCTCCTCAACATTTTAGGCCAACTGAGACAAGAAGTAAAGAAGCTTTTCAAAGTTGTGAAACTTTGTCTGAGAAATGTTTAAACTGGATCTGTAAAGCATGCACCCACTAGGTGTCCACACATTGAGAATAACTGGAAACTTTTGCAGGAGAAACTCCATTGACTGTGCTTTGGGGAAATTTGCTCTTAGGCCCAATGTAGAACAATAAATACAAATACAATGATATAAGAACTGTGAACCAGAAATAATGCTGCTAATATAAACACTCTGAACAGAGGAGATATTTTTAGGAGTATTGCATGGTAAAGTAGTTGATTAAATTGACCTCTGGTGTAATGCTGGTGTAATACTAGCCTGTACATCTACATTTTGTAAACAAACAGAGTTTTTTTAAATGATATGACTATATCTCTTGGGAAGTTCCTTGCTGATCAGTTATTCAAATAGCCTACTGCCTAAAGCACGGATTAATTTTAGGTTTCCTCAGATGCTAGAGCTGTCAAAGTGCATATCAATATGAGCATTTCAGTCCTGGAGAAACAATTTGATCAGAACAAGAAATTATACTTTTCATACGACGTGTATGTTTAGTTGGTAACAATTCTTTTCTTCACTTAAGTTTGATATTCTTTTCAGTAGCTTTTCTTGGACCTGAGTGGCTTTTTATATTTTGTTATTCCTAAGAGGCACTCAAACCAGATCATCCATGTCCAAGAATAGCCCCTGAAGCAGCCCACGGCCTTAAGGGTCCATAAATACACCTGTAATACCACGGCAGATGATTAAAATGATATTTTTAGTTAATTTTCTAAAAATCAATTTGGCTAGTCTTTAATTTGTTAAAATCTTGTTAGACACAATGTATTCAGATTGGTTATGTTATTAGAGAAAGGATCACTGTATCCTGAATCTTGAATGGAGTACTCCTACTTGAGTTCTTCCTTTACAAACTACTGAACACTCCTTTGTACAAATAAACAGTGACAGTTTTCAAATACACTGGATGCTTGCATTGCACATCAAACTTATCCTAATTCTTTAAAAAAAGGAGCTAATGCACCCAGATTGAGATTTGTTTAACATCTGTTTTTGTTATGAAGTTATATTGAAACTGTGCTACTTTTATAGAGAAGGTGTTGGAGTTCTACACAACATATAATTTATTAAAAAAAAAATAATAATAAAAAATCAAGGGACAATCTTTATCCTCCTTTCTGTGGTTTCATTTCACTATTGGCTCCATGACTTCAGTCCTGGCTGCACACTGCCTGACCTGCTTCTTTCTTACGTTATGCATATTTGCGTAACAGCTTAGCGAATCAATTATCGTACTGAGCCACAGGACCCGCCCCCTTCTTCATACACGCCAGTAGTACTTCCTGTTTGCTTTTATAACAAACGAATATTATAAGAAGGGGGAACAGGCGAAGCGGGCGACAGACGAGGGCATTTATTATTATACAAGAAATAAACAACCCCAGGAAACAGCTACCATGGTCTGACTGTTGATAAAAGGTAGGATTTATTTTACGAAATGTTATTTCGAAAGCTTGACCACGCCTACTCGGAGTGATACTGATGTTTATATCGTATTAATCTGCTTTAGCCTCACTATCTATCTATCTTGTAAACGTTACTTAAAGGTCTACATGGCCTTTAAACTTTAGATACCATTATTTTCCACTGTTATTTGATTTTACTATGATATGATTAATATGTTATCGAGAAATACAACCCTCCCGTTCCCTTCATGATGAATTTGGTCACATGTTTCTGTATCCCATGATCACTTACATATATCCTTGGTCAGCAGCTTACTTAGGATTTTATATTATTCCCCTAATTCAATTTTTAAAGTTGTTGAAACATCATCAAGTAAGTCAATTTTTGCTTGAAAAAACAAAAACAACAAACTAACAGAACAAAAATAATTCAGATAACCAAATAAAATTAATTATGCTGATTAATAAAGTATCTCTCTCCCTTTTGTCTCACATCTCAGCCAGCATCTACGTGGTGCGGAAGATCCGGGCCTCCATCGCTGAGGGGGAGCAACTGGACAAGCCCATCATTACACCATGTAGTGCTAGAGGTAAGACATCAACCACTGGATCATAAGGTTTACACTGATATTTAAACAATTACACTTTTAAGAAGAAACAAACTTTGATTGAGCAAAGTGCATTTTAATAGTTATGAGCTCTTAGGATTTTATTGGATGGTCTTAAGAAACATCAGTCCAACTTTCTAACCATTATGTCATGCTGCATGTCCTGAAGATTAGAGGTATTAGAGGGGAGTGAGGAGTGAATGTGTAAGCTCTTGGAGGGGCTTTATACTGCATGTTACTGACTGACATGAGTTTCTCTTTTGTGTTCAGCTGAAATAAAAGCAGGACATGAGGAGAGAGGAAACTCCTCAGCAGCGATGCTCAGCTCAGGACCTGAAGAAGGAGTTGGTCTAGCAGCAGGCTCGGGGATGTCCTCAGAGACAGCTGTGCAGAAATGTAGCGCCTCCTCCTGACGCTAGAGACCCTGCTGGACACAGGGACTGTGGCCACCTGAATGGAAAGATACAATTTGACATCCTTGTAATTTTGCATTATTGGATTATTCCGCTTCTGTTCAGGATTGTACACGTCCTCAGCGGTCACCAGCTGCTCTCCTCTCCTGTGCTTGTTTAGGCTTTTTTTTTATAGACAACATCTAAATTAATCACGGACAAAAAAAACAGTTGAAACAAAAACAGAATAAACTTAATTATTTTTACCCGTTTTGGTGCTATTTACTGCTACATGCACCTGAATGTAAGGGAGACATTTAAAGAACAGAAATTATCTGCTCAATCAGCATGTTGTCTGTGGGAAAAAAGCCTTTATATATGTACTGCAGTGTTTGAAGGCTGTCTCACCAACCCCTCTCTAGGGGCTGAGTAGGCCTGATGTCTTTGCTGCTGTATCAATGAATAAATACAGAAAAACTATGTCTTTATGGGTGGCATTTTGTTCTTGAATGATGTAGTGTTTATTTTAATAGTTGCTCTGACTCAGAGAAGTGTTGTATTTTGTCAAATGCCAAAAACAAACTAAACAACAAAAAATGAAACAAACTGAAAAACAACACAATGTAGTATCAGCTTTATAAATCAGCTGACCTGCTCTCTCATAGTCAGTATTGGCCTCTAAAAATCTGCAATCAGTTGACCACTGGTTGTTACTACGCTTACACATTTGGTGTTTTTTTGTGTTGAGCATTGGGGCTTGTCAATGAATGCTGAAAATACAGGTTTAAATTCATGCCGGTCCTTGATAGGGAGTGGTTCTGTAGTGTAGACTATTACAGGGGAGACCAGGGTTGGTTGTTTCACAGGTTTGTTTTCCAAATAGTAATTATACTGCCAAATAGACAAGCACTGACTCACCATGTTCACACCAAACGTTTGATGCCGTGCTGGTTTCTTTTTGGACAAACTTGGAGGCAGACACTAAACGCTGAGGTGAGAGGACTTTTTGTGGTCTTAATGAGTCAGAGTACTTTTTCAGTTAAATGTTGCAGCTAGCATTAAAACCTAGTCCTGGGTCAGGTGAGGACAATTGTCTAAGTGTATGACAGCTGTTGTCATGCATTTACTTAAGTTCATCTTATTAATAGAAAAAGTTGGTGATATTATTTGGGCTACTTTTAAGGCTAACTGTATGAGTTCCTCTTGATATTTTTATTGAATAAGTTTATGAAACCTGGCATTGCAAACTCCAAAAATCTATATGATAGTGTGTATGGTCTCAAATGCTTTTGATAGAAGACACACAGACACTGAGTAACTCTCTGAGTGAAACGTATGACTACCAACCTCTGTGTCCCATGATTACTTGCTTATTTCTTTCTCTTGTCTACAACACCAGTTTCAACTGAACTTTATTTATACAGCACCTTTCATAGATAACAGACCACCAGCCAAAGGTGCTTAATACCCAAGAAGACTAATATCAGTACAAAAAAATTGAATTCATGAAAAACCAATTAAAACAAGTAAAAGTTAAGCAAAACAAAAATAAATGTACAGTTTTTCTCTGGCTGCTTTAGCACCCACTAAAATATTTTCTTTCTGTTTTTTCCTCCTTCAGTTTTAAAAAGATCTTAATCATCCAGAGCCGAACCAAGGCATAAGCAAACTAAGCACCTGCTTAGGGCCCCGCGGCCAGTAGGGAGCCCCCAAGACCAATCAAAAAAAAATAATAATAAATATTTTTTATTTTTTTGCATGTATGAGTGATGCTTTCTGTATGATCAAATATATATTATTGTAGAAATAAAATAAAATAAAGTAAAAACATTTTAGTGCTGCTGCTGATGTAGGCCTTTGATTCTTACTGCCGATATGTCAAAGCTCTGCTACAGTTATGTGCCTCCAGCTGTGCAATGTGCACTGAGCATCCTGAATTTGTTATATTTTGAGATTAAAAACCATATGTGGCACCCTGAACATTATTCATCAGTCATTCACTGGTATTATTTGTATGGTTGCATTGGTATTATTTATTTTATTACCTAGGCCACCCCCTTAAATGACTAAAGACATGTCAGGTGCATTAAATTTATACTATCGTAGGTGTGTGAATGATCAACAATCAATATTATTGGCAGAAATGGAGGGCCCCAAAATCAAATTTTGCTTAGGGCCCCATTGAGGCTTGTGCCGGCACTGTAATCATCCACACATCAGTGTCTGTAAGACAGGGCAGAAGACACCAAAGTTCATTTGGGTCACTTGGACAGGAAGATAAGGACAATTAAGATATAAATGTATTATTTGATCAATAAAATTACATAAAAATAAACATCCCTAATGCCAAAGCCGAAGAAATCTAACCAACAGACCTCCGAGAACCAAATGTCCTCCTCTTTGTTTCTCAAGATTTATTTTCGTGATGCACGTCCGGTTATCAGCGGACATCGCTTGGCAATGTAGATTTGCCTGTAAAGTGCTGAATTAATTCCTGCTAAAATGTGTTTAAACTGTATTTTCAAGCTGCCGGAGGAAACATACATCGGAAAATAGTGTAAAACCTTCTCTAGTGGCAGAAAGAGACGCTCTGTTTTGGGGTAAGCTTTAGCTCTGCCGTTCTTAGCATCATAAACTAGCTCTAGCTGCTAACATCATCGCAGGTGAACGAGCTTTCTTTCTCTCTCTCTGTTTGTTCAACTCCCAGGAAAATTCAAGTAAAAGTGCTGCAATCTGCTATGAAAGGGCTGCGATTGAAAATGTATATTTGCACGGGTTATGTTTTAAAACGAAACAGCCACTCCTTTATTTTTATGTCAGTCTTTATTCAACCTGCCATGAAGCTTCATGTTCTGAGAATAAAATCAGTTATTCCTCAATCTCTATTTCCATAAAAGAGCAACCATAACAAGGATATGTTAGAAAGCTCCCTCTGCCTCTTCTTTTGTTGTTGTTGATTGTCATGAGGTTGGCCTGTGTCTTTCTTGCAGTGTTGTTGTGCCTTCTCAAACCTTCAATGATGATGGAGCGAAGAAAAGCCTTAACCATCCCCTTCACACTCAACAAGGATAACAGGGTATGCTTCAATTCTGCGTGTAAAACATGCAGTTTTCAGGCCACACTTAAAAATGTGATGCTTGTTTTGCTCTGTCCTTAAATGATACAGATCTGACGCTTGCTTTGTTCTCGCCAAATGTTGCTCTTTATGTACCATTGCAGACTCTTTGCGAGCTGGCTTTGCTTTGTGATTGCTTACATGCACGCTTACTTTCCACTTTAATGCCAGTCTGTTTAGAAGTAAGCATTTCCTCATTAATAAAAGTACTGGATCACACCTGAGGCATGAGCAACAGGAACCTGTTCAATTTCATAATCAAATCTGCTAATTACCAGAACTTTATTCAACAAAATCTGTTGTGCAAGTTGTTCAGACGTGTATAGAATATGAAAAATTACACTGTGTATAATATCGCGTCTAATAATCATGTCCTAATCAACTGTATAGACTGGAAATAACACAACTACATAACAAACAACATAATTGAAAAAGAAGGAACTAGAAGTTGACTGATGACAGCTTTTCAGCAGCAAAATTTAATACATAATGTGAGAGCAGTTTGGCCAATATATAATCCTGTTTTCTTTCTTGTTTTGTTCCAGTCAACAGAATATCTAATAATACTAACAAATAAAAAACAAAATGACTGAATGTAATAAACATTTGATTATATAAATGTAGTTAAAATAATACTCATTTCACAAACATATTGTCACATAAGACTGGAGGATTTATACCAGCAACCTGAAATTGTTGGAAGAGAAAATATTATAATGTAAACATTGAAGATAAAAACGAAAGTTATTTCCAGATTTATTATCCACACATTCAAGTCTGATATACATGGGCTTCTTAGCCTTTAACATGTGTTTGATGAATAAATAATCAATAAGTGACAAAGATTTTAAGACATACTAAAGATGTCATAAACTGGTCGATTTTGTATTTTTTCATACCTCCTTGATATAGTTTAAGTCAAAACACTAAGTTGCTTGTGATAGAGTGGTAGAATACTATAGATGATAAAATACTATTTAAATAAATGAAATACAGTTTATCTTGATAACACTTGAATAAATTTTGTTTGTGATCAACTTTTTATCAGAATTTAAGAACAACAGTCATCATTCAACAGCACATATAAATAATTACAAGTAATTGTAACCATGTGCGTATCCATGTACACACACACATACAGTAAATTTATTATTATTAATAATAATAATAATAATAAAATGAAAGCGTAAAAATAAAATGGATATAACAGAAAATCATAAATAGTAACATACAAAAGGCAAATAAACAAAATACATAAAATAACACAAATGCAAAAGGAAAGAAAAAAGTGCCATTGAAGTATAACCTCACAAGATCTATTGAACGGTTAAATGTCAACTATACATTGCAGAACCCAGTAAAAAACACTGACAGGGAACATAAACCAAAGCAAACAGGACCAGAGGGGAAGGGGGGAGGAGAGAAACTTGAATTATTAAAAATTTATTATTTATTGAATTGTGTTAGTTTCCTATCTTTTACACATCTGTCTGAAAAATAAATCTGTAAGTCACACATTAGAGGTGTCTACAAATTTCTCCCTCACAATTTCAGAGTGCATCTGTTGATTATGGTTTGGTATTACAATCATTATCTTTCACGGGAGGGTCTCTGCACACAGTTTTGAAAAGAAAGTCTTTGCTTATTTTATTATAAGGCAAGAGAAATTCTGCATTACATGTTTTTTCTACATAGACAGAATCATCTATATTGAAAGAGGGGCAATGGTATGGTCAGGGTGTCTAAATAGCTCTTAGTGCATTTTACTATCCAGTATTAACCCCCCGATAGTAGTAAAGAGAAACCCAGGTCATCCAAATATATGCTTTGTGATAAAGGCTTATGAATCATTTACTCAGTTAACCTTGTTTTGCATTTTTGAACCTGCATGCTATAGAAACTTTGCTGGAATAATAAAAGCTGTACCTACAACATGCTTGCAAACACACACATTCAATTAAAGATCAGCGTAATTGCTTTGCTTTGGCTCTTGCTCTATCAGCACATCCTTGAGGTTGTTCAAAAGCTTATGGATGTTGCATTAACTCATTCAAGCCTGGTCATTAACCATTCTGTGAATTGTAGATGGGAAACCCTCTCAAAATCCCCATCACACCTCACTCATCAGATTGTGGAAAGTTAGAAAAACAGGTACTCAACATCTGTGCTGTCTGACCACATGGAAAAATGTTATGTATGAAACGTGGCTGCTCATTGTCTTTCATTCTCCCATTGTTATTTTACTGTTTGCAGGTTTCTTGGACTGCTTTTGCAGGTTGCAAAATCAAACAGTGTGATTCACTGCATAAAAATGGATCAAAGCTGTTTGATCACCACCTCGCTATCATGGAAAGGTAAGCAGGCTCTGACCTGAGAGATATTCTTGCTGTTGGTAATTTAATTAAACATTGGACTGTTATTCTATGTATCAGAATCAGAATAACAATCAGGGTTGTTACAGACTAATTTTACTCATTCGAGAAATCAATTTATTGTGTTACGTGGAAACAGTAAACATATGATAAATCGACCTTCAAGTTCAGGCACTTGATTTTTCAAGCTTTGTGCCTTGTAATAGTGGAGATTTCCACTGCCTTGCTATTTATTGTCTGACTGATCTCTGCTAAAATCCATTTAAAGCTCCTGTGAGGGGCTTTCTGCTTTCTCTTGTGAAAAAATCAGCAGTGTTGGAAACACTAATATGTTACACCCATCTCATAGTGTTTCATCTTCCCTCTGTCTAATAGCTGAACACAGGGAGCAGGTGGTTGTGCTCCAGTTAAAGTTAATGTGACATAATTTGCCTCTGCAGTTGCCAAACTCATCATTCATAATTTATTAGCAGAATTAGGTTGGTAATTAAACAAAACTTGAATCATATTCAAGCACAACAAATGCTTAAGTCTGCTTTTGTCATGCTGTGAGTATCGAGCCAAAATAAACCCACAGAAGTAAATGTAGGATCTTCTGTTGCATGTGTGGTAAGTCTTTATTTTGCACTACTTGTGTGAAACTCGATGCATAAGCACTGAGGGGAAACTTATCATGCTTCTACACATGGCTTATCTACAACTAGAGACATGTCAAACCCCTCCCACTTGAGCTGCTGCTTTACATAAACTTTGACCTGCATCGCTGAGGAATCTTTAAGTAACATTATCAAGTGGAAATGATGCCGAGAAGACACGGCTTAAGGAGAGCCTGCTTACCTGTTTTTTCTTTCAGGAGGAAACCCTTTGTGATCCTGGAAGATGTCCTAAAGACAGAAAAGGGAAGGGATTTCATTGAAAGGAGAAAACAGAGCCGCATGATGGGGAATCGTAGACACCTATCAAACACGCAAAAAGAGAGTGGACAGAGCAGAGAGGAGCCCCTGACCTGCAGAGAACCAAGGTCGAGTCAGACTCCTGATGTCAAGGCTGGTAGAAACAAGACAGCGACTCTGAAACGCAACCTGAAGACCCCCTCCTCGTCCTCTCCAAGGTAGGAATTAAATTTGAAATGAATTTTATGAACAGCATTGTCATAGATTATTCAAGCCTTTTTTGGGTCCTGGGATGTCAAGTGGCTGCTAAATCCTCCTTTGGCATCAGTAGAACTCAACTTTAGCGCTTTACGATTTCAGCAGCTGAACAAAAACAGTCAAAAAGACTGAGAGTTAGACGGGTCTGTATTTCTCTAGATGTCTTGTTCCAGGATCTGGGTATTTCCTCCCTCTTCTCCAAAATATATTTCACCTTGTAGATCCTCATCCTGTGCTCTGTTGAGACCCTCAAGTTTTGGTGGGTGAGATTGTCTCCTAAGACTGTAAAATTGAGATGCACCACCTCTAACCCTTTGGTTGCCCTGTCCTAGTTTTACTAACTTTGATTGAAGTAACAGGGGGAGTTATCGTTTTGTAGACATTAAGCAGCTCCTCAAATGCAAATGTTTCCAAAAGTCTTGTTTAGGGGTTCTGTATTTAGTAACCAGTCCACTCGTGGTAGGTTCGGGCCTCTATCTTCCTTCACAGGAAGATAGAGGGCCTCCCCATTAAAATGTATGTACTGCTGCATTTTTTTCCAGGCATACATTTTTGAATTTGGAATAAAACCACATTAAAGGTTTAACAGCATCAGAATCTTGGTAAAAAAAAAAAAAAGTGTCATAGTTTGTGTTTTTGTATTAAATCCTTGAATTTTTGGTGGCTCTGGGGTAAGGTTGATCAACTTCTTTGTTGTGAGGTTGCTGTAAACGACATGAACTGTGATGTTTTTTTTTCCTCTTTTGTCTTCAGGCAAAGAACCAGGAAAAGGTTACAAGACTCCTTTGAAGAGGAAGACATAGAAGAGCACAAAGACATCAAGGAGGTCATAATAGGCAAGGACATCGAAGAGGATGACAAGTTTGCTGGAGTTGTAGGTGTGTGAACATGATGAAATACAGACACAGTTACTGTTTACATGCTGCTTGTTGTGTCTGCTGCTGTTCAGTTCTGCTGTCATTTCAATATGAGTTTTGAAAAAATGCCCCAAAATAATCTGTTTTTCATTCGAAGTGAAAAATTGAATGTGAAGCCTTTTAGAGTTTGGAACATTTAGATGTAAGAGCCGTGAAAGTCCTTCAAACATGCCTTGACTTTCTCACTTTCATTACCTCCTAAGAGCAACATGCTGACTGTGTCTCCTCACTGTGTCAATGGTAATGCGGTGGTTCTTTTAATGAGACGGCTACTCTGAAATGTTGGAAAAATCTAGAGTTCTATAAAATGAAACTCAGTGAAGTTTTCTCAGCTTTCCTTTAGCGAGGTTATTCCAGTTTCAAACGGACCGTTTCTGTGGTTGCCTGGTTTTCAGGCTTTGGTTATATTTGTCACGGGTGACTGTTTCTCTCTCTTGTCAGATTGTGGGTTTTCAGTGAGCTGGGAGCGTGCAGAAGATACAGGAAGTTGCGATGAGTTCTCCCCAGAAAGAATCAAAGACAGATTGAGTGATCCGGAAAAAGAAGTACAACATGGCGTGGTGAGCCTCTTGGTGACACTTGATATAATCCATAAGCACAGATCGCTATGGGAACATACCTTTAACCTGTCATACGAGCCGAGTCATGTCTATATAAACCCTCCATTTACTCTTCATGCTACAGCTGAGTTGCTGTTTTCTGTATTATTTCCAACAGAGGAGAAAAAGAAAGGAAGTGCCGTCCCAGTGTAACGGGACAAGCAGCCCCAAACGCCACCGTGAGAGCGTACTTCGCCTCACCGGAGAGAGCAGAGGCTCGACTCAAATCAGTCTGGAGGAAGAGAGTGAAGTAAACACTGATATAGACGGCTTCGACCACACTATTGTTCAGTTCACAGTGGGAGGAGATGATCCGACAGAGGTTCTGCTCCCAAACCTGAGTCCTCATTTGGAGTCTGGAGACGTACACAGTACCACAGGCCAGGACAACACAGCCCAGACAAGTCCATCTGAACCCAGTGAGTACAAAACAACAGGAGGATTTTCTGTCAAACATAAATACTCTTTTCATGTTGTTTTGGTAAGCTAAAATCGGTTAATTTGTCAGTCTATAAATATTTAAAATGTTTGAGGCCTGGAAAAATATCTTTGCAAACGCAGAAGTTTTATTTTTTGTGGCTGGTCGTCATTCAGTGATCCTACTAACAGAATAACAAACAGACAAACTAAGGCAAACAAAAACCGACCTTTGGTAGAAGTTATAACCAAGGTCTCTGTGTTTGGACTAATTAACAACATCTAAGTGGATTTTCCCTCTCAGACGTTTGGCTCCAGTATCTTGTTTTTGACATCAGCCTACCGTACATGGTGTTTGTTTGTTTTGTTCTGTTTGTTGTGGCTGGGCTTGAAGGTGTCCTGCCTCTTACCACTTACTGTTTGTCTTCTTTTGAGCCTACCCGATTGTCTTTTCCAGGATTACAACTATCCTAACCTGCCGTCAAAGCCCATTATACCTCCTTCATGCTGTGCCAATCAAGGGCATGACAGTTCTTGGTCGTGTACTTGTGTTTGAAAACAAAAATCTGAGTATGATTTAAAAGATAAACTCACAGTTTTCTTTACACCTGTTTTTCAGTTGTGCTTTCCAGTGATGATGAAGAGGGCAGTGAGGTTCCTGTGCGCTGCATTCAGGAACTGGACAGACCATCACCTGTGGTGGACCCAGTTATAGAGAGGCAAACCTCAGAGGAAACTTTTGAGGTGAGTCCTCAATAATATGTAACATCACAGAACAACGGCCTTATATGCATCATTGTTGTCACCGAGTATTTTTGTGCAAAGAAGAGGCACACAGTTTTTACCTGTTGAGTGTCCAGGGTTCACTTTAACATCCAAGACTTTAGTTTTGGTTTCAGGGACTTTAAGTCTAATGCAAATGTTGAAAATCAAATGGATTATACAAAAAAGATCCTTTTTTAAAAATCTCACTGTGCATAAATGTTCAAAGGACAATGCCCAGAATTATGTTAATGATTTCAAAAACTCAATGAGAGAGCATGTTGATATGAAGGCAGAGTAATCAATTACTAAACAGGGAGGTTATATAGAGATCAGAGGAGTAAAGTTACCGACAGTGAAAATGTAATTCTTGGTGCCACCACAAGATGGTAGCAAAGTCAGGGATTTTTCAAATGCTGCAGAAAATAGATTGTAGAATTACAAAAGTAGTATCATTAGTGTTGTAGTGTTGATCATTACTTGCCCTTCTTAGTGTCACTGTAGTTAGTTAGTTGAACTCTTTCTGTGTTTTTCTCTTTCTGCACAAACCTCAAGCATCTTTTTCCTGGGTAGCAGGTGATGAGTGTAATCGTCGAAGATCTACCTGGTTTAGTCTCTGTGATCCCCCCTGTGGACTGCCTCTTAAACGTCCCCTTCTCCACGCTGCACTGTGGGGGCCTCAAAGGGAAATCCAATGGAGACATGATGGTAAGCTGTAGAAACCTCTGATACTCAGGTTTTGTTGATGGCACACATTCTGTTTAACATTTCTGTGCTGTTAACCGTCTTCTTGATACGTTTTTTTCAGATTAAGGCCGAAAAAATCATCATCCCACTGACAGGTAATACTCTGACTTCTTTGGTCTTTTTTTAAAATAAACACTGAAGCGTAACAACACTGTCTGTGGAGCAGCTTTAGCCCTACCTTTGACCTCTGGTCTGGGTTGTATTTACTCCAGCCCAAGAGGAAGCTATCTCATCTTGTTTTGGTGGAGCTGTCTGCACACCATCCACTCCCAGATTACTGGTCTATTTAAAATGCTAAACTGTGTGTGTTGGTGGATTAGGCCCTCTAGGCTGTGGTGCACTCTCACCTCTGAGCCTGTGAAATCTCCCCTTTGAGGATCTAAGCTGGTTGTTCTTTGAGATTTGATCTTTGCTGTCTGTGTGTGTAAGAAATATGTCTCATGTTTATTGAACAAAAAAATTCAGCTATTCGTTTAGTTTTAACATGACAGGACAAAACGAGCAACAGTGTCATGGAGATACAAGTTTATGATAAAGCTTATTTAAAGTTCTGGTTACTTTAGCACCAAGATTTTGGAAACTTCCTCTGTGTTTTAGGGGAAGAAGTTAGAAATGCCCTGCTGTCCAACTAGCACTTTAAAACCATTATTGATGTTTAGATATCTCTTCAGAGGAGTCTGTCTATCGTTACACTACTGTACTGTACTGACTAGGGGTGTCCCGATACAACTTTTTACCTCTGATACGATACAATACAGATATTGTAGCCTTTAGTATTGTTCGATACTGATATTGATCCAATATTAGCACAAACTTGTGCATGACAAGTTTTTTACTCAGCTGCAGCGTCTTTTTCAGACTTTTATGAAAAATACTGCCACACAGCTGACATCACTCCTACTCCTTGGTACTTTGTTAGTACCTTAGTACACACTGTTGTTGTGATCACATGGGCTCTACATGCTGGATATGAGTGCTGCTAGATAGAGGTACTGGAGCGAAGTCTGGAATGGACTGCTCGTATCGGAGTGTTAATATCAGAGATTTTAGATGCAGACTGATTTAATCCGATATTTAATTTTTTTACGATATCGGATAGATATCCGATATCAATATTGAATATGGACAACCCTAGTACTGACCCGGGTATAAGACAAGTCTGATAAGAGAACCCACTCTTTCAGGACTCCCTTAAAAAATTAGGAGAAAAATGTTACGCTTTTAAGGAAAATAATAAGTGATCAATTAAAAGATTGTTGTCAAAACCCTTTAAGTAATATTATATTTTCAACATCTTTTCAAATCAATCAAACAAAAAAAGTTCTGAATAAAATTTAAAGCTCCTGTGAGGAACTATTTGACTTGTGTCAGTTGGTCTCTATAGAACAGAGTCAATAAAAATGATTTAAAATGACTCAAGTCAATATTAAAAAGAGTAGTAAGATACTTTGGTGTGCTCCCGGACATCTGTTATTCTTCCTAATGTATTTTCAGACATTCCTAGAAGCCTCAGCTTTTCCTTGTGCTAATTGGCAAATGTGAACATGCTAAAGAAGCCAAACACAAATTCCATCTGAGGTGAACAGTAAAGCCAATCACTTCAGTCATCTGTCAGTCAATGAGTCAGTCAGTCCAGCTGTCGATCGTAATTCAATCATTCAATCAATCAGTCGGTTAATCAGTTAATCAACCAAACATGCTTAACTTAAATGGTTCGCATAGTAAACATTGGACGCTTACCATCTGACATGAACACAACAACTCCTGCGTTCAGTCATCTTACCTTGTTTTCAATCTGTGTCTTTCTATTCGGTATTTGCTCCTGAAGTTATGGCCAGTCAAACCTCACTAGTGTGCGCTGGGATGTCGGATCAGAAAAAACATCATTATAGGATGTCCCCGTTTTTGATGCAGTAAAGCTTAAATTCAGCCCACTTGAACATCAACACAGAGGAGTAAGTCTGGATTGGATGGGACTTTATCTGGATTAGAGAAGAAAGTTGCTGAGACTCTATTTTTTTGTGTGTAATTCAGTATTTGGATAAAGATAAAGACACTTACACTTAAATAGTATGAATATATAAATACAGTGAGTATCTCTCATTGTATTTATATATCTGCTTTGTCGAGATAATGTTGGGGTTTATGCAGAGTCTGAAATTAGCATCAAATGTGAGCCGACATAAACAAACGAATACTGATGCTCATAAATGCACACAGGGATGCCAGCCGCCAAACGCCACGTCAGTGTTGGCCGACCTGCTGCATTTGTCATTTTTTCAGTATCAAGACTTTTTGTTTGTCGTTTTCATTTGATACCAACTCTCTGAGCTGCTAAGCTAACCTTGTATGGTTTCCCCTCCAGACCCCAGTGAAAAGGTGGAAGTGGTGCTGTCCTATCAGCGTAAGGAGCTGGGGAGGTTCAGTATCTGGATGCAGGATGACATGAAGGCTCAGGGGCTTCACTTCAAGGACGACAAGGACCCCTTCCCTGCTGCAGTTCTTATGCTTTTTGTGTCTGAATCTGCTGCGGCTGGCATACAGCAAGACCTCCTCCAGCTGTGTGCAAAGCAAGACAGAAACACTAACACTGGTGAGTCAATGAGGACTCTGAGTCTCACATTTCTGACTGATTTTAGGAGACAGGAAACATTTATGGTGCATTGTGTTTTTATTTCAACAGAAAAGGCGAGCCCCTTCATCCTGTTGACTTTTAGAGAACCTCCGGAGAGAATGGTGGCGGCTTTATTGAGATCCAATCTGCAAATAGACTGTCTTCTTGAGGCTGAGCCAATGGTTCCTTTTGGTGCAGAGGACATCACTGGTCTTGAAGACAACGTAGATCCGGATCTGAATCTGGCTGATAGCTTAACATTGATCAGAAGGACTAGTCAGGATTCTCACTTACTCTCTTTGCTGGGTCTCGAGAATGCAAGCCCTGGTCCCAGCACAGACCAGGATGGTTCAAGTTCGGATACAAATGAAGACACAGCACCGCTCATCCAGCAGGAGGACATGTCACAGAAAGAGCTGGAGAAAGAAACAGACAGGGACTCAGGGACACAACTCAAACCAGAGGAGGAACACAAAGAACAAGAGCCCGAACCCCCCTCTGAGGTAAGATACTTCCAACCCTTTTAGCCCCCGAGCCCTAGAAAAAGAATCACATCTGGGGATGCACGTGTTTGAACGGGGGAGGGATGTCCTTGCCTTCACTGAATCACAGAAAGGTTGTCATAGAAAGGCCAAACCATGCTGAATCTACAAAAGCAAGATTTAAGATCAAAGCTGTAAAGTCGTCCGAGGTTAGCACAAACTTCATTTTGAGATCCCTCAGGTTTCAAATTTTTCTCTCTGATCTTTTAGTTCATACTTTTTTCTCAGTAAAATATTACAATGTGAATTTCCTTCCTCAGAAGAAAAAAGAGGAACCCACTCCTGTTTACACAGTGTGCCATCGTAGAACCAAAGGATCCTACTCTGTGTCTCTGTGCCGACCCGACCCCAGCTGGACTAAATATAAACATCAGGGTCTGGCTCACAGGTATGCAGTCTTCCATTTCGTTTACTTTCAACTTGAGGAATAAAAATTGACAATGTAAGGAAGCACAGAATCAAGGCTGACTCATCCTTGTCCTCCCACCTCTGCCCAGGTTGATCCAGTTTCCTCCCCCACCTTTAAAAGGAGGAATCACCGTCACGATGGAAGACCTGCAGTGCCTTGACAGTGGGCAGTTCCTCAACGATGTCATCATTGATTTTTATCTGAAGTAAGCGGCACATTTTCAAAGAACAGGACTCAGGACTTTGGTGTTTTCTTACATGTTTTTTGGAGAACAGATAAAGTTTTAAATGGATGTTTTTTTTTTTACTAGATACCTCCTCCAGAATGCCTCCGAGGCTGTGGCCGAGCGTTGCCACATCTTTAGCAGCTTTTTTTACAAGCAACTGACACGTAGGGACAACGCCAGTGAAGGCATCACGAATGACACGTAAGTAGTGATTAAAAACTAGAGATGCAAATCCAAAGTATCCAATTTGATCCTTCTTTGGATTTGTTAAGGATCTGATTTTTCTTGTGACAAAAATACCAAATGTGTTTTTTTTCCCTTGGAGATTTTTCACTGGAGTAAAATGAAAATAATTGCGGCAGGCTCGTATCATCTCTGTGGATATATAGTCAGACAGAGTGAGCCTCCAACTACAAAATGTGGTGTTGCTACAACAAGAGATCTGAAAAGAAAACAGTTTCAAACTCACAGGGTCCAGTTTTTTTTTGCATACTTGTTCTTATTGATAAAAAATGACAGTGTCCACATCGACATGTGTTGATCAGGAGTGCAACCAGCTTACAATCTGTTCTGCTTAGAAGGCAATGATGATGCTGGTACGCCGAGACACTGATGTGCCTGTTTTGCCAGTCTGGGAAATCTCTGTGCATGTCCTGTAAAAAGTTCCCAGCCTTCATGTCCACTTTGTTACTGTTGTGTGGTGGTCCCCAAAAAGAGAGCTTGTGCAGACCTGCAGCAGGCCACAGCTTGGCTGAGCATCTCTGCTGTGTGCAACGTGTTTAGCCAGTTGGTTTCCACTGAAATATGAACCCCATCCTGATAACAACAGTAACCATGTATGTTTGAGCAAGTTCTCAACTCATACTCAAGTAATTGTCAGTATATCATGATAAAAACATACCCTTTGTATGATATTTGTATTTGAGTGTTCTGAAACTGCGCAGCATGTGAGTATGTGGACGTGATCACATGAAACTGTTTGTTTTCTGTAAACTTTCAGCTGTCAGAGACAGAGGCGGCACCAAAGGGTCAAAACATGGACGCGTCATGTGGACATTTTCAAAAAGGATTTCCTGTTTGTGCCTGTCAATCAAGAGTAAGTAAAATATACAAAGAAGTGAATTCAAAGTTTTTTTAAAAATGTATATCATGTGAGATTTAAAAACCTTTTTCTTGTCTGTTCAGGGCTCATTGGTATTTAGTCGTCATTTGCTTTCCTGGACTGATGGAGCCAAAATCGGAGGCGTGGATGAGTTCAAACTCAGAGAATGGAAAGAGCAACGATGCAGCAGGAGAGGTACCGGATCAGGAGGTGGCTCAAGGTTCTAAAAGCCCAAATGAGAGCACAGAGAAAAACCCAACACTAGAAAAGAGTGACAGTGCGGATACAGAGATGGGTGAGTCTAAACAAATGAGTCATGACTGTCATTTATCACTTGGTGGCGTACCTGTTGATCACAGCTGGTTTTGTTTGTTTAGAAAAAGCTGGAGAAAAAGCCAAAGACCCACCGCCTGGTCCAGTGGTAAGAAAAAGTTCTGTTGTACTCATGAGGAATAAAATATGTATCCCTTTATAGTACTGTATAAAGTTTTATTAACAATCTTGTGTTTCTGGTTCTGTAATATCAGCTCACTTTGTTGCTATTTTTGCGTTTGTAGACCTGCACAGAAAAGACCTGCAAGGCGACAGTAGTTTGCAAACGGTAAGCGTGCTGGTCCACTTAGTTAACGCTGTTCACCTGTAGCATTTACTATCTGGTATATTGAGAAATGTTCAGTTTCTTGCATCAAATCTTAGATAATGTGTCTTGAATTTCAATCATGGAGGCGTATGGATATTTGTCAAAAGTGATATATTTCCCCCTGCTGAAAAAAAACTGGCTGTAATAAAGCGTCTGCTGTGTTTAAGTGATATTAAAGGTGTGTTTTGTCTCTGCAGGCCGTGCATTCTTATCATGGATTCACTTAAACTTTCTCTTCATGAGCGAGTCTTCAAACTCCTGAGGGAGTAAGTATGGCACTTTGAATCCATCAGTCTTTTTCCTGCAGATGTTTTTGTGAACGTTTTTAATTCAATTTGTTTTATTCCCTCAGCTATTTACAGTCAGAGTGGGAGGTACGTCGAGGTTCATCACGGGACTTTAGCACTGACCAGATGCAAAGCTCACACTGCCAAGTTCCCCTTCAGGACAACAGCAGCGACTGCGGTCTTTACCTGCTGCAGTACGTTGAGAGTTTTTTGAAGGTAAAGAACTTTTTCACCCACAGATTAGATTGATAATGTAAAGATAATTAGAGTTCTTAAAATGTTAAATGGTAATCTTCTTCCTCTTTCAGGATCCTGTGGTTCACTTTGACCTCCCTCTATATCTACAACGATGGTTTCCTCGGCAGCAGGTGCGAAGGAAAAGGGATGAAATCCGAGATCTGGTACTTCACCTCTATAGAAAACAAAACAGTTAGATGCACAGAGCAGCTCTGCTGTTCAGTGTGTCACATTCCTGTTGCCATGATACATCTCTGCTCATACTGAGTGACGGACATTTCAGAGTGAAATGAAGATATTTTTGTTATATTAGCGTTCTGTTTTTTAGTTTTTTTGCATTGACTTGTAGGGCACTTGTAAACTTTTGACTAAGTGTGGGTCCTGTGAGGAAAGATGAAGTTATCAGTTAATTTAAAACAAACAGGTAGCAGACCTTTAACAAAGACGAGTCCGACTGTGGGTCATACCGAAAAACGTTGTACATCCCATGTTCAAGTTTTGTACACCCTCTGGCTTTTTAAAGATTGTTTTGATGTTTCAGGGTATTTTATAAAAACATTTCTTTTGTATTTAATTTTTTTATTACATAGGAATGAAAGAAAAAGAGTTGTGTAAAGCAGTGATACCTAGTTTAGACATCGGACTGTAAACAGTTTTACTTGCTTTGCCAATATTTCATGTCACACGACACCCAATATTTCTGTCCCGTTATGGGGTTTTCCAATCAGAGTTGTTGCATTCTTTGCATTATTACTCCTCTCTGGATGTTTTAAATTTGCGAAACACATCGTACTCCATAGATTTGAAAGATGAGCATTTTACTTCAGTGTCACGCTCAGGGTAGGAAGCTCAAACACTCATGTATTCTGTTCTCCAGGTTTGCAGTTAAAGTTCTTATAATGATTCTGATACATCATGTTTATTTCACATCTTCTAGTGAATAGTGAAATGCTGGAGGGACATTTTTAAAGGCATCAGCAGCTGTAGTACAGAAGCTTATACTAGCACTTACCTCTGGCTAGCATCTCTGTTTTATAAAGTTACCAAAAAAAGGAGGTAATCCTCAGATAATGGGAGTCTTAGCTTGCATTTGTTGAAATTGGCTGTTGAGACTTAACTGCCTTTAGTTTTAATGCTTTAAAATGAAACCGTTTCTTATTGCTTTTCACTCTCTGGTCAATCAAGAAGCGGTGAAATTGCTAAATTTTTTGTAATTCCCATATGATTTTAGCACTACACGATGACAGTATTCGAGTCCCCCCCGAGTGTGATGTGAGAGGAAACTGATAATCACTCGAATGAAGTTCGTGAACATTGAAAAATGGTGGTCCAGTGTGGAAACAGATGATAAAAATTAGTCACTTGCTGACTTGCAAAGTTAGCCTAGATAAGAATCAAAATGAGTCCAAAGATGCTGACAAACTAGGATCATCCACTCAGTTCTCTTTACAGCTAAACTGGTCTGGTGTATACGAGCAGAATTCTGTATATTCTTCTCATAATCAAGAGTCCAAATGTAATATTGGGAGACAGACGTGGTGCCTGATCTTAACTCAGCCCGCCAACATCAGCAGGATTAGACCAAACTGGGGCTGGCTAACTGACATTAATCAGTGTGGACAGATCACACATTGACAGAAACACCTCTCACCTTTTTTGGCATCATCAATATTTCCTTTGGATTCAAATTGCTGACTCACACAGAGCTGGTCACGCACATTATCCTGCCTACCATAAAACCTGAACTTACCTGTGGTCTCTGCTTGACTCAGAGACATTTCATCACTAATGCTGCCTCCTCAAAAGAGATCGATCTTTGATAGCCTTTAGTTCAGTTCATTAGTGTCTCTTTAATGTTTTGTTTAAAATGTTTTTAACATTGTATTGGATGAATGTACAGGAGCTGAATCCACATGAGCTGTGGTTTCGATAGTGTAATAAATCTTGTAGACCAAACGACACCTGTTACTCTTTTGTTTTTGACTGAAGCCACAAATCTTGATACAATAAAGCTTAATACCTTTTGTTTCTTTTATGCACTTTGTGACAAATTCCAACCAGACAGTTTTTGGTTGTGGTCCTGGCTCTTGACATTTTGACCCAGATGTCCTCATAACAAGATGAGGATTAAAAATCGGTAACTAAAACAGAGACTGAAAGTCTGTCATAAATCTGTCTATTTATTCATTTTTATGTATTACTAAGTTTTCCTTGGCTGCTCTTCTGAACATTTTTATAACCCCACAGTAAATAATCCACTTTCTGACCAGACGAGCCAACTTTGTTCTTCCGGAGCCAAAAGGCTTCATTAGGAAATGCCCGAGGAGTCCTGAACAATGCTTTCCAATGTAATCTGTTCAGAGGTTACGTGGTCGGCTTAGATGTGTTTACTGTCTGTCAGATCACCTCAGCGTCTGTGCCCCCCCACCCCACCACCTACGCACACGTTTACACACACACACTAAGGATCAGTTAATTAGATACATTTTGCTGTTAGACTTGCAGCCATTCAAATCAGTGAGAGAGGTGAAATAGATCAACACTTCATAAGAGAATATTTTCTTACAAGAATGAAAAATACTTCAATGAATAGCCCCCTCCAAATATTTTAACAGGACTGCGGTTGTATGAATTGCTTTTCTTAAGTATTCAGTCAGTTAACCAAATAGCAAGCCCTGTTTCATGCCTAAACACACTCAATGGTGTTTGATATCACTGTAAGAGATGCTGATGCTGGGTATATACACTCTACAGTAAGGGTTAAACCACTGCCTTTAAGGCCTACTTGGCTGCCTTGTTTAGTACTCATGATATCAAGGTGCAGGTTAGAGTCCTCTTTGGAACTCACTAAGTTAACATTTCCTTACCATCTGCTATACCCAGACAAAAGGTCCAAAACCCTCAGAGGAAAAACAGAAAGACTTTACCGGGAGGTTGATATTGTGTTCCTAACAAAATAATCCCCAAAACTGGTGGACAAATGACCAAAATCATGTGGAGGCCTCAAACTCCTAAATCTAAGATAAAACTTGTGGGTCTTACAGCTCAGGAGACCCCTCATGATATGGATTCAAGATGTCATTGATACATTGATACTCTACCCTTTATCAATATTCCAGTAACAGAAACTGTAATAAGTGAATGAAGTTAAGTCACACTTCAGATATGGAGGTTCATTAAGATGTCATTTGGACTATCTTAAACAATTTCTGCATTAACTGATATAGGGCTAATAAAGGATTTCACATCATGCCATACAGATCATATAATATGGACTTTCGAAGCAGTATCAGCTCCATAAAGATGAAAATGTCAAATCCTTTGAGAAGATTAAAGAGGAATTCTCGCCTCCTAATACAGACTTCTTTAGATTTTTACAACTAAGATCATTTTAACTAAACACAACGAATGGAAGAGAGTCTTCCATCCCAATCCTAATGAAAGATTCTTGATAAAATCACAGGTAGCAGAGGTAGAAAAATAATCCGCCTTTATAGCACCTTCTAAATCACGAGTTTGTACAATAAATGTAAAAGAGAAATGGGAGGCTGGGAAGCAGGCATACTGGAAGATGGTAATGTGATTCTTTTGCACACCAGAAATAGTAGCTAAAATTAATCCAACACATCAAGACAAAGTCTGGAGGAACTGAGCAAAACCTGACCCTCCGACATACAGTGTGTGGATAGAGGAGGTACAGGAAATTTATTGTATGGAAAGAATAACGTACACTCTGAGACTCCAAAAAGAAATACTCCTTTCCAGATGGAAACCTGCTGACTCTGTAAAAAATGATCTGAGTCTAGCCCAGTTACTCAGTCTATACCTGCACCTCATCACCCTATTCCTCTATGAACACCTATTGACATATTTACATCTAACCCTGCTGAATACAAACATACATTTATAAGCATGTACACATTCATGACCCCCAGAGGATAACCCTTTATGACCAAAAGAAGCCCCCTGACATTTCTTCTGGTGCTACCATCAAGTTGTAACAAGGATTTCAGTGAGATACAACCCCATGGTTATAATATTTGTTTCAGATATTCATGATCCCCAGAGGACGTTGGTGAGCACCTGGCTTCAGGAAGGGTCAATATTATGTTTCTGAGTATACTGCTACAACTTAAGGAGATTTTTTCATTGGATTTGAAAACCAGTGTTCATGATTACTCAAGGATTGACAAAAAAACCCCTGATATTTCCTCTAGCCCTGCTTTGAGGCTCAATTCTGGTTCTGGTCAAAGTTTCCCAACAAAGCGACTTCGAAATTTGTAACAGTGTTCGCTATCCCAAGACGGTATATACTAATGATTTTCAGTGTTCCCTGAAAAACTGTGCTGACTCATTAATGCTAATTGGCTAATTCTAGGAAAACTCAAATAGTGCACATTCATATGAGCTTATTGGTACTTTAGTTTTGGCTTGTTGGTGCGCTAACGTTGTTGATATATGGTCATCATCTAGATTTTTAAACGAATGCATCACTTGACGTAGCACTGAGGATAATAAGATGTTAGCTCTTATTTCTCACTCCCCTCTTTTTCTTTTCCTGTAAAGCAGCTTCTTTAAAGATTTCCCTTTTAAAAACAGGATAAACCCAATAGGAAGTGTTTGGGGGTTAAAGGTCGACTCCACACTAAGCTCCAGGACTCTCACTGTTGTTAATATATACATACTGAGAGGATTTCAGTCGCTACTCGTTGGCTCAGCGCCTCAGTACCTACACCTACCTGACGCACGGTGTGTGGGTGGGGCGGGGCGGAGGTGGGGGCTGATTTGAATACACTTCCACTGCTTTGTTGTAACAATTTAGTGCACTTTCTTTCAACTTGTAGAAAGAAATCATCACTTCTTTATTGGCAAAGAATGCAGAAATCGTGAACTCACTACCAAAAATCAACATTCTGTCAAAGCAGCTCTATGTATTGGTGATTCCAAGTCCTTTGTTGCTCCTCTCTGTCCATGTTTCTTCCAGTCTGTGTCCTCCCTTTCCACTGTTGCTCCAGTAACTTCTTGGCGAGCTTCTCTAAAAGGCTTAGAGTAAACAGGATTACAGGGCATTAAACAATCCCCTTCTCTCCTGGAGCCATCTGCCTTTCTACCTGACCTGGGAGCTGTCCTCTCAGCACCATGGGACACGCCTTTCATCAGCTGCAGAGGAAACCTGGAAACCAACATGTTGTAGTGTCGTCAAATTAGATCTTTGTGGACCTTTGTCTTTTTTTCCACACCTGGAGACTTCTGAACTATGCAAACTTGTAGGAAACTGTTTTTGATGCTGTTACGCGCCTTGAGAGGAAGTACACTTGACCCTTTTCGAAGCCTTCGGAATTAAGCACAATTACGGATTTACCATGAGGATTGTATCTTGGATTTGTTTTTTCTACTCAGTTTTGTTTAGTTTTGTAGCTATATTTTTGGACATCAGGACAGGTTTGTATTACAAGCTTTTGGCACACTACTCATATGTGAAACAGTACATATCAAACTTAACTGCTTTTTTGGTTGTTGTTGTGGTACTCCAGATGCAACAGAGGAAGGGTCTGCCATGGGTTACCTGAGTCTGGAGCCTGAGATATTACCAGGTGTTGATCCTGCGTACGATGTCAAGATATCGTATGATGACCTCGCAGTGTCGAGACGGAAACGAAACATTCTTTTCCCGAGTGGAATCAAACTCTGTGCTCAAGAGACTGCAGAGCAAGTTGCTGCAAACCACCTCAGCTACTTTTACCTAAGAGGTAAGACTGAACCGTGGAGACCTTTGTAAAATTCAGGTGAATCTTAATAAAGCAAGAAGGGACCTTAGCAGGAACCAAAACAGGAACTTTGATTCAGTCCATCAAGATTTGCGTCAGCAGTTGGAATTAATTGTCTCACTGGCAATTGTGTTAACCTTTGTTACATTTACTCAAAGAGGCAGGTGTCAGCATTCATCTATGTGACCTGTGTAGACAATAGTGACAATTAGGCTTTATGAGATTTGTATTTTAAATAGACACTAGCTGTGGAAATATATGTATATGTATATATATATATATATATATATATATAAGTTCAAATATGTAGCACAAACACTGCTAAGGTGGCATCACTTGAGTCCACACTTTTTGACTCCTGCTGGTCGCCAGGGAGAAACAAAGGTCTAGATAAATACATATAAGAAGTAGGACTCCTGCAGACCTGTAAGCAGACCTTAAAACCAGATGTTTACATTTCTTTGACCACTGAATAAATGCAGAATGATTATGAATTAGTGTGTACTATTCATTATTCATAGGGTCTTATATCTTGGGAGAAAGAGGTCACAAATTAGGAGCGAGAGACATGTTTGTGAGTCAAGCGGAAGCTGGTTCATTGTCTTGTATTGTCTGTCCTCTTCATTGTAGGGTTGCAGCATTTAGGACACACTGAACCAAATCTTTCCACAAGGCTAAATGCCAGTCATGGAATCTAATTAATGAATTGTTTGATTATTTAAGTACTGATCTAATATACTCTTCCGAGGCCATTGCACTGCAGTATCATAGCTGCATCGTACAACATGGTTCTGTTTAATGACATTTCTGAGGGATATATCTCACTTTTTGGACGCATGAGTGATTCCAGAGTGATCAGTTGTTCATAATGGAAATGTAAACATCAACTTTATGAGCAAGAACAAGAATATGGCGAATAATGGTGGAATAAACCATAAACCAATACAACTAAAAACAACTTCTCAGTGACACCTTAGGTACATTTTGTTGTTGTTGCAGTTGTACTGTTATTTTGTCAACACAGATCCAGTGTTTCTTTCGGTCCCACATCCACAGGTGGGCTGAAGATGTGAAGCTAAAGCTCAGGATGTATTTATGTGCGCGATAGCAGAGATCAAGGTATCATTCCTCGGTAGTCAAATATAGACAACTGCTGGTGCCAAGAGACAGTCTGTGACTTTGTGTCTGTAAAAAGTTGAGGTTCGTTAAGTAAGCTAGCTCTGGATTTGGAGATGACCCCCGCTGACTCAGCCTCATGGGCAGCATTGATTAAGAGAGTTGAGAATACCATCATTGTCTGTGGATCAACACCAAGTAGGCTGACTCAGGGAAAGAGCTTGTGTCAAAGAGTTCACATGGCGCAGGACAGTCTTAGAACCCCAGGTGCCAAATATTCAGGCCCAACTGTTTGAAAATAACTAAAAATATTTTATTCACAAGCAAGTGTGGTCCTGGGAATTTCATTTTTCCATTTTTAACACAAATGGATGAATTGGAAAAAAGGTTTCAAAGGTTTGTTTTTCTGAGATGATAGTGTCCCTCTCTCTCTCTCTTGTCTATTCAGTGTGCCAGGAAACCATATGGGAGGCTTTCAAGATCTTCTGGGACCGCCTGCCAGAGCAAGATGAGTACCAAAGCTGGATGAACAAATGCCAGGAAGGCGCAGTCACGGCACAAGATGTTGGCACCTACTTCAGCCAATCAGAAGAGCATCAGACTCTAGTTAAAAAGGTTAGTGGACAAGTGACGCGTCTGGAAACCGTACAGATCCATATATATTACACAACAGGTGGCTGATACTAAAGTTGAGTCTTTCTCTTTTTTCATCCCCAGAGAGCAGCTGCAACAGGGTCACACAGGTAAAAGTAACACTCTGACTCTTTGTCGTATTGCTCATTCACTATTTTAATCATAAATATATATATATGATCGCCGGATTAAGTCTGTGTTTTGTCAATGTGTCATCTTTCCCACTGTCTGTAGTGAGCCCACCAGGTCCTGGCAACATATGTGCAGGTGAGGTTGTCAAAGCGCTCCAACCTTACCTGTTCATATTACAACTTTACATGTATCATGTTCTTTTGTTTTTTTTTTTTTGTTTATTTTGTTCTTGTTGACTAGATTAGACACTAACATCTAGATTTTGTAGTATATTAGTTTACATTCTCTCTGAGCCCAAAAGAAAACCCTGATCTTATTTTATCTTTTTTATCAATTTCAACAAATCCTACAAAATCTTGACAGAACAAGGAAATAAAAAATAAAACTCGCTACCAAAACCAACTCAAGGTTTACCAAGGATGGTATTATTGCCCTTTTTCTGGGTCTGATTTTGATTAGTCCAGTAAAATCAGGCTGGTAGTAACTATAACCCTTACATGACCAGACAAACAGAAGCAATAAAAGATCCTTGGCAGAGCAAACAAAGACTTTGTCTAAGTTTTGTCTGTACAGCCATAGTCTAATACTGCAGTTGCCTTCTTTTAACTGTCATCCATAGATATTGAAACACTAAGACTTACTAATCGATATCTCATTGTCACGTTGTTAGTTGACATACTTGGCCCCACACTGAGGAGGACTGGAGCTAAAAGAGAATAAACTGTACAGATCATAGTTTTGGCATTGGAATGCTGTCAATCACACACTGTCTCAGTGTGATCCATTCAAGCAAAAAGTAGAGTCTAGCACTTGCAAATTTTGAATATCTTGCTTTGGCCTAACCTCTATAAACAACTTATGAAATCTGGATACATTGCTACCCCAATCTTAGCTTAGCTTAGCTTAGTTTTGGTGTTAGGTGTTAAACACGTAGTACGACCCAGTTGCTTATTACCCAATATGATGGTATTCGTGGTATTATAGTAATCATTAGTATTCCACCATGATTAAATAGTCAGGTAACATTAAAGCTACTCTAAATTTAAAGCATATGAACACACCAAAATCAGAAACTAGACTAGACTCCAGGAGCATCAATGCAGCACGACTAAAAAAGTACATTAATTATTGGTTTTGACATCTTCAAGGATTTGTTGACAATGGTGAAAAATAAAATAAAATAAAATAGCCTTACCCTTAAATCCCTACTTGTATCTGAAAATCCAAAATGTCCATGTTTGCACTTTATTTTCCCCTCTCAGGTAATTTTATATTGGCATTGTTTAAACAATCTTGTTTATTTTCACAGTCCTCCGACACCTGAGACACCGAAAACTATCCAGCCTCCTGACACAGGTTTGGGCCACACAAGTTGTCTGTTGTTTCAATGTCAGAAAATCATCATCATCATTTCATTCACAAATATCTTCAGTATTCATGAATCTATTTGTAAAGTCAGTCATTGATAGTTTGCAAATTGGCATTTGACCACTTTTACCTTAGATTTTAAAATAACATAAATCAGGACTGTCTAAAGCATAAAGTCAATGATTTTCACAGCAGTTGCTAAAAAGAAAAGCTCACATCCTCTTGAAATAACACATTTTTTGTTCTGCAGAACCCCTCCAACCACTAGAATTAGAAGAAAACACCAAAGCAAAAACAGACGAGGAAGCAACCAACTTTATCACAGAGGAGAGTTTGGTACGTATGACCGCAAATTGTTCATAAATTGGCATTTACACTGTTTAATTCCTGTGCAGCCTTAATCACTGCATCACAAAGCATCTTTTGATTTGTTCTGATACCAAGAACAGTTAATGAAATGGCTTTGATATCATCTTTAATGTTTTATAAAATATTTGACAGTTTCCTCTGAAACAAGTAACCCTTGTAATGTGAGCCTAAAATACCTTGAAGTTACTGTTATATTGCTGCAAAAAAGAGGACATCAGCGGGGCTGCCGGCTGAGCTGCTGCTACTCATGTTAGCGTAGCTTGTTTATGGGAATTCTGCTTCCATTTTAGGTTTAGGATTTTGTCACTCTGCTAAATCAAGCCAAGAAAAATAGCAAGCAAATTACATCTATACATGGTTGCTGATGTAGAAAAGATTTGGAACAATGTTTGATATTGGTGTATTTTCATTTTTAATACCCAAGTATTGGAGGAGTACTTTGCATCAGCTGATATTGAAGTTAGATATTGGCATGGTAAAGGAGAAACTGGTATTAAAATGTCTCTTCTTTTTTCCCCCTTGCACAGCAGGACAATGACATTGCTGTGCAGCCTCCCACTCCCCCTGTGCTGGAGCAGGTGGTGAAGCTCAGCATCCTCCTGACTGGAGAGGCATATAGCAGCACCCTTGATGAACCAAACAGCTTCCAGTACCAAACACTCAGCGAACAGCTTGGTGTAAAGGTTCGTCTCTAGCACTGCTTCTGTCCGTGACTCTTTACGGCTCCCTTCAGTGCTCCTGAATCTTGGCTCCAGTCTGAACTCGGTTTATCTGCTGGTTTATGGTCTGTGATGGATGCATTGTTAGCTTTTGTGAGACGTAATTTAACAGCAGCAGTAGTTCAATCTTACCTGTTGGTCAGGACTTGAACCCTGGGTTTTATATGATGCATTGTGTGAAACGACTGGTCTTGACAGAGATAGGTCACTCTTGGGAAAAGCTGAAGAAACTTGGAAAATTACACACTTTTAGGATGCTTTTACTTTCCTTTAAACACACAGATGTGTGAGAGCAAAAGGGCACACACATACCTTGTAAATAACACTAATAGCCTGATCACATATTCAATTTTTTTTGTGTATAAGGGAGGATATCTCTCCTAAACGTCAAAATGTAATATTCTCCTTGGAGATCTGCTACAAAAAAAATTGTGAACCTAATTCTACTTCATTCATACAAACTCTCGTGCCATGAAGAGATTAAATGTCTGTGTGCAGGAAGAGGAGTAGAAAGGAGGACAGGGATGAAAGATTTAGGAGAGAGGTAGAGTAGGGAGGGAGGATATGGAGGACAAGCTGACAGACTGAATGCCTTAGAGACCTAGTTTCAGACTCTGTCTATAATGGAATAAAGACACTGGTTCTCAGCATGCACAGACTGTCATAGGGGCTGTATATCTGTGGTATATACAGTATGTACCATCCAAAAATAGTAAACAAGCTCTAGCTGTGGCTCATTTGTGATGCTTGATCATTTTTTCTTTTTGCAGATAGCAGATGCTTTGGAGAGACTTCCTGGGTTTAAGAGTGTGTCTGTGCTGGACTTCAGGTCAGTCCCTGCGTTTGTATCTGGGACAATAGCAAAGCCCTCTTACTGCTGCTGAAACCACCTTAAACTTTTTGCACTGACACGCTTTAATTCTCTTTTTCATGTAGACCCGAGAAGGATACCCAAGGGTGAGTCAAAAGTTCAGGTTAACCTTGAAAAGTTCTCCCATCCCACTTTATGTTTAAGCCCCTCGATCCCTATCAGCCATTGTTTATCTACATCCGCTGGAGTGTGTGTAGTGTCACCTTCATCTCCCCCTACGGCCCCCTGTGATCATTGGCACGTGTAAAGACGTGTCGCCAGTTGCCTGTGTTAATGGTCTTAGTGTGGTCACTCACCTGGTAAGTGGGATCAGGATGAGTTCACCAGAGTGAGCAGGTGCTCTTCTATAGAGACGATTATCTGGGCTTTACGAACTTGCAGGAGGGTTGGAGGCAAAGATGTTGTGTGTGTCATGGGAGCAAAAGAGCAGAATTACAGAAGTCAATGCAGGTGGGGAGGTTAGTGGGTAATGATGTGTGTTGTTGCTATGTAAAAATGCAAATCCTTGTTCTGGGTTAAACTAAGAATAAAGAGAGAATACTGAAATCGTTTTGATTCACGGCTTTCCAAAGCGACTCATTTCCAAGTCATTTAAACTGAGATTTAGATCCTTACTAGCCAACAATTCTTAGAGTGGGGAAACATTTGGGAGGGAAAAAGTCTAATGAAGTATAATTCACTCTGGATAAACAATATTAAATGAGCTTGCTGAGTGTGACTAATGTTTGCAGAAGCAGCACCACCAGCCTTCGGTCTCTACTGCAGGCTAGTGTGGTGTTATGCATTGCTCCGCTCCAGTTGACAAACAGCCTACATAGATTAGATCTCTATTTTCTGAATCGAAATACTGCCAAACTATTTCATTCTATAGGATATTTTCAGCGAGAAGATGTCATCTGTCATCTGTGCTTATTTGCATCTGGATAGTAGAACTTCACAGCACTTTGGTCGTTGGAAATAATCAAACTGCAGCCCTGACTAGTGGCAAATGGCTGTGTTATGAGTTAGCCACAGTTTATGACTAGCAATCCAAGTCAAAGAAAGAAATGTAAATAAGTCATTTGGTCGGCTAGTAATACTGTTGCCAACTAAATATGCTCTCCCCTTGTAAAGTATTCGCAAATTAGCCTGACCGCCCAAAAATGAATGAAATGCAGCTTCTCCAAAGAATTCGAACGTTGTGGAGGGTGAAGGTAGAGACAATTAAACTAACTTTTGCCAGCGTTGGGAATTTTAATCTCAAAAAGTTTTGTATTCTACAAGTTGCGCATCAATAGAATAAAATAATTTGTAAGGCAAAGAAAAAAGAAATCTCTGAACCTGTTGTAGAAATGCGAGATGCCCAAGCAAATTGAAGCGTGGTGCTTTAATAATTGCACTTAAATACAATCTGCTGTTGCACAAATGTGCCAAAAGACAAAGAGCTCTTGAACATAATTTTCTTCCTCTCTTCCTCGTTAACTATCCTTCGTCCACTGTTTAGTTATCATTTTTTCAGAGAGTGGTGCAGTGATTGTTTCCGCGTGCTGCTGCAAACTGCAAGCTACGGGACACCGCAGTAGTAAAGCCATATTTATCTGCCTCTGTGTATGTATGAAATTAAATGAGGAAAAATTTGGATCTGAATACAGCTGACAGTGGGCCGGCACACGCTCAACAGTCCGCCAGAAACCCGACAAACTAGGTCAGAGTGGAGGGCTCCCAGCAGTCAAATTTGGGCTGATAAATTGCTTTTTCCAAGGCCTGGAATCTGTTGTGAGGTTTCCATGTTTATTATGATGATATTGATCATCCTGCTGACTCTGCCATTTATTGGCCTATACAGTCGAGCAGCAGTAATTCTCTTGACTCATCAGTCATCATGAGCCCTCTACAAAGTCTTTCTGAACAGGTTTGATGTTAAATCACGTTAATGCCTCAGCGGGTTTCATCATTCAAGAGAACTGGTTTCTGATCCAGGAGACGTGATTTCATACTTTCATTTTGTACATATGTCTTTAAGATAAATGTTAAATGTTGTTCAGGTGCAGTGTAGGCTGGAATATTCTAAATTGGTGTTAGGAAAATCAGGTAAAACAACTTTCTCATTAGCTTGTCTTGGGGCTTAATAGTCTTGTTTTCACCAAATCCTCCACTTAGCTCTTCTCAAGTCAACAGAAACACATGTAAATATACAACTTGGAACAGTCATTGTATTGCGCTCTGTTTAGATAGACAATGACCTTACACCACAATGTTGCAGACACTGGGTGTAACCAATTGGTGCTCTTTCTTCAGGCAAGAATGTGTGATGGCGGACTTTGCCGTCACATTGGTGGTGGATGGAAACGGAGCGACCAGTGAACAGATAGACTACCTGACTCTGCAATCCAACCTGGTGGAGAACTCATACCGTGAGGTCATGGAGCTGAAGCGTCCCACTGTCTACACCATTAGCGAGATCAAAAACTTTGTCACCGAAGCCATGCAGCCACCCGAGCTGGAGAGCGGTAAGACGATGGCCAGAGCATGACTGCTGAGTTTTAAAATATTCCCTGAACTGTAACAGAACACACACATGCCACCATTAGGGCTATTTATTTAATTGGCATAGCAGTGAAGTCATCGGGAAAGCATTGGCAGAGGTAGTGCGTGCAGTGCAGGGAAAACCTCCAAATGTCATATCAAATAGAGACACATTAGATCCAGCATCGATATTATTACATGGGCTACACCACTTGAGAAAACATTCCAGGGTTTTAATAGTCTCATCTGTTTCTTATTTGTCTGCTCCTTCTGTCAAAGAGGACAGAGAAATATTTTTTAAAAATATCAGCTCAAAAGTGGGCCATTTCTAATCGACAAATTACAGAGTCATCACTTATAGGAGCTGTGTATTTATTCAATGCTACAGTCTAATCCTCGTCATTAAATGGTGCGCGAAAAAGGTCTGAGAGAAAGGATAATGAAACCTGAGCTTTTGAAGTGATTTTAACTTTATTCTGTACTTTGGCGCAAATGCAGATGATCCTAACAGGGATGAAAGTCTGTTGATGGAGAGCCTACTGGGTGATGCATGTTTGCATGTTAGGTCTGTTCCTGGATGGCTGGTACCTTGTAGGACACTAAGGCTGCAAAAAGATAGCTTTGTTTGGTTCATTTAGGGGATAAGATAAGGAGTCATGATGACAGAGCCTCTTTTCATTGTTACAGCAAATACATGGTTGAAGACTGGTCATTGAGACCCACAGTGGCTTTTAACAGTGTCAAAGATATTTTACTCTTTATTGTGCACATATTCTTATATCCTGTAGAACTTGTTAAATCTTTAATGCCTGAAACCACAAATTATGGCTAGAAAATTGAAATTTTTTTGGACCTGAAATGTTTATTTCATTTACTACTGAAAACCAAAAAAATCTAAATGTTCTTAAAATTTAAGGAATATATTTATTTATCTTGTTTGATACATTAGATGTTTTTGAGAACTGATAAACTACAAGAGGACATTTTTATCATTTATCGGACCGTATTCAGGTGTGTTTTTAGTAATTTGTTGATCATATTGATTTGCTAGAAGTATCATAAAAGTATGTATCAAATATGATACAAAAGGCATTAAAGGGCTATCAACATGACCTGTGATGGAGCTCATCGGTTTGGTCGGTGATGAAGCAGCTGAAGTTGCCTTGTCTTGTTCGCTGTAGGCAGGGATGAGGAGCGTGCTCAGGGATGTGGTCAGCTCACTCAGTCCATGTCCACAGATTGTTTTCTTTAACATATCAGCATGGCATCAAACAGTATGATGCAATACACCATTATATAATATAATAACAAAAAAGATACAGTATGGTGTATTACAAAAATAAAAAAAATCAATACGCTACAATATTATTTGATTTGATAAAATAAGATACAATTTATTGTGCTTGATTGCTGTTGCTTGATTCAAAAGATCCTTTTTCTTTTGTGAGGAAATATATATTTATTTGGACTGGTCCAGACATGACATTCAGCAAAATTAGAAATGCAAAAAATACATTGTGGCTAAATACAGATGTACACCAGAAAAAAGACAAACATATAAATAAACTAGTAAAGCAACAACATTAGAGCCAAAGATGGCCAAAGTGGCAAGACATATATCAGCTGGAAAGACTATAACCAGATCACAACTAACAGTCTGTGATAAATATAAAGACACACCCTGATGGAGTCACACAATAATAGATTTTTTTGTGTAAATAGGTGGAGTTGCCCTTTTCTTCACAGTCATTGTAGACCCACCTGTACCAGACACTCAAATGCTCACAGACTGGGGAATATAACTTTCTATAATTATCTGTCCTGGTCTCTTCTTAAAAAACTACGCTGATTAACGTCTATAGTGGCCCATATGAAGATTTCTCCCTTCACAATGTCTTATTTGAGTTTACTGTGCAGTTGAGCCTCCCTTGAGAGCAGTGCTCACATTACATTTGACAAATAATGGCTAAATGCTCTCATATGGCTGTCATATTTGGCTGCCGGGAAGCTTAAAGCCGCATCTTGCCTTTGTTTGTCTTCTTTGGTGGTGATTCAGTATTAGCTTTGGCCCACAGCTGGTTGCTAATATTCTCTCCAGATTGAAGCACTGATTTGTAGATATTTACCCCTGAAGGTAATGCTGTCAAATTGAAGTCAGTGCTGAAATGGTAACGATTAAAAGGATTCTGTAGACTCCTACAGGCATGATTGTTTTAGCCATTTGGCTCGCTTGCCTTTTGTGTGTCAGTTTGAATTAATATTTGTTCCCTCCTTGGTTCCACAGTGTCTGAGGTCCCCGAGCCTTTAAACACCGCAGGAGAAGCCGCAGTGAGTAACAAGTTACCTCAACAACATGACAACAGTCTCACTTCTAGGGTTTCCAGCTACTTTGAGCTCTCTGAGTTGATAAATCACTTATGTTTAAAAAAGCTGGCAGTTTCAGTTTGACTGATGTTGCAATAACATGTAACTGGCTTGTGATGTTCTCCAGACCACTCTAGTGCAGGTAGGGGATGAGCTCACCAGCTAGGATGAAGCGAGGCTTTGAGGATTACTGTGGCTCTTGCTATAATAATCCACAGCTATTTTGGGTGAAAAGCTACAGGACAGCACACCACACATAGTAAAGGAGGGAGACGGCACATGAGTTCATGCATCCAGAGTCTGTCTTGACATGTGGGTGTTCCTGTGGTAGAATGGGCTTTTTGATGCTAATCAGTGTTTGGGTAGCACTAAATGTGTCTGCTGGTTCACTTTAGAGACCGGCTTGCTAAGTGATTAATATGACTCATTATTTGAATTGGGAGGGTTTGGCAAACTTCTCATTAGTAATTGATTTACAGGCAGGAGCAAAGAGCTACTGTGCTGTGGGATATTTAAGATTTAGTTGTTGTTTTTTTCAAGGTTTTGTCGAGTTGATATTGGCGGAGCAGATCTGCAGTAGGCCAAAATAATAATTATAGAGTTTTATTGCTGAGTTGAAAAGCTACCATCAATTTAAAGTAAGATTTGGGTTCACGTGAGTTAATGAAGAAGAAAAAGAAGAACTTTATTCATCCCCAAAGAGAAATTCAAAGTAAATCTTTCTCTCTCTCTATGCAAAAGAGTGTGGAGCTATGCAGCTGGCTTAATGTTATTTTGACCTTTAAAGATATGAAAAAATCAAGATAGTCTCAGTAGTCTAATAATAATGTACACACAATCCCCATTTGTCGTCCTACATATAATCCTACATATTACTGGTATTGCAACTTTTTATTTTAAATTTGACAACTTTTTCCATTTAAAGTTAGATTTTTAATAACCACTTTGTAGATGCTTATCAATGTTAAAATAAGAAGTTGCACCATAATTGCCACATTTTTAAATTATCTGTTCATTTTGTAGTGATTTTGTCCAAATTGAGCAAAAAATTAAGGTTACATTTTTGTGCACACAAAGTATTAGGGCCACATTAATCTTTTTAAGATTCCAAAGAAAAATGTTATTTTCTTTCAATAGTAGAGTTGCAGTAAAAAAGTCACTATAAATTTATGATATTACAAGAATAAAGTTGTTTTGTTGTGTTAGAGAATACTGTCATTATGTGATAAAATTCAAGATGTTAATTTTGTCAGAATCAGCCACATGTGAATTATGTTTTGAAGCAGGATACTACAAGTCTCAGCTTTTTACAAAATCTTCTAGTGTTCACATATGAATCACAAAGTGTTGCTAAGATGTCAGAACATTACAATATTTACTCATTTTGGCTGCTCAGTGTAAACCAAAACCATATCATGGCTTAATTCTCATGACATCTTTATTTCTTTAATATCATGACTTCACTACAACTTTATTGTTGTAACAAAATAACTTCAATCACGTTGCATATAACCTGATTTTCTGACTTCTTTATTCGGAGAGACTGTATTCGCTGAGTGAACAGGTTGCTAACTGGCAGGCAGGTTAGGATTGCTCCTTTGAATTCAGGTGCTTGTGATAATTCAGTGAAATCATACGACTAAAAAGAAGTGGAAAATGCCTCGTTGCCACTTAAATCGTCTATTTTCGTCATCTCAGTTGCTGTTATGTTGATTGTCAGTGTAATGTTACATTAATTGCATTTAGATTACCTTCATCAGTTTGGTGTTAAATAGTCAGGTACATCAGTTATCAGACAAAATTAACATTTCCTCTAAAGTTAAAGGTAGATTCTGTATGTTTTATTGATCACACTGATGTCGGACACTAGATCTACTATTTGTTTATTTATGGATCTGCTGACTCCATTGACATAGGCATGTAAGTGCAAACCTGGCGGAGAAGTTTGTATGTTATTAGGTTGTAAAAACTTCTAGTAGCTTCGATGGACATTGGTTTTACAGTATGAAATTGGCCACACAAAATGAGTTAAAATTAAAGAGCCAACATACCATCGATACACATTTCCCATTTTTTATGTAGCTGTCATGCACATGAGACCTTTTAGTTTTTTTTAATTGTTATCTAGTTTAAGTCTGAAAACAATGGCCGTGATCCGATGATAAAGATCTCTTGTAGCAGATGTTTGCGTGTTGTACCTTCCAACTTAAAGAGCACTTTGAAAAAGCAGTGGCAGGAGCTGTGCTTGACCTGACCTACAAACTTAAAACAACTGCCTAATCAAAACTCCTGTACCTTGGCACACGACTGGGGAATTGTGCAAATAGGTTTAGATAACAAAAGCTGATTGTGATGCAGGTTAAAGTAGCAGATGAGCCCCAAGAGGTCATGATCATCAGAGAGCACAATGAAGATGTCAACAAAGAGGATGTCCTCAGGGCTCTGCAGGCCACGGCAGAAAATGACGTCATCATCCTGGAGGAGAGTACAGTTGTGTCCCCTGCACCTGTGTTGACCACTGCTGCACCTGACGCCGGCAGTACGTGTTAACTAAACGTGTTAAATATGCAACTTAAGCACTCTGGAAAAAGCAGCACAAAATGACTGGAGTTTTCTGTTGTACTTGTTTTTCCAGGCATTGAGGAGGAGGGTCTGCTGCTTAAGGAAATTATAAACGCCCCTCCAACCAAGGAGCTCACAGATATATTTCTTCCCAAACCCCCAATTGAGGTGGAGTCCTCTGGTTCAGAAGATGTGGAGGTGACCACAAAACCAAGTGAAATCCTTGAAACAGAGATAGATGTAGTTCCTGTTGAAAAACCAACAACTGCAACTGTGGAAGAGGAAAATCTGAGTGAGATTGTTGTAGAGGAGGCTGAGATTTCAGATGAGCCTGAAACCACCACTGTAGGAACTGAGACCGCAGAAGAAAGCCTTCCCGAACTGGTCCCACCTCCTAAGACTGTAGAAGTAGTGAGTGATGCTCCAGAGCTGGATGCATACACAGAGGTACCAGTAATTGAAGAGAGCCTAGGAGGAGGGGAGAAAGACGAAGCTGCACCCGAAGCTCCTGCAGAAGAGGAAAAGGCTGTTGAAGCTCCGCCCCTCTCAACAGAGGATCTTACAGAGGATGAGATCATTCTGGTCACTGAAGAGGAGATAGAGCCAATAGTAACAGGAACTCCAAGCCCACCTCAACCGACTGCTCTGTCTCCAGAGAGGGAGTCACCGTTCACCCGAATCTCTGACATACAACCTGTCAATGAAGGACAACCTGACGTCATCATCCCTTCAGTGGTGGAGGTAACGCACAAGAGTTTTTATGTCGCAAAAAGGACCAAGTATGACAATCTTACAGGGTCCAAATTAGATCCAAACTCTCACAATTTGAGAATGGAGGTTTAAATTTACTTTTTAGACATGCGCTGTAAAACATTGTGAAATCCAAGCCTAAGATCTTTGGGTGCTTTTATCCCTTAAATATGATCCCAAAAACCTTGACCTTAAGGGCCTGTGAGATCAACTTTAGTGGTGCGCTCAAATGGTAACTTAAGATAGTTATCCACACAGTGTGAGTTGTACCATTCAAGTGGAAAGATAATGCTAATAAATTGGGAAACAGATTTATACACAAAATGCTTTAAATCTATCTGACTGGACTCATGTCTAGAAGTACAAGAAACCCAGTAATCTCTTGATGATAACAATTTGCAGGGGGGGTCATTTCAACTCTCAATTTCTTGTGTTTTACCGTACTCTTACAAAACAAAAGATATATTTTCTCAAACCTCTGTCTTTGGTACTTAAAAGGCATCACCTCTTTATCAATCTACTCTTTTACCCCTCAGATCCAGACCATCGATGAAGGCCTTGATGATGCCACCACAGGAGACCAGGAGTATGATTTGATTCAGTATGGTTATGGTTTGATTAATCACACAGAGGACGGCAGCACCGGCTTCCCGTTCAGTGTAGTACACGGCACAGACCAAGTCAGTATCGCCATGCCTGCAAATCCTGGTCGGGCACTGATGGTTTTCTTCAGCCTGAGAGTGACCAACATGATCTTCTCCGAGGATCTCTTCAACAAGAGCTCCCCAGAATACAAAGCTTTGGAGCAGCGCTTCCTTGAGTTGGTAAATGCACATTTATTCTCCTTGTGGTCATCATTCCTCACACTAATTTGTAACTTTAAACTCAACATTTTATCTTTTTTTCCAGCTTGTTCCTTATCTGCAGTCCAACCTGAGTAACTTTGAGAACCTGGAGATCCTGAACTTCAGGAACGGGAGTATTGTGGTCAACAGTCGGATGAAATTTGGAAAGCCTGTGCAACAAGGTGTTACCAGCACGGTCTATCTGATCCTTGAAGACTTCTGTAATACAGCCTACCAGACCATGAACCTGGCCATCGATAAGTACTCTCTGGACGTGGAATCAGGTGGGTCCTCAGATAGTTTACACACTGTAGTGTTTATTTGTTAGCATCAGCTGCTTTGAGGTAAATTTGAAATATTGATTGACATGATTTTTGAGCTGTTATAAATGCTTAGTAGTAGTTATAAAGCCTCGTAGATGCATTTATAAGGCTTCATAAATGATGCATTATGAGTAGGTTTAAATACAGTGTCACAGTTTTTTGAAATATGCTGATTCACTCTTTAAGGAGAAGAGTGAACAACTTTTTATGAGTAAATCTAAAGCTGGGTTGATGGTTTTCTAGATTAACGTTAAGACTAGAACAAGGGAAGAGCGAGCTAATTTACATCCAAAGTAAAAGAAAAACTACTTTTTTACATCTGACTGCTCATCCATAGATATATTTCCCCCCAAATGTTTTACCTGATGGATGTAATCTATGAACTTTTTAAACTTGGTGGCACCATCTTGTATTTTTAAAAATGTGTTAGTGTGTGAAAAGGCTCCTGAAAGGATGTTGAATCCCTCTCGTGACACTACTTAAGAGACAATCGGCACGGTCACATCAGTGGGGGATAAGTTAATCATGGCTTCCATGGACAATAGCCAAGTGAGCACACCACTTGACCAACTGATTACTGTGTGCAGCTCTGGTTTTACACAATCACGTTTCCACTCATTTACGGAAATAAGGCTCAATTACAGACCCAGCTGGACATCTTTTGTACGATTTTCATTTGGGATGTTGAAATTGAACATCAGGCTTTAACTTGAAAACACCAGTCTGATTGAAACCAGACGGTTATGATATCACTGATTCATGCTTTTGTAAACAACCATGAGAGAACTATCGTAATAAGCGCCGAGTCACAGTTGATACAAAACACTGAATCACCACTTGCAATCGAACCACAACAGACAGACAGCTGGCATTTTGGAACAGTGTGTTTGTCTGTGTGCCCTAGTTTGGTACAACAACATGACATGACAAATTTATGTGTATTTTGACATTTGGGATACAAGCTTACACGCTCTACAGAAAAGGTGTCGATGAAGGATCAGTACCACGCATGTCAAACTGAACACTTTAAAGATGTAAATACTGTGACCAGACCAGAGCGTGTAGTTCTGAGGGGTGAAAAAACAGACCCTCATGACTTTGTGATCTCCTCAGTCAACTCACATCCCATTTATTTGAACTTTTTTGAAACCAAAAGTATTACAAGTTACTTCTCTAAGCTCTAAAGTTCCAATGAAAAGATATTTAACAGCACACAGCACAGAGTTATTCTAACAGTTTCTCATGTTTCAGCCCTCCAGCTGCCTGCTACAGTCAATATTTACCGTAAAGACATGAAAGAAGTGTCAATCTTGACATTTGACTCACACCACCAAAGAACAAGCACATTTCCTGAGACATAAATTATTATTATGAGCTTTTAATGTCTATTTAATAGCCTTTATTTTGGTTTCTCTCTCGCTCTTGACTTCCAGGTGATAAAGCTGATCCGTGTAAGTTCCAGGCGTGTAATGAGTATGCAGAGTGTAAAGTAAACAAGTGGTCCGGGGAGGCGGAGTGTGTCTGTAACGCTGGCTATTTCAGCGTGGACGGCCTCCCCTGTCAGAGCGTCTGTGAGCTGCAGTCGGACTTTTGCCTCAATGATGGCAAGTGTGACATCATCCCGGGCCAGGGAGCCATCTGCAGGTAGGTGGGAGTTAAGGGAAATGACAAGAGTGTGTGCGGGAAGACTGTCTCTGGGGATCTAGTTTGTCAAACCGATACTTCCCAGAAGACTAATAAGAACTTCCCACATGTGTTCAAGTAGGATGGCAGATTTAGAGTTTCTAGTTTCAGGGTAGCCGATTATTAATCGTAAAGAGATGAATGATGTCTAGCATATTAAAAACATTTGTTTAAAAGCTTTTCTTTGTTTGGCTTAAAGGTGCTGGGAGATAAAATATGTGCTTTAGCCAAACAAGTTTTAACCACAGAAGGCGACACAGAGATTTAGGTTCACACCTAGTTGGCTATAAAAAGCAGTTTTCCGTCTTTAAATGATTTATTTTTGGCCTGGAAAAAGTTTCGAAGAATACAAACAAGGTTTTGAGTTCACACTAAAATATTTGGCAGCTGACCATTTTAATTTAATTCATCCCTCTGGCAATATTTATTTATAAATGAAAACAGTGAGAGCCGCTTGGAGAGCCATACTTGATTAATATTGAGGTGCATTGTTTTCAGCCCCAGGATGCATATTATCACATTTTTGTCCGGTGAAATATTGTCCGTTGTGTTGTTTTGTGGCTCTGTTGAATTTCTCCCACATTAAAACAATACTATGGTTTACTTTAAACCACTTTCGCCTGTGTGTGTGTGATTGAGAGAGTGTGTGTGTGTTTTATGTGGAAACAGACATCTGGATGGGTGTAAGATGTGAAAGATGATATGCAAATAATCCAAATCAGACATAAACCCGTCTTCCGACTGTGTTGTTGAATCGGATGATTATGAACAGAGACAGAGTGTCAGGACGAGCGCTCACTTTTCTTTCACACCCTCAGGAACTTTATAAAACATGCAGACAGCTGCAGATGTAGTTGGATTCTTGTTTATTCCACAGTGCCTGTCACAGCAAAGAAAGATTATTCCAAAACGGGGCGATTCTGATTGAAGTCAAGGCCACACATGACCTAGGAGGACTCAGTCATTTCTACATTTATTGTTAATTCATCACAGAACAAAAACAGCGTGATGCAATTCCTCTTTACCGTTATGCTGAAAGATTAATATGAGATTAATGTCTGTTTCTGTTATTGTTGAAGTTCTTACTAGAAATGACTCCACGATGTTTCTGACTCAGGTGTCGTGTCGGGGAAAACTGGTGGTACAGAGGAGAGCACTGTGAGGAGTACGTATCTGAGCCGCTGGTGGTTGGCATAGCAATCGCCTCTGTGGCAGGATTCCTATTGGTGGCTTCAGGAGTTATCTTCTTCCTAGCCAGGACGTTGCGGGATCAGTATGAGAAGGAAGAGTCAGAGGATCCCATAAGGTAAGAGAAAGCTGAAGTACTCATTGGTGCAAGTCTGGGGTGATAGATCCAGACACATGAATCCGATCAGGGATCTGATTGGAAAATCTTGCAGCATAAATAGACCCCTAATTTAGGAGGAAACAATTATTGATGTTACGTGAATGAGAGAATGACGCATGTGACTTTAAACCAATCAACTGGTGTTTTGGCCAGCATAAAACTGGTCTTCTAAATATTACCCATAATTTCAATATCTAACTGATAAATTGATGAAGACACCCCATGATTGTGTCCTCATTGTCTGCTTCAGACGTACAGCAATAGGAGCGCCCTATCCCTGTCTTCCCGTTTTATCCTTACCCCCAACCTAATTTGATCCTCTGTCTTCCTCGTCTTTTTTTGGGAGATATCCACACACCCACTTGATCCATCAGTGTGTGCGTGTGACGTGTTTTCCGGAGCAGCAGACGAAAAACCCCTTTACCAATCTCAGCCAATTAACTTATCAGAAATGGTGCTAATCTGTTCTCATAAAGCTTTTAACACCTTAAAAGGGTGAAAGAATACAATTCAAAATCCGGCTGGAACACACGGATCCATCTGGGGTTAATGAGGTTAACAGGCTTTCAAATGGTCTATTGTCCTAGTTGTCTTCTAGGCCAAAAGGGACTGAATTGTCTGTTTCTGTGACGCTCCACAGGCGGGCTGAGAGTCTGCCATCTCTGGAGAGGGCAACCAAGTACAACCCAATGTACGAGAGCGAGGCAACTACAGGTTACAGCCACTACTACCGCCGCTACCCTGAAGCTCCGGTATACAGCAGCGCCAGTGCCGAGGCCTCCACTGACTTCAGCAGCGAGGAGATACGACACATTTATGAGAACAGTGAACTGACCAAGGAGGTGCGTGGGTGTTAGTTTTTCAATAGAAGAACATTAAAACAACACTGTTACTACATTAAAAACTTGCTGAGTGTTTTCCCTCAGTCTCACTGATGGTGACAGAATCATATCTGTTAAATATGATGTATGGGAACTCTATTTTTGCCATGTGGGTTACAACCTATCAGTCTGTACCTCAAGACTGTAAACACTACTGTTGGCTGAGCTTAACTACTAGTAGCTAGTAGGATGATAAAGACATGTTGCAACTGCATGTTGCTGAAACACATGGAAGATTTCATACAGTGAAACCAGTTTCCTTCTCAGGGCTGCCCAAAACAGATCATGTCTGGATTGTGCAGTCAGTCATAATTGCAATGTTGTCTGACCAAATCAGCTTCCATTCAGATTAAAAATTAATGCTTTGTTGTATTATAGGGTATATTGATACAGGACATTGGGTCCTCAAAGATCTGTACTCTTTCCACAATGGCTCTTTACCCTGAACTCTACGAGACCTCTTTTTTGTGCTCTCTGATTGATAAACAGGAAAATACTCATTTTATAAAAGAGGCTATCATCCTGTCAGAATGATAGATTCAACCACAGTACAGTCAAATTCTGGTTAATTAAGGGCATCATGGTTTTGGAAATGTGGCTTTAAACCCATGTTGGCTCAGAGGTACGGTTTTCCACTGAAGATTAACTTTGCATCCTCAGTTTGGAAGGAACAAACACAGTTTTTCTGTAGGGGTTTGATTTTAATTGACAAAAAAACCCACTTTCTTTTTAATTGGCCGATTTCGGTGTTTGGCCTTTTTCAACCTCTGTAATATTCATTCATTATAAAAAGTGCATGCTGGTAAGCAGTTAATTACTAAATCATGGAACATCACTTGAATTTCCTACATCTGAATTTCACTCAACAAAAGTGTGAATTTGCGGATTCTAGCCTGTAAACTTGATCTATTGGTAATTGGCATTTATTTCTTTGGTGGTTTCAGCGTGTCATGATGTTAATGGTTTGGCTGAGCCACAGCCTGTAGTTTACTGTTAATCTCTATGTGATGTAATGCTTCAAACCCAACCGTTATCATGTGTTTCTGCAGGAAATCCAGGACAGGATACGCATTATTGAGCTCTACGCTAAGGACCGGCAGTTCGCAGATTTCGTGCGGCAACATCAAGCGTGAGTGTCTTTCTTGTTTTTTCTGTTTAACCACAATGAGATAAACGCACGCCAAAGAAACCAGGACATGAAGAACGATGGACGTGAATTTGAGATAAAGGCGTCTGGCAAGATTGTACGTGCAAAACCAGTGTGGAAACAGATTAATCATCATCAGACCAGGCTAGGAGCTCATTCAGTGAGACAGACATCATTAGGAGAAACAGACATTCCTATGTCTGCCAAGAGTTTAGCAGGACGAGTGTGTTTGTCTGTGGTGTTTTTAAGTTGTATCTGACTGTAAATCATTGTTCTGTGGGCCATGAGGAACTTTAATGCCAGATAGACCTGGATTAAGTTTGTGTGGTAGTTTGTGGAGTAAAAAGTAACTTATTTGCCGAGAAAGATGAAAATTTATGTGTATTTGTTTGTTTGTTCTGCAGTGTCCTGGATACGCGCAGAGAGAGCTCCTCTGCACAGGCTCAGGCATAAACTAAAGGTTTGTTTTCTCATTTGAAGACTGTGCAGCAGGCTCTTTGTTTGTAGTTATTATCCAGACACAGGAGAGGTCTGAGTTCTTGTAAATTCAAGAACCTGGTCATGAATTATATTTACATTAAAAACGTTGTAGCAGAGGATCAAGTAATGAGCTTTTTATTTTTTTAAAACACCATGTAAATTCATTATCCCTCCAATTTTATGGGGAGATTTTGTAAAACTTAGTGACAGACAAAGACTGGTCACTGATTTATTAGAAATATTAAATACAGATATACAAAGTTTCTGCAATGGCATGCTGTATGAAGGAAGGGAAAGGCAGAATTTACGGTGGTATTTTTAAATTTCATACTGGCTTGTCCATGATTCAGACCTTGTAATTATGACCTCAAGGAGTAGTTTGAACTTTAGGGCGTGTGCATTTACAGCATGATTAAATATACAGCACTTAGTTATATTTTAGCAGGGTTACATGCACAGATATTTAGAAACAGAAAACAAAGAGATACCATTATAAGATGGTAAATACACTCTATTTACCAATACAATATACATAATGTAGATTACTCATTTTCTTAATAGAGTTAGATGAGATGATTGATATCACTCTCTGTCCGTACATTAAATAGTCTCGCACTCAGAACAACTGCTGGAGCAGAGTCCTGTCATTGCCATGCCTTCATACTCGTATACTGCACTCTGAAATGATGTAAAATTGAGGCCCCAGAGTGTGATTTCACAATTCAGTTTTTCTTTACAGTTTGTAAACACACACCAAGAGTGGCACACACAGAAGTACACACACACATAGTGCTGTTCCGCCCTTTTGGCTCCAACGTTGTGCATTACCTCTGTCATTCCCTGCCTCCGTTCCTACCTTGAGCAGATAGATACAACTGATCTAGCTCTGTGTTAGAGTAACAAAGTGTTTCTATCTGCTGAATTACCAACTGGACCAACATGTTGCCATGTAATATAAACTTAGGAACAATTCTCGTCTTGGCCAGAGGAAGCGTGGCTCTCCTCCAGCTTATTCTGCATTTCTATCATGCCAGGACAGAAGACATTGCAGTGCACATCTCTACTGTGAACAGAGCTTGGCTTTTTTCTTTACTATGCTAAGTCTACTTGTTGAAGGCCACTTACTCTAATCAAACTGTACAGTGGTATTAGTCTCATCTCACTCTTAGTAATATAGCAGACAAGAACATTTTACAAATGGAGAGCTATCCATGGAATGCTATTCTTTAAATTGTGGTTCATTAATGGGACTTTCTGCATACTAGGTGCATCATGAATAAATAAATAGAGGACAGGACAGGTATTTGTAGACTTTAACTCCAATTTGCTGAACCAGACCATTTTAGAGTATTCAAACTAAAATAAAATAGCAACAAACTTCAAAGTGCATTCAAGTTTTCGGCTCTCATGTATTTTGTGCGTACTAACCAACCCCTTTTTTTTCTTCTGTGTAGAAACATGCCTCTCGAGAAAGTGAAACTGCCTATCAGGACTGTCCCTGTTATCTTACTTGTTCAGAGTCTGGAGTTAATGTTGGACTTTGATTCGGCTGTTATACTTCAGACCATTGAGCCGTCTCAGCATCTGGTTATGTCCAGATCAGTACTGACTGTTCTTCCTCTTTCCTCTGTGCCTTCTCTTGACTGGGTGAGCTGGCTTGGACATCAAGGGACGTGTTCACTGTTGTCAAGTAACGGACAACTCCCTTTGGGGAAAAACTGGACCGCATCCTGATACTTGAAATACTGGCAGACACATCAAATCTGTCCACACTAGAACTCGTCTTTGGAGGAGTAATCAGTTTTGTTTCACCATGTCATACCTGTCCAATCAAATGGAAGAACTTAAACTGTGAATATGTATATAGTTGAACTGTTTGGATATTTAATAGGATGCTCCAAACAGTTTGTGTCTCTATGAAGCTCAGTCGTACTCTTTAGTTCTTATCATAGGGGCACTGGGAGAGCTGCGTTGTTGTAGTTGATGGTGCTATCTAAATTTATGATACTGTATGAATTATAGTGATTTATGAAGAACAACTTAAACAAACTCAAATGCAATTCAAATGAATCAAATGTTAAATAACAGTAAGCTTTAAAAGTAGTTCAGCTGTTTGGGAAATAGATACAGGATAATATTAAGGCCAGGGAGGAGAAAAAATGCATTATGTATTCTGAGAGAAAATGTAATGTTAAAAAAAAGTCAAAAAACAATTTTAAGACTGAAGTTGAAATTTGAAGTTGGCTCTATTTTATTTGTACTCTGATCATTTTTGTAAACGGAGTAGGTGGTGAAGTTACATTTAAATGTCGACCTTATGATCAAAATGGACTCATGCCAGTGTATGATACAACAACGGCTAGCACATGTTTACAGGTTGACCTCTAGCTTTGTGCTAACTCCTGGGAACTTGACAAATGTTTCCTTTCAATGGTTTAAGAAAATAACTGAAATGATAAACTTCTGTCATCTTTTCTTCTCTTCCTCATCACATGGATATCAGAGAAAAAATACAACCTATTTTTAAACTGATCTGTTCAAAACTGCAGTGAAAATTGCACTGCAGCATTTTGGGAAATTATTTTTACATGGTTTACATGTTTTTTTTCTTTTTTGAACTTAAAATTTTGACTTTATTTTTGAAACACATAAAATTTAATCTTCCCTTGCCCTCTTTGCCTCCTTTCATGCCTGGCCCCGCAACTCTTCTGTAAATAGGGAAATTAGTTATCTGACAGAAAGGTGGATGAAATCGTTTGATTGGCCAGTCAAAACTGGGTACAAGCTCAGGGAAACAGCTTGCCTAGATCTGTTCCATGTAAACAAAATTTGTTTGAACACAAATAAATGAAATAATGCAACTTTTACCAGGTAGATACAAAAAATGAACAGAATTTTAGTGTGAATATATTCACACACAAGTCAACTGGCTCAGTGTTATCACTTGTTGACAAGTCTGATCTGCTGTTACTCTTCTCCGCCATCCCCCTCTAATACACACACACACACTCACAAACCCCTCCACTAACCCTTTCAGTAATCCTGCAGACAGACAAACAGCCCCAAAGACAGGACCTCTGAGGTGAAAGTAATTAGTCAGTTTTGAAGCTCCAGGCTGCAAAGCTGACTAATTACGGATTTTACAGATTAGTTCACGAGAGTAGGCGTATTTTGACGTTTCCGGACAGAGCCAAGCAAGCTGTTTCTGTTTACACTCCTCTTCGAACATTTAAAAGGCTGCGTGCTGTAGACTTACATGAAATGCATACATAGGAAAATGGTTTTTCAATCCCTTAAAAAGTAACCCTTGCCAGATAGCACCTTTCCAAGAAATGCAAATAGTTTTTCAAGAGGCCAAATTTGGTGCAGGAGTACATATTACATTTCCTCTTAATGTGAAACAACCTAAATGTGAAGTATAGCCAATATTAGGTCTGCGTTTTTTCTTTCAGCAGGTGATTTTTTAAAAATACTTTTGGGCTCATCTACCAGAAACTATCATGTAAGTTTGTAAATATGTGGTGTGGTAAATGTGAAAGTGAAAACTGTGGTTACGGGACACAGACATAGAGCTTAAACTCACTAAAGCTCCTGGATCCTGAGATAATTGAAAACATGTTACAGTAGAGATATACTGTGGGGCAGGTGGACCGTGGATGTGATGAAATGTTCTGATTTCAAATGTTGCGTGTCATGCGATTGGGAAGAACAGGAAAAGCAAACTGATAAACAATGTGAACTCTTTGGCAAGACAACATCAAGCTGGGTCTCTTGATAAAAAACTTCTAATGTTCAGGCAGTTCTTGAAAAATGATTTCCCCTCAGCTATTTCTCTGGCTACCAATCTGCTTCTCAATCTGGAAACTTCTGATGGACTAACTTGAGTGATTGATTTTGTGTTTTCATGTGTTCCTCCCTGGAGAAGTTTTGCTTGATCCTACATGTTTTTTTTTTTTTTTGAGTCGACCCAGCAGCTGCAGCAAACAATGATCAATAGGTTTTCCTTTTTTTTTGGCTTGTGTGACCCCTGACCTTTCAGAGGGGCTGAGTCAGAGAAGCACTTCAGATCATATCCTAGCTTCTTGTTTACATGAGTTGCTCTAATTTTAGAGGTCTACATGAGCTAAAAATCTGGTTAGGCAGACTTTTGTGACAGTGTTATGCCTTTTCTTTCTGCATATTCAGTTTTGTTTTATATTCATGTTTTTTTTTTTTATTCATCACACGGATCTGTCAACAATTTCCACTGGCCACCAGCATTGAGAGCTAATTATCCCACAGTGTTCTGTGATGTAGCATAAAAGATATGTTAAACAGTTTTAGAGACCAAGTCGTGTTTCTCAAAAGTTTCATTCTGTGAACATATTCTTTTTATACTGATAACTGTTTGTTGTTTTAACAGGGTTAATATAATGTGCAGCTGTGTAAATTACTCAATAAAACTGTAATGTGTACAAAATAAAATGTTTTGTATAAAATGAAGAAAGAGGTCCAGAGTTTTTTTTTTAATTATAGAAATCTATATTTTAAGGCTTTTTTCATTATACTTTTTAACAGTTTAATAGTAACCCAACCATGGGTGAAAGTAGGATAAGGTTGTTGCAGATACTGTACCCATAGGCTCTGTACAAGAGGAGCACACCCAGGTTTAACAAGGTGCCGACTCTGATACCACAGTATCATCATCTGCTGCATCTCTCTTTCTCTTGATCATAAAATCAGTTTTTCTCTTAGCTGAATTATCACTTATTTTGGAATTGCCTGAAACTTTTGTCTTACTGGCATGATATTCATGATTGTCTGGAATACATATTTCAAATTACTATACAATTTGGTGTCAGCTTAATGTATTTTGGTACCATGGCGTTGCGTACTCAAGTGATAGCAGACAAATATCTAATGAAGATATTACTGATTGGAGCAAAGAAGACTATAACAAGGAAGTGGTTACAACACAACTCACCGACACTGGAAGACTGGCAAGGAGCTGTTCACGAAATTTACATTATGGAGGGACTGACATTCGCTCTGAGACTACAGTCAGAGACATTCAAAAGACGTTTGTCGAAATGGATCAGATATATAAGAGCACGGAGACCTAAACTGCTCTAAATACCTCTGATTCATGGCTTGAAGTACCAGACTATTAGACTACTTGGACAACTGAAAACTGATATTAGTAGATCTTGTGGAAAATGAGGAAATGTGACATCCATTGTTCATATATTCTTACTTTACGTATTATAAAATGAAAGGGAGTGTAATAGACTGGAGAATATATTAGTCCAATTTGGCACGTTTGTTTACTTTGCCACAAATGTGTCATTGTGATTGGACTCATTTTGTATGTTTCTCCCTGATAAAAATAAAATAAAATAAAATAAAATAAAAAATCAAATTTTCTCTGCATTTTGTTTTATTTCTGCATATTGAAGCAGTTCCCTCCTTCCGCAAAAGGCGGAAGGCGATCCCCAGCGCCTTGGCAACCAGCGTCCAATCAAAAGTGCGCACTGAGTGCTTCCAATTTTATGGGTTTGTTGATTGTTTGCGGAAGCTAATAGGACTCACTCGCGAGCAGCATGGTCGTATTGGATTACTATGGTTACAATGCAAAGTGCAGACTGACGTGCGGCAACACGGTAAGCAAATGTAGCCTACATATATTGCAGGGGTTAAAGTTTTTTGTACCGCTGTGCACCGGCTGAAAACTGCTGTTTATGTCTTCCTGGTACGCCGTACCGCTGCGTACCGGCTTACTTTCACCCCTGAACCCAACCCACTAAGCCCCATTAAGTACCCTCTAAACCAGGGGTGGGCAATCATGTGCCATGGAGGGCCGAGAGGCTGCAGGTTTTCTTTCCAACCCAAAACTCCACCAGGTGATTTCACTGATTAGTCCCTGCTCTCTGCTTGGAGCTAAGGTAATCAGTGAAATCACCTGGTGGAGTTTTGGGTTGGAAACAAAACCTGCCGCCTCTCGGCTCTCCATGGCACATGATTGCCCACCTCTGCTCTAAACACACAAACAAGTTGATGCTAAGTTTTGATCGATTCAAAAATGATTTATTTACATAGGTAAGTAAAAGTCCCTCACTTATGACAGGTGGTTGTAAACTCACCAAACTTGGCCAAGTTACATTTTACATTTCAGCCACTGTAAAGGTCTAAACATTGACATTTCTCTGTTAACATTCTTAACAGCACCTGTATAAGATCCTCTTCGCCCCCACTTTTAAAGTCGATGAGCATTTTCTTTTCTCTTAACTGGTCCTGTCGCACTGCCAAAGTCAAAACCATGTTGTGGTTTGTGGTTGCTTTGAGTCCGTTTTCTTCTCCTTGACTCAGCTCCTTATGTGTTTTAATATCCCTTGCCTACATTCCCACTTTTTAGCTTCTTTTCTCTGAAGTTTTGCACTGTTCAAATAAATTGAAGATAATATTAAAGATTCCCTTCATGTTGTCTATCGATGTTATTGGACAGTAACATTTATGTCATGCTGCATACAGAAAGAGATGAAATCATAAATGGGAGACTAGATATGCGGTCACTTCTTTCTGTGGATTGATTCGACATGTGTGACGTGTGTGATCAGGTTGTCCCTAGCATTGCCTTTGTCTTCAGAAGAAAAAGCAATTTCTCTCAGTTAGGTGAGTAGTAAGTGGTAATTTCTATGCTAAATACTTGATCCTGTGAGCCAAAATCTTGGAATGGGATGATTGAGTCTCAACCACTAAAGTGTCGCCAGAGACAACCTTGTTTCGTATCACATCAATGTGCTGGTTTGAGAGCAGCACATTTCAACTCAGCCTGTTGACGCTCTCCACAATTTATAATGTATTTTTCTGTTTCTGAGATTTATTGGCTGTAAGCAGGTACTTCTTTGAGTCTCAATCCAGTTGTGTGACAATAATTCCACCAAATTAAGCCAACAATTTCCTGGCTGTAGCATCAGATTTGTTTTACAGACTACGAATGTTATCTGTCCTCTTGACTTACTCTCAGCAACAAGAGCAAATATGCTTTTCCACTTCAGCTGCAAACCTATTTCTACAATCCAAATTCTTTTCATCGAGGACATTTTCCAAACACGGTACTTTCACCATTTGTTATTCATTCTTTTTAACGAAGCAATACCTCCATGC